ARRARWRRAAGAGGGAGGAGCGATGTACGGAGAAGCGCGATCCAGGAGGAGAATAGCTATGATGATGGATATGAGGTTGCGAGGTAATGAATTCTGCTACTCTTTACGACGACGACTACCACGACAACGACGACGATATCTTTTACTTGGGGATTCCTTAGCGTTGCAGCGAGCGAGCGAGCGAGCAAGCAAACAAACGATCTCTTTCGTTGCAATCCTTGGTGCGACGCTTTCCAGCCTGGAACCTCCACCACAACGACACACGACGCGAACATTATCAGCACACAGAATGGGTGGCGCTCAAAATTCTTGAGGAAGAAAAAGTCTTTTGAGAACACATTACGAACGATGATGATGAAGAACGAAGAAAGACGAGCGAGATACCCAAGACTGTTTTGTTTTTCYGATGATGGTTTTTTACTCTACCCACTCAAGATCTTTTTCAATTTGCTTGATACCCGGATGATTAATTACTTTGGCCCTGTTCTATGAAACCAAAGGGGAGTCTTTTCTCGGCGACCGAGGGGGGAGAAATCTCGCGATAATGAAATGGCAGAGTTTTACGATCAGAGATGGAATGGAATTCACGATTGAGATATGTACGAACAGCATATTTTACTCATGAGGCCGCGAGGTACGAATATGACTGAATGGATTGGATTGTTTTCCATTTGCATTTGCAGACTGTGCTGTGCTTCTAATGCCTTGTCTTGTTCATTATTCCTTCAGTCGTCTTGCTAGCCTGCCAGCTGCATCACATCATCGTCCTTCGGCACTTTTTTCGGGCTAAAAGAACGGCAACGCGCGACMCATCCATTCCAGCCCAAACATCCCGCTGGTTCGTTCGTCCATCTGACCTTTGACGCCCAACTCCGATTTCTCCCCCGATATCATTGCTCTGCCCCACAATACCATCGTCCCAAGAACCATTTCGCTCGCTCGCTAGAACAGATTTCAATCTCAATTTCCCTAGCCGCGCGGGTTGCGCGCGTGCATGGACACATCTACATGATTCAAACCGGGAGGAGTGACGTGGCACAGCGTCCACCTGTATGATCACCACATCCTTCGCTCACTCACTCCAGATCACTGTCGGCGTTGCCTCTTCGATAACCGCCCGATCGCGTGGTGGGAGCACTCTGCTTCTTGCGTGGCGAACTCTGCCTCGGTCTGTTTTCGCCTTTGGGCCTGTAAGAATCGTAGTAGCTCGCAGTGCGCTGAGAAGGAGCAGTGGATTCGGTGTATGCGGTGCTGAGGATCTCGCTTTCTGGGCCGTTCTGGTAAGAGAAGTCGCGCTTCTTGGGTGAGGCGCTGCGGGAAGCTTCCCGGCGCTCGCGCTGCTTTGATGGGGATGGCTTGGTTGGAACGGCGCTCTTCTTGACTGGTGGTCCTCTAGTCGCGGTGGACTCGTGGGCGAKAGCAGCAGCGGCCGCCYCGGCCTCCCGGCGCCAGCGACGTTCCATGCGGGCGGCTTCCTCACGGGCTTTACGTTCGGCGCGTTCTTGCTCTCTCTGTCGATCGGTCTTCTTGGGTAGAATGGGTTGGTCGGAAGTGGTGGAGAGGACAGTTTCGGTCATCAAGTCCGAGCGCTCAGAGTTGGTGTAGTCGTAGTGCGAAGAGTCGGCGACACGGTTGAGACCTCCCACTCTTGCAGGCTTCTCCTTCTTGTACTGGCGCACATCGCGGTCACGATAGCGCTTTGAGTGCCCGTGGCCCTGCTCCAAGTCGGTATTGTCCGGCTGTAGTTCCGTCATCTCGTCGCTGACAGTCTCTGTGGCGAAGGACTCGGTCATGTAATCGTCGCTGTACATCACACTGTGTGTTCCTGCCCATCCACGCTTTGCCAGAATACCCTTTCTGCCCTTCTCGTCGCGTCCCACGACACTCTTCGCAGCGTTCTTCTGCCATGCATAGTGCTGGCTACCAACGATGGTACCGCCGCCTAGCTTCGTGCTCTTGGTGGCATTACTGWGAGTCTTGCCGTCAGGTCCTTTGCGGCGTAGGACGGTTGATTTGTAGTCGTCCCAGTCGCCTTCTTCAAAGTGGAAGCCACCGTTCTTGGCCCAGAAGAAGAACCAGAGACTGACGCCCACGRGTGCTACACCCAGGATGGCAAACAGGGCAAAGAAGCCGGCATTGTTGATCTTCTCCGGTGGTGTTGATCCGATGCCATGTCGCGAGGTAGCCTTGACGTCGTCGGCGCGGGCGATCAGCTGATGAAGAGGATGTGCTGAGCGGGCGTCGAGCTCGAGGGATGATGTGTAGATGTCAGCGATGGGCAGTGGTGGTGCCATCCTGTCGTGGTGAAGCTGCAGGCCGGAGCCTCAGCAAATGGTTGATGTCGTGTGTTCAGTCGGTGGGGGAATCGTTGCTGGCGGTCGGTCGGATCGTGCAGCTACAGCGTATATCTTCAGTACTTGGATGTGGTTGAGATAGCGATTGATGGGGAAGTAGATGACTTTCCTTCAAGAGCCGGCAGAGTGGAATTCGTGATTATCCTGCGGCTTTTTGGGATGGCTGGTCACTCGCAAAGCTCCCGCCTCCACACTCCAGCCTCCAGAATTTGTTGTTTACGATGACGCGCCGTTGCTACCCAGCAACCTGGAACACGTGAACAGGGTCCATCCCGAAACACCACACTTGCAACCATTTTATCGATGGATCCCATGCACTCGTTTGTGTGAGCTTTTGTCTCGACAACTACAACGCGTCCACTCCTGCCTCATCATTGCCGTGATTTTACGGCTTTGCGAATGTCGGACCAATTCTGGACGAGCGATCTTGGCCGTACGCTCTCTCCGCGGGGTGACCGCCGATGACACCTTGGATTGTCTGCTCACGGGCGCTGTTGCTTTTCGAATGGCGGAGAGCTGCGGAATGAAACCTCTTTTTTCGAATGGTACTGGAGAACGACGTTGAGATTGACAAATCACGAACACGTCGTTCAAAGGATGAACATGAAGGCATCAAACGGACCGCATAGCTACACTGTTCATGCATGCTACTGCATGGTATGCAAGGGCGTGTTCATCAAAAGCCTGTGCTACGTCGAACATTTTGCTTCACAAGTCTTTTCAATGAACTACTTCCTTTACAAGATGGTTTTCGGAACCTCTCTACGACGAGATTTACCTAGCATTGCAAGACCGGATCGTACATCAAACCTGGTGCAAAACAGTGTACGGGAAAGGCTTGTGATTCTATTTCATGGCCAATGCGAGAAAGGAGCTGCTAATCCAAGGCGTACTGATTGGAACACGCTCGAAACTAACCTTCGCTTTCCTTGTCATTCCTGATCAAGTACAGCATCTCGGCAAGAGCGCGTAGCTTCGTTCTCCAACTCAGCCCATGACAATCCTGCTCAAGTTCGTATTGATGTCGTCAATGTCCCACCGTTCAGCACGATTGCCTGCTTGACCCGCGGGATCCCGATTAGTGGCCACGGCCTCGAACCACTTCTGGAGGTCTCCCTGCTCCCGACTTGTTCTCCGGGCCCGATACGCTACCAGTAGCTTGTTCCAACCCGGGTCGCATCGAGCATCTTCCAGCGATGTAATGTCCACGACCTGAAATTTTGGAAACTAGCTCTCTCGGGTTGAGCGCTGATATTCCCCGAGCGCAGACGTACCATCGACACATTGGATCGTCTCTCCCGCAGGCTCCCTGCCTACAACCTCAAATGCGTGGCTTCAACAGTCCCCATATTCGTACAGATAACTCATCTTTAAGCCATCGAAGCTTCCTGCCTCAAGCATCTCCCAGATCCTCGCGCGACAACTCTTCTTTTGTGTTGTTCTGGGATGCCGACTCAGGCCCATGCATGCGATCGACCGGCGCCCTGATCCCATCTCTGTCATCCATAAAGTGAAAAACAAACTCGATCTGTGCGTTCGGATTTCCCAATACTCACATGGTTGGAACTGCGAGGGATATCGCTTTCTGAGCTGGGCGATGAAGCCAGTTAGTCCTGGTCCGCCGTTTACATGGAATCGCCATATCGCCTGCCGTATGCTTAGAGGTCATCCGGTCAATTTCGACTACCCGAATGCAAGTAAAAAGCCATTCAGATGCTTCACGAATCCGTTTCGATTGCGTTCAAGGCGGCATTCGGCTCGCATCTTCCTCCTTGAACTAAGCTCGAGCAACTAAACAAATCCAGCAAGTCCACCATATCACTTGTAGCCTATTTCCATGAGATGTAAAAGTGTCAGACTTGAGTGAAATGTTCATTATTATTGTTCGGTATGCGAATGGCAGAGAGAAGCGTGAGGTCTGGTTCGAATACCGGCAAATCTGCGGCTGTGAAAAGCCATCCAATCTCCGCTTCGATCTCGACGATAACAACAATGCAACAACAAGAACGGCTCATACCATGGATCAATTTCTTCTCTTTGGAGACAGCATCACGCAGCAGTCTAGTCTCACGTTCAGCGCTGCCTTGAGCGATGCCTACATACGCCGTTTGGATGTCATAAACCGTGGCCTGTCCGGCTACAACACACGCCAGGCCTTGCGCATACTCCCACACGCAGTACCTCCACCGCAAGTTGCAAAGATTCGCTTCATGACCGTATTCTTTGGCGCGAACGATGCTAGACTTCCACACACTCCAGGCGGCCCACAGCAGCACGTTCCTTTATCCGAATACAGGGAAAACCTCAAGGCCATCATCACTCATCCTCGCATTCTCGAACATGACGGTGCAAGATTAATTCTCATCACACCACCACCAGTCGATGAGAGGATGTGCCTCGAAAGCTCCAAGGCTGAAGATCCCGACTTTCCTGATGTATTCACTCGTCCAGCAGCCACCACAGCTCAATACGCCAGCGTTGTGAGACAGCTTGGTCAAGAGTACAACCTTCCCGTGGTCGACATTTGGAGTACTCTGATTCTTCGAGCGGGCGGCATGACCGGCGGAGTTGGACTGCCAATTGGATCTTCCGAGCTTGCGCCCAACCCGACATTCCAGAGCTTTTTCCGAGATGGACTGCATTTGTCTTCCTTGGGCTATGAGGTGCTTTACGAGGAGCTGATGTCAGTGATTGAAAATATCTGGCCTGAGCAGATGCCAAGTAACCTCCCGTTTGTTCTTCCTGGTTGGCAAGACCAAGAGGCATGGTTGCCGTACCGGTAATTACGCTCCTGGTTCACCCGACAACGATAATAGAACGGCCGACTTGGCGATTCGTACGTTGAGCTGTTCCAAGACTGGCACCCAAGAGATGCCTATATATGGTCATCGATCTGTTAATTGTGGCCATGGGCGATGGTCTTCGCCAAATCATGGGTGGGCGTCTTCCCCTCAACCGACAATAGAAGAGATGCCTCTTTTGTCACACCAGCAAACATGCCCTTGTTGTGCTGGCCCTACTCCAATCGAAGTACATTGCCGTAGCCCATTCCAAGTGTACAGCAGACTCGCAGACTATATCCTTACTGTCAACATGGAGTGGAGTAATGCAGTCTGCGGAGGTACGGGCGTAAATCTCAAAGCGTGGCAATGTTGCACTCGCAGAGAGATGCTTCTGCGACACTTTGCGGTCTACCATATCCAACGAACATTGCAAGTACTCGACTTGACATGCAGAACTTGCTCGCTTGACCGCTAAGTTTGAGCGAGACTCATCTCACCGACACTGAGCTTTTGCGAGACATGTGTCCTGCCTGCTACGCGGCTCCAAGTTCCCCGAGCTCTGAGCATAGCGTGACACATCTCAAGATGAATCTTGCTACGCGCTCTGGGCTTGTCGCGACCCACAAGAGATCAGGAGGTTCGCTCTCATGTTCGCGCAAGTTGAAAGCGCTACTGTACGTGCTCGAATGACCTTTGTGTGTATGCATTCTGATTCGCCAGGAATGGATCAGACTAAGCATTTGGAGGTCAAATGGCCGGGGAGACTTGCCGATCAGTGAAGTGAAAGACAACCCACAGTCTGCCACCTACAAACTTTTGAATTCACTACACCACATGCTTTCGCGCGTGGACTGCACGACGTGGCACGAGATCACCACGAGGCTGAAGTAAATAGAGCAGATGATATACAAGATGCGACAGGGATGGCCAAGCTGACTTTTGCTAGTCGAACTCAGCTCATCCCCGCTCTGAGCCAAGGGACACGGGAGCCTTGCTAGACTTTCTGAACCACCCCTAGTGGCGCGTGTACAATCTCCGCCAAATGCATCCACCTCATACGCCTCCACCAATCCTCGAGGTGCCGTCTGCAAAAGACACACCTTCTGATCTTCTTCGGCTTGTCGCTTTCTGCGGTAGAGGACAACGCTAGTATTGATCTGCAGTCTGGATGACTTCTTGGGAGGGAACATCCGACCAACTGGTCCGGCCGTTGTTGCCAGGATCCAAAATTTCCTATAATACAATAGGGGATCTCAACAGCATCGCATTCCACTCCGCAAGCTGCGAGACAGACTTTGTAAGTCAAGAGCTGCGTTCGCGCCTTCAAACGTTCCTTCACATACCCTCCTTCAAAGTTCAACGTTCAACATGCGTCTCCAATCCACTCTTCTCTTCTTCGCTGCAGGCAGCACGCTTGGGCAGATCTTCGTACCCAGGGTGGTTTCCGAGCTTGCCCAATATGCGCTGAAAATATTTGATGAGTGAGCAATATCGGTGGGCTGATATCGAATGGAACTGACATCCTATAGATATGTCGACCATCCAGTGCGGATTGGGCGAAACAGCACTCTGGGTATACAAGTAAGCGTAGAAGTCAACGTAGCCGCAACTTGTACCAGCTCATACTGGTTGGAAAACATTGCCCGTACGTAAGGCTCCTTCAATCGAATCGATCACAATACTCATGATAGCTAGACCAGGGAAAGGCGGCCTTCAACTCCAACCCATCGGGCTACCAAGTCTACCGCAATGTGAAAGACTTCGGAGCGAAGGGTGACGGTGTGAATGATGACACGGCTGCCATTAACGCAGCTATCTCCTCAGGAAATCGATGTGGAATTGGGGAAACCTGTGGCTCTTCGACGACAACTCCCGCGGTGGTCTACTTCCCAGCTGGTACTTACATGATCAGCTCGAGCATTGTCGATCTCTACTATACCCAAATTATCGGAAATCCCAATTGCATGCCTACCATCCGTGCCTTTCCATACTACTCGGGTAGCTTTCTCGGCATGATCGATGCCAATCCGTACTCGAACCGCGGAAATCTTGCCTATGGGTACGCATGGCTCTTGGAGATGCGGGCTTTAAAACTGCTGACAGGTTGAACCAGGGCTACGAACGTGTTCTGGAGAGAGATCAAGAATTTAATCATCGATATGACCCTTGTTCCAGCTTCCACTCCCATTACCGGCATTCACTGGCCTACCGCACAGGCTACGAATCTGCAGAACATCATTTTCCAGATGAGCAGWGTCAGGGGTAAGCATGCTTCCCTTGGTTCAAGAGCAATGAAAGAACGCACAGATATACAAATTGCCTTAGCCATCCTCATCGCCTCTTCATCCCAACAAATAGGGATCGGAGCTGACCATGATGTTCACAGGCACGCAGCATCAGGGCATCTTCATCGAGTCCGGAAGCGGAGGCTTCGTCTCTGACCTCACGTTCAATGGTGGTCTGTACGGTGGCAATTGGGGCAATCAGCAGTTCACGATGAGGAACCTGCACTTCAACAACGTTGTTACAGCCATCAACCAGATCTGGGATTGGGGCTGGACCTATCAAAACAGTACGTTCAGCAAACCCCTGGACTCAACATGCACTAATAGTATGAAAAGTCAACATCAACAATTGCACTGTCGGTCTGAACATGTCATCTGGTGGTCGTAGTAACATCGCGGTCGGATCTGTCACCCTCCTTGACTCTACTATCAGCAACACCCAAACAGGAATCATCACAGCACACGATGCAAACTCTCAGCCAGGAGCAGGAGGTAGCCTCATTATCGAGAACCTCAAGTTAAACAATGTCCCTGTAGCGATACGCGGTCCAGACGGTCCGAGACTCTCTGGCGTGTCCAGTATTGCAGGCTGGTCTGAGGGACACTCCTACACACCGAATGGACCGAATAATGTCCAGGGCCAGATGACTCCGGTTACCCGTCCCTCTAGCTTGCTCCAGGCTGATGGGAAATACCACCAGCGTAGCAAGCCATCTTATGCCAATCTCCCAGTGTCATCTTTCCTCAGTGCCCGAACTGCTGGCGCTACTGGTGATGGCCGCACGGACGATACGACTGCCTTGCAAAATGCGATTAACAACGCAAAGTCGCAGAACAAGATACTTTATCTTGATCATGGAAATTACCGCGTGACCCGAAGCATCTATATTCCTGGTGGAGCCAAGATTGTCGGCGAGGCCTACTCTGTCATCATGTCTGCTGGAAGCTTTTTCAACGACATGAGCAATCCTCAACCCGTTGTAAAAATCGGAAACTCCGGCGAGACTGGCAGCGTTGAGCTTTCCGAGTTTATCATCAGTACCCAAGGCCAGCAGAAAGGTGCCACGTTGATTGAATACAATCTTGCCTCTCCGGCAGGCTCCCCGAGTGGGCTGTGGGATGTGCATACTCGTATTGGTGGCTTTGCTGGCTCTGACCTTCAGCTCGGCCAATGTGCGAAGACACCTGGAACAACCATCACTTCTGCGAACCTCGTGCAGAACTGCATCTCCGGCTTTCTACACATGCACATCACCAAGCCAGCTACCGGCCTCTACTTGGAAAATGTCTGGCTTTGGACTGCCGACCACGATATTGAGGCTGCTAGCCTTGGCCAGATCACTATCTACACTGGTCGTGGTCTCTTGGACRAAAGTACCAATGGGCCTGTGTGGCTTGTCGGAACAGGCGTGGAACATAATCAGCGTTATGAATACCAGTTCCTCAACACCAAGAATGTTTGGGCTGGTCAGGTAAGCAAAGGCAATCATCGAGACATCCTGCGAATTCACTGACAATTGTAGATCCAAACTGAAACAGCATACTACCAACCGAACCCCAACGCAAAGATTCCCTTTCCTGTCAACGAAGCATATGGCGATCCTACATACCCCGGCCCGGATACTATCACCGATCAAGGGGCAGTGGTCCCAGCAGGTACGTCTTCTTCACACTCATCCGTAATCATCATCTCCTAACAATAGCAACAGTAAATGGATGGGGTGTAAGAATCGTCAACTCTCAAGCCATCGCAATCTACGGCGCCGGATTATACTCTTTCTTCAACAACTACTCCACAAGCTGCAGTGACCAAGGCAATGGCTCAGTCTGCCAGCACAGAATTGCAACTGTTCTGAACTCCAATGCCATCACCATCTACAATTTGAATACCGTTGGGACGAGATTCCAAATATCTGTGGATGGTAAAGATGTCGCGCGGTACGCTTCGAATCCTAATGGGTTTGTGCAGACTATTGCGCTGTTTAAGAAGTAGGAGGGAGGGCTTATGCTGGGATGGAATGAGTCTTAGTGGCGGCTGCGATTTGCGTTTGTGTACATAGTTTCAAGATGCGTGACGAATGAAGGAATTTTCTTGATTCGCCTTTACCTTTGCACCTGTCAATTATTTTCCTTGCTGCCTGAGTGCCGGTAAGATTGAAGGGTGCTGGTACTGTCTCTGCTTATAGTGAATCGACGAAATGCTCGCAAATAGGTAGCTGTAGAGCGGAGAGAAGCAGCTTTGTACCGAAATTCAAGTATCCTACCCAGTAACACCTTCCTCACCGGTTCTTGCCTGCAAATGCTCACTTCAAGGCTTCTCGTGTGGCGGACCCCAAACCCGGGAAGCGATATACCACATACTGGATAAACGTCTGGCGAAATACAGATCTAGCGACACTAAGATCTCGTCTAGAGACCTATGGGCATTAGATTTCTGTGGATATCCTCTAACATCCAAGCAATCATCAGCAACTACCTTGATATCTTGGAGCAGAGCTAAAAGCATGCCACAACCCTGGAAGGTGAGGATTAGGGTTGGGGTAGTGAGCAGTTTCTTGCCAGAAAAGCCGCAGAAATTTAGGTCGATGTTGGCGGAGTACCATTTGAATACAGCAGGTGTTCAATGAGTGGCTTGAGATGTATACGGCGGTTTGTCGTTGATCACTCCTCTTCACCCGGAGTGAAATTTTATTCACTTACCTGCGCGGAACTTACCATTCTGGGAACGAGCCCCCGCTAACATGCCGACTGCCGGAGGTAGCGGTCGGCCGAAAGTTGCGATTTCCTTCCTTGACTGTTTCCTTCCTTGACTGTTTCCTTCCTTGACTGTTTCCTTCCTTGACTGTTTCCTTCCTTGACTGTTTCCTTCCTTGACTNCTGTTTCCTTCCTTGACTGTTTCCTTCCTTGACTGTTTCCTTCCTTGACTGTTTCCTTCCTTGACTGTTTCCTTCCTTGACTGTTTCCTTCCTTGTGCTGGCTTCCAGTAACATTACTTTAGCATCAACGACAACTTCTCTTCAACATAAACCTCATCTTCACCAACCGTCACCAACGAGGATGCTACCACTTGCATTTGCGGGTGGCGCGCTCAACTGTGCCGCCCAATACTAACATGTGCATCAGGGACACGCTCATGATTGCAGACCACCGCGGCACGATCACTCCCCGTGTGAGCGAAGTCACCGTGAGTGTCATCTCAATATCTCAGTCGTTACCATCGAGTGAGGTGTACTGACTACACCCTCACAGCGCCGACTGAAGCTTCAGTCGTTAAAAACAAATAAGCCCAAAAAAAACACAAAAAAACCCTGCCCCCGATTCATTCCAGCCTCGCCTTGCCTGCTGGAAGAACGCAACTGCACCGCGCGACACCTCTCCCTTGAGGGGAAGCGCATAAATTTCTGACAACGAGATCAATACCGCCGCGACTGTATGTTGTCATTTCCGCTTTGCAAACTCGACCTGACTGACACACTTCCCAAGCTCATCCCCACCGACAAGGATGCAATCAAGCCTCACCGACTCACCGCATCATGTAGAAAGAAGGTGGAGTTGCTCGGCCCATCTCCATAACGGCCTACCGAAGATACCGTGTGCCTCTCCTGGCCACAATTTTGAATCCACACATGTCAGGACGCGAGTGCACCAGTGCCCAAAAAAACAAAAAAAAAAAAACAGAAAAAAAAAAAACGGTCCAAGTCAACCAATCCCGAAAATCCGAGTGGACGCAAGTCAAACATACCCCGAAAACTCAGGCTAGAAGCTGCTTGGACCAATCTTGTATATACAAACTGACGCAAGTCAAACACACCAGAATGTGCAGGCTTGGCTGCCATTCCCGGAGAACGTCACTCTTTGACACCAAGTCCACCATCTCGGGCCTTGCCCGTCGACAACACAAGGTCGCTCGGCCCACCTTACCAAATGGCCTGCCAACGCATGATTGTAAGTTCTCCCCCCTCTCCTCACCCGCAGATGCTTGTGGTAGCTTCACGCCTGGAACTTGCGATCATGACAAACACTCGACCACATCAGGTAGGTGTTCTCCCCACCCTCTTGCTTTGATGCCTTGACTCCAGCACTGCATCACGATAACCCTCACAGTATGGTGGAGATGGAAGAAATCGGGGACGGGGAGCTGAGTGTGGGATGAATTGAGGTCATTTCTAAGGCGGGAGGGATATGTGCAGAATGGGAAATAGACTCAATGAAAATGGTTGCAAACATACATCGTCTCTCGTTCTGAATCTCAGCTTCCATCATATGTACTGCTGCCTCGGGATCTATGTCTACCTGCGCCCGGCGTGATTTGTCAATGAAGAACGTTGTCATCTCAGGCTTGGCTGCTCACTTCAGCGAAGCCTGTACGTCGACCAGAATCTTGACATGCTTATCCTTTTCGTTGATCAAGGCCAGGTATCCGTCTTTCACAAGCTTGTCCATATGAATCCTACTAGTAATCATACTCGCCGGCTTGAGCTTACCCTCGCCAAGAGCATCAACGACGCCCTGAAGAAACCGTTAGTGTGTCTCAAAAAAGGACGCAACGGTACTCATAATCATTTACCTGGAAATCCTTTTTCTGGTATCCGAGAACGGCCTTGTAGGAGGCCTCATTGAAGACCAGCCAGTTAGGGTTGAAGGGCACTTCCTTTTCCCAGATTGCCACGTTCACGACCGTTCCACGCGATCTCACAGTCTTGCAAGCTGTTTCGAGGGACTTTGGGACACCTGCACAATCAAACACCAAGTCCGGTCCGTTGACGCCGCCGCAAAGCTCCAGACAGGTACTTTGAATGTCAACCTTGGTTGGGTCGAGAACGTGATGGGCTCCGAATTCTGCCGCGAACTCTTGACGTTTCTTTGCCTGGAAAGCGAAGGGTTAGTGATGTCTGAGACAAAATCGATGTAAAGCGTAGCCCGAGAGTTGCCTCAAAGTATTCTGTACGCATCCCGCTTTTGAGTAACTTACCACCTCCGCACACATGACGTTCTTTGCGCCTCTAGCGAGCAACACCTGCACAACAGCGAGACCAATAGGCCCACCACCGAACACGAGACACTGAGGATCCTTGAGGCCTGCAATCGGAGAGGCGTCCACAGCGTGCCAGGCCACTGCGAGAGGTTCCACAAGAGCTCCAATATCGAGGTCGACGTTTGATGGTAGAGGAAAGATCGCTTCGGATGGCATGACTACAAACTCGCTCATGCCACCACCACCGCCACTGAGTCCAACGAAACCTCCATTTGGGCATGCGTTTTCGGCGCCGGATTTGCAGGCGCCACAGTGGCCGCAGTAGATTGTTGGCTGGACAGCGACTTTGTCTCCGGGCTTGAGGCCGGTGACGCCCTTGCCGATGGATTTGATGGTACCGCTGAATTCATGACCGATGGTGATGGGAACTTTCTCCTTGGTTACGGGATGAGCGCTGGTTGGCGAGAAGCTAGGTTGATGAGTTAGGGTATTGCTCTTCATATTCAGGGCGTAGATACCAACTTTGGACCACCCATATACCTGCACTACATGTCAGCATGTGTCTAGGTAGGGGGAAGTCGAATGAAGGACGAGGCGGATCCTCCGACTGAACTCCAGTGTGACATACTCATGAAGATCTGTACCGCAGATTYCCACAAAGGCCGGCTCTACCAAAACCTGTCCATCGCCACATGTAGGAATTTCCACATCGTCCTTGATTTGAATGTCTTCCTTGCCGTAGTATCGAGCGGCGCGCATTTTCGATGTTATTGACTGCTGAAGTCGATGTTCGCTGTTGTTGTTGTTTATGAAGGGTTTGACGAGCTGAAGAGATATCTACTCCACGGGATCAAAGGACAAAAGCTCCCTTCTCTTTGCTTCACCTACCGTTGGGCCGAGAGCACAAGACCCGACATCACCAGGGATGTGCCAAGGGCGGGGAAGATGTGCATGCGGGGCTATCCAGCTATTTCCTTTGCGCGTCGCATCGCCACACGACACATTTCATCAAAATACAGCTAAGTCCATCCATCGATGGGAAAGAACGATGAGAGCATGAGACTGCATGCAGTGGAGATCAAGATGTGAAGAAGGGAAGTTGAATGAAATCCACCACGGTCCTCCATCACGACGCTAGTTCTGCAAGGCACGAAGTTCTCCCGGTTGGTCAGTCGTACCGTGCGATCTAGGGAGACTTGAAGAAACCTGCGATCGCAACGACATGCACGACGCGGAGATGGAATGATCTCTCTTATCGCCTAAGAGATGCGCCCGACAACCACCCGGATGTTGCTCATGTCCTCCGTTGCATGTACCTCATACCGCGTGACATCAAAGCCGGTAAGCGGACGCTCCACTATCTAGGTGTGCTTGCTTCTGCACCCCACGGGTTTCCTGAACTCTTTTCTTTTCTTCTCTTTCATCTCGCATAGATCAAAAATATCGTTGGACAAGGCAGTCAAAGCTTGCAGTCAACGCAGACATCTCTGTAGATCCCCACAATGACAAGCTCCATTGGCGATGTCCAACTGCCGAGAATGGTATACAAGAACCTTGGAAGCTCGGGTCTGAGGGTATCCCAAGTCATAGTAGGAGCCATGAGCTATGGCTCGCCGGACTGGCAGGCAAGTGGCAACATAGCTTTTATGCCCGTGGAAATTGTTGTAGACATTGCTAATACTTCTAGCCTCTGCTCACAGGCCTGGGTTCTCGATGAAGAAGCGTGAGTTATGTCCATGTTACTCTGTTGAAATTGGCTGATCTTCAAAACGGTTCACTGCCGTTACTCAAGCATGCGTATGATTGTGGCATCAACACATGGGATACTGCTGACGTGTGAGTTCCAATCGGCGTCAAAATGAAGGACMTTTATAGCTGATATTCGAGGACTGTAGCTACTCAAATGGCCAGTCAGAAAGAATCATTGGCAAGGCAATTGAAAAATATAGCATTCCTCGCTCGAGCCTTGTCATCTTATCGAAATGCTACTTTGGAGTTTCGGAAGACGGAGCGCAACAAAGTATCGCAGCCGCAAGTTTGAACGACGGGATCGCAGTCAACCAAGTCGGATTATCTCGCAAACACATATTTGATGCGGTAGAAGCCAGTACAAAGCGTCTGGGTACATACATCGATGTTCTTCAAATCCACCGCTTGGATCGAAGTGTGCCGAAGAAGGAGATCATGCGTGCGTTGAATGATGTTGTTGAGAAGGGTTGGGTGAGATATATCGGAGCCTCCTCGATGGTAAGTCCCAGTCAGTCGAAAGTGACAACCATATAGCTGACAACGTTTAAAGGCAACATGGGAATTTCAAGAACTCCAATGGATCGCAAAGACGAATGGCTGGCATGAGTTCATCTCCATGCAAAACTACCACAATCTGCTATACCGGGAAGAAGAGCGAGAGATGATCCCTTACTGCAAGTCGACTGGCATTGGCCTCATCCCCTGGTCACCAGTCTCTCGCGGTGTCTTGTGTCGACCATGGGACGAGCGGACCACTAAACGGGAATCTTCAGACAACTTCMTCCAGCGTTCCATCAGATCCCGCGAGTCGGAGGCCGACAAGGCTATCGTCGGCAGAGTAGAAGAGATTGCAAAGAAATATGGTGTGAGTATGACCTGTGTTGCCACGGCATGGTCAATACGGAAGGGCTGCTCTCCCATTATCGGCTTGAATAGTAAGGAGAGGATCGAGGAGGCAGTACAGAATGCGAATTTCGTGCTCAGTGAGGAGGACGCGAAATATTTGGAAGAGCCATATCTTCCCAAGACAGTTCAGGGTCATTAAAGTGCGGGAACGCCTTGCAGGGTCGCAAGACGCAGCCACTTATCGGAAAATGCTCCTTGCTGAATATCATCGCATACGACTCATCAACGGTGAGTCGAGCTGCTCTCCAAACCATGATCGCTGGGTCCCAAACAGCTCGCCCGTTCTCCTTGCATAAAGGACACGGGCCTCGCGAAAGATCTGTATTGTAAAGGGACGAAAAATGACAAAGAGATGGCCTACAATGAAAGGGCGAGATGGACTCTTGACCGAGACGAACCTTTGACCGAAACAAGTCCTTGACATTCCATACCCACAGCCCTCAATGCCTGCTAGCCACAAATCAGTCATAGCCTCCATGTGCGCATGATCTCTGAATCCTTAAGCGATAGCTTGCCTTGGCACACCTGCATGCGCCAAAGGCTGAGCAAGCCACCGATCGCCGCACAGCCCGGGCGTCCTCCATGTTGTTATACGCTCTCCATCATACCAAACATGACTTGGAACTCAGCGATCCGAAAGAAACCAAACAACAAGTGGAACGTTGTACACGTTCGTGATAATGCGGGAATATCTCCGCCCTTTRCCACCGGCCTATGTTAGAGGCAGCTATCCTTCCTGGTCCGAGGAGAATTTCCCAATTTATAACCAGGAAGTCTTGACTTCGCATGAAAATGCAGGCTTGCCGCCTTATACTCAAACAGATCCTATGGCGGCAGCAGCTTCGGGAACGATAGACTCAGAGGTCCAGCCAGAGGAAGAAGAGAATGCGACTCGATGGCGTGCGAATGTTGGACCCGATGGGGTTTATTGGATAGCCCAACGAAGAAGAATAGAAGATGAAAGAGAAGTCGAAGAAATCGGCGACGAGCATCGCACAAGTTTCGAGCGGAACGTAGCATCGACGTTGGCACTTCGAGATTTCTGGATACCTCAACGACCATACCGGAGTGAAGAATTCTTACCCGAACGTGATGGTGTCCGAACGAGCTTCGAGCGAAGTGGGCGAACAGTGCCAGAAATTCGGGTCCTACGAGCCGATGAAATGGGCGTGGATAGCTTTGCTAGTAATGTGGAAGCCATACAACCTCGGAGGCGACGAGGTAGGAGACTGTGCTGTGATTGCTCGAAAGTTTGTTGGGCGTTCTGGATGTTTTGGGTTCTTGTCATAGCGGTACCTGCGATCGTGGTAGCGGCGAGAGGTGTTTGAATGTGGGTCTATTGCTGGAGAAGACGCAGAAGCCATGGAGAGGTATGCATACCTATTCTGCATTGGCACCCATATAGGCTTCAGCCTAGTGTTGCGGGTGTTAAGCCTCATACCGTAAGATGGTTGAGCTACCTGAAGCTCGATACCTTTGCAAACCAAATCGATGAAGCTGATCTTGTAGACAGGCGGGCGCGGACAGGATTCGTCACCAAGACTTGGACCACTCTTGCGATGTGACATGATGTCTCACAATGCGTGTTTGCAAGTCGCTCACCAGGTCAGTCGACCTCATCGTTGGCTCTTACAGCGCTATCGGTCGTAGTAGAGTTCCCTAGCGTGGCCGCAGAGGATGTGTCGAAAAGCGCATGATCTGAGTCCTTCAGCTTAGCTTTCGGCTGAGCGCAAGTCATAGCTTCTGCCCACATCATTTATCAAGGCCAAGCGTCCATGTTGCAGAGTGTGCTCTCAAATATCTTCACACGAGGGAAAGAATGACACAGTCAGCTCTCTCGGTGCCACCGCCTATTCACTTCAAAGACGCAGGGAGCCATGATCGTCCGCCTCCAAACTACTCGAGAGACATGGCAAGAAATTTTGTACCAAGTCTAAGATTGGAACGCCCGAGATATGCCAGAGACGGGACCTTGGATGTCGAAGCAACACTCTCTGCCTTGGAGTCTCAATCCGATCTTCATGAAATGGAGGAGATATCTCGTGGACCTCGGATCCGAGAGCGAAAGGATGGCTACAAGTTCAAGCCAGGCCGCTTTCTTGCTTGGTGTTTTGTCGTGATCCTTGCGATCCTTACTGCTTGTGGAATTGGCGGTATCACGTCCTGAGCAGTGAGCTGAAACGAACCAAGGAACATCGATGACGCTCGCATCGCCGCCAGCGCATGGAACTCAGACGCTGGAGGGACGAAAAGTTGTGCCACGAAGCACATCACGAATGGGCGTTGTGGAGAACGCTGCTATCTGGCACGCTGGGAAAGCTACGCACGCTGCATCAATCGCCTTCTATGCCTGATCGCGTGGAAAGCTGGCGACGAGGCCACCCGTTGATGAGCAGGAGGCAGTAGATCCAATATGCAGCAGACCGGTGGACAATTATTCCAACGCGGTCAAATGCAATAGCCTCGTTGTTGATGGTTTCGAATTTCGAGAAGGATGTGGGTTGTTCTGATGGCGAGGTCCGCGGCGAAGATGAACCTTTTTGCTGTATGGCCTGCATGGCGCCTCCAGTCTTGGCATTGCGGCTGAGTGCAGGCCACATGAGCGGAGASATTGCTTCGTTGCCTATAAGTGCGAGTCTTGTTATCGCTGAAATTCTCAGTGTAGATTCAACTTGCGATCAGATCGGTAGAAATGGCAGACAATCCGCTTTCAACCACCGCTGCCTTGCACCAGCGAGTCTCACACTACCGATTCWCCGCCTCCGTGCATTGCCTCAGATGAAGTAGGACCTTCCCGCCATGAGATCCAGTTCGGAGGTGGTCCCATTGGATCAATGTTTTGAAAGAAATGGCGCAGTCCAGACGATAAGATGAGGTTGAGCTGTTATCTTTCGCGACCTTGTTGCTGACGAGGAGAGGAGTGTTCTTGCTCTGTCCGAGTACATGAGAAAGGCATGTTCACGAGCAGAGATCAGATGTCGAAGAGAAGTGCTTGCCACTTGAATAAGCAAGTCTTGAATAAGAGATGGTGCCCACGTCRCACTCGAAAGGCGTAAAGGACATTTTCTGATGTCGATGTAATGGCGAAGAGAGATGCATGCAATTTGAGTGACAAAGACATTATAAACGCCCCCCTGAAATATTGACTAAACATTGACTTTGCCCTTTACGCGCTCGGAAAGTTCAAGGTCGCGTCTTCCTCGCGACATCATCGCTCCATTTTCTCTGGCCCAACACCACCACCGCCATGGACGACCTCTACTCGGTCCCCGACCCCACAGACTGGCTCTCAACATCCTTGCCTACTTTCGCCGGTCTCGAGACGCCTCTTCACTGTCAAATCTGCAAGGAATTCTATGACACACCCATGATCACATCGTGCAATCACACCTTCTGCTCCCGCTGCATTCGAACAAGTTTATCGCAGGATGGAAAGTGCCCAGCATGCAGGACTTCAGACCAAGCGAGCAAACTACGGAACAACTGGGCCCTACAGGAGGTTGTGGCGGCCTTTGTTGCTGCCAGAGGGGAAGCGATGGGAGTGGCGAAACAGATAAAGGAAGGGCCTCGGGTGGGGAAACGAAAGAGAGTGGAAGAGAGCAGCAATAACGATCAAATACGAACTACCAGGAGCAAGAGCAGACGAATCGCAAATACAAGTTCTCAACAGGATGCTATTGAGATCGAGGATAGCGAGGATGAGGAGGAATACAACCCCGAGTCTCCGGAACCACCTAGCGATGGGCTAGTCGAATGTCCGTTGGAATGCGGCAAGCGCATGAAGGAAGCTGAAGTGTTCGCGCATTTGGATAGATGCGATATAGAAAAGCAGGAACGGCAGCGAAAGGCAAAGCCTGCGCAAGCACGTCTGAACGGCTTTGGGATATCTTCCAGCCAGCCTGCAACACGACCTCAAGATCGAATAAATCAACTCAACTACTCGATGCTTACCGACTCGGCAATGGCGAAAAAGCTCAAGGAAGGCGGTATTCCCAGTTGGGGAAACAAGAAACTTATGACCAGTCGACATCGAGAATGGGTCAACATCTGGAATGCCAATTGCGACTCTACTCAACCGAGAGCGAAGCGCGATCTCCTTCATGACTTGGATATTTGGGAAAGGACGCAGGGTGGAAAGGCTCCAACTTCGAACAGTTCACTCATGAGGAAAGACTTTGATGGGGATGCACATTCAAAGCTGCACCACGATGATTTCTCGAGATTGATTGCTGATGCGCGGAGAAAGAAGAACTTGCCAGCACCCGAACCGAAACAGGAGGAGAGGGAGCAGGAAGAGATGGAACACAAAATCCAAGCATCACAATCCGATTTGGATGACAGACTCCTAGATCTTCCGATACGAAAAGATGATGGTGGCAGTCCTTGGACGGATGATCTATCTCCAAGTTCACAACACGAAGCTTCAATCGCTGAAGACAACGATGGAATGCAGCTGCAGGATGCYGGCATTAGTACGGATACTGTGATTTCATCTCAGGAGAAAGCTTTGGCAGACAGTCAACAATACGCGCGACAGAACCACGCCTTGCCCTCAGTGACGGAGCAAGTGCTTGGGAGGTGAAGGAATGGAGGATGTRTGATGGCTTGCATGTACGAAGGCTGTGCTGGCTACAGGATGGGAAACTGAACATCTGAACCTAATGAGTGTATGATTCGTGTTCTCTACCCTCGCACTTTTCGATAGCATCCACATATATGATGAGCGAGACATCTTGCAAGTGTGCTGGTCAAGTTGTGATTATTCTCATCTACCAAGTAACAAAGCGAGCTTTGTAAGACATGTCAAGAAGGAGCTGTGGAAACGACCATGTAGATGAGGATCATTCCTCAAGAGGATAGGCATCATCTAGACATCCACATCCATATCATACAACATCTGCTTCTCATCCACCAAGGGCCGCCGAAATTGAAGATTGCCGCCTCTCCTTGTAGTGAGTCGACGATAACGCTCACGAACAGGTGGTTACAAGCACAAAAAGCAGCAGTGTCACGGAGAGGCAAGAAAGGATCGTCGGATTTCTTGTCTTCTTAATCGAATTTCACCGGCCCTTGATCTGATTCTGATCCACAATTATCGTGTGGAGGACGGAGCTCGGGGCGAGCCGCTTGAGATTTCCGACCATCCAAACCTTGAAAGTGACCCTGGACATTTCTTTGCCCACGCACGAACAACCTACCTTAAGGTATCGTCAGTTGAGGCCGCGATGGACTCACGCGATCATGCTTGGTTTCAAGACTTGATCGGTGGTCTTCGTAATGGGAACCACTCGATCAAGCCAGAAGCCAATGGAATGGAGGTAGATGATGAGAACGCGGACTTTTACGGCGATGGTGAAGCTCAAGCAGGTGTATGCATCTTCGGTTTTGGAATTCCCAACATGTGAATGGACTGACTTTCGACTACAATCTACAGGCAATCAATGCGGATCTTGTAGAACAGAAGGTGCCGGTGCAATCCACTGCGCAGACACCCAACAACAGCAATCCCACCAACCTCACTGCTGCAGGCAAGCCTCCCAAAACCGCCAACGAGCTGCGTCAAGAGCTGCTCAAGGCCAAACTGCTCGCCGCGAAGAATAAGACTCCCGCGCGCTCGCAGCAGCCCGAGTCTCGCTCCCACACGCCGGCCAAGATGGCGCAGACTGTTGAGACGCCTACAAAAGCTCCATCTCGACAAGCAACGCCGGTGCAAACACGTGCTCAACAGCTTCCAATCTCCAACAACCCGCAGAACACACAACAGAACACGATGAACATGAATGTGAACAATGGTGGCAATGATGAGGAAGCTGGTGACATGCTCAATGCTCTCCTCGACCAAGGCAAGGCGCTGGCAGACGCAAAGAGCGCTGCCATGGCAGCCGACGCCGCCGTCAACCCTCCACCAGCACCCTCCAACAAATCTGTCCTGCTAACCAACGGCCACGGTATTAAGGAAGCCGCACCTCAAACCAACCACAACAGCTTCAGAGATCCCGCCGAGAAAGAGATGGCGAGACAAACGAGCAAGGTGGTGCCGGCAGACCGCGAACAAGCACAACCCACGCCACTCAGACTGCGGCCAGTAGCGTCTCAGCACTCCCAGACTAACCTCTCAGATGCATACTACGCCGACCTGCCAGCTTGGCTGGAGATGACGGGCTATCACGACGTCGACTTCCGCAACTCGAAGCTCTCCGCGTACAAGGAGCGGAAGAGTCTGGAGGAGGAGGCGGCCCGGATCGCTGACCGTTTGGAGAAGTTGCGCCAGCTCGAGCAGGAAAATGTTGCCTCTCTCCGCTTTGCCACTCCGAAGCCTGCCGCCACCATGGCTCCACCTCCGCTGCCCACCACAATGGCCACGGACAAACCGACAGGTCAAGTCACWGGCACCAAGCGAGCTCACTCACCCGAGCCTCTCTCGGCGAGCAAGCGCCGTGAAGAAAACGGCTTCCGCATTCGTGGTGCTAACGATTCACCGGACTCACGACCTCTTACCGCCACATCTCGCCGCCAGAGCCTCAGTCCGCCGGGCATCAACCGCCGAATCAGCTACCCAGATGCACGCCGCCGCCCAGATGACGAGCGCCGTAGCCGCGATCCATCCCTCGAACGACGCCAGTCATACTACCGCCAGGAAGATCGGCGCGGACCCAAGCTCGACTACTCCGACCGTGACCCCGACAGCAGACGTGCACCCAAGCCGGACTTCTCCGAACGTGAGCGCGACTACGACAGCTACCAGCCGCGTAATGATGCACCCCGTCTTGGCTTCAGTGCCACTAACTTGGCCCGGCCTGGCGGAGGCGGGCGTCTACCACAATATCGAGGAAGTGCCGGTCTGGATCTCAAACGCGGCGGTCAGTTCCATCCTCGTGATTAAGTTATAAGTGCATTGCATTCGTCTTGTCTTATGGGCCATCCCGTCTTGTTCGGCGAAAGCTAGAAGAAGATCAGTACCAGCAATGGCTGCAAAAGAAAAGAACTTCAATACCGTCTCTTTTCCATATCTCATATCTCTCATTGCTTCGAGTTCTAATGTTCAGTCGTTTCCAGGTATTCGTTACTTCATGATTAAGTCCTGGAACTACGAAAATGTCCTCGCCRCGCAGCGTGACAACCTCTGGGCGACACAAGTCCACAACGAAGCTCTCCTAACCGAGGCCTTCCAAACTTCTCGACATGTCATTCTTCTTTTCTCCGTGAACARATCCATGGCATTTCAAGGCTATGCCCTCATGACCACTGCTCCTGACCCCTCCTTACCGAAACCCGGTTTCGCGGGTAAGCTGAACTGGAAGACTTCACCAGCCTTTCGGTTGAGGTGGTTGAGCACCACACCAGTGCACTTTCGAATGGTGGGTCACTTGAAGAATCGAATGAACCTGGATGAAAGAGGCGATTGTAGGGCTGTGCTCGTGGGTAAGGATGGGCAAGAGATTAGTGACGATGCTGGAATGGGAGTCGTGTGGATCCTTGACGAGGCCGAAGTTGGAGAGAAGGAGAATCCGAAGCTGAAAAGGGTGAGTGGGTGAGTGTGAGATGAAAAAGATAGAAGAGACGATGCCTGAACATACTACGGCCTACACAGCCGGAACCGAATGGAAATCAAGCGAAAGGAGATGGAGAATGCAGTCGTCACTTATAAACATGCCAAGGATGTCATACAATGCTGGACTGCAATCAAAACGAAAGGGAAAGACTGTGGGGCGTTGTGAGAACCAGAAAGAATAGCATATATACTGTGTGTACACATATCTGTAATTCCATCACAGAGTATACCTGAACTGCAACTCAAAATCAGCGTAGTCCTCTCAAAAATGGTCGCGAATGAATCAACAACACAACTCACATTCGGATGTCGACTCCCCAATCGATCCTCACTCTCACCTTCCCGTAATCGATAATCCCTCTTCCCCGTCTCCCGTCTCCGATTCTCAGCAGTATTATACACGAGAAGAATACAAACTGTTACAATAGCGCCGACTACAGTTCCGAGATTTATAGCATGGCCTGTTGTATAGCGTGGTGCACTAGAAGGGGGACGGGATTATGTCAGAGCGTTTGTTGTTGTTGGTGGTGGGTTGAAAGAGAGATTGGGAATGGGATAGCGTACTCATCACGGATGTAAGTAAAAGTCGCAATAAAAGCCGCGCAATTCGCGAGCATGATTTGGAAACCTGTGCCTGTGGCTCGAACGTAGTGGGGTGCGAGATTGTTGGATAGCCAGCCCATTACTAGGGGGCTGCAGGGGAATATTCCTGCTGCGACCTGTGGTGGTGGAGGACTGATTTTAGCTAACTCGTACGGTGGAGAGGATTAATATGGTGGAAGGGGGTAATGGAGACTTACGAAGAATGTTCCGCCGTATTGGACGAGACTTCTAGGGGTGGAGATGAGCATTATGTAGCCGATTAGGGTGAGAGAACAGCCTATTAGCATGAAGATTCCTCGGCGTTTGTAGTGGTCTGATAGCCAGGAGATGAGGAGGACACTTAAGAATCCGGCGATGTTTGGTGGGACCTGTTGATAGTTCTGTCAGCGTGTCTCTCTACACTATCGCCAATTCCAAGGGCATTACGGTTAGAAGCTGTGCAACGACTCTCGAGTAGCCGAAAGTGGAATTGATGGTTGGTAGGAACAGACTAAAGCTGTAAATTGGCGTGATGATGAAGAAGAAGATGATGGATAGTAGAATGGTGTTGACGTCGAAGATGGCGAGTTTGACCCAATGCCAATCGAACTTTTCCTTTTCCACATTGGCGTTGGAAGTGGAGCTTTGACTGTCGGATTTCATGCGTTGATTTGCGGCTTCTTGTTGTTCGGGCGAGAGGAATTTGCTGTCGCTGGGAGTGTTGGGGAGGAAGCAGACTGCTATCAGACCGAATACTACGGTAATTGCTCCCTGGGTTCTGTTAGTGAGTCAAGGGAATCTGGTTCCGGGAAGATTGGATACCTCGACGAAGAAGATGAAGGGCCATCCATTATATCCCTCCGTTTTGATTCGTGCGAGACCGGTTGCTAGAAGACCACCAAAGGCTCCGGAAAGTGGTGCGGCGCTGTAGAACAAGCCGATGCGCCAAAGCATAGCGTGTCTTGGATAGAACCTACAATTCATTCAGCATCCCCTCATATAAGCCTCAAAGATCAACTCACATCGATAGATATAGAATCATCCCACCCAATAACCCACCTTCAAACAATCCAAGGAAGAATCTCGCCTACACCAAGTATCATGATCAGCCCAGCCAATCTCCCATCATCCATCCTCATCCCAAAAAGCAATAAGGTATACTCACAGCCAACAACCCCTCAAAACTCCCCACAAACCCCATGAAAGTAGCCGTCAATCCCCACCCAACCAAAAGCGCAGGTAAATACTGTCCAGCCTTGAAATATTTCAAAACCAAATTACTCGGCACATCCACACAAATATACGGCACATAAAAAATCGCCAACGAGATATTAAATTTATTCCCATCGAGTCGGAGATCTTCCACCAAACCATCAATCTTTGCATTCCCGATATTCGCGCGATCGATGAAAGCGAGGAGCCACATGCCGAATAACCAGGGGAGGATGTGGCGGTCGAATTTTCGGTTTAGGAGGGTGTTCATTGCTTCATCTATGGGAAGAGGAGCAGTATCGTTGAATTTCTCCCCGCCGGGCGAGAGGTCTTGGAATTCGTGTTGTTCTGGATGTTGTGCAGAGCCATCGTTGGCTTGGAGGGATTCTTTCTTATCTTCCATTTTCACAAACTCACAATTCAATACGAGTCAAAAAAAAAAGCCAGAAGAGATAGAAGAGAGAAAGAAGAAGAAGAAGAAGAGTAAAGCTCTCAAAAGAGAGAAAAAGAAGATACCACCCACATCCGCTTTCGCTCTTACCTACAAACCACCGACATTGAGCCCCCCACCCCCCGGACCAAAGAGCGGCGCCTAAATAAAAGCTCCCAAACCATCCATCATCATATGGGAAGAAGACATTACATTTCAGCCGTTTCGGCATCGTGGCACAACCGCACGTGTCCCCGCAAAAAACGAATAAACAATCGCGGAACGTGGGAGAACCACCTAGTGCTCCAATGTGGATAAAGATGAGGGGGATAAGGTACCTATCACGATTACCTCATTCGTTGGTGCCGCGTTGGTCGTCCTTCAACGACAAGACGGCTGTTAAGAATTCTCGCCCATGCAGTTCCTTGGTCCCTAGGTCTTTCAATACTCTCGCTACGATGCAACGACTGAAGTAATCATGTCGTAGACACAATTGTAAAGTTTCGACAGGGGAGTATCACTTATTGTTGACGTGAAGTCTTCCCTCTCCACAGCATCAAGCAACACCAAGCCGCCGGTCTCAGCTCACCTCATGGCAAAATCTGGGCAAAGTTCGTCCCACAAAAGTGCAGGGATCCCCACAGTGTGACAGCCCCGCCACGCACACGCACGCGACATGCAAGACTCAGTCTCCACGCGAGTAGCCAAAGCTTCGCTTCGCATGGCATGGCATTATTGATTCAGACGAAGACGGCGAAACAGAGTCATTGAAAAGTCATATCCTCGTACATGCAACTAAACCTAAAATCTAGTAGCAGTAATCATACACAACATTCAGCTCAATCTCTCCTTCTCTCATCTCCTCTTTGATGATGCGCTTTTGTAAGCTGCTCCGTAACAAGACACCCCGTCTAAGCGAATAGCAAGGATGTCCATTTCGGGGTAAACTTGTTCCGAGGGAAATCACAAAGAGTCGTCGCGTGCGCGGCGGTAGTAGCAGTAATAGTACAATCGGTAGCATTTTGAAAAGGGTATCGGGTATCGCAGTAAGAGAGAAGACGTTCCCACGCCGGCCGCTTCGTGGGTTTGAGAAAGAGTCCATTCAAGGACCAGGCTCGCCAGAAAGGATTYCTAAATTACTGTGCCATTACAGGCTGCAGCACGTTCACCTTCCGACGAGACCAAGGCTGACTGTTGGCTTTCTAGGCCTCGGGGTCCTTGACCTCCTCCGCAGTGGGGTTGAGGTTCTCGGCACCGTTGGTCTGAGCAGCGCCCTCCTCGCCAGATGGGCCGTTGTGGTTCTTGAGGTACTCGTCGTAGACAGTGAGTGCCTCGTCAACCTTCTCCCGAAGAGCCTGGTCGTTGCCGGTGCTGTGATGTTGTTAGTGATTGTGTTTGGAATGCAGAGTATATGACACTTACAGGTTGAGGAGCTCCTCGTTGTCCATCTCCAGAAGCATACCGGTGATCTTGCCGGCCAGCTCGGGCTGCTGTGCGTGAATCTTCGGGTAGAGAGCCTCACCCAACATCTGCTTCTGCTGAGGAGCAGAGGCCTGGTTGAGCGCGTTCATGTCGATGCCAGCACCAATTTGGCCTGGGCCACGGTTGGGAGCACGGCCACGCGCCTGCTCAGGGCCAGTACCCATCATACCGCCACGCGGACCACCGAAGCCGCCACGGCCTGCACCTCCTGGACCACCCATCATCGGTGGCTGCATTCCGGGCATACCGGGCATTCCCGGCATCATTGGCATTGGGCCACCACGACCCTGGCCACCACGCGCGGCCTGAGCCTGTGCAGCCTGCATCATCTGAGCGTATGCGGCGGGGTTCTGGAATTGTGGAGGCATGCCGCCCATCTGAGGTGGGTAGCCGTATGGCATCTGGGGCATACCGGGCATTGGGCCGCCGCGGCCGCCCTGAGGCATGCCTGGGAAGCCTCCGCGCTGGCCGGGACCGCCAGGAGCTTGCATGAATGGCATCTGACCACGTCCACCAGGTTGCATCATCATGGGCTGACCGTTAGGACCCATGAACATCTGTGGCTGCATGAACTGTGGTGGGACGACACCGGCAGCACCCTGCTGCTGCATGCGGACCTGGTTACGGGCCTGGATGCTCGCCTCGAGCTGACTCTTGCGGACCTCCTTACGCTGCGCGAGAGCAACGTAAAGCGGCTTGTTGTGAATCATCTTCTGGTTGAGCTCGGTGACGGCCTTGGTAGCCTCATCTGGGTTGGAGAAGCAGACAAAGCCGAAGCCCTTGCTCTTGCCGAGAAGCTTCTTCTCGCCTGCAATGGTAACGGTGTCCATCTTCTTGGAGAGGTCCTCGACATCGTCGTCCTTCTTCTCACCCTCCTTGACGTCCTCCTCCTTCTTCTCACCATCCTTCTCCTCAGACTCGCCCTCCTTCTTCTCCTCGCCATCCTCCTTCTTCTCCTCTGTCCCATCCGCAGGGAGAGTGTCGCGCATGACCTTGGCGGAAGTGATGGCACCATATGGCTCGAAGATCTTGCGAAGCTCCTCATCGTCAATATCATCGGCCAAGTTCTTGACGTAGAGGTTGACACCCATGTACTTGGCGCTCTTCTCCTGGCGCTGGGCCTCGTACTGACGGCGGAGCTCCTCCTCACGCTCGTGCTTCTTCTGCGCACGGCCAACATACAACTTCTGTCCCTTGAAGTCGGAATCGTTCAGCTCCTCAACCGCCTTGTAAGCGTCCTCGTGGCGGATGTAGTTGACAAAGCCGAATCCACGAGTCTTGCCGCTCTCATTGTCATGCGCGAGGGAGGCAGAGGTGATATCTCCGTACTTCTCGAACATCTCACGGAACTCCTCGTCGGTGGTCTCGCTGTCAATGTTCTTCACGTAGATGTTGGTGAAGTTTGCCTTCATTTCCTCAAACTTGCTCATGCGGTCTTTCTTGGGAATGTGGTGACCGACAAACACCTTCTTCTCGTTGAGAAGCATGCCGTTGACGCTCTTGATGGCCTGATTGGCGGCCTCTGCGGTCTCGTAGTGCACGAAGCCGTATCCCTTGGAATTGGCGTGCTCGTCCTGGGCGACCTTGCAGGAGAGAATGTTGCCGAACGCGGCAAAGGTGTCGTGGAGCGCCTTGTTGTCAATGGCAGCGTCCAAGTTCTTGATGAAGACGTTGCCCTGACCGGTCTTGCGCAGAAGTGGGTCGCGCTGCGACCACATAATGCGGCATGGCTTGCCCTTGATGAGGGTGTAGTTCAGCTCCTCGAGCGCACGCTCACCATCACCGGCGACGTTGTAGTTGACGTATGCGTAGCCGAGCGAGCGACGAGTGACGGCATCACGGCAGACACGGATGGATGCGACCTGACCGATGGAGGAGAAGAGCTCGAAGAGCATGGCTTCGGTGACGGAAGGATCGAGCTCACCGACGTACAGCGAGGCGGAGTTTGGGTTCGCGGTGGATGGGACGGCCGAGTTGGGAGTCTGCTCGTCGCCGCCGGCAGGCACACTGGTGTTGATCGCGTTGGCGGCAGGCGCATCGGTGGTGGCCGGAGCCGCGGTGGGCGAGGTTGCGTTCTGGGTGTCAGACATGATTGCGGTCGCAAGTGTCGTTTGTGGTGTGTAGAATGGTCTGCGGGAGTGTCAGCGCGGCCGCCAGGATGTGTGCGTTATATGGCGTGGAGTGATGCTGTTTGCCGGAGCGGCCAGGCAAGGTGGAAGGATCTGGAGACCCGCCGTTCTTGTTCGCTGTCTCGGATCGGGGACAAAGAAAACAACAAGAGGACAAACGTACGCCTTGGCTGGAGTCTGCACGAAGATTGAATGGGATGATCGAGCGAGCTGGGAGATGCTGTCAGCGGCCGGCACTGCGAGGTATGCCGATGACACTCGCACTCACAGTTTCGTTCTGGTCGAGGAAGACTGCTTCTTTGCGCGCACAGCAATCAGGAGCCGACTGTTATCCAGCCGGGACGGGTTTTCTGGGTTTTACTCGTTTTTTTGGTCTTGATGTCCGAATGCGTGAGCAGAAGCCGAGCTTGAGTCACACGGAGGGAGTAAGATGGATGGATGAGTTGAGGTGAAGAACGAAGAAGATCCTTCTTGCCTGGAAGCGAAGATGCGATTTTTCTCTTGGCGCGTCAGTTCTGAGAAGGTTTCGGCCGGCGGCAACTGCCTAGCGTGGCTTCTTGAACGGCAGCCCCTGCGCAAGCGGAGCAGTGACGATGATTCTGAGCGTGTGATCGCTGTGACCGAAGAAGTGATGTGTATGAGCTGTAGACGGCAACAATGTGTGTTCGTGCCAAGATTTCGTGACCTGCTCGCTCCAACCTGGCTCTCACTTTGTAGCTTGCCGTCAGCTTACGGTCAGCAGACCTCAGCGGGATCGATGACAATGGCTTGGGTCCATCTCCTGAATCATGGGAATGGTGGGGGATGACTATAGCACAACAGCATTGGACCAGGAGACTATTCCTCCGAGGCATCGTCTACCTAACTACACACCATGGCCGACAAACTCTTGGCCTCTCCCCTCTCGCCGACAAGCGGACTTGATACGTCAGCAATATCGAAAGATCATACAACAGAGGCGTCATGTGCCGCCTTGGACTTCTGTGGAGCCTTTCTCACATGTGCGACTTCCTCAATCATAGTGATGGATGACAAGACATTGTCCGACTCCAGCCTCAGCAGCATCAGAGCGAGGATCAAAAACCGGATAGAAGAGTCGCATATTCATTCCATACAGTTTTGTTCTGTTGTCCATGTACAACTTTTCGCCAACCCATCCCTGCAATCCTTAGCTCCACTATCCACAAGAGGGTATCATTAAGTATCATTCGTGCGTCGTTGCATGAATCTGCATCGAGCCCCAGTCTCCAAAGTTAGGTTCCTCTCAACTCGAATCCCCACTAACACACAACAACCTCCTCAGCCTCCCAGCCTTCTTCCCAGTCTTCTTCTCCTTCCCAGTCTTTTTGTCCCCCTTTCCCTCCCGTTTACTCCCCACGCTGGTAACACTCTCTCCTCTCGTCTCATCATCCTTCTCCCAAGAACTTCGTTGGCTCATGATGCCGGTAGCAAGAGGGCTTGGCTTAGGCAACTCCCCATCCTTCCTACTCCTAGATTCCGATACCCTCGACAGATCCTCTCGACTGCCCTCTTGCACTGTCTCCGCTTTAGCTCCGAGAAGTTCAGGGCGCCATTGTTGGTTATTCTTCCTGCGATTGCTAGCCGCGCGATGTACGAGGACTGTACTTGAAGAGTCCGCTCTCGCTCTGCCATTAATCTTGTTGGTAATGGAACTAGATCTGCTTGGAGAATTGTGCGCATCATCTTCTGGATTGGAAGCGAGAGAGTTCCGTTTACTTCTGCTGTTCAGCAAGCTCGTACGTCGAACGATGCCAGAGGATATGCTCTTGATGCTTCCTCTCTTCTCAAGGGGCTGATGATGAAGGTGGAAGTTCGGGCTCAACGCCGGAGAACCTGGAGGACTTGTCATGGGACTTCCCATGGCAGATTTCGAAGGTGAGGAGGGGAAAGGTTTGTGAGTGCAGTCTTCGGTAGAGTACTTGAAACTTGGAGACCAGTTCTCTTTGAATGTGACAAAGATACTTGTGATTGTGATAAGTTCCCTTAGATGAGGGTCTGTATCGCAGGTCTGTTTGATATCGCCAAGCTCGTCGTCCATGACGTCCTGAAGAAATGTGGTCGAGGCTTTGGGTGTTCCCAACGGAGTGGGAGGCGATGGATCTGGGAGCCTGTAGGTGTCGTTAATGTCYAATGCTGTTTTGGAGAGTGCGGCTATGACAGGGTGGCGGCGGGTATTGGGTGAGATTGTGCCTGTCGATGTTAGTCGAGAGGTCTGTAATGATCAATCGAGACAGACCTACTGAAGTTGAATCGTCTCAGTCCATCCTTGCCCACGGTACTGCCATCCTTGTTCCGTTTCGGCACCCATCTGACCGTCAGAGCAAGACCATTCTTGTCCACCGAGTTGAACTCATATCCACCATTGCTGATGGGGTATGCATCCCACGTCTTGCCGTCCGCCATGATAATCTTAGCTCCACCTCCACCGACTTTCTCATCATCTTTGCGACCACCCTTGCAGATCAACCCAATGACGTCCCGCAATTCATCCTCCTCGTCGCTTTGCATGCTATACTTTTCGGCCTTGAGGACCACCAAATCGTGAGGGTGTAGTCCGTGCTTCGTCATGAAGACGCGTGTGACAGCCGCATTGAGTGAGAGGGAGAAGTTGGTGCTGGGCACGACTTCAAATGCCGGCATTGGTCGGGCTGAGTCCCTCAATCGATGAAGCTGGAGGAGAGATCTCGGCCTTCGATGGAGTCGTTGTCGGGTGCGCGATTCGGGAGGCGCATGGCACACGGAGAAATGGGTCTTTGGTCTCCCTCTGCTTAATCGTTTCCCGTCAATGCTACCTTCGCGGGATCCTGCACTGAGACTATTCGTGGTTTCCGGTTCGGCGAAGAAGCTACTCCGGCTCGTGCGACTCGGGGAGGGAGAAGCATCACTTTCGCCAAATGAAAAGGTGGAATGCAGCGGAGGTCGACTCTCTACTGGCTGGTCGCCTTTTGGGATTCCATTGACTCGGACAGCGACATTGTCTTTTTGGTCATCGCTGTTCTTGCTGCTGTTGTCGGGTTCCGCCATTCCAAAGGGATTCATCAGCATGGCCGGCAGGCTGGGGATCCATCGTGTAATGGACATGGGCTGCTGTTGCGTTGCCGTGGCCGCCATGGTGCATGCTGGCTGTGTGACACGGTGGTGTTGTTGCGGGCGGAGGGAGAAGACGGTGAGGCAAGTCGGTGAGATGTGATCCTGCGAGCTGAAAAGCGCCAGTCAACACACGCCATGATGCAGAAGCAAACAGCCCCTCGAAGGAAGGTGGTGCTCCTAAATTGGGCATATAACTGGTCATACCTCGACTGGCACCAATCCCCCAGGCCCTAGTCGGCGATCCCACGTTTGGAGACGTGGCTAGGGTCAAAGGAGGGAACACGCGTTGGCGAAACACAAACGGCGAGCCAAGAGGATCATTTATTATTCATTCTTGAGATATAGGAGCGGGCCAAGGGTGGTGAGATATGATGCAGCAGACTAGTAGGCAATGAATGGGTGCTCGCAAGCAGGTGTGAGATGTGCAACGCGCAACGGATCAGGCCATTTTCCTTTGTCTCTTCTGCATGTCTCACCAAGGCACCAAAAGGCCTCTGGCATTATTCCATCRCATGCAGGAGGCCCGCCGGGAGTCGGGCTTGCCCCTCTGCCGGAGCCGCGAACGCTAGCTGAGGTTGGGTTAGGCACACTCTGCTCTTACCTTGCAGTGTTCTAGCGTTTGTTCAACCCTTTGACCTCAAGATCCGAAATCCCGGATGCCTGATTTTGCTGGTCACCGGCCACTTGCATCATTCTGATTCATCATTACGGACGTATCTCCGCCGTCAAGTTTCGCCTTTCGACAGTCATCCATATCATCCTGGCCGGGTCATTCTGTGGTTCGCAGGGCGGAAGGCTGAAACACCACGCGGCGTTCTCCAAGCTCAGGGGAGAAGCAATTATTAGGTACCTGCCCAGTATCGCTGGCACCTGCAGCTGCTTCGCATTTGGCATTGCATAATTCCTTTTCCGACCAATCCGAATACGCTCGCCGACACGAATGCGAGCAAGCGAACGAGGGCCGTCGAATCCGAAGCTGTCCGCGGATTCCGCTCGGAGTAACTCAACTCCAGCTCATCGACATCTGCACGGTCATCACAAGTACAGTAGCCGCAGATGATCTGACCGGTTGCTCACAAGGCACTCCTCGCCCGTTGTGACCGCTGCATCCCGCGGACGGCGGATATCGATCAAAGATTTCCTCATCTTCGGCGTCCAGCCATCCCGGAGCTCTCAAATTTGACCTCTCCAGAATTAACCAAACGGCTATCCACAAGATAGGAAAAGCCTCATCGGCGTGCGCTGCGTGTTGGGAATCGCCGACTTGCAGAAAAGATCCTTCGCACCCCAAAAATGGACCATACTAGCGCCATCTCCGGTCGGACTTCAGCCAAGGCATCATCAAAAAAAGATGAGAGTGCCGCGTTCCGATCATCGAATACGCATGTGAGGAAGCTGATCACATTCTTCCTTGCATGGAAGTCGGTCCTCTTACTCGTAGCCCTAGCCAGCCCAGGACCGGGGTACGATACTTCCACTCAGCTGTTCTTGCAACGCAGCGGATCCATTCGCTCGCCTTCGTCATTCACGTCTTCGATTGAACATCTCGCCTCGAAACTGACGCGATGGGACGCGATTTACTTCGTCAGCTCTTCCTCGCAAGGCCAAATCTTTGAGCAAGAATGGGCGTTTAGTGGAGTATTCGCCCAATTGACTGCTGCTTTGACCACAGGTGTGTCTTTCACAATGTCTCCAGTAGGAGGAAGGTAGCTAAGTATCCTTCTCAGTCTTTCCTTCCAATGTCTGCACTTCTGCGATTGCATGCCACGCTCTATCCGGCATCATTATCTCTCACATCTCCCACTTGTTGGCTGTCCTCTGTCTTTACAAGCTCACTTTCGAGATTCTCTCCATCAGGAATGGAGAAATAGCTTTCACAGCGGCATTTCTGCACATCATCTCGCCCGCTGGACTTTTCTTGTCGGCGCCATATGGGGAGAGTACTTTTGCAGCAGCGCATTTCGCTGGACAGCTCTGCTATGTTCTCGCCAGGAAGAACGTCACTGCGACTCCCGCCGGAGCTTTCCTCCTTCTCCTTCTCAGCGGCGTCTTGATCGGCTTCGCCACCACGATCCGCAGTAATGGTCTCTTGACTGGCAGTATCTTCTTCTGGGATGCCATCTCATTCATCCCTCAACTGCGCGACATTATAACTCGCCGGAACTTCCGGGCGCTCACCTTTTACGCGGGAATTGTCGCTGCCGGAATTTTGATCGGAGCAGGCTACATCATCCCTCAAGCACTCGCCTATCAAGAATTCTGCACAGCAGACAACATACGACCTTGGTGCGAGAAGGGATTGCCGAGTATCTATACCTTCGTGCAGGAACGCTACTGGAATGTGGGATTTCTTCGCTACTGGACGGTATCGAACATTCCGCTGTTTCTGCTTGCGACACCTATGCTTCTTATGTTGGGGCTTACAGCACTTGATGCGCTACGAGACTGGATGGTAGAAGGAGAGAAGGAGAGGGAGTTTGAGAGGGGTATGTTAGGAAGACTAGCCTTGCCGCAGATCATTCTGACGGGTCTCGCAATTACCAGCTTCCACACGCAGATTGTGAATCGAGTGTCGAGCGGGTATGCAGGGTGGTATATTGCTGTGGCTCTTGCGCTGCATGAAGAAGGCAATGCTATGCTGAAAGGAAAAGGTCAATGGATTGTCAGAGCCATGGTGGTCTACGCTGTGGTTCAGGGAGGATTGTATGCGAGTTTCATGCCGCCCGCATGATATGCGTTGGACGATGGCTGTTAGTCGACATCGACATCACTATCGGCATCCGGCAGCAGAACAACGGATATGATGGCGGTCAGAACCTGAGATTGTGTTTTGGCGCGGACTTTTGTAATCCCGTACGTGGGCAAAGAAATATTTCTGGTACCTGAGRCATAACTCGGGTCCGGCTGGATGCTGATGCCGGATATTTATCATCATGTACAGTACGATCTACTTGCTTGATCAGAGAAGCTTAGGGAGCTTCTTCGTCGTATTTCGATCGATTTGCGAGCGTGTCGTATTCTGAAGCAGTGGATCCATGCAGAGCGTGGGACCCAGGACAGTGTTAACATGTACACGGGACTCTACGGAGACTTCTCTTCCTGGGTGGTCATGCTACATTGTCTCTTTGCATTAGAAATCATGTTCACTAATCAAAGATCTGCTTAAGCTGCGGTTTTTGCGAGAATTAATTTCGCTGCTGATGCTTCAAAGCTAGGGTTCTCGAGAGGACTCTGTAGAGTCAAGTGACCGTGCAAAGAGATATTGTACATCTGCTCTGTACTCGCAGGCTTATCGATTGATCGGCGATGTTTGGTTTACGAGCGCGGTGCTCTTGTGGAATATGGGATTTTAAGGAACACGGGCTTTGTGGAACGCAACCGCATACTGCACGGGGTGGAGAGGGTGGTGGACGATCAACCTCTACTTAATTGCTCTTTAGGGGGTCGTCCTTTGTGGGGCGTGAAGCGAAAAATCTCAAACATGTGCAGAGTCTTACAGCCCTKTCTGGACTCAGCTCTTTCACGGACTGGCATGACCTCTTTGACTTGTATGCACCGCATTCGGGCCGGAGAGCATACGCATCATGGTCCTAGTTGGAGAAGAGACCTCTCGCTTTGCAACTTGATAGACTTCACAGTCAAGTTGGTGGTTTGTCACTACTCACGGGCATTTAAGATAGTGAACATGCAGAAGCATAGCATAGCACTCCATGTACAAGTGTCAACAACAAGCCGTGTGTGGTGAAAATACATGCCTTGCCGACATCAGCATCGCCACTCCCGCCTGCGTGATGACCACGCGTTCGTATGAATGCTCAACGTACCTAGTTATTACTCACTCAACAGCAGAGCTGCAATCAATGAATCCCGCCACCTTACTCTCAGGTATCCCCAGAACACTGAGCTTATACATAGCAGCTTTGAAAGCTTCACCCCACACCTCGAAATCATTCCCAAACTCCGTGAAAGCTCTCCCCGAAGCCGTGCCCAGCTTTGCGAGATTCTTATCCGAGTCAAAACTATACACACCCTCGGTTGTACCATTTTGTGTTTGCTTGTAGTAGTTCGCATCCCAGGTAGTCGGTGTAGTATCCTGAGCGCCTATGAATCACGGTGAGAAGGTTTTGAGAAGAAATTTCTCGAATACATGTCCGCTTACCTCCTGACGGAATGCCATCCTGTTCTTCAGCGAACGCTTTAGAAACGGAATGTGCGCCTAGCAGAGCTGCTAGTTCTCGCGCGTCGAACCCCTTCGCGGCCCAGAGATCAAGGAGTACTGAGGCGCTTGAGTTGGCGCCAAAGGCTTCGGGTAGCATGTCCAGCGGACAAGCAGTGGCATCGTCTATGCGTCCGACGACCTACGAATCATGTTAGAGAAGTTGCAAACCGAATAAGGTCGATCTCACACACGGCCTTGTACACCGGGCCTCCTGGACAACTTTTCGTCCCAATGACGCCAGCGAACTGGACAAAGTCCGCAGCTCCCACGTTGCGGTTCTTGTAAGTTTTGTATTTGGGTAGCAAGAAATCATTCCGGAAGTCTTGCATTGGATCATTAATGGTACGAGCAATTTCTGAATCGCTCAAGAGAAGCGAGCCATCCGCACCACCTGTGGCGGGTCCATATGGTTTCGTGAGGGAACTATAGCCCGCTCCATCGTGGAAGGCGAATCGAATGGCTGATCTTGCGTCGTTGTTGCAATCTGCGAACGAGTTTTGGAGGTCTGATGCGATTTCCTTCCAAATTGCTGGACAGACGGCTTTTGGTTGGATTGGGCCTTCTGTGGGGTTGGAAGCGTAGCCTTGAGGCCCAGCGTCTGGAAGGACTAGGCTGAGGGCAGGCGAGAATGTTGCGAGGAGGATAATGAAATGCATCGGAAACATGTTGAAGGAATGTAAAACGAGGTTGGGTATTGTTGAGCTCCAGGAGATAGGTCATATGTCAACCGAACGAAACTTAACTGCTGTCTGTCGTGCTGCCGCAGCACAAGTCAATAGCTGCGGGCCCTAGTTGACGCCGATTTCTAGCACACTCTTACAAGGCGTGCCACCAAATGTACCGCCTCTGTGGTCGGAGGAATTTGTGGTCGTTTCTTTCGTTTGCACACGCCAGTCCCGAGGATGCGCTGCCATCGTCGGCGTGCGATACTGCACACGGGATGATTCAACAGTATGTAATCCTTGGACTGGCTGCATGCAAGGTTCTATGGGTGGTCAGCTTTGACACGATGCTGTGCGCGTGTCATTTCCAGACGTTGAGAAAGTACAGCATGCAACCATAGCCGAATACCCTCTCTTCAATGCTGAACCTTCTGCACTCTCCGCCCAATGCCGACGTTTGAGGCCAAAAATTACCTCTYCGAACAATGACAGATGAAGTCGATTTCGGGACGGCTTTGCGAGTCAAATTAGCGAAGAGACATTCCGCCGCGGTAGGATGCTGTATAGCTACTTGAACCCCAGAATGTCTGCCCGCCACTGCATCTGCACAAGAACTCACAGGATATGACACAGCAGAGCGTAATAAGAAGATGGGAGTCTGTATCACCACATCAGGGAAGCAACCAAGCATGACCAGGTTGACCGGACGCCTTCGTGGTCATCTTGCATGTATAGAGCCCGGGTAAGCTTTCCGAGGTCTATTGCTGCGATCACCTACAATGTTTGAGATGATACGAAAATCTGGCAGGCTCTGCGGTGAAGGGGGTTTGCTTCTGACAATGATTCCTGCCAACGGATGAGAAGGGTGGGAGGAAGAGGAACAGCAGAGGCAGCAAATGCATTTCTCTTTATACCTGTAAATACCGCGAAACGTTCTGAAATCTTCCGCAAGAGACTCGCGTGGGATTCGCTCATCCATTGAGTTCACCACGCTGCAGATCACTCGCCAAGAGCCATTTCCACCGCCTTCGTGACGAGGATGTGGATTGCAAACCTCCCAGCACGACCGATCTGCCACCGCGACAGGGGAAGCTGTTGCAAATATGGCTGAAGCCACCACGGCCTCCCAACAGCTACGCGCGAAAGGCAACGAAGCCTATCTCGCTGGTCGAGTTCCAGACGGTGCCAATGCATATCCCGTCGCCACATGAAGATATTCGCTAACATGATCAGCTATATCACTGTATGAGAAAGCCGCTGAGGCTGCGCCAGATGATCCAGCGCCATTGTCGAATCTTTCTGCAGCATTCTTCGAGCTCGGAGACTATAATGCTTCAGTCAAGGCATCGGACCATGCAATGGCTTTCAGTGAAGACGAGAGCAAGCGGCAGAAGCTATATTTACGAAAAGCCAAGTCCCTCCTTTATCTTCTCGACTACGATGCCGCCGCTGTGACAGTTGAGAATCTCGAGGAGGGCGTCGAGAAGACGAAGCTCAATGCCGTAATACTGAACACACTCCAGAGCCGCTCGAAGGCTGAGGCCGAAGAATCTTTGACAATTCCCAGACGGCTGATCACAGACCTGCCTAGGTACAAGGAGATGATACGTAACGTTCAGCAGTACTTTACAGTAGGTCACGATATCCCAGAGTCTCTGTACGATGGGGACTTGCTCGATACCGGAAGAGAAAAGATATCACTGCTCTTCGCGGGCATTGGTGATGGGCGACATCTTTACCATACCATTCTATCTGCTGGATTCGATAAGAAGGCGAGCGAAAAATGCTTCCACTTGACGATTGTCGACCACAAAGCCGGTGTCATCGCTCGAGATTTCCTGGTCTTGCTTATGATCAACGACTTCTCAAAAGTCCTGGATGATGACGAGAAAAAGGCGACGAGCTTGATCTTCCCGCTCTTCTATTACACATACCTTTCGCCTATAATGCCTCCTTTGCTTCACGATGTTCTACAGGCGAAGATTGGTGATGCCATTGCCATACTTCACCAACCAGAGCTCATGCCTGCTTTCTTGGATATTCCCATCGCATATCACGATGAGGCCCTTCGTATGTTGATGGAATGGCAAGAGGAGGCGGGGACAGAGTACCCGACCAAGCCTGTGAGAGAGGAAGTCGTCCGGCAGAGGAAGCAAGGGAAACAGTCCCAGTTAGGCATGCTGATGAAGTATGGTAAGGGTATAGAGGATATCAGGCCACCACCTGTCAGCTGCGAAAAGGAGCAAGCTTTCTACGAAGAGTTCGGAATTTTGACCATGAATTGGGCTAGTCATCAACTGTTCTACGAAGAGGAACTCCAGCAAGCGTTTGATGACTTCGATATGGATGACCCCGAAGCACTCAATGCCGACTTCCTGGATAAAGTCGATGACTGCTGGAAGACCAATCCCACTTTTGTAGATCTGGAGTGGCAGCGGAATCGTGAAGATTCACACATGTACTTGGTTGTTAATCACGATCCTTTCGAAACTGGTCACGACCTGCTGCAAGCGGGTGCCAAAGCTCCAGAGAAACAAGGACTGTTGAATATCGTTTCCTTCTGGTTCAACGGCATCTGTCATGGTTTCTCCCGGATGAGAGGCCGATGCAAAGTTGAGGCATGCATTGGCGACATTGCAACAGTCCTGGAGCAAATCACGTCTGGCACAGTTGGTCATCGAGCAGCCTCAGACGGATCGGACACTGTGACGGATAAGTTGCAGGCTGATGACATTCTTCACAAGGAGCTGGTTGTCTATCCAGCAGCATACGATCGCATCCATTTGTCGAACATTCCAGACTACATTGGTGGCTCACTTCCAGTGTACTTGCATGCCATTCCCGCGTTGTATCCAGGCGAAACCTCCTACGTTACTTCAACCTGCCTACGTAACCCTCCTCGCTGGAACTCGCATAGAGATTTCGACCATGAGTACGTTGCACTCAGCGAGCCTACAGAGCTGGAGTCGATCTTTCACGTCCGTGTGGAACAAGCCCAGGACCTAGGTGACTACCCGATACTGGCCCAATACGTGCGATGGTACCATCATCCGGTCCCAGCTTCGTTCTCGAACTTGCTCCCCCGTGCTCGCTTAGAAACTTGGTTGTATCGACTCTTCTTCAAGACGATGATTCCGATCGCGAGACCTATGCGTGACTCTGCATTGATCTACTCCCCACTGAACCTTACGGTCTTCCTACGACTGTGTAGTCATCTGCATACGGCCGGCTATCCAGCGCACTGGATGAGCGGCGTCCTCGAAGCACTTATCTCTGGTAGTGTGAGAACTACAGCTCGTCCGCCAAGATCGGATCCCCTAGCCATCGAAGAGACCGAAAGAAAAATGCCCATGCTCATGCAGTCAACGAAGCCATTCATTGCGGAGCTAACCAGTTTGCTCAGTTTTTGGCAATTCTCGTTACCTTTCGGAGTACTCTCAGACAACATTCCCAACAGGAAAGATGTACATCGCTACGAAATCGACTTTCCCAAATGCGAAGATTTCTACGCAGAAACACCAGTCTTTATCCTAGCGCTCTTCCATCTGAAAATCTTACCTGTTGAGGCATGTGAAAATGTACGACCCGTACTACTGAGCGATGAACTCGGCAGTTCTTCGCCACGAGCGAGAGAAGCTAGAGATGTAGGGTTACATATCATATCGACTTGGAAATGGAAGAGAGCTGCGAAGAGGGCAACTTTCTGGCTGAGAGAGGATGTTTTGAATGCATATAAAGATGATCCGAATTGGGGTCTGGCTATTTGGCGGACTGATACTTGGATTTTACATTCTGGACCGAGGGGTTTGCGGGGATTGAGGGATATGGGGAGGTTTTGGATGGATTAGGTTGTGTGAGTTCTGAGTCGAAAGGACCGGCGGCTGTTCAGTTTGATGTTAGGAGGGAGATGAGTGCTGGTTCAACTCCAGGTAGAAGGGGGCAGAATCCGGCGTCTAGTAGGTCTTGCAGGAGTGTAAGCGATGGGTCAAATGGATGTGTATATTTGCCGGAATGTTCAGGTAGTTCAAGCTTACGGAGGCGATGGGTCGCAAGATGCTGCACCATGATTTCCAACACAGGCCTGATGATCGTTTTTCTACTTTCCAGCACGCAAGCAAAATCAGGAACTATAAGGGGAGAAGGGATAGTGAACTTGATCAAGTCATAATGCAGTGCTATCGCTATCCTGCGCGCTTGCTTTCCTAATCACAATAGGAGTTCATATGTACAGATTTCCGCACCACAGCGCAACCCACGTTTGCTATTCGTGGAAGCAGAGAAACAGGTTGATTGACCCTCCGAGATGTCTCTTTCCCCCTAAGCTGTATACGCGCACACAGAGCGACAACAAAGAACCTCCTCCCAATTCACTTCTCCGTCGTAACCCTCTTGGAGCGCCCCAAACAGAAATCGCCAATCTTCATATCTATTCTTGCAGTAGAACGAAAGATTCCACCAATCTTTCCGACAGGGAACTCAACCATAAAAGGGCGATCTGATGCAGCACGGTTACTTGCCTGAACGAACAACATGCGGTACCAGGAGCTGTCATCGCCAGACCAACGGATATGGTTGAAATTGAGGAAAACAAGCGAATGTGGACTCTTTCGACCAATGTACAAGGGTCCTTTGTTTCGACCCCGGAAGAAAGGGTTGATGGCACATTCCTCGCCCTCTAAAGTTCGCCGCAGTTGCTGCTCGGCGTCAGGGAGTTGCTCAAACCATAAAGCTCGTCGGAGATCGATGGAGTTCTGAACGGTGGCGCGGAATGTCTTGTTGACGCGCTGGCAGAGGAGTAGTGTCTTGAGCTTTGCGATATCTGCAGGCTCCCCGATGTTGGTGCGTAGCTCGAGAAGGATCATTTGAAGAAGTTCTGGGATGTTGAAGACTCGGGGAGCAGCGCTTGAGAGATTCTGATTCTGTTCTTGGCTCGACGGCATAGCGATGCTGGTGGAGGCAACACTGCGATTCTCGTGGGCTTTGACGTGAAGAGACATGGTGGTGGTTTTGTGCTCGATGATAGCCTGCTGTTGTTTGAGTCAGTACATCGCGTATGCTCAAACTTTCCAAAAGAACCTCGCTGACCTTTTTGCCCATCTCGCGCTGCTCGCGCGCTTAGAGGACCTGTCGATATGCAGGTACTACCGATTGTTTTGACGAAGTTAGATAAGGAGAAATCAAGACGGCTAAGGGAGCTGCCTCCTTCTCGGGCGCTCCTCCGAAGTTTTCGAGGGTTCGTAGACAAGTATGCCTTGTGTGCCTTCTGTGCAGTGCGAGTTCCCAACCCAATTGTGAGTGTTATCTCGAGCTTTTCTGTGGCTCATGTGAGTGTCTCAAAAAGCGGCTGAAGAAGCACAAGCCTTGGCATCCTTTCATGTGACAACACCCGCCCGCCTTCCCGCTATAAGTACCCGCTACTCGAGATCCTCAACTTCGAACCGCGCACCAACATCGATCTCAACGACATCGCTGATACCTCCTTGTATCACCCATCCTTCTTCGCCAACTTCGACGCCTTTTTGCCAACACGTCCTGCATTGGTCAACATCAGCCTCACAGCCTGTTATACATCACCCTACCTCACTGCGCACCATGGACAACATCACGAACATCAAGGACGAGTGCGAGGTTATGCGCGAGCGTCTCGAGGATCTTCCTCAGGAACTCTATGACCAGATCTACAAGACAGTCTTCACCGCCCCGCCAGGAGTACGCAACATGCACAATGGAGATGGAGTAAACACCAGACTCCTGCAAATCTCTCGAGCATCTCGTGCGCTTTACGCCAAATCCTACTATGGTGCGGGTGCAGACTTCGTCTTCACCAGCGAGATGTACTTGTATCACTCCACCATGCTGTCGTGGATCCAAGTCCTGCCCGCCGAGCATTTGGAATACATCGAGCGAATCACCATGATCTCTTTCGAGCAAGCTTCTCCAGCTATGATCGCACTCGAGATTGATTGGGTGAAGGCATCCTACCAAGTTTTGGGATTGGACCACGTCGTGAGTAAGTGCGTCTTTGTGCGCAAGTGCGCCTCCATGATTTCTCCGATGGGACGGAATGATGGCTTGGAGGACAACAAAGACGAGCACGAGCCAGGAAGGAAGTTCGGCCAGAATCGTATCGACAAGCTCGATGATTGGATCGTTGCCAATGAGGGGTATCGTTGTACACGACACGACTGAGCTTCTGCGGAGGCGCCCTCCAGCTTGAAACCAACGGGAAATCACGAATCGGAACGGTCCAAGGTCTTGCGAATGTTTATGACGATACTAGCAAGGATTGAAGGGATTGAAGAGTACGCTCCAGACTCTGCAAATCTCTCCCATTCGATCTCGCTGGTGACGAGGGATAATCTATCCACGAACAGGTTCACAAGGCGCGGTCTACTGAGTTCATTCAATGGCTTATCACCGATTACGGGTGGACTTGAGCGCAGGAAGGATGGACCTCGGCGATATTACCTGGGAAAGGAGGACTGTTTTTGCTGCCATGAAGCGAGTCTGTACATAATGGAAGCTACTTGTGTATGATAGACTCGACTTCATAAAAACAGCTATTCAACGAGTCTCTCGAAATGTTTGTTAATGTATGCGTGCGCCTATGTCTTCGTCACTATCACTGAGCCACCAGAAAATGCGATCAACACAAGCCGCCAGCAATGACTAGAGATATGAACGACTTGCAGGTATCAAGTATTAATAAGTAGGAAAGAAGACTGCTTTGAAGATCGCGGGCGGTTTCAACCCGTGAAGCACTATGGAAAGCGCGCAAGCATCCTCGACATAAAAGCTTTTGCGATCTGGAAGGCAGGTTCAGATGCAATGTGTCTTCAATGCAAGATGACGAGAATGTTCTGATCTTGGCAGGCTTTCACATGACAACATCCGGTCGCTCACGTAATAAACCCTGCTTGAACTAGACTAGCCGCCGCAAGCACCCTTATCTCGACGCCGACTTTGCAAAACACATCCACTCGACAACACCACCACCAACTTCTCTACTTGTTGTTCCCAACACCCCCGCGCGGTCTTCGGCGGTGGTCCTTCAACAGTTGCACGTTCTCATTGCGCGCCTCCCTATCGGCATTGCCTGTTTCGCTACGATAACACGGTTTCTGTGTTCGTTTACGGCTACGCGGCCTCCTTCACATCGCAACTTCAATCCGCAACTTCAATCGGCAACTTCAATCCGAAACTTCAATCAGCAACATGGCTGCATCAATCGACAGCGCGGACCTCCGCCTCCTACTCGAGAAGCTCCCCCAAGAACTTTACGACATGATCTACAAGGATGTGTTCACCGCCACCCCATGTTCCAGAAACCCCACCACCGGCCAAGGCGTCAACAACAACATGCTCCAAGTCAGCCGCCACACGCGCGCCGAGTACGCAAAGACCTACTACGGACCAGGCGCCGAATTCGTCTTCAATCACCGAGACGACCCCTTTTCCTATGTCGCCATGATATCGTGGATCGAGACCCTACCCGCTGAACACGTCAACCTAATCGACCACATCCTCTTTATTCTCGAGAAGGAAACCGAAGAAGATGGAACTCGCATGGATGTGGATGTCGACACGAGCATCGAGGTTCAGAAGCTCGAGCTCGCGGTCAAGTTTATCCCCGATCATGTTGTCGATAAGTGCGATTATCGATTCGTGGTCGTGATTGATCCCGAYGAGAGCAGATTGTCTATTATGGAGGCCCTTGAGAGTCGCGCATACATCTTTGGTGCGAGGCGATCGAAGCGCTGGCTTCGGCGCATTTGGGCTGCGACACAGCCTGCGAGCCATCTCAGGAAACTTCAGCGACCAAGCTGAGATTTTTGAAGAATCGAGCGTGTAGCCGTTACAACTGTCATTGTCTATGACAGGTGGCTCACGTATTTGGGGAAGGACACAAGAATCACGAAGGCAGTGGGATCACCTGTCGGTACCAACACGCGCGGACTTTGTTCACCTTCACGAAACTTGCAACACATACTACGCCAAGACGTGTATTTGTAGGAAAGCATGATCAGTACATGCTACGAGGAAATTCAACAAAGACTCAAGCACACATGAGAATGTGCACGGTCATGTTCATGAGTGGCAGAATGCGAAGCGAGAAGTTGCATTTCATGGCGCGTGGGTTTTACGACGTCGTTTGCGGAGATCACAAGGCGTCAGAGCAGTCGTGCTTCACTCAATGATGCGGCTCCAATGCCTGCAACTTTCAAGGCCATGTTTAGCGGAGTGGTAACCTTTGCGAATATCAATAGGATTGAATGGAAACTCTGCGCATGACGATAACTTTACTCTTTCGCGTTTCATCCAACTCCTATAGCAAGTCTCTGTGAATACACATGCGTTGGTTGAAACTTGGGAGAGTGTACATCTGAGCTCGAAAGTGTGATGTAATTCTATGAATGAGATATTTTGGCTGTCTATCGAGTAAGAGAAAGAGGCATTCACTCAAGAAGCGCCAAGATATACTAACCAGGACCAGAGACCAGGGGTGATTCGGAGCCCGAACGCAATATTCTGTAACGGCTAGGAAGATATACGACTAATGGAAGAGCGATGAAGTCTTACTTTCGTTCGTGCAACTCCAGCTGCGTGTGTTTCGGGAGACGCATCCTTCAATGCAGATCAGRGCAGCGGGGTTCTTCGGGTGAGCCGCAGCCGAAGCCGGCCAAGGAGGATCAAAGGCGTTAGACTGCATCCTTCAGCATCCTTCTGCATCCTCCAGATTGGTATAGCTACACCTTACTTCCAAGCCTCACCGACTATCTCTCATCCTCAAGATTGGCCTTACATTCCGCAATGGTACAATTTCCACTGGCAGTTATAGCCTCACTAGCAGCTTATCTACCAGCAACAATCTCCCAGACAGCTACATCCCAAAGCGATACCTGGAACTCCACATTCTCTCTAACTCAAGAGCACATCACCACCGCGGGACTAGACAATGTAACAGCAAATGCCGTCAATCTCGCAGCGCGATTCGAACGAACAAACTGGGCGGGAAGCAGCGTCTCGGAAGATCCCTTCTACAACCCCCCAAGTAACAGCTCCCATCTCCCACCCGGAGCTCTCCTCTCTGTGGAACACGACACCAACACCTCCTTTTATACTCTCCCTCCAGCAGTCGCATTATCGCGAATTCTCTACCAATCCGAAACCATCAACGGTACTGCAGTTCCGGCTTCCGCATATGTGCTCTGGCCATACCTCCCTCGGGAAGACGCTCACTGTCCCGGGAAATTCCCCGTCGTGGGATGGGCGCATGGGACGAGTGGGTGTTTAGGAGAGTGTGCACCGAGCCATATCAGGAATTTATGGTATCAATTCGCGGGGGCGTATGAGGTAGCTTTGCAAGGTTATGTAGTTGTCGCTCCGGACTATGCAGGTAAGAAAACAAAAATCCCCAAAACATCGCCAGATTCGCGCAACTCTACTGATTCAAGACAAGGCCTCGGAGTCACACATTTCCCCAACGGAACCTCCATCAAACATCTCTGGCTCTCCGGCCCCTCACAAGCCAACGATCTCTTCCACTCCATCAAAGCAGCACAATCCGCTTTCCCCCAATTAAGCGACAACTTCGTCCTTCTCGGCCACTCCCAAGGCGGCGCAGCAACCTGGTCCRCAGCCCAACGACAATTCCAGCGTCCAGTCCCAGGTTACCTCGGAGCAATCTCCATTTCCCCCCCTACGAACCCTCTCCGACAACTCCGCACCGGGCCACTCCTGGCGCCACTTTTCGCTTTTTTGGCGGCGAATGGTCTGGGACAATTATTCGCATCTTTTGATCCTTTGGAATTCCTCACGGTGAAAGGAGTGCGGATCTTGAATTTGTTACGTGATGTTAAAGGGTGTGGGAATGTGCAGACTGCTTTACTTAGTCTTGCGGATACTGTTAGACCGGATTTCATGCAAAGTACCTCGTTGAGACGGTTTGCGGATTTGACTACTAATGGCGGGAAACCCATTTCTGGACCTCTATTGATCATTCAAGGCACCGCGGATCAATTGGTCAAAGTACAAGCTACGGATGTGGGGGTTGAGGAGACTTGTATGAAGTATCCTGGGAGTGAATTGGAGTATTTGGTGGTAAATGGGACGGATCATGTGGCGACTGTATTTGGGAGTCAGAGGATTTGGATGGAGTGGATTGGGGAGAGGTTTGCTGGGAGAAGGGAGGTTGACAAGGCTTTTTGTGAGAGGAAGGTGGTTCGTCYTGTGAGACCTGTGGGCGTGTATCAGGCGCAGGTGAATTATTATTTGGAATTGGCTACTAAGCCCTATCAGATTGGGTAAGGGAGTGGTGTTGAGTCGAGCCGAGAGCCCCGGGGATTGGGATGGGGAATGGAGAAAGTTGCATGTCATTCACGCTCTCTCGTTGTGGGAAGGAGATACTGTTGTTTACTGGATTTATCACCTCTATTGTCCCTCAGGGCCTCTATGGACTTCCTGTTACTTGGACGATACACAGTCCCCGGCAAATGACTCGTAGATACGTTGTAGAGAGTAGAGTAGATAAATAATACTCATCTCCCCCCTCCCCCTCATCCACACCATCTCTAGTAAAATACATCATCCCCGTCTACTACTTTCCCTAGCGCCTTTAACGAATCTCCCGTGTAAAAAGTGAAAATCAAAGTCTGTTCTTATAAGATCCTAGGAGAGGGGAAAATCTTCCCTGGAGTTCTTTCTATATGCCGCTTAGATGAAATCTCCCCGCTTGATATAGGGAGTTTATGGAAAGAGGAATATATTATTAAGCATTTAGAGGGAAATTCGATGTAAAAGATCTGGGGATTCGGCGTACTTATATTAATAATGAATAGTTTACGAGATAGGATAAGGGATGGGGAACGGTAGATATAGAATGGGATTTTATAGGGAAAAGGTCAAGTATCAATGATCATAGAGCTACCTTGATTGAGTGTTGTGGGAAGGAGAGGGAGGTATCCTCTTTGAAGTAATAGTATAGTCGAGGCCGATCGGAAATTTGTGGATGATATGACTATCCTCCTACGTCACTTGCTGTTAAGGGGAAGTCCTCGTGTGAGGCGTGTGCCGGTCTCTATGGAATCTTCTCCGATCCTTCGAGCTGACCTCTAGCAAGTAATCGCAAAGAGACCATATTAGGTATACAAAGTGGCAGTCATCACTCTAGAGCCAGCTTCAACCTTACTGATCATCACTACTCAGCTTGTTCTCAGATACCTCGATCAGCGGATTCGCACGCGCAGCCGCCGTCATGTCAGCTGCCGAGCACGCACATGAAAGGAACTTCCGTCCGTGCGTCCATTCGCACTCCTCATATCTGCGCAGACACTAGCCATCACTTCTTCTTCCAATCCTACAAAACACTCGCAAACTCCGACTCGACTCCTGAGAATCCATACATCATGGACACTCTCTCTACCCACCAAACCCCAATATCATCCAGCAGCAGCAACATGCCCTCCTCCAAGCCACCCAAGCCAAGCACTCCGCCTCCTCCTCCTCCTCCTCCACAACCACCAATCGACCCCAACCAAGCCTCCGCCCTCAGAATAACCGCCCACCTCCTCGCAAAATCCAAAACCCGCCTCCTCCTCAGCACCCTCCCCCAAGAACTCTTCGACAAAATCCACACTCTAGTCTTCTCGCCATCCCCCTCCTCCAACAACATAATCCACGTCTTCCCCGCCCATCTCCACAACCCCACGAATCAAGACCACGGAAAATGCGAACCTCGACTCCCTCTACATCTCATGCGGATTTCCCGCGCTACTAGAATGGAATTCCGTGAGGAGTTTTTCTCATCTACGAGGTTTTGCTTTCGGGATGTTTTGCTTTGTTATTATTGGCTGAGGAATTTACCGTCTTGGATAAGGGATTCTGTGAGATGGATTCGGTGTTATGAGATGTTTGATCAACCGAGACGGTTGAAGGCTTTTCATGATGATGAAGATGGTGGAAGGGATGATTATGATTGGGTTGATCGTCAGAGGGATTTGAAGAGGAAGATTCGCAAGGGGTTTCCTCTTGTGGAATGCGTATTCGAACTCGAGGTTAGTTTCAATGTTGGATTTGTGGATTTGAGGATGGTAACTAATGGAGTGTGTGTGATAGCCGATTGAAGAACGTGCGGTGGAGATTAAAGGTCCTGTTGTTGTGCGACATGGGATTTCACTACGAGCCGCTTGGGAGATTGCGCGGGTGAAGGAGAATGCCTGATGATGGAAAAAGAAGCAAGGTGGTGGATATGTGGTTTTGGATGAGGCGTGGTCTTTGTTCGATTGTGAAAAGCATGTTCTTTGAAGCATTTTACTGAACTTGGCAGGTATTGGTCAAGTCTCCTTGGTGGATTCGAAGKGTATTGAGGGGCTCGAAGAACTTCGTAACAAGACCTCCATGTAATCAAAAGCAGACAAAACGCCGAAAAATACGCTTCCCATGCACCCCGTGGACAATCAAGTTGTCGCCCATGTCTCATGATAAAAGCATCCCATAACTCCCTCCAACATGCTCCATTATGACGTACTAGCAGCCGAGCCAGAAGTCACCTCATAACAACCCCCCTCGACCTTAAACCTCCACCTACACCCCCATCTACCCAATCTCCTCTCTCTCACTATCACTCTCGCTATCACTATCCCCCCAATACTCCCTCGGCCCCTAAAATTCACAGATCAGAAAAAAAGCCAAACCCCCTCCATCAACAACTCGAGAGAAGTCAGTTAAACTCACCACATGCCCAAACTCAATCTCCACCCGCAACAAATTCATCTTAAACAAAAACCTCCTGGTCCGATCTTCCTGATGCTTCTCCGCTCGAATTCGAAACTGCTGCAATTGCGCCGGCGACCACACCATTCCGGCACCCCTGACAGGCGGCACGACGAAACTCGGGGCTGGACGCATGCAATGGATGACTCGGACCAAGGGGCGGTGATGGGAAGGCATGAAGTGAATCCAAGCGATGCAGAGTTTAGGAGAGTCGAGGCGGAAAATCGTGTTGGTGTAGTAGGAGGTTTGGTATTGGTTTCGAGAGGCGCTGTCGACGCGTAGGAGGTTGGTGGCGAGGTTTTGGGGGGCGCGGCGTTTGTTTTGGGCGGATTGGGAGGTTGGGTGGATGTAGATTGTTCGTGGGGAGGATGTGAAGGTTAGGTCGTAGATTGTGTCGTAGAGTTCTTGGGGGAGGGTGTTGAGGCCTGCGCGGAGCTTGGAGGTTGTTGCAGAGGTCGCCATGGTGCGCGAATTGGATGGARAGGAGAGGTTGTGGATTGGAGGGGGTCGATCGACTCGTTATGTGGTGTCTTGAACGGTCGAGTAGAGAGGAGTAGTGTTGAACTGTTATTTTGAGAAAGAATGTCGAAGAAAGATCTGTGGGGGGAGATATGAGTGGAGGTCCGTGCACCAGAATTCCATACTCGACTAGTCACTTCCCAAATTGATCAACTAGTGAACGTCAATTCTCGAGTTGATCAACTAGTCAACATCAACATCTCTCCAACCCAAGTGGACAACATGTCCTCCAACTCACCAACCACGATGCGCGGCAAATCCACCATCCGTCTGAAGCGTCGTTCTCCTGCCTCCATCAAAGCCAAGCAGTTCCGGGACAGGATGGACAGCCTCCCACCCGAACTCTGGGAGATGATCTACAAGTTGACGTTCACGCCCTCGAGTAACACAACCATCGATGTGACGTGCACCAGACCTGGATCCAGGCCCTGGTTCCGCCTCATCCCACAACCTCCATCAGAGCCCATCATCAAACATTCGCCTGAGATTCCTTTCCAGCTCATGCAGGTCGACAGAATGACGCGCGCCATGTTCATGGCCCCTTTTCTCAAGTCGACTACCTTCATCGTTGAGGACATCTCGCTGTGTGAGGCTTGGACCAGGCACATGCCGTCGACCATTGTGAAGAAGCTTCGCGACGTTCGATGCCTCAAGCGAGCCGTCGCGCCGTGGTTCCGAAGTCAGAAGATTCCGTATTGTGTCGACCCGGATCAGATTGAGGATTTCGCGAAGATGCTCATTCGTGAGAGGGCGCAGAGGTCTCGATGCGGAAAGGCAACTTTCAAGTACGATTGTGATGTAAGTGTTGTGCGCATGCGGACATGGCAAGGTTGAGGACTGACAGAAGTTTAGTACATTCAAGACGATGGATGAGCATACAAGCCAAGACCTGTGATGTCCGGAACAGATTGAGAAAGCGGCGGATGGACCACTGAGATTGTTGAATTGTTGCCCTGATGAAATGGGCTGTTTTTTGGGGATTTTTCAACGTACGAATGACATCGTATGAACTGGAGTTTAATGAGGCATGGCGTTCAGTCCATTCCACGAGATAGACTGCGACGATGTCAGCACTTGTCGAGAATCAAAATGCAAGGATGCAAACCTATAACAAGTCCTTCTCCAGGCTCACCCAGTCAACTCGCTCGTGATCTTTCCCATCAACAGTGCGTCAATTTTATCTCCCTTCACTTTTGAGCCTTTCTCGGCAGGTAGACAAAGCAAAGCATTGGCGCCTTTGAAGCTCCCAATAGCCGAACTTCTTTGAAACCCGGTACTCGTAGCATGGAGAAGTCCATCAGCTCTCGCCGTGACAATCACACGATGATACTCGGCTCTCTGCGGGTCCATTCTGACGTCTTGATCCAACACAACCCTGACCTTGGGTAGTCCAACAGGACTGATGCCACTCATCTTGTGTAGAGCCGGCAGGACGAAGAGATGGTATGTTACAACCGCAGAGGCAGGATTGCCGGGTAGTGAAAATATGACCTTGGTTTGTGATGTACCGTCGTTGGCTTTGAATGGCACTGTGGCGAATGTCGTGGGTTTTCCAGGTTTCATACTCACGCGGCCAAAGTGGATCGTGCCACCAAGGCTATGTTCAATGGTGGGTTTTAGAAGATCAAGTTCACCCATCGATACGCCGCCGGAGGTGATGATGACGTCCACCTTCCGCATGGCGGAGCGAAGATGCTCTTCCAACGCACCATGTCTGTGGAAAGTCAGTGATGTGAAAGAGAAGACATGCTCGTAGCACTCACTTGTCAGAGGCAACCCCGAGGTCCACTGCCTCGAAACCGGAACCTCGAACTGCAGTGAGAAGTGTCGGACGATTTGTGTCCCGCACTTCACCGAGTCTCAGCTCACCCGGTCGATCGTGTTGTACAATCTCATCGCCAGTGCTAAGTACTCCAACAATAGGTTTCCGAAAGATTGCGACTTCTCTCGTGCCTACCGAAGCGAGGAGACCAAATTCTCCGCCAATTGCAGTGATGYCTTCACCCTTCTTCATGACCACACTCCCAGCCTTCACATCGCTTCCGACTTCGCGGACATTCTCGCCGGGCTTGATATCATCAGTGAGAATCTCAATATCTTTCTCTTCCTTGCCATCTTCTGTCATTGAGCGAAGTACTGTATCCTCTACCATCACAACAGCAGTGGCGCCAGGTGGAAGCGGAGCACCTGTGRTGATTCGCGCCACTTCTCCAGATCGCAGGGTCGGCATGTCCTTAGCGGCCTGTGCATGTGAGATTCCAGTGACTGGGAAGATACCTTTGGTGCTGGGTACAAGAACATGGTTAGAGGCCACGACAGCATATCCATCTACAATGCTAGCTCGGAAAGCAGGAACAGATTCGCTCGCAGTCACATCTTCTGCGAGCACGGATCCAACGAGATCTTCGTTGACGGGTGATTTTGTAATCGTGGGTGCAGGTGTATGCTGTGTGATTTGAGCCAATGCATCTTCCACAGCAAGCATGGGGTAAGGAGACTCGCGGTATCGTCGTGAAGGTCCAGCGTTGGGGTCGTTTGACATTGGCCGATTTTCTGGAAGTGTGTGTGCCTTTGGGCCGTGGTGATGGCCATGACCATGACCATGCGAATGATCATGTGAGTGATCGTGGTGATGATGGTTTGAGGAGGGGCTTTGGGCAGCAGCCGACACACTGGCGTCCTTTTCAAGCTTCTTGACTCCACCAGCATGCAAAGTACGAGAATCAGCCCCAGAAGCCTGTTGGCAGGCATGTGGCAAAAGCTTTAGCACTGCCTCGAGATTCTCTTTTGCTCCTTTCGGCGAACCAGGTAGAGTGAGGATCAGGGTCCCATTCCGAACACCAGCGACCGGTCGGGCCATTGCTGCGAMTGTGGAGATGTTAGTTGAGATTCCTTGACGAGCCATGGAAGTTTTGACGGACAAGGCGTTATAGCCAAGGAGGCTGAAAGCATTGTATGTACCAGTCCGGTGGCATGTCTGTGTATGAGAGGAGTCACTGCCTTGGTTGTTGTCAACATCATCTAAACCTATGTGCCTTTGTGGGTTACAACCTACCTCTGGAGTCACATCTTTCTGAGCAAATCCAGTGCCTCCACTTGTGACAATAAGATTCACCGGATCTGCGCCATCTGTCCAAGCAGTGATGGCACGTTGAATATCGAGGACATTATCAGTCACAATCTTGGTGTCAGTTGCTTGCCATTGACCTCCGCCTTTGTCCGCAAAAGTCTGCTGTAAAGCGGGAATGCCTTTATCAGTAGACGCATCCTTTGACGCAGTCTCCGAGACGATGAGGATGGCTGCTCGAAGTGCTGAAGAGGACATGATGAATGGAAGATGGAAGGCGAAGGAGATGGTGAGTAGTGAGGTGAAGGCAATGACTGCATTGAGTTGAGATAGCATCAGACTATGCCCAAAGCAGGAAAGCGGCTTCTATCTCCACAGCTCGACAACCTCACCCTAGACTTCACCCAGACACCATCCTGATCATCAACATACCATTTTGTTCAAAACCCTTAAAGAGTGTGCGACTAGAGGGATGAGGATCTCAAGACCGACCGTCACCGATGCTGATGAGAATCAGAAAGTCTTCCAACCTCAATGATGCTATCGATCCGGCAGTAGCCTACGCGATTTGTCCTTAAGAGTTCCCCCCTTTGGCGGATTTGTACGCTCTTCAAGATGCTGCTCATTCACATCCACGTTCTTTCCCGCACCGTCTTTCTCGTCGTCGTCGCTGCCGTCAATAACACTCTCCTTTTTGCCACCCTCTGCCACATCCGCAATCTTCTCCTCGGCATGACCATCTCCACTCTCCGCAAAATCTTTCTGGCAGCTGTTCCGTTCGGCTGCGTGTGAGTCTGCTGTCCGGTTCTCCATATCAGCGAAAACTGATATAGCAGTAGCTTGAGATGTTCTTCTTCCCGACAGCGCAAGACCCATCTTAAGCAGACTGCAAAGCAAACATGTCAGGACCAAAGCTCATTATACAGAAACCGAGCAGAGCAATCCATAGAATCTCAACAAAGAATACGCATCATCACGCATGCCATGGCCGCGAGAATCAAGTCGTGCTAGCGGTATTGCAATACTAAAATCTTCGCCTTCTACACATTCTAAGTAGGGAACAACAATGGCTCACAGAAATCCTGAATACGAAACTGCGGAAAAATGGGTGATGTCATCCCCAACCGCAACCTCAACATCAAACACGAATATCATCCCCACAATCTCAAACTAACCCCAAACTTTCCACACCTCATACGCAAAAAAGCCACATCATCACAAAATCTCTCCAAATCTCCCCCCAATCATCCATCTCACGGATCACACCCACCCCCAGAAGCAGGCGAAGAAGGCAAAGCCGTACCTTTAGCCTCCTTCACCTCCTCTTCAGCATCCCGCCTCTCAGTAGATTCCTCCACGACACCCGCTCGAATCCGTCTTGGAATCTGCCGGCTCGAAAACCCAGCGCTGAGCTGTTGCTGCTCATCGAGACCTTTTCTCTGCTTTAGAGTAGCAGCAGCGGTTTCTTCTTCTGCAGCTTTCTGAAGATCTTCGTCGTGGGTGCCTTTCTTCAAAATCTCACCAAATTCAATCTTTCTCTTCTTTTTCTTCTTCTTCTCCTTCTTCTGTCCCTGTCCGTCGTCATCAGATTTTTGATCGCCGCGTGTATAGAGAATCTCATTCAGTGCGTCGTGGGCCATCTGGAGGTGATTTTGTGCTATCTGGAGGTTAGCCCGTTCGTTCCTCCTGCTGTCCTTTTTTTCGCTGTCTTTGGGAACCATAATTTTTTGGATTGATTGAATTGCGAAGTATTCATCGTTCCTAGCCATCGTCAGACATGTATATATATAAAGTAAGTTACCTCCTCAAAAAGGCCGGCCGGCCGAGCAAACAACTAGCCAGCTTTATCAAAGAGAGAGAGGGAAGAGCTTTCTGAATTGACAAACAAATGGCAAACGCGTGGCAAGATGTAGTTGTTAGGCTCCCTAGAGAAGATGCAAAGTACTTCCCGGAGTGAGTGAGTGAGCCAGAAAGATAGATGGACCTGACTGGTTCGGTTCCCTTTGTACATTTCGATCAAACTTGATCCGCGTGGAATGGATTGCCCTCTACGAGTAGTAGAATCAGCTTTTGAAACACCTTGTAGGGCAAGCAAGCCAACAACACAGCGCCATGTACAACAAACAGCCTTTATCAACCATCACTTCATTCGGAGCGGAATGTTTCAGTTCAAATTTTCAGCTGGAAACTTACCTTACCCTACTACCACAGTAAGCCAGATTCCTTCTCCCGCGAGCAAACATATTTCGTCGCCACCAGATAGATATCCAAAATCATTGAGGAGAAGAGAGAGAGAGTGTGTGTGTGTGTGGCTAGGTCAAAGAATATAGGAACCGCCAGGAATCTTCAACAAGGAAAAAAGATTCTTGAGTGGCATCGATGGTTCCCTTGCGTTCATACAACCGGAAGAAGAAAAAAAAAGGGAATTGGTCATCCCCGCCGAATGCTCCCCCCAAACCCTGACTCCATTCCATTCCAATCCCCCGATAACCTCACAAATCATCCTCATCAATCTCCACAGCATCCTCATTCTCCACAACCACCACTCCCTCATCAACCCCCTTCTTCCGATCCCCACCTTCAGGCCCACTACTAGCAGCCACAAATCCCACGGGAGCACGAGCCTGCCGTTCCAATTCCCTCATCGCATCCGCCCTCTCCCCATCATCCTCACCATCCTCACCGCCATCATCCACCTCCCCACCTCCACTCGCTTCGATTTCCTGCTGCCTCGCCACGGCCTGACCAGCAATAAATCCCACATCCGAATTGAACTGCGCCTGAACACTCCTCTTGATCCGGAGCATTTCCTTGAAAGTATCCTCATTGCCATGCTGCACTTCAAAGGCCTCCCATTTGCGCCAAAAGTCCTGGTTGACTCGCGGATCACAGAATTGACTCGCATGTCCCCAAATCGCTCGTGCTCGGTCGATTTCGCCSAACCTCCTCTCCATCTCTGCGAATTTCACACACATGCCCGCAGCATCTTTGTCGGGTAATGCCGCAATCGCTCGTTCATAGATTGGTCTTGTCGATGTAAGTCCGAAATTGCTCGCGCTTTTTGTTATGTAGAATTCGAAGAGTTCTGCCTTGTCCTCATCCGCGACTGCCCGGGTGGCTCTCTCGTAGATTCTCATCGCATGTCTTGCCAATCCGCGCTCCTCCTCCAGAGCGCCGTACATGAGGTATAGTGTTTTGGCGAAGCGAGGCGGACAGCCGTCTACGGCTTGTTCGAAGAGGTCTCTGAGTCGTTCAATGGAGATGCGACGGTCGACCGCTTTTGTTAGGTAAAGGTTCCAGAGTTCAAAGGCGACGGGGTATGAGAAGAGATCCAATCCACGCTCATATACTTTGAAGCTTTCCTCAAAGTATTCATTCTCCTCCAGAAGATTTGCAAAGTTGACGACAGTCTGTGGGGTTGCAATCCGCAGTTCAAAGATTCGTTCGTAGACTTTTTTAGTCTCATCAAGAGAAGAGACGGACTCCACAAGATCCACGTAGAATGACCACAATTTCCAGCTCTTGTGAACACGCTGCTGAGGGGAGAGCGTTTCATCAAAGTAGTCGACATTACTTCTCTTGGGAGCTTTCGTAGCTGAAGCCATGATTGCGACTGCTCTGTCAAAATTCTCATTCCGAAGCTCCATCTCTGCCCACTCCGTCCACATCTCTGCCAGCTCTCCCACCGATTTGTAGGGAACCTTGACCGCCTTCTCCATGATGATGCGGGCATTGGTGAGATCGTTTCCAGATTCGTAGAACTTGGCATAGTTTGTCCAGAGTTCGTGAAATTTGCCCATTGCTTTCTTAGGTGATACGGCAGCAATTGCATCGGCGTATGTTTGAACCACCATCGCTTTGTTGCCTCCCCAAAGGTGGACTCGTTTCTGCCATTCCGCGACATTGTGAGGGTTCTGCCGGAGGAGGACATCATTCACGAGGAACGGTCGACGGTCCATGAGCTGTTCGAATCGGAGCATGCGAATGTCGAGATCGAGATCTGCGTCCTCATCGACTCTGCCTTTTTCCTGCCGTTTCGCCGATTCCTCCAACTTGATGGAGATGAGAGCTTCTTCCGCTTCAGCGTAGGTGTCAAAGACGACGCTAAAGTCTCGCACGGTCATTACCGTTGTGATGCCCTCCTCGAAGATGTCTCTTGCTCGTTCGTATGCACCCCGATTGATGTAGTATCGAGCGAGACCCACCCAGAGGATGCCTCTTTGATCCGGAAAGCGCTCCAATCCCGATCGAATGATGGTCTCGACGGAGATGGTACTGCCTCCAGGTAATGGGACCGGATTGGGCACCACACGGGCATGATCAATCAAGATTTCCAACATTTCCGTCCAATGCTGAAAGGGACCCTTTGCCTCTCTGCTCTTGAACTTGGGGTTGTTCAAGATGGCCATGTATTGCTGCACGGCCTCGGTGTATTTCCCCTCCTTCTCCAACAACTCAATAAACTCCTCGACATGCTCCGGGTGGAGTTGGATATATCTCCTCCACACCTTGACCGCCGTGTCTCCTCCCGCAGAATGCGCAAATGGCCGATACAGCATCCAAATCCGATTGTGCTGCGTGATGGGCAACGCTCTCAACGCGCGATCGAATGTCCGTCGAGTGTGTGTGATGAGCGGCTGCTTGCACAGAAACTCGAGGTACTTTTCCCATACCTTGGGCATTTTGTTCAACARGACCAACGCCCGTTCAAACAAGGCATTGACTTTTTGATATTCCGACTTCCATCGCGCGGGATTCTTTCCCTTGAGATGTCCCACCCGAAGATCGAGATACATCATCCACAGTTTGTAGCTCCGAGGKAGCGCATTGCACGCGCGTTCCAGCACGAAACTCTGTTCGAGGAGAGKTCCATATTGTCGCTTGAAGTGGGCATAATCCAGCCAGGCTTTGATGTTTTCCGGGGCGCGCAGGATATCATTTTCATACACTTCGGAATTGGCGTCGATGAGGTAGAGGGCGGACGGGGTGGAGGAGGCGGTGGTGGAGGTGGCCATGGGAGACATGATTTGTGAGCGGCGACGTCCAATGGAGAGGGAAATGAATGGCAGCCCACCCGGCATGCTTCCCTTCACTTCAACAGAGGAATGTGGATCAATCGGCGCGTGAAAGACCTTGAATCATGGAAGGTGCAATGCGGCGGCGGGAGTCGCGGGAGTCGGCGGTCGGATCGCCGGCCCGAACTCCGTTGACTTTACTGGACGTGGTGCTTGTGCTTGCTGCGGCAGGAGCTCCAGCATCGACATCATCGTCACATTCACTCACTCACCGACATCATCTTCTCCTCTGACCGCATTGAGAAACTGCCTGTCATATTGACAGACACCCTACAGCCCGCCCCGCAATCCCACTACCCAAACATCTCCCACCCCACCACGACCACCCATCATGTCAGGCAATGTATACATCTCCCCACCCCATCCCATCCCATCCCTTGTCATATCCCACTAACACTCTTGAACTCCAGGACCGCGAACAAGTCTTTCCAACGCGCCAATCCCTCGGCCTAATGAAATCCAAGCTCAAAGGCGCCCAAACAGGCCACGATCTCCTCAAACGCAAATCCGAAGCCCTAACCAAACGTTTCCGCGAAATCACCAAGCGCATCGACGACGCCAAACGCAAAATGGGCCGCGTCATGCAAATCGCCGCCTTCTCCCTCGCCGAAGTCACCTATGCCGTGGGTTCCAATTCCGTGGCCTATCAAATCACGGAGAGTGCCAGGAGTGCCAAGTTTCGGGTTAGGACCAAGCAGGAGAATGTCAGTGGTGTGTTTCTACCGGCTTTTGAGAGTTTTCAATTGGAGGGGACGAGTGAATTTGGGATGACGGGGTTGGGGAAGGGCGGGCAGCAGGTGCAGAAGTGTAGGGAGACTTATACGAGAGCTGTGGAGACTTTGGTGGAATTGGCTAGTTTGCAGACTGCGTTTGTTATTTTGGATGAGGTTATCAAGGTTGTGAATCGGAGAGTTAATGCCATGTAAGTTCTTGAGAGAGGGAATGCAAAGGAAATGATGGCTGGCTAATATTATTTCACAGCGAACACGTCATTATCCCCCGAACGGAGAACACGATCAAGTACATCAACACGGAATTGGATGAATTGGACCGAGAGGACTTTGTGCGACTGAAGAAAGTCAAGGGTTTCAAGGAAAAGGCCGCGGCGGAAGAGGAGCTGTTGCGCAAGAAGAAAGCCGCCAAGGAAATGGCTGTCGAGGCTGAGGCTGATAAGGAGAATGATGGGGGAGAGTCGAAGAATATGCTGGAAGAGGGAGAAAAGGATGAGGATGTCATCTTTTAGATCTTAACAGCGAGAGAGAGAGAGAGAGTGTGTGTGTGTGTGTGTGTGTGTGTGTGTGTGTGTGTATGATTGATTGATTGATTGATTGGTAGCGGCAGCCGTGCAAATATAGATTGAAGATTCACAGAAACTTCTCATTGATCGGAATAGAAAATTCTGCTTTGGAGAGACGGTCCGCATCCATGCAGGACTCTTATCATCGACATTGACGTCCTTTTTTACCACCCTTCACGAAACAACGGGAGCACAGATTGTTCTCGTCGCCCATAATGTGCAATCGGAGATGCGGAGTCTGGATGATTTGGGAGTTCTCCTCGAAGACATCCATGTCACAGGTGTGCTGGATACATATGGAGTCGCATGACTTGCGGGACTGCCTGTCAAGGGGGCCTTACAGGATATGCTTGACACAATGGGAGTCCATTGGCGTCAAGGCTCGTTTCATTGTGCTGGCAATGACGGTTGTCATACCATGAAGCTCATACTGCGATACTTGCAGGAATGGCATGGAGATCCCTTGAAAAGATTGACTCAGATTGTGACAGAGCACGTACCCGAGCCACCGTCACGGGAGAACAGAGACCAGTCGGGAGAAGGGAGCGAAGAATGGTGGGAGAGTGTGACAGAGGATGGATTTCTGTTATTTGAAGAGCCGCAGATGCCAACTTGAGTGCAGCTTCGGAGGGCTTGGGGTTCGGCTTGAGTCAAAGCAGCCGCGTCATCATTCACTTCGTCTCCAACATTCCCATAGACAAATCTATTGATTCCAAGGGCAATGTATGGTCTTTCGAGAGAACGAGACTGATGTGACAAAAAGCAATCGGATGTACTTTCTATGACATATCTCTGCATCGAGCACATAGTCTGTATCCTTCTCACGCTGAGTGATAATGATACCCCAACCCTAACCCTAATTGCTTTTGCCGCGAATGAGGATCTCGCCTGGAAAAAACGGTCTCTTCTGTGTTCCACACCAGCTTATCGWGCTGCCGTATTGCTTCACCACAGGGCACTAGCGTACATGGCATCTGGTATTATGCGAACTGGACAATATCTGCCACCCACAGGGACGTCCTACACTGGCTGCTCGGACGTGCTCAACGAAATTTTGACTTCACTCACTCGGTAAATGCTTATAATCACACCGACCAGACTAGTGTCAGATGTACAGTGCGAGATTGTCTATCACTTGAGGGTAAATTCGTATATGATCGTGACAAATTGGGGACAACGTATTTCTATGTACAGTAGTTGRTTGATACCCAAAGTTCTTCCCGGTCATCTCCAGCTTCCATTCCAAATCTAACCGAGCAATTTGTAGGCAAGGTCTCCTGTTTTTACGACCTTCATAGCCATGAAACGTCTCGAAGAGTAGGTAATTCCTCATATATCAGCCAGAGGAGGGCATCTCGTTCCGAACAGCCGTAAGTCGATCCATGATCCCCAGCGAAAGTCTTTGAAATTGTACACGCAGACTGTCACCTAATTGTTCAAACACCGTCGAGGGCATTGGCCACGCCATACCGATATCTAGCTCGGTGATTTCGCCGGTCGAACACATCTCCGAGCAAACGACTTTTGTGGCACGTTCTTTGAGACATAAGCCAAGCCGCTCAATCACCCTTCGAAGGCGATGTAGCTCGTTGAGAACGACTTGTGCGGTGACCGTGCYGAGTTCATCGCTCAGACGACAGCTTCCGTGCTTCTCGGCTAGATAGCGCTGTACGGCTTCGATTGATGGCGCATCCTGGGAAGATGAAGTCTTGCATGTGATGGCTGCGTAGAGGCCAAGGACTTTGAACAGCAGAAGGGAGGATACATAGACGATGCCCTCGTCATGCTCGGCAGAGCACTCCAGCATGGTGTCCACGGTAGAAGTAGCCTCCTTGTTTTTAGCCATGACATCCATGATCGTCTTCAAGATGCCAGCATCGCCGGCATGCTGCTTGCTGACAAATGTCGCCCGAACAGTAATTGCTAACTGGGACAATCGATGTAGTCGGTCGAGCACCTCTTCCATGCATACGCATGGATTGCACGACTTGAACACAGACGTGTGATCGGCCGGTACGGATTGTAGCATGGACTGAAGAGTTGTTGATGTATGTTCCGGCATCGGATATGTGCCCATATCCAGGAATTGATCTGCCGGCGGCCGGAAGTGGTCATTGCCGAAGGTATTGCTAGTTGGCATGATGAAATCGTCACAGAATGCCAGATCGTTGCCGTGATAGCCTCCCATGTAAGACAGATCGAATTCCGGGTTGCAGGTACCGGGCGCTGGTGTTTGCGAGTTCGAGTAGTTGCCATCCAAGATGGAATCTGCATCCCAGCCCGATAACATGGGTTGATCCCGTTGCATCGGATCGATGGGGCTCATCATGTCGTGGAAGTCGGTAGGATGTGCCGGATGTTCATCCCGAGGCGCTTGAAGATGTGAAGCGGCATTGTTTTCAGTTTTACTTCGACCGTCCAGAGACTGCTCATAAGACGGGCTTACGCTGGAACTTGAGCCCGATCTGGCGCTGTTTGGTTTTCTCCCGGCCCGTTTTGGAATGAAATACTCGCACTGAAGCCCGCGTCTGGAGCAGCGCACGCAGCAGGGCCTGTCTTTGGAACACTTCATCTTTGCCGCTGCACAGGACACACAGCTGTTGCGCGATGGGATACCCGGCGGCCCCGGCCCCGCAAGCGTACGCCCATTGTGGGTCGTGCCTGGCGAAGGTTTGTTTGGAAGCCTGGAAACAGCGGCCATGTTCAGTGTCTGGGTGATGGGTGATGGCGCACGTACTCGGATGGACCAAGAAGTAGCCAGGGTGCGAACGAAGAATCAAGATGTCCAAGGATCGATCGATCGAGGCCTCGAGGAGACATAGTCCTATATAGTCACTGCTCCGAAGCAGCAGCTTCTCACCCAGCGCGCTGGGAGGAAGCGGACACTCTAACGTCAATTTCGCCTGTGTGGTTGATTTCAGAATCCTGGGGATGTCGGTTTCATCCAGCCATGGCGAATCAGATGGTACCAAAGCTGGCGGTTGCCAGCGGCAAGGCCATTACCCGCAGAGGGCCCTCCCTCCGCTCGGGGTCCGTGTGCGGAGCGAGAGTCGGTCCGAGGGGGCGTGGGGCTGCCAATGTCTGTGATGCCTTCCGCTTTCGTCTCGTGGAGGTCCTTCGTGGAGGTCCTTCGTGCAGGTCCTTCGCGCGAACCATGCTAGGATTCTTCGAGCAGGTCCTTCGTGGGGTTCTAGGCGTCCTTCGCGGTCTGTCCGTTCGACGCACCCGTCCACTAACGTCATAGATAGATTGGACGCACCGGGCGTGAGTTGGCCTTGTAAGTTCTGCTGGAGCGAACATCCGTGCTGCTGTTTCTGAGTTTACGCCATTCAAACATCGTCGATCAAGCACCTTGCTCGAGCGTCGCTGACAGGGCACTGGGGAGCTTCTCCTACACAGCATCGAGAAAGGGCGTGATGAAAGGGAGAGATGAACAAACATGAATGCAGCGCAGGGAGGCGATTAAAGAAAGCAATCCTAGACAGCGATCGGACAGCGAAGGCAGCTGGATATGAGTGAAGTGATTAACCTATTCTCAGGCCGTCGTCTCGTGTGAACCGCGTGGCAGTCAGCGTGGATCACTGGCTCACGTAATTGGAGCCTGAGTGCCGCATGGCCAATGCAGAGCCAGTACGCTGTCGTCCGTCAACATCGGTGAAGGTGGGACAAGAATAGAGAAAGTGGGATGACCGCGTGTCAATTTCGGCACTCGGGCGTGGTGAGGCTCTTTATTCTGCTGCACAGACCACCGGTAGACCACATGGCAAGAAGATCTCGATCTCCTTGTACAATGATGTGCCGTGTGCCAAGTTCGCTGAGGCCTAGTGTGTACTCCGCACTCTGTACGGTATGCTCATAGGCCCCCTTTACATCAGCAAGTCTGCTACGAATCTCCACACGCGTAGGATACGTGACTCCTGACACAACGAGTTGCTGTGCTAGCTCTTTCACTGCTACCTTGTCTCTCACACGATTTCTCAGCGTAGTGGATGGAAGCATTAGCTTGCCCTTACTATCCGTCTGAGGCTGTTTGTACTGTGGTCAAAATCAAATCAGAGCTCTCTAATCCTTCTAGAGTACCACGCATAGTCGGTAACAAGACACCGCATTTCTTCCTCTTCGCTATATAATAAAAAAAGTTGCTGTTGCGGAGAGTCAAGGATCCTGAATTTGGCCTCAAAACATATGTCCCGATGGGCACATCCAGTGGCTGACCCGAATGACCCGAACTTGTCCGCACAGGAGGTACTTTCAACTTCGCCGACAAGTTTCGGTTCCAACCAGTTTTGAAGTCTTTTCGTACTTAGTCAACGGCAACACCATTCAACAGTCATTTCAGCAACATCCTGAGCATCACATCGAATTACTTTCACCATGGTATCCGATTTGCCCGCCGTCCCGGCTAGAGCCGAGCCCAACGGACCACCAACTCACTATCTATGTCTTACCATTCTCGGATACAGGAAAGCTGGACTTTCTGAGGAGGCATATCGAAACCACATGACAACTGTTTCAGCTCCCATTACCAAGCCTTTGATGGCAAAATACGGCATCAAACGCTGGACTCAGATTCACAACCAAGCGGCAACAAGGGAACTGATGGGTCATTTGTTCGACTCGCAGATGGTTAATTTAGCGGACTATGATTGTTTCAGCCAGGTTGTGTTCGAAAGCATCGAAGACTACAAGAAGATTAAGCAGGATCCAGTCTATAAGGCGAAGCTGATGCATGATCACGAATTGTTCGCGGATACGAAGAATAGCAAGTAAGTGTGGCGACGACCTTGATGGAGACAAAGATTTACATTGACTGACGACATGAATCAGGATGACGATTGGATGGATTGAAGAATTTGTGAACAATGGAAAGGTGGTTGATGGATTGAAGTTCGCAAGTGAAGACAGCGGGAGCAGCTGGGGATTCTCATCGATGTTTTTCGGCATGATTGTTGGTGGTGCACTCGCCACTGGGGCAGCGAATGCGCTGAAGTATTGGAAGTTGGCAGGAAGATGAGACCAACATGTGTTGTAGTGCTGTAGTATGGAAACCAGAACTTCTTCGCAAGATCAATCAGGCCGGAATGCTTTTCAGTAGCCACAGAATTCMCGCACACAACCTTCACCTCCTTAAATGGCATTACAATACATGAGCTATTCACCGAAGCTTGGAAGATCTGCCTGTGGTCAGATGTTCGACATCGTGACGGGTCGGCAAATGCAAACATCACGGAGCGGTACCATAAATGGAGAAGAGAACTGCAAACATATCATGTATGGGACACTGGAATTGGGAGCACTGGAGTATTCATGGATAGTCTATTGAAGTGATCAAATAGTTTATAGTAACTTCGACAATCATAAGCAAAGCACGCTCCTGAGTACATCTTCGAGCGTTGAGGGTGCATCTGCAGGCGATCCTTGGGCTCGCCATGCAACCGTGCGATCTGGCCGGACCAACACAGCTCCGCGCTCACTGACCTGTCGTACCTCACTCCATCGGAAGAAAGTATCCTCATAATCTTGTCCCCAACCAATACCAAGTACTTCAATGTCTACTCCAAGTGCCAGACCAGCTTTCTTCGCTTCGGGTGCCCACAAATTCTTTCCGCCAATACCTGTGAGGATGACGAACTTGCCGTGTCCAACGAGATCCCGTGTTGAGACCAGAGGTTTGCGACCACCTCGCTCCTTTTGTGACACGCTCAGCCAAGCATGTGGAACCCGCCAACCTGGATATGTGCTGGTGTACACTTTACAGCTGCGTTCTGATTCCGTCTTTGGCCATGGTGGTTCCTCCAGCTCATCCTGTGAATATACTGCATCGGACTTGTACCATTGGTTCATGACGGCTCCAACATTGTGTCGTTCATCGCCGAGGTCTTGCACTGCTTTGCGGAATTCGCATCGTAGACTCTCGCCTTCGGGTGAGTCTTCTTTCAGCAAATCTGACATTCTCGCTCGTCTGTCCATGGTCGTCTCTCCATCGAGGTATCCCATCATGCCAAAGACCTTGAAATTGAGTATACCATTCAGAGCGGTCCGGCCAACCACGTACTTGCCAGCCGGCTGCCGCTCATTACTGTAGGAATCCAACAGAGACTTGCCTGCTTTACCCTGCAAGACATGTGCGAATTTCCAGGCAAGGTTGAATGCATCCTCAAGACAGGTACTTGTGCCCAAACCTCCAAAAGGCGGATGCTGGTGCACGGCGTTTCCGACACAGTAGACTTTCCCTTGCGAGTACTTCTCCGCGTAGATGTTCTTCAGAGCCCATGTCTTGATGCCCTTGACCTCGTAATGGACGCTGTCGTCTCCGATGAGTTCCTTGATGCGAGTCATGACCATTTCATCGGTGGGTTCTTGCGTACAGCTCGGATGGGGAAAGAGAGACAGAGACCAGGTCTTCCATGGTTCGATGAAATGTGCGATGCCTATAGGTCCGTACAGAGGCTGTGGTGCATCCAGACAGCCCAGATAGTTGAGTAGGGCTGGTGTAGGCGATGCCAGATGCCCTAGGTCTGCTTCGACATGCACACTGGTTACTGATCCACTACTCGCTTCTACTACCACTGGAATATCAAGCATGGGTAGAATGCTACTGTTCGCTCCATCGGCGGCTGCAAGGTACTTGCAGCGGACCATGGATCTCTGCTGGGTCAACGTGTTCTCCAAGACGGCGAGGACGGTATCACTTTTCCGATCTTCGGCGAAGGTGAGGAGCCGTGTGTTCCATCGGGTCGGAACTCCATGGTCTGCCGCATAGCCTAAGAGCAGGTGTTCGAGCTTGGTCTGGCACAAACATAGAATTCCAGATGGACTCGCATCATGGTACTCTCCCTAATGTTACGGTTCAGCTCGGTCGTTCACTCGGCGTACACATTCGGTAGATGTGGAATTCGAGGGTAGCTACTTACATGTCTGTGAGGATCGCTTCCATGAGCATACGCGCGGTAGATCTCCTCGCCAGCCAGAGTGTTACAAAATCGTGTATATGGTGAGTATTCAGATACCGGGAAGCCGATCTCAAGCGCTTTTTCTTCGAGACCAATCTCTCGCAAGCACTCTGTTCGCTCGAATTAGACTCGTATACGTTGCAATTTAGGAGTTATCTACTTACCTAGACCTGCCATATTGAAGTAATTAGCACGTGGATGTGTCATTGGGGCAGAAACATCGGATATCATCAATGCATTGACGCCTATCTTTTAATCAGCCAACAACGAACATGTTCGAGGACCGCATCAGACGGCACTCGTGTGTACGATACGGACCATAAGATGCCAAGAAGCAGCTGAGTGAGGCACCGGATGGTCCAGCACCCACCACCAACACATCGACATCCAGAACCAAGGGCAAGCCGCCCTTCGCGCCCTCTTCATCTGTGCTTCCCATATTTTCGGTGATGAATATGGACTTGTGGTGTCAGTGATGCAGCAGCAAGAGATAATCTGAACCTTTTCTCATTCGATCTTCATCAATATATCACTATAGCTTCATCCTGGAAGGCGTGTTTTGGGGTCCGGAAGTCTAAGCAATTGTTCCGAAGCGGGAAGAAGTGCATTGGCCCGCGAGAAGGGAGCTCCCAAATCCCGAATACCGGATCACTCCATGTTCTACCACCATTACAGCAGAGAGTTGGGCAGACATGAGTATCACCCGGATCCGTGGTAAATGTTGTCAACCTCGCAAGTCCGGGGAAAAAAAACTGGGCTTGCGGACTCGGCATTCGCCGTTGCATCTGAGTTCGATGCAAAAGGTCGCCAAGAAGTTGTTTGCCTACCCCAATGCGGTAATTTATATTTCCCAATCAAGACTTGGATCAAGACATGATCAAAACGTACACTGCAGCAAAGGTAGAGACTTTGACGCTCCATGATATTTTCGATTGCCGGTATAAAGTCTCAAGAGAGCCTGAATGTAGAACAAACGATGCAACTCTGTCTGATCAATCCGCAACAACTTCAACCGGCATCCAGAAAAGGGATACACGAAATCCAGACCCAACTCGCCGTTCATATCATGTTCTAGAATGATATTTGACAGCAAACACCCGACGACTCCCTTCACTTCRCCAATCTTCTCACCATGAAGCCAGCACGCTGAACTTTCCGGTCAGAGCAACCATGGCTGCTACAAACGGTAGCGTAGCTCTGACAGAGTGGTACACAGCCCATGCATCCAGCATGCGGTGCAGATCCGCCAGTTTCTTCTGCTCAGAGAGACCATTCGCTGCACTCTTACGGTCCTGCGTGTCTCTGATCGCCATTACAGCATCATCGAGGGGGAAAATGAAAACCCTTTCCCACCAGGCCACCTGCAAAAGCGTAAAGCTTGCCCCAGCGAAGAATTTCCAGCTCGCAGCTTCAACTGGGTCCGGATGATAGCGAAGTGCAATCGACATCAATCCCAGAGTGGCTGCGAGTGCGGCGTTGAAGGGCTCGAGCCAGATGCCTCCTCGATAGGCCGTGTCCACGAGCTGCGCGGCGGCGGTCTTGGAATTGGTGTTGAGTTTGATGATGGGCACGACCCAGCCGATGAAACACCATGCTATGCCTAGATTAAAAATCGAATCAGCGATGTGGCATTTCTCGTTTATAGCATAAATGTAAACACAAACCTGACACGAAAGCTAGAGCTATGATTATGCCCCATTGTAGCCACGGTAGTGCGACGGTGACGGCGGCTGGCAAGATCATTATTGCTGAGTTTGAAGTGTGAATGGAGGAGCGGTATGTCTTCTTGGAAAGTGGTGGGAGATAATATACTCAGGCTACGAGTAAAAACCTTGCTGGATGCCTATACCCCGAGCAAACTTGATTTTCGACCCAAAACCTCGGAACTCAATATGTCCGTTATTTGCGTCGTTAGGGTGGAGAGCTGTTATGCCTACACTTTTGGTTTGCAGCAATGCAGTGTTGAAGTATGTCTCTAATGCGCGATTTCAATGTCAATGTTAATGCGACCGCGATCTTGTAGAAGCAGCTCCTCGCTATCTTCCTGCGAGACAGACCTGCGACTCTGCTGCCGATGGATCGAGGCGTAGTCTCAGAACTTCCATCGGTATTAGTATAGCGGCTTCCAGGGGGAATGCACAACGAAGTCATGTTGTCCCGAGAAACGTTACAGTCCGGCAAACTTCTCGATGTATCCCACTGCTAGCCAAGTTCTCTTATGCAAACATAGATCTACAAAGCGAAGTCTGTCATTTGGTCGTTTGGTAAATTTGCTACGAGACTCTATTCTTTTTGAACAAAAATGCGATACAGGCCCTGTCAACTGAGATTCTCCCCTGATCTTGCAAAAAAAGACAACATATGACCTAGTAGTGCATTTCCATGAAAAGTGAAGAAGATATCCTGCAACTCTTCTCCGAAATGTATACATCGTGAATGCAGGCAGGTAGGTCAAAGAAGCCGCTTGCTCACTCAGAGCGGCTGTCTGGGCTCAAATTTGCAGTAAGCGGCAGGCAGAGCGAATTTCGCCTCAGAATCCAATTCCACACCGAGATCCTGTCTCTGAGCGGCGTGCGGGTCCTTGTTACCGTTCTCGTCACAGCTGGACCATTTGTAAAGAGCGAGCGCGTGGGCGACAAGGATGGTTTGTTGCAGCTTGCCCCATCTCTTGCCTGCACATGGATGCTGTCCGGCTCCCCATCCAAAGACTAGAGAAATAGTTAGCGGGAGGCGGCATGGAAATTCGCTACGATAAAGGTAAGTACTTACAGCCATAAGGTTCCTTTTCGAATTCTCGGCGTCCTTCCTTGAAGCGCTCTGGGTCGAACTTGTGTGGGGTTGGGAAGAGTTCCTCGTTGAAGTTGAGCTCGGTGGAATTCCAGATTGCAAAGGCGCCAGGAGGGATGACCTCGTTGGAGTCTGGAATAGGAATTGCTTTTCCTGAGATATTTAGGCGTCCTGCGGCGAAAGAGGTCCAAACGCGAATGATTTCGTACATGCACATCTCGAGATTGGGGAAAGAAGTTTCCCATGCTCTCATGGGAATCGACTGTATTCTGTCGATCAGAGGCAGAGATGTGTCTTTGTTGTAGATGTTTGCAGCGGCGACGATCTCCCGATAACACTTCTCCTGCCAGTCTGGATGAACGGCCATGGTTTCGATCAGTTGAGGGAAGATGACGTGGGCGTTGGTGGACGTGATGAAGGTGGCGCTGGTGCAGAACTCAGTGATGTTCTCCTCGTCGTCTCCGTTGGCCATCATCATAGCTAGAGGATCATCCTTGTACTTGGTGCCGTTCTTCTTGCGGTCTGCAATAAGGTTCTGGATAATCTTGCGGATACCTTGACGGGCAATACGACGCCTGATCATGCTGGGCTCCGGAATCCATCTCAAAAAGGCGTAGAAGGGGCTGTAAGAGTGCAAGAGAACGTCCAGGTGATCCGAGATCTTCTTGAACAGTGCCTGATCATGGACAAAATCATCCGAAATGAAGAGACGAGCGTTCTGTCTGAATACAGTTCGCCACAAGGTCGGTGCGTTGATAACTCCATTGGGATGGGTGGTCGTCAGCTTCTTGAAGTCTGTGCTAGCATCCTCCATAGCCCCTTTGAAGACGCGCTCCAGACGAGCGGTCTTGAGCAATGGTAGAAGTGTCTTGAGGAAGTAGCTGCTGTTTCGTTCCCCGGTGCCGTGAAACGCCTTGTGGATTGGAGGCCAGAAGTGGAGTCCAAATGCCAACAAAGACTGGCCGGAAATGAAGCAGAGCTGAGGATGATCGAGGAGCATGATGCGAGCATTGCGACCAGAGATTCCGATCAGGTGTCGCTTACCCTGCCAGAAACTGAAGTTTCCCGTTCGGGATTCCTTGACAGCATTCTTCCAAAACGACCTATACGTTGCTGTCAGCCATGAAGAATGTGGATCGAGTACTGAACAAGTCTTACCATTGACGAGTGACGAAACCAAACGAGCCGATGATCGGAAGCGTATCAGAAGTGAACGCGGGAGAACGTTTGTCCACGGATGGTCTGTATGCTTGATAGGCGAGGAAGCTGACCAAAGCTGTAATGGCAGTTGTCACTCCGAGCTTGACCGGCGCATCGAGCAGATCAGACACTACGAATAGCGCAGGTGCAAGTGAAGGTGGTAGCTCCGCAGCAAGGTAGGTCTGGTTGAAGAAGTCCATTCTGGAAGCCGAGATGGAATGCTGTATGCTGTGTGGGGACGACGAAGCACAGCGAGACGAAGGCGAGCATATGAAGACTGCATGGTGAGAGGATTTCGGAACATACTATCGGAATGAAGCCTCAGCAGCGTTTGTCGGAAGGGGCTAATGTCCGTCTGTTCGAGATGGATGAGTCTTGCTTGCTTTCGTTTGCGGGTTATTTCAGAATGTTGGGGTGMAGGTGCAGCGCAAAAATCGGGTCCTATTTTCGATCAGGGTTGGCGTCCGGAAGATTTGTGCATACGGCGTAGATTGTGCCGAAACTGAACGACTGACCGACCACTCGTGTCAAGTCTTGTTTCAACGTGGCACCTGAAAACTAGTACAAGAGCGTACCAATCAAGGAACTATCATTTGTCCGTCACATAACCAACATTGAGAGATTCATATCACTTTCAACATACATACGTCAAAAGAACATGGCCGAATTCATACTGCCCGCCGCCCAAGGCTTTGCGGTTGTGGGAGCGTCATTCGTATCTGGTGAGCTTGCCGCATTATCCTAGAAATCGACTCTTCTCGTAACTAAGCTACAACTGCACAGGCTACATCTGGTGCTTTAGTCAAGCAGGTGTCTTGACGCTTCGCCAAGCACCTGCGGACGTCGGCGTACGGCAGTTCAAGACCATGTACAATAAAGGCAAATCGACCTCTCCACTGATTGTTGTTGCGGCGACACTATGCAACGCCTATTCAGCATATCGATCGTCTGGAAGCAGTGTTGAGCTTGTTGGAGGAGTKGTGTCGCCTTTTGCGCTGTACGTGACCGCAGCGGTGTGTCTACCGGCCATTATTCCCTTCACTTTGTTGGTTATGGAGCCGGGTGTCAACAGGGAGTTGATCCGCTTGGGGACTTTGTCGGAGAAAGGGATGGAGCTGAACCGGATCAAACTCATGGAGCATGATATCCAGGCCATGCTCGTGTCTTGGAAAGGGTTGAACTATGTCAGGGCAGCGTTAGTTGGTGCCGGAGCTTTGATCTCTGGTTTGGCTACATGGCATCTTAGCACGATCTAGTCGATCAGAGTGAGACTTCTTAAGCGTGCTCAATGAACGCATACAGTAGTGCGACCGTGTATGAAGAACTAGTCGATCAGACTGAGACTGTTCAAGCGTGCTCAATGAATACATACAGTAGTGCGACCGTGTGTATGGCTCCTTCGAACCTCATGATCCCAACTTTTCCAAATGCTGCATGGACGATGAGTGAAGCCTTGTCCATTGTCCTTTTGAATCATTCCCTGATGACAGTTGATGTCTGACTCGTCTGGAATTCAGAAAGAGTGTGTATTCGTTCTTCCCTTTCTGATGCTTAGCGTGACCTCAAACTAGGTCTGACCCATGTTGAGTATTTGGGACTTGTCAGGGCAAACGTTATGCAGCAGCATTTGCAACGCAGATAGCTGGCTCGATCTGATACAGCGCTAATACAAGTATCGTTCACATCCCAATGAGTATGTTCGCAGCTATGCATCCGCTACCCACTCTGAAGTGAGTCGAACTTGACGGCCAAAGCCACCGTAGCACCAGTCTGGTCTCGCATATGAGTAATCACCACAGGCCTGCCGTAAAGATTGGCAGTACTATCGATCAAAGCAGCCAATTCGTCAACTTCAAGAGCGCACTGATTGTTGAGCTGCACACATGCAAAGTCCCGCAATCGTGCTCCAGCCTCGACTTGCACGGCGACGGAGCCAGGCTGTGGCAGTAGTCGCGGGGCAACAATCAAAAACGCTGTAGGGTTGATTCGAAGGCAGTCGAGATGTGCCTTTAGCTCACAGGCCAGAAGATGTAAAGACTCCAATTCGTCCCGGGAAATTTCAGGCTGCAATATGTATGCTGTGGCATTCTTGACTTGCTGTGGCGTGTTGGGTTGTCGCATGTACCTGTCGATACGACGCCAAGAAGGCTCTGCAGGATTTGAAGTTGTGGTCATGCAAGAGTCTAGTGATGGCGTTTCATAAGTTTGCACCACTATTTGCGTATCGGGTGACATTTTGGCCAGTGACGCCGATGTCTCGTTGTACGCAGTGCAGACCTGAAGTTTTGTTTTTAGCGCGGTTTCAGCATCTTGCATGGATGATGTAGACCAACCTGAATGATTGATGTGATTCCGGTGGTTGGCCATTCCAATTGGCCCAGGAGAGGAACGAGATCGATGCTCGCATGACCCTTGTCCGTCAAGACTGTCGCAAGGTAGTCGTCCATTGGGCTGACACTTCTGCAGTAAGCTGCCCATTGACGAGCTGCTTGAGGCTCCTTCGCAAAAGGATCCTGAACTGCTGCAAAATTGTAGCCTGTGGGGTTCCAAGTTGGGACAGACTGTGTCATCGATGCACCGGTGCACTGATGTGATGCCGCCATGAACTGCAGCGCCGCGGGGGCAATCTGCTTTGCAAGGAACATGGCAGCATCAGATGAGGAGAGGTCTTCTGTGTATGCCGCGGAAAAGGCCGTGTGCGCAACGCAGAGACGCTCAGATTCGTGTAGGAAACCAGCAGTCGCCGTCAACCTCACCACGCGGCAGAGTATGTGCTCTGGAGCATCGGCGAGAGCTGAGAGTTCTCTGACGGAGATGCAGCCATTCACAGGTACGCAGGCGAGCACCTGGAACTCCCCCAGCCATTTGAGACAGGCAAGAAGCTGAACCTGCAATGAAGGCGTCAGTCACGGAATGGAGACCAGACCTGGAGCCTACTCACATGCGATGCTAGCTGGAAGAGGAAGCCGCGGGGCTGAGCTAACAGCGCTGTGGTGCGATACAGGCTAGCATAAAGTTTTTGCTCGGCGGCGGCGATGCTCTCGCGAGACTCAGTGGGGGCAGAGGAACCATTGCTCTTCAAGAGGCTGCTTGCTTCATCTTGGCAGAGGGCCTTGAGTGCAGTGGCAGATTCAATCAAATCTGAGCACAACGCGTTGAGCTGACTGATCTCCATAGTCAACAAGTCCGGTGTCTGGATCCACGGCCAGCTTAGAAAGATTGAGCGGGCTTACATGCATCCTCACGCCGCATAATTCGCGGCATTGTGTGAGCTCCAATTCCCAAAGAGATACGGTTCGTTTGGTCCGGGTCATTTTCATAGCATAGACTTGGCAGAAGGATGATCCCCCGCTCGGTTCCTGAATCCTGGCCATCGACGCTAATCCCGTCCTTCGCGCCTCAGATCCTGCAGGTACCAACCCTGCAAGTTTCAAAGTCGTGAGACTAGCTTCACCGCAAACTGTATGTTTTGTCAAGGATAGACGGTTGGAACTTTGGATCCACCTCACTTTCCTTCCATTTGTTGCCAAGCCTGGTGGAAGTTGTACCCAATGAACACTTTGCTCGGTTGTTGCTCAGCGCATCTCTGCGTCGGAAGTTATTCGACGATCAAGGACCCACTCTCGCTACATTTTTTGCGAGAATTAATCCACTGCCGACGCACGAGCACCGGCATGCACGTGGGGACGGCTATGATGTGTAAACGATCCGACGCAAAGAGATGCTGTATGTCAACAGAGGAAATCGAAAGTCTGCTGAGCGGCTACTTATCTGAACATCGCCACTGTCTGGCCTGCATCGGCGTGATCAACGACACACATCGTCAATGCCATCGAACCATTCCAGTCGCGAGCAATGTCGTTTGCGTATTCCTCGCAAATGGCCTGAGTGATTGTTCGTTCCTTTGGCCGTGCACTTCGCTTCTCAACGGCTTGTTTGAAGTGGTTCGCTTCCTAGTGTCGAGCGAGCAGCCGTAACCTCAAAATCCTACACCAAGCCACTATCTACGCGAAGCAGCGCAAAATTCGTCGCTCACGAGCGGCAGCAAGGTCTTGGACGAGAGATTGAAGTACTYGGAAGACGGAAGCCCACCGGCTTGATGATGATCCATCGCGATCATCTCCACCTTCTCATTTTCCTCATTCGAAAATTTGCTTCACTCGAGAGTCGAGATTCACACGCCGGACAATTCCATCGGTAGATGGACGGTCGGAAGTTTAAGATGATATCACCATGGACAGGGTATAGCTGCTAATCACTCCATCCGATAAGACGAGGCGTGAAAGCAACATGGTTTGACGTGGAACGTCTTCGTGCATACGAGTGGTAGCGGCCGTTGCCCGCCCGCTTCCTTCGACGCACGACTGGCGGCTTAGTCTGGTGAGTTGAAGTACCTGATCTCTGTCGGACCGATCGACCACTAAAATGTACGATACGTTGTATTATTAGGTTGTGTGCTGCGGAGCGACTCCGGAAACTGCGTGATTGACAGTGAGACACGTTTCTCCCACGTGGGATCGTGGTGGATGGTTTGCGGTACAGGCAACGATGACGATCTCCTCGATTGTAGTATGAGCGTGGCCAATGGACGTGCGTGCTAAGCCATAGTGACTGTCGCTAGATGCAACGCCATAAGCCTTCGGTAAGTGGCTTGGCTTGGTGTTTGATAGTGACCCTGATTGCGCCCTGATTGCGCCTCGTCAATGCTCCCTAGAACCTGTCTTAGGCGTACGGGGTACAGTCCGAGCTCCCAGGGATCAATAACGTGCTCCTGTGTGGTTGTTGGAGGGGTAGTTGCAGTGTTACGACCCTCTTCTTGCCTACCACAAGGATGCCGGACCATTCACAGTCCAACGATACACACGGGTCGTGGCAAGTTGCTGTCTCAATCCCATCCCACGTAGGTGAGACTCCCACATGTTCCTGTTCTTGTATGCGGATAATAAGGACCTGTAAGAGTCGAGCATGTCTGAGACTAAGGTTCGAGCTCGGGCCGAAAGGCTCGAAAGGGCACACCGCGGCTCTTGCGCGAGCTCTTTGGTCGCCGAATAGGGCTGAAGACTTTCAGATGTCAGAACCATCACTGTGACCCCGGAAATGAAACGAACCTAATCAGGGCTCACCGTTCTTCCCGCCTGTTGCCGAAATACGTACTGGTGCTGGCGTGGGCGCGCTAGTCCATAAACCAGGCTGCGCGGCCTCACCAACGCAGCGGGGGATCCACGGTCCATGCGCGTAGGTTGTGGCAGCCTGCGYATCCAGCTCAGGCACAGACGAAGATGAGCCCTCGTCAGATAGTGATAAGTGTCGAGGACGCCGGTTTTGTGCACTTCACCACATTGCTGCACACCATTGTACCCCTGTGCAACTTTTCTCTCGGTCATGGCCACCACCACTCCCCGCAGCACCGATGTTACCAACGAGCAGCAGCGAAACCCTCGCATGGGAAGCAAAACACGCGGCAGCTGTCAGGCGTGTGCCAATGTCAAGGTGCGATGCAGCAAGGAAAGGCCAACGTGTTCGCGGTGTGAGGACCGCGGGCTGGTGTGCGAGTATCTGCCGTCCAAGAGGCCCGGGCGGGTTCCCGGGAGCACAAAGGCGGCGAACCCAGATGGTTCCACCGCACCGAGTCGTCGTCGCCGCCRAACGTTGCAGGGGGAGGGCGGCAGCAATAGCAGAGTGCCGACGGTGCGGAACCCCTCTGGACAGCAATCGCATCTCGCCCGAGCAGAACGCTCCGCCGCCGAGCCCATCTCACCGCCATCCACCTCGTCTCACGACCCTGACTTGACCACGGGTCTGGCTGACGACTCTCCATTCCTGGGCTCCTCGGGCAGTGCAATGGACTACTGCTTTGGCTCGGCCGACAACAGCGGAGCCCATCCAATGACCCTGGACATGGACATGATGAACACGGGCATGGATTTGGATATCAACCCGGACTCGGGAGCCGACATTGACTGGGAAGCGCTCATCGCTCAGACCGACTTTTCGCAAATTGACATGTTGTCGTCAAACAACTTCTTTTTGCCCGCCATCGCTTCGACGGACCGTCCCGCTAGCGGCAGCGCTATGGATGCAGGGGAGATCTCCCCTCACTCGACTGCCTGCCCTCCGCTGAACAACCGACATCAATCTTTTGCGGGTCCCAATTTCACCTTCAGCCCGCAGATGCTGGCGTCGCCATCGTTATTGTCGTCCTCATCATCCTCGTCGTCCTCCGCGTTGGGATTGCTGTCCAGYGCTACGAGCGTTAATGGCGCCGCCTCGCAGGAGTGCATTACTCCTTGCCAGTGTATGCTCCAGGCGCTCGACTTGGTCAAGACTCTCGCTTCAACCCCTACATCGGGCTCCGATGGGACTCCCCCGACGAACAATGCTTTTGCGCAGCGCATCATCAGCCTCAATCGACAAGCCATTCAAGTTGCCATGACGGTGCTGGAATGCTCTTTGTGCAGCGACGATCGCTTCGTTCTCATGGCCTTGATGATGGCCACTACGAAGATTCTGGGTCGCTACGCGCTAGCCGCCGCATTATGCGGCGCCAGTTCCAATGCCGGCACCAGTTCCCAGGCCACGAGCTCGGTACCAACGCCTAGCTCATCATATATGGCGCAGGAATCYCGCCCGAGTCCAGAATGCTTCAGCCGTCTGATTGAGATTGCACGCGCTCTGAGTGAAGACTCCCTTTCGTTCCAATCCATCACGAGCAGCACATGTGGCGATTGGTGTCCTAGGCGCGAAGACGTGCAACGCGTTCTCCAAGAACTGCATGGAGTGCAAAGACTTTTGACGCAGCTGTCAAGACGACTATGGAGTATGCCTTCGACCAACGTCAGCTCAAAAGTCGGCGATGGCTTTTTCGACTCCCAACCTGCGCAGGTCTCTCAAGGCAACCACTTTGACAGCTATAGTAATAAGCAGTCTCTGCGAGGTGCTTCCCCCTCCGGCTCTACCGCGGTTGCTACAAGTAGTGGTAGTCCACTTGCGACCCCGCTTCCTCCTGATATGCTCAGCCAGATGGAAGAAAACTTGCGGAGGAATCTATACCTATTCTCAGCAGCGATGAGAAATGTGCTGAAGAATAGCTGAACATTTCAAATAGACTTAACTTTAGTCACAAGGAGATGCATTTTCTCATCAACGACTGCAATTCCCACCAACATCATGCTTGCAAACGCGATCGAGAATCTCTCCTAATGTGACCCTTTTCAGTTTCGTTCAGATGGCTTCTGAGCTCTGTCGTCCGAGCTAGGCTGTGACTGTGATTGCAAGAAGCACTGCGACTGGTCGGGTAGAGCCCTTTCCATCGATCCAAACCTACTGACACACATACCCCACATCGGCATGATGGTCAAAGAAATGTTCAAGTAGCAAAGGAACTGTTTCTAAGTGCATTCCAGAACAAACGATCTAAAATAATAATCGATCCACCGCATCCGATCAAGAAGGTCCCGTTCCCGAAGGAAGATACTCGTGCAAGAAGGGGAAATAGAAGCGCAACAAGCCAAACAAGATACATCTGGGCGTCCCACCCGGAAACTTTGCCTTCCCATTGGCATTCACAACACCAACATTTTTATTATCCCAGCGACCCTTCTCATCGCTCGCCGCCTCAATCATGCCCGCCGCGATATCCAAGTATGAAACAAACGACTCTTCATCATCGAGAGTGAGTCGATGTCCACGCTGGATATCCAACGATAATCCTCCAGGTTTGATATACACGCACTTGACCCAGTCCTCGTTGGCTCGGAGGATGTCTTCGGCGAGCTCCAAATCCTTGTAGACGTGCCAGGCGGATCTGCGAACAATGGCGTTGACCCAAGGGTTCTTGCGACTTATCCAAGGGTCGATGGTTGCGGAGGACAAGAGGACGAGTCTTGGGATGGCTGCACCGGCATCTTTCGATTTCTTGAGTGCTGCAATTACAGTTCGGACGAGATCTTGACTGATGTGGCAGTTGGGGATGTTGTCGTTGGTTGAGGCTGTGAGGAAGACGGAACTGCACTCCCACATGGCTTTGGCGAGGACGTCGACATCGGTGATGCTGCCGGTGTAGACTTCCACTCGGGTTGTGTTGGCGACTGCGGGAGCCAGGCGGACCAGCTTGCTTCTATCGCGACAGTAAACTTTGATCGTTGCATCCGTGGTTTCTAGAAGGAGGTTGAGTAGTGCCAGTCCGCAGTTGCCGGTTGCGCCGAGGATGGAGTAAGATGCCACCATGTTGACGAATCTGAACCTGGTTCAGTAAGGAAGCGTTGCACAAGAACGGAAAACGGTCGACGAATGTATTGCGTTGGATGTTATGACTTGCACGCACTCATCAGTGACGCTCCAATATCGGGATTCTCTTGATCCGAAACTCCGTTCCTCGAGAACCTGCATTGTCCCGAGTCGAACGTTCCACCATCATGCCATCCATGTATGCATACATTGAAAGGTGCAACAGCACAAATTCCGAAGTCTTGGGTCTTGTAAATGTTCCGCTTTCGCGATTGACCCGCGAACCCTTGGACGCGAGAAAAAGCCGGAGGATGGAACCTGGCATTCACCGAACAGATAAGACTGCAAGTCAAGGTTGCGGAAATGATATTGAAGTACTCTCTTCACGCTTAATTCAGGAGATCAACAACTTGACCATCTCAACTCACCCTACTGTCGTACCTTGAGCCCGAACGAATCACCTCGCCACCATGTCTGCAGCATACGTTCCTGGCCGTCTCGACGGTAAAGTCGCCATCGTCACTGGCTCTGGTCGCGGAATTGGCGCCGCTGTCGCTATTCACCTGGGAAAGCTTGGAGCCAAGGTTGTTGTCAACTACGCTGCTTCCAAGACACACGCCGAGAAAGTTGTCGCGACGATCAAGGAGAACGGATCTGAGGCCATTGCACTTCAAGCTGACGTGCGTAATGTCTCCGAGACAGTCAAGCTTTTCGAGGCCGCTGTCGCACACTTCGGTCACCTAGACATCGCTGTCAGCAATGCAGGTGTTGTTAGCTTTGGCCACTTCAAGGATGTCACCGAGGAGGAGTTTGACCGGGTTTTCAACCTCAACACACGTGGCCAGTTCTTCGTCGCACGCGAGGCTTACAAGCACCTTAGCGAGGGAGGCCGCATTATCATGACGTCGTCCAACACTTCCAAGGACTTCAGCGTACCAAAGCACTCCCTCTACTCGGGTTCCAAGGGCGCCATCGACTCGTTTGTGCGCATCTTCTCCAAGGACGCCGGCGACAAGAAGATCACCGTCAACGGCGTGGCACCTGGCGGCACAGTCACAGACATGTTCCACGATGTATCCCAGCATTACATTCCTGGAGGCGAGAAGTTCAGTCCAGAGGAGCGCCAGAACATGGCCGCTCACGCTTCGCCATTGCACCGCAACGGATGGCCAGAGGATATTGCCAAGGTTGTGGGTTTCCTTGCCAGCAGTGAGGCCGAGTGGATCAACGGAAAGGTCCTGACATTGGACGGAGGTGCGGCCTAGATTGCCAGGAAAAGCGGTCCTTTTGCATCGCACATAGTTGTTGAGATACTCCAGTAGTGATAGACTTGCAAATTTTGTCAGAAGTGCTTTCGTGGCTTGAGATGAATGGAGAGTGTCCTTGTTCAAAATGCTTTCTCTCCAAGTTCAATCTTGAATGTCTTCTTCGAGTTGGTGTCAGTTGATATGTCTGTCATGGTAGTGTTCCGCCTTTATGACTCAGCGGGATRGACCGCCATGGCTGTGACAGCGCGTTGTCGTCACTTGACGCCCCTCCAAGCATACCAGTCGGATCGATTGGAGGGCGCACCCTGTCTTCGCTTGCTCCATGGGCCGAGAACCTTGCTTCGCCGCAAAGCTCTGACATTTCCACCCAGAACATGCAGAACATGTGGGAACAGCGCACACCAGACCCCGGTTTATCATGTTCTCGCTGGGTGAGTGAGATGGAAGAAAGTGCGTGGCAATCCTCCGCCTTCCCACACGTGACGTTCACTTTACCATGATCAAGCGCTTATTCATTAAAATTAGAACAAGACGTAGCGCCGCTGCCCTTCTTCTCACGGTCGGGACATTTCACAAAGGAGATCATCGAAAACGAACGCCGCGAGGACTTCATTTCAGCAAATGTTCCGCTGACAAAACGGAGAATTCATTCAATATATATCATGATACATCCCTCTGATCCCTGCAGGCTGCTGCTTCCAACAAACCAACCACCATCTACAGTTTTCGTCGTCATCGGCCTCTCAAGCGTAGATCGTAGATCTTCTGCTGCATTCGCTGTTCTGCCTCCGGCATACCTTCCTTTTTTCACCCTCCTTTGTTCTGCCCTCCGGACCCGCGGGGCCCGCACAGAAACTCTGGCCTTTTGAATAAAGATCACTGCTCTCCACAGTCTTCCTGCTTGCCGGACATTGCGACGGCTGCACCATCGTTGTCAGGAATGAAATAACGAGGTCTGATTTGTAGACCCAGCTGTCAATTTCGACCAAGCCCGGCGACAAGCCACTTCTTTTAGCAAAATGGCCGTCGAATCGTACGAACTCCCGTCCAGATCGAAGGAGCGACCGACAACATCTTCCACTGGTTGGCAATTGGAAAAGGTCGATTCAAACGATCCAACCGAACGATCGCCAGCAACTTCCGTGCATAATGAATCGACTGAGAAACCCGAGGAAAAGACGGGCAGCTTCAAGGATTACATGGTTGGTGAATATGCCCACAGCTAGAGAGCGGCTCGCTAACGCGCGACTACGTACAACAGAGGCTGTTCCAATATTCYGATCGATTGGATATAACCCTTTATTTCGTTTCATTCATCTGTGCTATTGCCTCCGGAGCCTCGCTTCCGTTGATGGCCTTGATTTTCGGCTCTTCAACGACATCTTTCAACAATTTCGGCAGTGGAAGTGACAGCGCAGACGCCTTTCGCAAAAATGTCGACGGCCTGGTACTGTGGTTTGTGTATTTGTTCATCGGAAGATTCGTCGTCGGCTACATTGGCACTTTGTGCTCATGTGTCGCCGGTGCTCGAACCACAAACGCAGTTCGGAAAGCCTTCCTTGAGAGCCTATTGAGGAAACAGATCTCGCATTTTGATGCCAGCGATAATGGCTCCGTGGCAGCGCAGGTCACTACCAATGGCTCTCGCATGTGAGTCTCAAACAATCGATCGGCAACTCTACTCTAGCTAACCTCTGCGTTTGACATTTAGCAACACAGGTATCGCAGATAAGCTTTACAATGGCGTCCAAGGTATTGCGCTCTTTTTCTCGGCATTCATCGTTGCCCTTTATAAACAGCCTGTAAGTTGTGAAGACTGCATCTGCAGAACAGCTCGACGATCCCCCCAGCGTTGTGCTAGGTCTTTGGCCCATATCCGTATTGCTTGAATTATCGCTGACTGCTTTTACTTTGCCTCCAGGTTCTGGCGATCATCACTATGAGCATCATTCCATGTATCATGCTGGGTATCGGAGGCTCTATCGCGCTTGATGCTCCGATTGAATCCAGGATTGTGAGTTATGAAGTCAACCAACAAATCTATCATACACTGACTGTTATATGCACCTAGAATGCCATCTATTCTCACGCTGCGAATATCGCGCAAGATGCACTCGGCTCCGTCAAGACCATGTTCGCTTTTGGAGCCGAGAAGCAAATTGTACAGCAGTACGAGGAACAACTGGCCAAGGCCCATGAGGAGGGAAAGAAAAAGTCCCTGATCTATGGCGTCCTCTTCTCCGCCCAGTACTTCTTCGTGCTTTCTGGAACCGCACTCGCTTTCTGGCAAGGATTCCGCATGTTCCAAAGTGGACAGATTGCAAATGCGGGTGTCGTCATGACCGTGGTGCTCAGCGTGTCACTCGGAGCGACTTCCGTGATCTCGGTCCTGCCCCTTGTAATGGCAATCTCTAACGCGGTCTCGTCTGCTGGTGAACTTTTTGCCGTTATAGACAAGCCAACTACCATCGATCCTCTTTCCCCCGAGGGTAAGAAGCCGGCATCATTCGCTGGCGACATCGAGTTCCAAGATGTGCGCTTTGCTTATCCCGCCCGCCCAACAGCCACAGTTCTTCATGGCCTCAACCTGCGCATCCCAGCTGGAAAGACAACCGCTCTGGTTGGACCTAGTGGCTGTGGAAAGTCTACAGTCGTTGGTCTGCTCGAGCGCTGGTATGAGCCTTCGTCGGGCCACGTCTTGCTGGATGGAGAGGACATTGCCAACTTCAACACTCAATGGGTGCGCAGCAATATCCGACTGGTGCAGCAGGAACCAACCTTGTTCACAGGAACCGTGTTCCAGAATGTGGTCAATGGACTTGTCGGCGAGCAATGCAACATGACCGAGGAAGCTCAGATGCAGCTTGTCAAGCAGGCTTGCAAGGATGCGGATGCCCACGATTTCATATCCAAATTGCCAGAGGGATACTATACCCAGATTGGAGAGCGTGGCGGTATGCTGAGCGGTGGGCAGCTGCAACGAATCTCCATTGCCCGCAGTATCATCTCCGACCCCAAGGTGTTGCTTTGTGACGAGGCAACTAGCGCTCTGGATCCTCGTGCGGAAACGGTGGTTCAGGCCGCTTTGCAGCACATCTCGACAACCAAGCACATCACTACCCTGATCATTGCTCATAAGCTCACCACGGTCATGGCTGCAGACAACATCGCTGTCATCAACAGCGGTAGAGTTGTCGAACAGGGTTCTCACAACGAGCTGCTCCAGCGCGACGGCCTCTACGCCGCCATGGTACGTTCTCAGGACCTAGGAACTGGAAGTGCGCGCGACGAACCATCTTCCATCGAGAATGAGAAGCAAGATGTACACGGCTCTGAGAWGGATCTCCAACGGACACAGTCTGAATCCGCGGCCAAGTTACAACAGCAATCAGTGGAATACCTCTCAGCCGGAACACTCAACTACTCGATCCTGAAATGCGTCTACATTATGATCAAGGAGAACGGATCGCTATTGCCTTGGTATCTGGTCCTGTGCGCGGCCTATGTCATGGTTGGCGGCACATATCCCGCACAAGCCGTCATCTTCGCTAAACTCATCAACGTCTTCATCCTACCCGCAGCAGAGGCAAAGACCCAGGCAGACTTCTATGCGCTCATGTTCTTCGTGGTCGCACTTGCTAACCTCGTCGGGTACTTTTTCGTGGGCATTTCGACAAACGTTATTGGGCAGACCATGACCCACCGCTACCGTCGCGAAATGCTGGAACACATTGTGTCCTTTGATCTGGACTTTCACGACTGCCCGGAGAATTCTTCAGGAGCGCTCACAGCTCGGCTTTCATCCGTACCTGCGGCCATCCAGGAGCTGATGGGTCAAAACATCGGATTGTTTCTTACCGTTATCGTGAATGTAATCGCATCCAGCCTCCTCGGGATCGCATATGGATGGAAGCTTGGTCTCACTGTCGTTTTCGGCGGCTTGACCGTCATCATTGGCGCTGGCTTCATTCGAGTTCGACTGGATCAGGCCCTAGAAGCGCAGACGGAAAAGCAATACTCCAAGAGCGCTAGCTTGGCTGCCGAAGCCGTAGGCGCCATCAGGACGGTCAGTTTGCTGACCATGGAGACATCGGTGCTAGAGGAATACAAGGGAGTGCTGGATGGCATCGTATCACAGGTCATTCGAAGCTTGGTAAGTCAAACGTCTGCATTCTGAAAACACGAGCTAACTTCCAAACAGATTGTCACATTAATACCTTACATCTTCTCGCAATCTGCGGAATTTCTGGTCCTTGCACTGGGTTTCTGGTACGGCAGTCGCTTGGCCGCCAGTGGAGAGTACACCATTACACAATTCTTCACCATCTTTATTGCCGTGGTGTTCGGAGGACAAGCCGCCGCCCAGATGTTCACGTACACCACATCTTTGACCAAGACTGTGAGCGGCGCCAACTACATGCTATGGCTTCGGACCATCAAGCCCACCATCCGGGTCACGGACGACAACAAAGACCGCGGACCTACTGGAGACGATTTGACCGTACGAGCCGACAAACTTGAGTTCCGTTACAAGCAGCGAATGTCGACACCGGTTCTCAAAGGCATCTCGATCCAAATCAATCCCAGCTCTTATGTAGCATTTGTTGGACCTTCGGGCTGCGGAAAGAGCACCGTCATTTCCCTACTGGAGCGATTCTACGACCCAACTGCCGGCAGCTTGACCGTGAATGGAGATGCCATCTCTAGCCTTTCGCCAGTGTTGTACCGACGGCAATTGTCCCTCGTGCAGCAGAACCCTCCACTCTATCTCGGCTCCGTCCGTGACAACATCTGCGTCGGACTTGATAAGGATCCTTCTGACTCGGAGATTCGATCTGCATGCGAGCAGGCGAATGTATACGACTTCCTCAAGTCCCTACCAGAAGGCTTGAACACAACCTGCGGCTCTCGCGGTCTGCAATTCTCCGGTGGTCAGAGACAGCGAATTGCTGTTGCGAGAGCTTTGATCCGAAATCCCAGAATCCTCCTACTGGACGAAGCAACCTCAGCATTGGACACGCACAGTGAGAAGATTGTCCAAGAAGCGCTGAACCGAGCAGCTGCGGATCATGGACGTGTTACTGTTGCTGTTGCACATCGTCTCAGCACGGTCAGGCACGCGGACACCATCTTTGTGGTTGAAGCAGGGAATATTTATGAGCAAGGAACACACGATGAGCTTTTGGCGTTGAGAGGAAAGTACTACGCGATGTGTTTGGCACAATCTTTCGATCAGGGTTAGCGATTGCCAGACTTGGCTATAGATTAATAGATTGTACGACTATAATGCATGTTTTTTGTGGAACGATCTTATCGCTCCATTCGTCCTCCTCCGCTGTCTTTCGCCGTTCTCCATTCGTTCCATCCGGGTACCAACCTCCTGGAACATAGCACACCTAGCCCTGCGCGGTGTTCGGATTTAGCCGGACTTTACAGAGTGGATCAAGGTGAGGCTTAATAGACAACAGTATAGCTACACTGCATTACCCACAAAGCGCGCCTGATGCTAGCTCCTTACATCGAATTGCTATAAGAAAGGTAACGTTCAAATGAAACGTGTCCATGCATTTTCGCATCAATGTACGGGTCGATTTGGCCCGTCAAGGACTTCTCGGCGGAATCCTCGCGGTTTAGATATACCGCAAAAAAAAAAAGCCATGATTGCTCCGTACCCAGAACCCGACCCCGAAGGCTCAGGGAGAGATGCTCCATAGTATACCTTAGCTATGTATACCGAAAGGCGATATACTCCTGTTCATTCCAAGCCTGCACCAGCTTGTTAAAATCCGGAGAAAAAAAATTGCAAACCGCAAGCAAGCAAGCAAGCAATTCCGCCCCCCCCCCAAATCCAGCTCCTCCAGCTCCACCACGATGGCACCTAATCTTCGTGTCCTCATTGTCGGCGCTTCCATAGCGGGGCCTATGACGGCTTACTGGCTGGGGAAATGTAATGTGGACATTACTGTTATTGAAAGATTTCCCAGTCTGCGAAAAGGAGGACAGGTTGTTGATATCAGACATTGTGGAGTTACTATAATACGAAAGGTCCCAGGTCTGGAAAAGACGCTTGTTGAGAGGGCGGCACCATTGCAGGGTACGTACGAACATCACATCAAAGACTGTCACACCCGTGATGGATTGCTAACTTTTTTGCATTTTTACAGGCTTGCAGATGGTCGGCAAGAGTGGAAAGCCCCTCGTAGCAGTAACGCCCACAGGAATCCCCGAAGAACAATTCCTCATTTCCGACTTTGAGATTTTCCGCGACGACCTCGCAACGATTCTCTTCAACCTCACAAAAGACAACCCGCGCATCAAATACGTCTTCGGCGAGCAAGTCAAAGCTCTACGACAAGAAGGCGATAAAGTGCATGTGGAATTCCTCAACGGACAACTCCCCAATTCGGAATACGATCTCGTCGTCGCTGCAGACGGAGCAACATCTCGAACTCGAGCATTGGGGTTCGATTGTACTGTGAGAGACCATACGGAACCTTGGAATGCTTGGGCGGCGTATTGTACGATTGAAAAGAATATTCTGGGACATGCCAATATGGGGGAATTCAGCGTCTCGACTCCTGGACGTGGGATTATGATTGGACCGGATCATGATTCTAGGTACAATCGTGTGATTCTCATGAGTAACAATCCTAGGGATAAACCTGAGAGACTGGAACCTTTCTTCGAAGCGGTCAAACAAGGCGATCAAGCTACGAAACAGTGGTTGAAGGAATTCTTCAAGGGACATGGTCGCGATGATATTCTGAACGCTGTGGCTGAATCGGACAGCTTGTATGCGGCGGAGAACTTGCAAGTCAAAATGCCCTGTTTGAACAACAATAATGTCGTACTGGTCGGCGACGCGGGTTACTCTCCCGGTCCAATTGGTACGGGCACCACACTCGCCATTACTGGAGGTTACATTCTCGCGGGAGAAATCAATGATCATCCTGGGGATTTGGCGGGAGCTTTGAAGGCTTATGCGGAGAGAATGCAGCCTATCATTGATAATATGCAGAAGATTCCTCCCGGATTCCCATCTGTGCTTACGCCGGAGACGGATTGGGGACTTTGGGTTAGGGATACTATTCTTTGGGTTGCGCATTATGTTATGGCTGTGTCGAGATTCARACCTGTTGCTGCGTTGTTTAGATGGGTGGCGGGGATTTATTGTATAGCTTGGGCGAAGGATTTGTATGGTGTGCCGGATTATCAATGGAGGGCTATTTAGTTCTTCTGGCGTTGATGCTGAGGGAAAGTTCGAATGGGTGTTCTGGGTACTTTTTTGATGAAGGCGTTGGATATACATTGCTCTACTTTTGTCTCGTTTGTATACATATATCTTGTATTGGGAGCTGCTGACCACAACTCGACTCCAGTCTCAAGTTGATATTTCGGGTGGTAWCTTCACGCCTGGGTATCATCGACGAGGCTCGTTTGAATTTCAGATATCGTTAGAAACACTCTCTATCTACTTCTATGCACATGTTCAATGCTCTTCTAACACTACATCGATCCTGCGTCTCCATTAGGCGTCGGTGGTCGTAACTCGGGAAGGAGAATAAAGTGAAGATCAATCTTAACTACTACCGGGCGTAACACCGAGCACGTACTTCTGCCTTGTAACCTCTCGTCATCGAGATGCAATCATAACGTCAGAGGCCTGTTGTTAACGAACAATTGGAAATGATCGAGGATCTCATCTCGAAACACCGAATCAAACGCTAGAATGTCATTCATTCAAGTGGCCCAACAATAGGACTACCTTCACAGTACGACTCAGCGAACCCATCACGGCAAAAGTTCAAAAATAACCACTACCAAGGCGTAGTCATTCTAAGAACGAACTCGCATATGTTCCGGAAGCGCAACCAACAAGGAACTAATAGGAGAGTGAAGTAAGCTTGGTATTCAGCGCCTTCGCGCATCGGAGTGACATCCTCGAAGCACTGCACACAGTACACGTCTTCTGGGAGCTAGGAGTATTTGAATCCAATCCACCGCAACCAATTGGTGTGATTTGAGGACAAGGCATGAAGGGGTAGAACTAGGTACTATGGAGATTTTTACTCCGATGTGTCCACCAAATTGCTCGGGTTATATGCACGGCATAGCACAACGAACCTCTCCCATCGAGCAAAGGCTTTGATATACCTCTTGGACAATCTGTAGTTGCCACACGTCGTCTATTTTGCACGAAAAAGTTTTCAAGAGATGGAAAAACCAAACCGAACCGTTCTAATTTCTGGATGCTCAGATGGRGGCATCGGCGCAGAATTGGCCAAAGAACTCCACAACGCAGGACTAAAAGTCTACGCCACAGCCCGCAAAACCGCCAGCATGGCAGAACTGGAAGCGCTGGGAATCGAAACTCTCCAACTCGACATACAATCCGAGGAATCAATCCAGGATTGCGTCCGCCTGATTCCTCGACTGGATATACTCATCAACAACGCAGGCATGCAATACACGATGCCCGTCAGCGACATTTCCCTCAAAGACGCCAAAGCGGTCTTCGACACCAATGTCTGGGGACATATTGCTTTGACGCAACATTGCCTTCCTTTACTCCAGGAATCTGTCTCGCCGATGATTGTCAATCATACTTCTGTTGGATCGACCATGTCCATGCCTTTTATGTCTGTCTACAATGCTTCCAAAGCAGCTCTATCCATGTTTTCGGATTGTATGCGTCTGGAACTTGCACCTTTTGGTATCAAAGTCATTAATTTGAAAACCGGAGCCGTTAAGACGAATATCATTACGAAATTGGCGGCGAAGGAGGCCGAGGTTCCTGGGAATTCCATTTATTTCCCCGCGAAAGAGGCGTTATCGGGCACTTTACGTGGAGATGGAATGAAAGATGGGGGAATGCCTGCTGATCAATGGGCGAAACAAGTCGCGAAGGATTTGCTCAAAGCTAATCCTTCGTCGAATGTATGGCGAGGGCAAGGGGCTACGATGGTGTGGATTTTGGGATTGTTTCCTTATGGTACTTTTGACTTTATGCTGAAGAAGATTAGTGGGCTTTCAGATGTTGTTAAGGAGCTTTCGAAGCAGGGGAAGTTGGGGAGTAAATGATTCTTCTTTGGAGGAGGAGATATTTGGAGTTGTGCTTGAATTATGCAATGGAGGCTTGGGAGCAGAATGCACTCCTGTGAAGATGAACGAGTTGTGATTGAGCTATAATTATGTAACATGATTTCTGTTCCGGAYTTGATATCAACATTTTACATTCTTACTGCTATCAGGATTGATACGTGAATCGACATATAGGCAACACATGATTTTGAAAAAGCCATTCCATCAGAATCTCAAACGCAACACCGCTGAGCATAATCTTCGAGTCTTGATGTGGAAGAGTCTTGTTCCACATCTATGTATGTGAGGTTCGCTGATTAGTGCAGTGACTGTATGGACTCACACAACTATGAGTGCATCGATCCAAGGTATAATCAGGTAATCACGGTCCGCCCGCGGAGCAGTTTCGATGTCGTCGGCTCTACCTCTCTTGTTCCCGGCCTTGCTCGGGGCAGCGGGGAATAGTGAGAATCGCCTTTTAACGAAGGCTGGTATTGTCCCRAGAAAATCGAGAGATGGATCACGCGCGCGATATAGTCATCTTTGCTTAATACATCGGGACATCCACAGATCGAACTTCAGTCATCCAATCTCGATTCATCCATCCAAGCAGTGTTGAAAAATGACCGAGACATCGAGTAAAGTGGCTTCCTACGAAGGTAAGATCCATCGTTTCTCCTGAGCTAAAAAAAGACACGACTGACGATATTCCACGAATAGACGTGCAGCTGTGCGAGGCTGCACTTTTCGAATGGGCGGAAAGCTACGACACGAAGGACTGGGACAGACTTGCAAAATGCATCGCTCCGACTCTCTACGTAAGCAGCATGACACTGATGGATGGTGTACGAAAAATGACGCATTGAAGAACTAACACTCACCTCAAGATCGACTATCGAACCGTAATGGGTAAAATCTGGGAAGAAATGCCCGCGAAGGATTTCCTAGGCATGGCATCGGACGGGCACTTTCTGGGCAATGCGCGAATTAAAACGCAACATCTCGTCGGAGCGACGAAATGGACTCGGATTAGCGACACTGAGATTACTGGTCTGCATCAGATGCGTGTGGCGCATCAGAAATACAAAGATGACGCTTTGACGGAGGTGCTGCATAAAGGTCACGCGCATGGCAAATCCACCATTCAGTATCGCAAAGTCGATGGGGTTTGGAAATTCGCCGGTTTGACGCCGGATATTCGCTGGCATGAGTATAATGTGGACAAGATCTTTGGGCCGGAATGAGTGGGGGAGGTTTGAGGTAGATGGCTTAGCACATCGATGTATTGCAAGACACTCGTTCTTGACGACTCTGAATTCGCCCAACGTTTCGTCCACATTCTCACGCAATTCAATACTAATGCGTTGTTGGGGGTTCATGAGTATTTCGATCCTGTTGATGACGGCCCAAAAGGTCACAGCATTGCATTACATTGCGTCGGCGAGATAGCCAAGTGTTGATCGGCGAGATATTCTAGTCAACCTTTTGATCGGCAAGATGGATGGGCGAACCTTGCATCCCTGCGCCCCGTCAACGATATTACCCGAACGGGAGATATCAGTGAAACTAACTCGATTAAGAAAAGATCGCTTGATCCAGGCACGAATCACAACAAATCGATGCGATCAGTTACTTGGTTTGATTTCACGACAATCGTCTGATGTTTGTGAAGACATTTTGAAAGTGAGTGAATTCATAATCCTTTCTATCGTTTGAGCTTTGCGAGCTCTCTCCATGTACAACATCTGACGGAGGAGTAAAAACGGCCTTGTCCCAAGTAAATAAGTCGCTGAAAAACACTAATTAGATCTCATGTCGTGAATGGAAACTTCGGATGAATGCCAGATCTCCGAATATAAAAACAAACAATATTCTGTCGTCGAGAGTAGAGTTTGGTCTCAAACCGAGACCTCGAGAACTTGTACCGTGACGCCGACCTTCTTCTCTGATTTCAGGCTCAGCTCTGCGCGTTTGCGCTGTAAAGCTTCAACAGAGTACCAAGTTTTGGCACCACCTCGCATTTGGAATGCCACTCGGCCGTCTCCCGCCAGCTTTTGTAGCACTTCGTCGATGAAAGGGACCAGAGCCATGGAACGTGTCTGCTCGTCGAGGGAATCGCCGTATATCTCGGCGACGACGTCTGAGGTGGATGCATGAATTTGTCCTCGTCCGTGTAGTCGACTCAGTGCCTGCATGATCTGCCTCTCACGTCTGAGTTTGCTGGTAAGCTCGCCTAGGATCTTGGCCCGTAGGTTGGGAATCGCCGTTCCGTGTGCCGAGTAACCGACTGTGCAGTTGTGGGTTTGCATCTTCTTCAGACTCTCGATGAACGTCCCGAGATCTTCTACGGCACTTGTGCCAGTACCCAGAATGTTGTCGCCTGGTTGAGGTGTCAGCATGCATATTTACATCAAAGCGGAAGGAGTACTCACCCGTGAACATGGCTTGTTCTTCCTCGAGTACAAAACACATGTGATCATGTGAATGTCCAGGAGCATGCACGGCCCGGACAGTTGCTCCCTCTACGCGGAAGACTTGGTTATCTTCAATGTCTCGCTGCCCTTCTTCCGGATCGTTCTTGAAGACCGAGTCTCGAAGATGTGGATACATGCGGACGAGATCGGGAGCACCGCCTTGATGGTCGCCATGCCAATGTGTGATGAGGACATGTGACAGCGTAATTCCTTGTTCAAGGAACGTCTTCTCGACCAGACGGGCCCACTCGGGCTCGCCGCCGGATGTATCGATGATTAGGCGATGAGAGCCTGTTCCAACGACCTATTGAGAAAGAAAACTGTCAGATATTGTGGCATAGCGCTGGGACAGATGATATTGCACTGACATATGTGTTTGTGCCTTGGAATGTAAAACGGCCGGGGTTTTGACCCAAGATCCGTAGTACTCGAGGGGAAAGCTGTTCCACGACAGGGATGAAAGGAAGGTTCGCAATCTGTCCTGCGAGATATTCCTCGAAAGCACAAACGTTCAACGATTTGCTGATTTGACGGTAACCACCCTTGTCGTCCTCCATTTTGAGAGGTTGGGTTGGGGTTGGTTGGTTGGGTGGGTGTGAGGGTCTGGGGTATCGGGAGAATTATCGATTAGGGGTCGATGTATCGGTTGCAAGTATCGAATGACTGTCGAATGAGTATGAGATGCGAGGTTGATTAGGTTCGGAAGTCTTGTGTGAAAGTATCGTATGAGTATCGAATGTTCAGAAAACGCGGCCGAGATGTAGTAGAGAAGGTTTGGAGAAACCAGGATCCGAAACTCTGTGTGGCGAAAGAGCAAGGATCCGGGGCAAATCTTAATCAACCGCACCAACGTCCAAGTGCTGACCGGCGAGCCAGCCTCTTGTGTTGATATGTTCCGTATGTTGGTAGCGTGCCAAGCCCATGGGCGGCGAACGGGCTCTGCTGCGGCAGCACAGCGTGGACCATCGTCATTGAGCTTTTCAACATGTGTATCAAGCTCCCAGAAGAAAGAGCACAGTGACCTTGACAGATTCCGTCGCCATGGCTTCATTCTGGTATGCACCAGACTGTACCGGCGAGTGAATGAACCTCTAGCTTTGACCCGACTGTGTAAATCTCCTCAGCAAGCATCCATTATCAGCCGCCAAACTCCGCGGTCGGGCTATTGTTTACGCTGAGCGATGAAGCCCTCCGGGCCTCTGAGTCCCACGTTGTGGTAAAGTCTTGGCTGACTCAGTCCTCACATTCACTYACTCACGACGGGAGGATGTTCTCGGTGTGTATATCGCGTGGTAGTGGGTCATTCCAAGTTGWATGTAGATATCCCACGTGTCGTACTAAATACCGCCTATTTCAGTCCTCGAATCCAGAAAGTTGTCTGATCCATAAGAAWCCGCTAATCAGCGTTGCACCTCACCTCACCTGTACACTCATTCATCAACCCTCCATTACCCCCTTACTGCTGGATCTAATCACCACCGCCATCCTTCAGTACAGATGTCTGGTGAGTCCATGACTCCCAGTACAGAGTCCGACTGGGGAAGAGGCAAGATGGATTTGGTTTACTTCAGCAACGAGTTCCCCAAGGAGGACCTGCAGCTAGTCTTTCGACGTCTGCACGCACTCAGCAAGGACACAACCCACCATCTCCTGGCTCGATTCATCGTCGAGGCAACCAGATCGGTCAAAGATGAACTTCGTCAGCTTTCCAGCCAACAGAGAGACCTATTCCCTCCTTTTGAGACATTGCTGGATTGGGTCGAATTCACCGAGCTTCGCGAAGGCACTCTTTGTGGTGCCGTCGATGGTGTTCTTTTGATTGTCGCAGWAGTTGCGGCATACATCACGTAAGTTGTCGCTGTCTYGAGTATTATGCAACGACCATCAAGCTGAACAACGTCCTCAGATATGTCGAAGACCATCCTAATGAGCTGAATGACCCAGCCAATACGGCTCTGACTGGATTGGGAGTCGGTCTTCTTTCATCGACAGCTATTGCAATGTCTTTTACGCCAGCCGATCTACCAATGGCAGGTGCAGATGCTGCGCGACTCGCTTTCCGTATGGGAGTGCATGTTCAGGGCGTCTCTGCGAGCCTTGAAGAGCAAGGCGAAAAGCCTGACACATGGGCATATGTCGTTTACAACGTCGACGAGGCCACTACCCGGAAAGAACTCGAGGCCGCGCAGTCCAAAGAGCTTATACCAGACACGGACAAGATCTTCATCAGTGCCGTCAGTCGTACCTCAGTAACCGTCAGTGGACCCCCGACCAGGCTGAAGCAATTGTTCAACGTTGGATCACGGTTCTTCCGGAATTCCAGGTCAATTGCCCTGCCCGTCTTTGGAGGCATGTGCCATGCACCACATGTTTACGGACCAGAAGACGTCAACAAGATCGTCGAGACCGACGCTATGCACAATCTCAAAAACCAGAGAGAGATTAGGTTGCCAGTCTACTGCACCAGCACAGGTCGACCATATCCCGTCAGGACGTGTGAGGAGCTTTTGAAGGCCATTGTGTCCGAGTTGCTCACTCAAGCAATTCGCTGGGATGAGGTCACGGCCGGACTCACTAGCGCGCTCCAGGTCAATTCCGTCTCAGATGTGATGCTTCACAGCTTTGGGAACAGCGTTCCTCTCTCCGACCTGACGGCCGCCATCGCCGTCAACCTCCCGGAGTTGAAACTGGAGTTCAACAACTTCATCAAGTGGACAGTCGACAACCCACTTCAAGAACCAAAGCCCCGCACAACGAAGCAAGCTAAGCTTGCAATCGTCGGTATGTCGTGTAGAATGCCCGGTGGTGGTACAAGCACCGAGAAGTTCTGGGAGACACTTGAGCAGGGTCTCGATGTGTCCCGAAAGATTCCAATCGATCGGTTCGATATCGAAACACATTTCGATCCAACCGGCAAGGATTTGAACAAGAGCATGACCGAGTACGGTTGCTTCATCGATAACCCCGGCTTTTTCGATGGCCCATTCTTCAACATGTCCCCCAGAGAAGCTCAAGTCGTCGATCCGCAGATGCGCTTGGCGCTTGTAACTGCCTTTGAGGCACTGGAGCGATCCGGGTACGTTGGCAACCGCACTGCGTCCACAAAACTGCAGCGCATTGGTACATACTACGGACAAGCTGCCGATGATTACCGTGAGGTCAACCAAGGCCAAGAGGTCAGCACATACTACATCCCCGGTGGATGTCGAGCCTTTGGACCCGGCCGAATCAACTACTTTTTCAAGTTTGCCGGACCCAGCTACAGCATTGACACTGCTTGTTCTTCTGGTCTTGCAGCGATCGAGGTGGCTTGCCAAGCGCTCTGGAATGGAGACGTTGACATGGCTGTTGCGGGAGGAGTCAACATCCTCACCAACCCCGACGGTTTCGCAGGGCTTTGCAATGGTCACTTCCTGACCAAAGGCCACAATGCTTGTAAGTTGAACAGAATATCTTCCTTTCTCCACTTTTCTCCCGACTGACATACATTCACAGGCAAGACTTGGGATGCTACCGCCGATGGTTACTGCCGAGCAGATGCCGTCGGATCGGTCGTGATCAAACGCCTGGAAGATGCAGAGGCAGATAACGACAACATCTTGGGAGTTGTGCTCGCTGCGGGAACCAACCACTCCGCCGAGGCCGTCTCGATCACGCATCCCCATGCTGGTCACCAAAGCTACCTCGCACGCCAGGTCCTGCGACAAGCTGCCGTCGACCCTCTGGATGTGTCTTACATTGAACTCCACGGAACCGGCACTCAAGCTGGTGACTTTGAAGAGATGTCCGGTATGATGAATGTCTATGCACCCATAACACAGCGTCGCAGTGCAGAGCAGAGCCTTCATATTGGTAGCGTCAAGTCGAACGTCGGCCATAGCGAGTCCGCAGCTGGCTCAACCGCTTTGATCAAGGTCCTCATGATGATGCRGAAGAGCATGATTCCAAAGCACATTGGTATCAAGACCGAGATCAACCCTCGCTTCCCCAAGRACAGCGCCAAGCGCAATCTTCACATCGCCTTTGAGAACACTCCCTGGGAGCGAAAGGGAGCCCAGAAGCGCCTTGCCGCGATCAACAACTTCGGTGCCGCTGGCGGTAACACCATGATGATCCTTGAGGATGGCCCACTCAGAGATCTCTCTGCGCTTCCCGCGGATCCTCGCCGTACTCATGTCGTTGCTGTCTCTGCCAAAACCAAGAGCGCATTGACCAACAACATCGAGAACTTGATCGCTTACTTGGACAAACACGAAGATGCGGTACATCTTCCCAGTTTGGCATACACAACCACCGCCAGAAAGTACCAATACACCTACCGCGTGTCTTTCGCCGTGGCAGACATTCCAACTCTCAAGAAATCTTTGGCTGCCTTTTTGCCCAAGATTCCAGACCTCAAGCAGGTGGCCAAGTCAGGAGCCGCTCCTCCTCTTGCCTTTGCATTCACCGGTCAAGGAGCCTCCCACAAGTCAATGAGCCTTGAGTTGTACCGTGATGGTCAGTCCACATTCCGCAAGTCCATTGACCATCTTGACTCTCTGGCGCGAAAGCTTGGGTTCCCCTCCTTCATTCCGGCACTGGACGGCTCATTCCCTCAAGACCATGCCCATCTTCCTGTCATCACTCAGCTCGCGCTGGTCTCCACAGAGATTGCGCTGGTTCAGCACTGGGCAGCTTTGGGAGTGAAGCCCGACCTCGTCATTGGTCACTCCCTGGGAGAGTACGCTGCGCTGTACACAGCAGGTGTCTTGACATCCACAGATGCCCTGTACATGGTCGGACGCCGCGCCGAGCTCCTTCAAGAGAAGTGCGTCGTTGGCAGCCACGCCATGGTTGCGGTCCGCGCCTCTGTGGCCACCATCGAGGAGTCTGGCAAGCCATTCACGGTCTCGTGTATCAACGGTCCTACCGACACGGTCATCAGTGGCACACAGGCAGAGATTGCAGATGTCACCGCTACTCTTGAGGCCTCGGGCATTCGTTGCTTCAAGCTGGATGTTGCATTCGCTTTCCACTCGTCGCAGACGGACCCAATCCTGGAGGAGTTCGAGAATGTGTGCAAGGGTGTCATCTTCCACGAGCCGAAGATTCCCGTCATTTCGCCTCTGCTGGGCAAGGTCATCTTCGATGGCAAGACCTTCAACGCCACTTACATGCGTCGTGCCACAAGGGAGGCAGTCGACTTCCTCTCGGCCGTGGGTCACGGTCAAGAGATTATGACCATCAGCGATGACACCATGTGGTTGGAGATGGGCCCCCACCCGGTTTGCGCTGGCTTCTTGAAGGCCATCATGTCTGGAGTCGTTGCTCTTCCTTCCATTCGACGCAGTGAGGACAACTGGACCACCATGGCGCAGACCATGTCTACCTTGTACCGTGCTGGTGTCAAGCTCGACTGGAATGAGTGCCATCGTCCATTTGAGCGCCAGGTACAGCTTCTCGACTTGCCAACGTACGCCTTTGACGAGAAGAACTACTGGTTGCCCTACATTGGAGATTGGTGTTTGACAAAGGGTAACACCTTCTACACCAAGAGCATTGAAGCTGCTGCTGCCACCAACCTGCCACCCGCGCCCAAGAGTGAGATCTGTACCTCGACGGTCCAACAGATTATCGAGTGCACCATCGATGGTGTTGCTGGCACAGTGGCGATGCAGTCGGACCTCATGCAGCCAGACTYCCTGGCCGCGGCCTTTGGCCATCGTATGAACGGATGCGGTGTCATCACATCGGTAAGTCACACCATCAATCCTCACCACGCAACCACTAACTGAAGTTTGCAGTCCATTCATGCCGACATTGCGTACACGCTCGGAGAGTACCTGTACCGCAAGTTCTTCCCCAGGTCCAAGGCCGCCGTCAAGCTCAACGTAGCAAACTTGATGGTGACCAAGGGTCTGGTCGCGAACAGCAACACCAGCGAGCCCCAATTGATCCGCGTGACCGCCACGACCTCTGACRTCCACTCTGGTGTCATGGACTTGACTTGGCACAATGTTTCCAAGGACGGCAACCTCGAGGAGTTTGCCACGTGCAACCTCTACGTCGGAGATGGCAACGACTGGCTTTCCCAGTGGGAGCCCATGGCACACTTGGTTCACAGTCGTGTTGAAGCTCTCGAGCGTCTCGCGGCCGAAGGCAAAGCCAACCGCTTCAACCGCAACATGGCCTACACTCTCTTCGCCAACAACCTGGTCGACTATGCCGACAAGTACCGTGGCATGCAATCGGTCATCATGCACGAGTTTGAGGGTTGCGCAGATGTCCAGTTGACCACCAAGGAAAGCGGTACCTGGACTGTTCCTCCGTTCTTCATTGACAGCGTGGCTCATTTGGCCGGCTTCATCATGAACTGCACGGATTCCATGGATGCCGTCAACAACTACTGCGTCACTCCAGGTTGGAAGTCGATGCGCTTCGCGGAGCCTTTGCTTCCTGGGTACAAGTACAAGTCCTACGTCAAGATGATCCCCACCAAGGCAGACCCAACCATCTTCTTCGGAGACGTCTACATCATGCGTCGGGATGATCTTGCCGTGGTTGGCATGGTTGGCGGTATTGAGTTCCGCAGATATCCTCGCATTCTGCTCAACCGCTTCTTCTCTCCTCCAGACAAGGGCGTTCCAGTAGCATCCGCGGCAAAGCCTGCTCCAGCAGCCATCAAAGCGGCTCCTGTGGTTCACAAAGCCGCCGCACCTAAGCCAGCTCCAACTCCCGCTCCAGCAGCACCAACTCCTGCTCCAGCAGCACCCGTTGCTGCTCCAGCAGCGCCCGTGGCTGCCGCCGCCGTGGAGGCGCCAGCCGCAGCTGACAGCATGACCCAAAAGGCCATGATGCTCATCGCCAAGGAAGCGGCCCTTGAGCTCGAAGATCTCCAGGACGACGTCGGTTTCTCGGATCTTGGAATTGACAGTCTCATGTCTCTTGTGCTGTCCGAGAAGTTCCGCTCAGAGTTGGACTTGAAGGTCAGCAGTAGTCTGTTCTTGGACTACCCCTTGATTGGCGATTTCAGAAAGTGGTTGGATGAATACCACAGTTAAGTAGTAGTTGAGAGGGCAAAACAGAGCTGCTGGGGGTTTTTTGATGATTTGTGACGGGCGTTTGGGGATGGGGTCTTGGATAATTGACTTGCGAATTGTAGAATGTAGAGCGTTTTTTTTGGTTCTATTCAAACCTTTTCAATCTTATTAGCTGATGGGTTTTTCTCAAGTCGCACGTCCTCTTCACTCTCGTATCAAAACTTTGACAAGATCCGCAGTGAAGAGGTGGGAATGCTGTTTATCGAGTAGACTCTTTGCAAAATTGACCGGTCATGTCTCCATGCGGAGCGTCTTCACCCTTGAAAGGTTATGCTGCTTGTCGACTGTCCAGTCTCTCGTCGATGGAGGGCACTTGCACCTTGTCGAAGACGCGTGACATGGCAAAGACGCGTGCCACGGAGTAAGAACAGGCAGACCGTTTTCCACGCGCTTATGTCCATCTTAATAGTCAAGCTTTCATCAAAGCTCCGTTTCGCGATGCACTTCCGTGTAAGAGTGTTGAAGTTACGCGATTGGTGTCGAAAGTGTGCCATCAATGCCGTCCATCGATGATGGCATCACAAACGACCGATGGATCACAGTCTGTGCACGGCTGCGCCAAGTCAATTCTTAGGGTTAGGGTTGGGGTATAGAGTAAGAGGGCTCGAGCATCGTGACAGCGACCAAGATATATGAGAGCAGTCGTATCCATACTCTTGGGGGGTAGATCACAATTTCGGTCATGTTCTGTGAGGTTCTGATGGTTCATTGTGGTGCTACTGTAGATTTCGCGTGTTTGCTCGACTTGCGGGAAGGAAAAAATTAACTTCCACTCACTCACCTTCTTTCACCCACTTCATCTTACTAGGGGAATGCTTCGAACTAGCATTTCTATGTTATCCGAGCTCCGGCCGGATCTCGGTGCGAACTATATGCGTCAATGGGTATTAAATCAAGTATAAGGAAGGGCCTTTACGTCTTTACTCGCATAGTGAACTCGATCGCTAGGCGAGCAATGCCGTCAATCGCCGCTGTTGGAATGCAGAGAGAATGCAAAAGCCGGCGACTTGAAACGGCAGTTTCAGGACGGCCGGGCCGGGTGACCGGGTGACAGCATCCGTCATCGCTCAATCATCTTCATGTCAAGTCCATACTGTCAAGTCCAAAGTATCGCGTCTTGTTACATGGGCATTTAGGTCACTGTGAGGCATCATTCGTATCTCCAGTTTACCATGGACTTCAACAGCTCATACGTCCACCTAGCGGACTCGGGAGGATGTGCTCTGATGCTCAAGCCACCAACGAGCGAGTAGTCAAGGAACACAGCTATGTTCCCAATCTCATTCACTCGATCAACAAGCAAAACATATCAGACTTCATCATTGCGTCGTAATGTCTTCTTCTAATGTCAATCAAAACGCCTAGCTGACCGAGTCGGAAAAAAAAAAACTCCTTCCCTGATATACCATACAAACCCACCCCCTGACCGACTCCTTGGAACTCCTTCCCGCTCTGCCACAGCGACGACCTCTACGAATTTTGAGACGGGTTCTCCCAGCCCGAAACAGCATCAACAAGCCATGTATCCAGCGCCTCAAGCTTGCACCTCCCACCCGACACGTGCGCATCCCGGTTGCTCTTGCGGGTAAACGAGACACAGCACAGGGGACACTGAAAGTTGGTCGTCTTCTCCCGAATGTGGCGTCGATAGTTCTCTATATTGGAAAAGGACCTGCCTCCGCACCCATGTTCGAAGCAGCGAAAGACACGCCGATCCTCTCGCCCACCGCCACACTTTGTTGGTGGGGGATTATTGGATCGGGTGGGATCTTGCATGATCGTAGTAGTGCCGTGGTTGGCGACCTGATGATCGTGGGGAACCGGTGGTCTTTGTGCGTAGTTGTGGTGGTGATTGTAGATTCCGCCTGCAGCTAATTGGTTCGGTATGCTCGCGTTGGTGTTGGTGTGGACTACTACATTGTGTGGGGTTGTTGTGGTTCTTTCGGTGTTCCGATGGAGTTCGGTCGGTCTGAGAAAGCTGGCACGCGCTTGTTCGTGGCTTTGCAGCCACGCTAAATGTGCGTAGTCTCCGGGATCAGCATGGGGAGACCCAGAGTATGAAGAATTCGGATCGATGGGCGAGTTGCTTGGTAACATGCTTGATCGATGGGACATTGACATTGTTTTTGGACCAAGTTTTTGTGGAGAAATGTTGATTGTTGGGTTTTTTGCTAGGAAGCCGTGGACCGCCGCAGAGAGACTGGAGCGTTTTGCTAGCGGAACTTAGCCCTCTTATCTCTAGGCTCCCCAGAGACGGACAAATTACAATTGCGCGCGGCGGGATTCCTTTCGTGAAGGGTGCCAATCGGAGCTATGGTATGGCGCCACCTTAATGATGCTGGTACATAGAGGAAATGCGGTGCATGTGCGGTGCCTATGCTCGCCGCGTGGCAGGGTCAAGGGCGTGAGGGCCCATGATCTGCCACGTGCGAGCCAACAGGCGTGCAAAGTAGACTTCTCCCGCAAATCATACAACAACAGCCTTGTGACTTCCCCGGTATTCAGCGAAATCGTCCGATCTCCAGTTTTACAACGAGCTTTTGAATGTTGATGGCATCTGAAACGACAATCTCAAAAGATCAATGTTTACACGTCGGTGTTGTTCGACATTCCGCGCTTATGGCGGTCAGGAAGGGTTGAGAGCAGTCTAGCTGGGGTTTGCTTGGTCCCTTTGTTGAACGCTGCTGTTGAACGTTGCTTGGAATACAGTTGAACGAAACAGAGGGGACCGGGGGGTCAGCCTAGGGAGTTCCGAGTGGGGGAGGTCAGCGAGATCAGGAGCATTTACGAATGATCTTGATCGACCAGTGACGGCGTTTGATGGAAGGGAAGTGCTGGTCACTAGGAATGGGTAGTAAAAAGTGGAGCTAGGGGTTCACATTGTGTAGTACGGCCCGCAAGGTACGATCACCCTTCATCATCTACATCTACATATCCGTCAGCCGAGTAGACTATGATGATGAAGACTTCCACGTCTTGTGACATTGATCCTAACAATAGACTTGGAAGTGACCGKCGACTACGAAACTTGAGATCGTCCTTGAATATCGTCCACGGAGATGAATCGATGCCCATCCCTCGAATTATGCCGAGACGCGATATCTCGCCAATTAGCGAAGGAGCACCCTTCATCATATACCCCGGAGTCCGGATTACCATTTTGGGAGAGAGATCTAGGCCACCATTTGTGTAAGACGGAGGTTCCCATTCCGCGACAGACCGTTGCTAGAAATCGTACTCGAGAGAGAAACGAAAGAAGGGGAGGGACGAGAGAATGAATGAAGACAGAAAGTGCAAGCCGTTCGAAATCGTGTCGAAGATAGGCACTGCCTATACACCGAGGCAGTAGTACTGTTAGCTGGCCCTCGAAACCAACGTCGGAGAAGCACACTCGTCTCGATATGTCTTCCTCTCATGTTAAAGTGCCATCACCGGGTATGATCGTACAGCTGTATGCAGTATCATTGTCGGCAACACCTTGGTGGGATGTATCTTCAAAGTTTCAGGGCCGAGGCAGTCCAGTAGAACTGTCTCACTGTCTCAGTTGTGTGGCTTAGACGATTCACAAAGCTAGGGACAGCGTGGGATATTACCACCGAGCCTTGTTCACGCCGTCAGAGCTCGGGCATGGATGGAAGGTGTTCATTGCTCAACTTACCCATTGTTCATCGCCGCCCGATGTTTTGGAAGCCAGAGCCGCGAGGAGGTTAGAAAATAGAGCCGTGTCATTGGATACTATGTCTCGGGTGAGGATGGCGCGGCAACAACTTCTCTACTAGGGAAGAGTCATCCAAGGGGGCCTGACTATGTGTGGTCAGGTCCACACAATCCCACCACCTGCGTATGAGGCTCGTATCATGATATCATCAAACACACCATTGCTGRGAAGATCCTTGTTGTTCTAGCGGCGCTGTTCAGAACGAGCTTTGTCGGGGTTAAGCGACAGTCTGTCTTTCCCATGCACATGAATGGGAAATCTTGGGTCGCCGTCCCCTGATATTGTCCCCGAGGATCGCGGCTAGGATCAAGGCTGGGGTAAGATCAAGCCTATTTTAATAACTGAACTGCATGCATCACCGTGTGAACAGGGTCTGTCATGCATACGGGAATGGCCGAAAAAATGGCAAGGAATCTCGCCGCCAATGTGTGTGGAAAGCTCACTTGATTATGGCTCCTGTTGGCCGGACTTTGTTGATGGGGAAAACGGAATGTTCCAGTATGCATTGAGCAGGACCTGATGCCGGCTGTCCCTTGCACATGGCAAACGGCTCGGACCGTGCAGGTTTCACCCACCAAAAACCCCTGGCTCAGCCCTGAGGAAATGGGCCAGACCCTGAAAGCCCGGACGGGAAGGTCACACTCCAGAGACAATGGAATACATCTACTACACGGAGTCTGTGAATGTTAGCTTAGGCGAAAGTGCCGTGCTATACAACTTGCTCTGTAATTCCTCCGGGCCCCGAATCTCAAAATTCCACATTCATCTGCTTATATTTGTGCGAAACCTTCTTCCATCAACGAGCTGCAACCGAGTGGGGGATCTTGGCAGTATATTCGTCTCTGCCTTCGGATCCTGCGATGACACTCCATCAACCACCAAGACTGTCCACAACAAAATCTTTACAAGGGTGGACACCATCTGAAAGGGTATCCCTTCAGCAAAATGAACCGAGGCCCAGTAAGGAACGAGTGACTCTCGCAAGACTACATCATTCATCACACCCCGGTCGTCTGGACGGCAATTGGAACAATTGAAGCTTTTCTTTTCGGGCCTTCCGCGTGTTGCACCTTTCGTCACAGGTCTCTCTATTGTGTGCAATCCGCCCGCGCCGATGCCGACATCCCAATAACCTATGAATGAACTGCATGCATGGGGGGGGGGGGGGAGATTGTGTATACCCCACAGAAAAGCTTCCTAAGGTACCCGGTGGGTGGCCCCGGTCTCGTTTTGTTGTGCGATGCGATGCGCAGAAGAAATGTAACATGCAACAGATCGGCTGGCTTGGCGAACTTTGCTTCATCAAGAGCAATCTTTGAAAGTCTGTAATCCTGGATCCCCAAAACGCAGAGTTACTGGATGGGGCCTACTTACATACTGTTAGAGGCTTTGCTCTTGCGAAGTATACGAAGCACAGAGGGTGTCCCGCATCCTGGACGCACTCTAAATAACAGGGAGGTCTTCATCTAATGTGCGCACTCCATTCCGTCGACAATTGACGTGGATTTGTTAGGGCTTTTCGCCCAGCCTCCAGAGTCCATATGCAGAATTAGGGCTTTGCAATGGGCTCATTATCTGCTCTAAACAAGTTCATCCAGGTTGCAAACTTGCAAGCCAGCGCCTATACCAGTATTCTTAGCCAGCTTCTATAGAGGGTATTCCGCTTACTGGAAGCACGCTAAAGAAATCGGGAGGTTTTCGTCCAGTCTGCGCTCTCCATTCTCTCGACAACCGACGCGGATTCGTTCCGGATTTCCCGCTCAGCTTCCCGTATGCAGGACTGGGGCTGTATCGTTTGTAAGTCGCAATCTACCCTGCAGTGCGGACTTTGACCGCACTTTACGCCCCGAATGTTCTCCGGCTGTCAAACGATCCCTTACTATAGGCGCTCTGCCGGCATGAATCGTGATATGTGCAGCTTTTGCGGGATCAAATTCGCAGGCTTTTCCATCGAATCCATCAAGTCTTTGACTAGTTCCTACCAAAAAAGAACCGGGGTTACGAGGATGCGAGTGCTTGCCCTGAGAACCGACTCGAGTACTCCCGCTGCCTTCGTACGTCGGCTCCTTTCCTTCCAAAACAGATGCGTGGGCCTTTTGCCACTTCTTTGGCATCCATCTCCCAAGGAAAAAAGTTGCAATGATCAAGGTCCTGACGGCATCACCTCCACAAGCTACAATCTAGTTGGCGTCAGCGGATTGGAAGGGGTCTCGAGGCGGATGCATCCAACAGTCTGAAGCTGTAACCGAGAGATGAGACGAGTTGATGTTCTGATTGTTATACGTGTCTGCCGTTCTCAGACCTTTTAACTTTTGACTGCTTTTTGTGGTATCACACATGAACGATCTCGAAAGCACGATCTTGAATGATCTTTCGTCAAGTGAGAACAAGCCTTCTCCGAACCAACCTCAGCACCTGCGACAGGCGGCCCATCAATCGAGCAACCCAACAGATTCCTAATGAGGCGTGAACAGGACTTTCAGGCAACACGGCATCAAGAACTGCGGCACATATTGAGGTCAGCCCTATACAATAAGGTTGGTTGAGGCCAGTAGCTTGATCTTTCCCACATCAACGTCACGATTGCCAACGGCTGGCCTAGACCACGAATTTTACATTTCTCAGACTGGACTTTGAAAGTCTTCGCCAAGTGTGATGATGACATGGCAGTCGTCGAGTATGGCATCGCAGCAGCCTTGCGCCTAAATCACGCTACAATCTACTCAACAATCCTTCTTTTCTTGATGTTCCTTGCTGACACACTTTTCTTGTCTCTTTCCCTAGAACAATTTTTGGGCATGGTTCTCCCCCACGATGTGAAGACGCCGTTGTGAGATTGGAATTCTCCAGATCAGCAGCTTGTACACTTTTTGTGAAGCCTATCGCGGCATCGCAAGAAACATTGGGTATGTATGATGCGAACGGCCCTGATCGACACCCGTCCATCTTGATTTGCCTCTTATCGGGAAGCATAACTCCCGAAGCGCATCTACCACGTTGTGAACCACCACTGTAAGGATTGGATCGAGCTAAATTCCTGGAGCACCACCTCGGCACGGACTGTTCCCAAAAAACGCCTTCCCAATCGGGTAAGATGTAGTACAGTAGGGTTTAGGACAAGCTTTTGCTCAGGGCAACATTTTCTACAAGGCCGAACATAATGGATTGTCGTCGCTGACTTTTTGGGTGGGTTGACTAGGCTAGAGTGCGGTCTGCAAACGAGATTTGAATGGAGTCTTTTCCAAATGGACCTGTATTTGGAGACCTTGTGGAGCCCATCGCGATTGATAGAAGAGGACACCAGAAGACCAAATACCAAAAACCCTCACAAGATGAGTTATTCTTTGATCGACAGAGGATCAAGTTCATGCGAGCTCTCTGCGTCTTCATTCGATCGGAGGCGGATCCGATCGTAGTTTGCATGGAACGTCTAGCCCATCCTTCATGCGAAGCTTTCTCAATGTTCCTGACGTCAAAACCTACTTCTCGAACTACCACATCAACTAACGACGGCTAATTCCTTGGGATCGAAGGCGAAAAAGGACTGGAGCATCCTTTAATCCACGTTCCATGCTCATTTGATTGGCTAGTTCGCACTTTCACATGCAGCTACCGTTGTGCAGGAATGACAATTCGTGGGGATCTTCGTCTGTTGCACCACATTTGCATCGTCGTCACGGTTGTGTGTGGACATGCTCTGATGATGATTCTTGGAAAGGCCGGCCTCCTTTGATGCTGGCAGAGTTTTTCATCGTTGATATATCCAGAACGTCTCCCTGAGCTCTAACTTTCGCTCCGACTCATAGCACACAGCACACAACACATTCTTTTTCTACTCAAACTCAACAAACACCCGTGATAATCATGCAGTTCTTCGCTATCCTCTCGCTCCTGGCCGCGGCCGCCATCGCCAGTCCTATGGTCGTTCCAGAAAAGGCCAACACATTCCCAGAGACCACTTTCACCGCCTCATTCGGATCTTTCACCCAGACATTCACTGTTCGTATCGAACCAATTTCCTCGTCAACTACACACACACACCTGCTGATCGATTCTTCCAATTTAGTTCCCTCTCCTCCCTACCGGTCACCCATCATCTTCCACCACCGCCCAGACCACCACCAAGTCGTCCACCTCCGCCCAGACGACTCAGCCATCTTTCCCCACCGGATTCCCGGGATTCCCACTCCCATCTTTCCCTACCGAGTTCCCGAAGCCAACATTCCCTCCCGTCTTCCCCAGCTTCCCAGTTCCAAGCGCTTCGAAGCCGACTGCGAAGCCTACTCACTGGAGATTCCCCGCCAAGAACTGTATGTCTTGTCTGAAATCCATCTTGTTCTACCATTGTCTGTTACTGACAATTTCGCAGGATGAAGTCGAGAGCCAAGGATTAAGGTCCGGTGAAGAGTAGAGCTGTAGTCAAAGATTCAATTCGCTCTGGAGTAACTTAACGCTATACTACGATAGATCGATCAACAAATTCCTGAAGCTTCTATGAAACACACACACGTTTGTCTTTTGTTTTGAAGAAGATCAACAACGATTCGAGTTCAATGCCGCTTCAGACTTTTCATCGGAAACAGCTTCCAGGTCAATTCTCCACAGTAGCACCAAACCACCTCTACATCATTCTTTCCAAAGCTAATGGCCTCTCCGTTGTTCTCTGATGATTCTTGCTTCTCACATTAAACGGTCTGAAAAGCATGGAATCGCTACACTCCATTCGCTGTCGCAAGCCAAGACTGCATCATCATGTGCAGCGAAACTGTCAAAACATCGCCTCTGACGACTTGGAAGGTCTCCAAACATGAGCAACGCCTGCCACATCCTGCGCCTTCACATCTTACAGAATAATCAGCATATTGTGATGCTGTACCTCATCATTCCTACCAGTTTATGTAATCATGATAAGCTTTCGAACAAGCTTCGAACATGTACAGGGGAGTGTTCGTGATATACACAAACCGATCACAARCGCCCCCGAAGATCGCATGAACCGTAAGGTATAGAAAAATCCATCGACGCCGACAAAAATCCTCTCATTTCACCCCGCAGCTACATGCGACAACTTCCTCCCAAAGAAGTCTGGTCGTCTTCATTACAGAACTCGAGTCGGACTTTTCGATGTTCGAGTCATGGAATGTGATACAGGGGATTTTTTCATGCCGTCTTGCCATTGGTATAGTATTAATGTGGGGTATCTATTACACCTAGGGTTTGAAGTTTTGAAATGCATAGCCTGGATGCTTTGTCACGAGTCACATTCGTTGCGATTTGGTGCATGTATCGTGGAGGTGGGGGAGGGATTGCGACTCCAGATGATACTCTCTTTGATACATGGAGAAAAAGTATCACCTGGAGAGACAGACATATAAGGGTAGTTCTTTCAGAGATCTTGTTGGCTCCATCCATCCAGCACAGTACACTCTCTCTCTTCAAGTCGTTCCTTCTCAATTTCCCTCCCTACACAAACAGTCGGCCAGGTTGCCCACTATGAAGTTCATCACCATATCCCTCTTGGCTGTGGCTGCCATTGCGGCTCCCATGGCTCAGAGTGGTGGGGGCAATGGTAGAAACTCCAATGGTAACTCCATGATGAGAGGTTCCTCTTCTGGTAACAGGAACGGCCAGAATAACAATGGCATGATGAGCGGATCCTCGTCTGGTAACAGGAACTCCGGCAAGAACTCCAACAACAATAACGATGAGGATGATGAGGAGGAGGAGGACATGATGAGCAGCTCCTCTTCTCGTAACAAGAACGGCCAAAACAGCGGCAACAGAAACAACCAGAACAATCGCATGAGCAACGGCTCTTCGGGATCTTCTTCTTCTTCTTCTTCGGGTAGCAGATCTTCCTCTGGTAACCGAAACAACGGTAACAGAAACTCGGGATCTTCTTCTGGTAACAGGAACTCCAACTCCAACAACAACGGCATGAGAAGTGGTTCTTCTTCGGGATCTTCTTCTCGCAAGGGAAACTCCAACTCCAACAATGGCATGCAAAATGGCTCTTCGTCTCGTAACAGAAACAACAACAACAACAACAACCAGGATGATCAGGATGACCAGGACCAGAACCAGCAGAACGGCAACATGGAGAGGAAGAACCGCTCTTCTTCTGGTGGTTCCGGTGGTAGGAATGGCCAGAACAACCGTAATGGTCAGGGTCAGAATGGTCGGAGTCAGAGTGGCCGCAATGGTCAGAACAACCAGGATGATCAGGACGAACAGGATGACCAGGACCAGCAGAACAGCGGCAATGGTCAGAACAGTCGCAACGGTCAGAATAGCCGCAACAGACAGAACAGTCGCAATGGACAGGACAGCCGCAATGGCCGCAATGGCCGCAACAGTCAGAACAACCAGGATGACCAGCAAGACCAGCAGGATGACCAGCAAGATCAGCAAGACCAATTCGACCAGGACAACAACAACATGGAGAAGAGACAGTCTTCATCAGGCGGTTCCAATGGTCGGAACAACCGCAACGGCCAGAACAACAGGAACCAGCAGCAGAACCAGCAGGATGACCAGGATCAGCAAGATCAGGACCAGCAGAATGAACAGGATGACCAGGACCAGGACGACCAGCAAGATCAGGACCAGCAAGATCAGAACGACCAGGACGACCAGGACTCTTCAATGTCTTCTTCCCGTAATGGTCGCGGTGGAAATGGTCAATCTTCCCGCAATGGTCGTGGCGGAAATGGTCAATCTTTCCGCAATGGACAATCTTCCTCCGGCTCTTCATCCCGCAATGGTCGTGGCAACAACAACCAAAACTCCAACGATGATGAGCAAAACTCCGTAAGTCCCCTAACCCCCCAAAATCTATAATCAAATCATCGTCTGACACTTTTCAAAGAATGATTCCGGATTCTCTAAACGCTCCCCTCAACAAATGGGCGGCGGCAGCAGCGGTGGTGGCAGCAGTGGAGGCAGCGGAGGTGGCGGAGGAGTCTCCCAATTCATCCCTGAATTCGCCAAACAATTCGTTCCTGAGATTCCTAACCCCAAGGATTTGTTGAAGGAAGTTGTTCCATCCAAGGGCAACAGTCGTCGTGCTCCTCAGGATGGTTCATCTCAGCAGGGTGGTGGTTCTCAGGGTGGTGGACAGGGTGGTGGACAAGGTGGTGGTAAAGAAGCCATGATTGCGGAACAAGGTGGAGCGATTGCTGAGGCGATTATCAAGCAGTTGTTTCCTAATGGTATTATGGGGAGTTCTGGTGGTGGTGGTGGTGGTGGTGGTGGTGGTCAGGGTGGATCGCAGGGAGGTGGATCGCAGGGTGGTGGCATGTAAGTAGGACGGGGACTGAGGTGGGAAATCTTTTCAGCTGGACTGAGGGATCTTTTATGAGATGGAAGAAGAATGAGGAATGGAATGGAATGGAATGGGATAAGAAAAAATTTTGGTCGGGTATTCTTCCCACGGCCTGGAAAATCACGTATACATGTATCATCCATCAATCTGAATGGATTTGATCTGATCTGAATTATGATTGTGTGTATGTTCCATTTCGGAAATCTTGTCTCCACTATACTATCATTGTGTCTTTTTCCTCCTCGGAGGGGCAGTTTGTTGGGGTTCTGAGGGCGAAGGTTTATAAGGATTAGTGGGGATTTCATAGGGAGAGCAGCAGGAGGAGGAAGGAGTAAGCCACAGTCTAGCTCTTCTACAACACCTAGCACGTCGATGATGGCATTGCCAATCATATTGTTGAAGCTTGCTTGTATGATTCCGACGCTGCATCGATTTCCACCCGCCGATTGCGAGGGAGATGCGATGGTCGGGTAGAATTGAAATCCGGGAAAAAGGTTTGGGGTGGTGGTCGATGGTGAGTGAGGTGATGAGGGACCTTAAGGTAGGAAGGAGCATTCGGAGAATTATCACCCCACCCTTACTGACTACATTGATTGAGTTCCAGTAAATGGCCATGAAAGACAATCAAACTCCACATCCCATGCAAACACGGCGACGTCACTCCCTCGAGGAGCACTTTACTTTCCCCCTCGCACGCGCGCGCAAGCAACACGAGATTGAATCTTCCTGGACCATTGACGCGGSCGACCGACTCTCGCAGAAATCCGACGATGCATGTGTAGTGGATGAAGAGACCATCCAATCCTTTCCCTCCCCATCATGCCCGTGTCCATCATCGAGGCCCAGCGCGACATCCTGCTGAACACAATCCGCCAAATCACCCGCAGCGATTGGAAAGTGTTGGTGCTGGATGTGGACAGCAAAAAAGTGTTGGACAATGTGCTCGACGCCGACACCATCCTCAACGAGAGCATCACCAACATTGAACTCATCACCGACCGCCGCCCCGCCAACCACGATGTCGACGCCATCTACCTCGTCACCCCGCATGCGCATATTGTCGATTGTGTCATGGCGGATCTGGAGCGGAAAAAGTACCGACGGGCGCATTTGGTGTGGACGAGCTGTGAGTGTTGGATTGTAGGAGGGGATAAAGATGAAGATGAAGATCAAGGAATGGTTGGCTGATCTCAAGATGGTGAAATTCAGTACTTCCCCCGGCATTGCGCGAGCGAATCGACAAGAGCAGTGTGGCACGCGAACAAATCGCCCTTTTTCGCGTCTTGAATGTCGAATTCTTCCCGCGAGAAGGCCATCTCGTCACGTTTCGCGATCCTTGGAGCTTCCCCRTCCTCTTCCACCCCGCCCTCAATCATCTCGTCAAACAGCACATGGAGGATGTGGCTCAGAAGGTATCATCAATCCATCCATCAATCCCTCCATCAATCCCTCCATCAATACATCAATCAATCTTGGTGGAAAGTGGATGTTTCATGAGGGATAGATACTGACTGACTGCTCGGCGTAGATTGTCGGCGTGTGTGTCGCGTTGGGAGAATATCCCACGATCCGCTACTATCGCCCGCGAACCCCCACCCACGAAGCCGCCGTCCTCTGCTCCCACCTCGCYCGTCATGTTCAAGACGAACTTGATCTCTACGCCAAATTCCACCAAGACTTTCCCCCACAGACCGCTCGTCCCCGAGGTGCATTGTACATCACCGATCGAACCATGGACCTCTTCGCTCCCATCCTCCATGAATTCACCTACCAAGCCATGGCACACGATCTCCTCCCCATCAAGGACGGCGACAAGGTCACCTATAAAACCCTCGTCAATGAAGGCCAGCCGGATCAACAAGAAAAGGACGTGGAAATCACGGAAAAGGACAAGATCTGGGTGGAGAATCGACATCGGCATATGAAGGATTGTATTGAGAAGTTAATGGCCGACTTCCAGAAGTTCATCAAGGACAATCCCAACTTCACCAAGACCGAGGATGCCACCAGTTTGAATGCCATCAAGGACATGTTGGCCGGATTGCCTCAATTTCAAGAGCTGAAGGAGGCATACGCCCTACATCTGACCATGGCACAGGAGAGTATGAATCGCTTTCAAAAGTGGAAGCTTCCGGATCTTGCCAGTGTCGAGCAAGTCAGTCCCCCCTCCACATCCACAATCCCTCGCAATTTCTGACTAATCTTGGAATAGATCCTCGCCACGGGCCTCGACGAAGAATACAAAAAACCAAAGGGTCTCGCCGATCAAGTCGTCCGCATGCTTGACGAACCCGACCTCCTCCCCACCGACCGTCTTCGTCTCCTCATGCTCTTCCTCCTCTTCAAAGATGGCCTCGTTCCGGGAGATCTCCAAAAACTTCTCGCCCACGCCCAACTTCCCCCTCAAAATGCCGAAATCCTCGCCAATCTCGAAATCCTCGGTGCTCGCAAATCCCGCAATCTCAAAGACTCTCGTCCTGTACCTCTCCCCCTCTTCCCACGAAAACCTCCCCCGGCCCAAAATATGGAGGAATACGCCCTCAGTCGATTCGAGCCCGTCATGCAGAACCTCCTCGAAGCCCACGCGGCGGGAAATCTCGACACCACCATCTTCCCCTACACGAAACCTCCTCTGGACATGGCAGAAGATGCAGCAAATCTTCGCCCCTCGGCACAATCTCTCCGCACAACCTCCACCGCCGGAAAACCCACCTGGGCGAGAACACGCACCAATGCCAGTCCCGAAAATCTCCAACGCATCGTCATCTTCATGGCGGGTGGTGCCACATATAGTGAAAGTCGCGTCTGCTACGATGTGGGCCGAAAGACCGGCCGAGATGTCGTCCTGGTCACGAGTCACATGCAAACTCCCAATCTCTTCATCCGACAGGTGGGAGATTTGAGTGCGGATAAAAGGAGATTGAATATTCCCCAAGAGATGCCCAAACCGCAGGCTCCGAGTCATTTGTTTGAGAATGAGGAGAAGCCCAAACCTCCCCCTCCGCAGATCCAGGCGCAAGTGGCGCCGCAGAGGACGACGGCACCGCCTACGCAGGCCATGGGCAGGATGAATCTCAATGGTGGCGCTGGTGCGTCTCAGGTGGTTCCCATTCCGCCCGCCGGCAAGTTGACCAAGGACGCTCCTCCTCCTCCTCCTGGCATGATGGAAAAGGAGAAGAAGAAGAAGAAGCATCATTTTGGGTTTGGGAAGAGTAAGGATAAGTGATGGGGTGTTGGAGATTGGTGGACGGAGGGAGGGATGGAGGGGAGGGATTGAGGAAGGGAAGGGAATGGATAGGTAGGACAGACAGCATAGAATGGGCAATTAATCATACCAGAGGAAGAAGAGAACATTCGAATCCAAACAATGTCCACGTGTATAGCAGTACGGCTTCTGTAGAATTTGGAAAAAAAAAGCCCACATCTTTTACACGGACTTCTTACTTATCGACATAGTATAGACGATATACAGACGATTTTCAAGAGGTTATAGGTGTTGTCATAGAGGGCACTACCTTATAGTACCTACTACTTTGATATATTATTAGTGTGAGGGCCCTCTACCTACCTTAGCCAGCCTATTAACTAACTGGAAAAAAAAAAAGAGGCGGTGTTCAACGTAAAAGAGGCAAAGAATTATATATCGGGGAGATTTGCGAATTTTAAAGGCGTTGTCCTTTTTTTTTTTTTTTTTTTTCGGCGGTAAACTGTCAAGAATCTTTAGCTGAGGTATACAAGTGGGATAAGCATATGCTTATGCTATGTATGACTCCATGCTTTTTAGTACCACCTTGCCTTACCTGGGCCTGGCCAGAATACCAGGTGTGCACGTAGCGAGTACCTAGTGTATCGCATCGATCTTTTTGGTCGTCCATGTAGCCAAAGATTTTTGTGTGTGTGTGTGTGTGTGGAATCCATGTGGCTATGCCAAGCTAGCTCACCAATATTGCAATCCCCTTGCCATTCATTCACTTCCGTCGAGCCTTCGAAAAATCCGATTATTGCGACGAAAAAAAAAATTCACATTTGGCACGCTCGTAGGGCTCCTCCTCCTCGATTACGACTGTTCGTTCTCGGGCATGAATGCTTCAAATAAATCCTGCCCCCGGCGACTTTTCATATGCGTGCAGAAGGATCCCTGGCGGAGTTGCTCGGTTTTTCCGCGTCCTGATGAAGCAAGCAAGCACTACTCCATGCTAAGATTTTTGAAAGGATCGGAAATCTTCCTCCTCGGTGGGCTGGTAGGTAGGCTTTGATGAGGTACTTATCGGATGTCATTTTCCAAAACTGTGATCGCAGTGGGGGTTCGTTGGCTGGTCCATGATACCACAAGTGAAGGTATGCTTTGGTGTTCTCTGGCGTGCCTCTTTCCTTGTGACGTAGGCGCGCCGCTCCCAGTGAAAAATTGAAGTCCCAGGACTCTCCAGTGTGCCTGTCTCTTTGGAACCCAGGCGGGCCGCCGCCGATGGAGATAGAGTCATGCTCAGCGCGGAGATGACGGCTGCATACAAATGAAATGAATGGAACTCTCCAAGTAAATGTTCTCGAATCTTTCACAAGCGGAGACTTCAGAGCTGTCGATATGAGGATTTTTTTTTTCTATCGAAATAAGACACTTCTTAGTCGTCTTTATAACGTCTTTAGGCCTTGCTCTCCGCAGAAACGACGATTCTAGAGCTGCTAGAACCTTTATCACTAGCAGAGTGCCTCGTTATTTAACGGAGAGGGCAGTTAAGTGCGCGGTTTTCTTGACGATTTTCTCATATCGACAGCTCTGAGCTGCGGAGTGTGAGGTGATGAACAGTAAAATTTGAAGGTGAAGGTAATGAACAGTAAAACATAAAGGTGAAGAATTGAGGACAGTCGGGTGGGTCCGGTCAGCCGACCAAAACGTGAATGCCAAGAAATCGCCCCTTCTTTTACAACTCCTTCTGCCACTTCACTCGAGTAGCCACACCCCCGAACCACCTTCTTTCGGGACTACGGGTTTGAAACCCGTCACTGTCGATTGCAATCAATTTTTTTTTTTTCGATGAGCATAGGCATAAATTTTGCTTTTACTCGTCATACCCGCCGTAAGTCACACTATTAGATTTATCAGAGCTGTCGATATGAGAATTTGTCATTAACAGCAGCTCCCTAAACTGCTCCCCCGATAAGTTTACAGGATACTCTGCTAGTTATTAGGATTCTAGCAGTCCTAGATTTATCGATGCTGCAGAGAGCGCCACCTTGTAACATTGTAAGGATGTATGGGGATGTCTTCTCCCGATGAATAATTCTTATATCGACAGCTCTGAGATTTATTCACTTGCGAATTTATTAGCGTGCCTTTAGGAGCCACCGCTAACCGCATTTTCCTAAACACGTCATCACGTCTTCATAATATTGCCCGCGGTGACTTAACACCCTACATTAATCTCACTTTGCTTACAGTTACTGTATCTTAGAGCTGTCGATATGAGAAATCCTCAACAATAGTAGCGCCCTGAACTACTCTCTCGATTAATTAATGTGCCGCTCTACTAGTAGTAAGGATTCTAGTAGGCCTAAAATTGTCGAGCCTATAGAGAGCAAGGCCTCAGGATATTATCGGGATGAATGCTCTCTCGATTAATTAATATGCCGCTCTGCGGATGGTAAGGATTCTAGCAGGCCTAAAATTGTCGAGCCTGCAGAGAGCAAGGCCCTAGGATATTATAAGGATGAATGAGGATTTCTTGTCCCAATAAATAATCCTCATATCGACGGCTCTGCTGTATCTGCTAGAGGGTTGCCTCTAACATCTTGACTGCTTTTCTCCCTATGTACTTCTCTACAAACCGCTATGTTTTCTAAATCTCAGGGGGAGCAAGCTAGAGAATTGAGTCATCGATGTTGGTTACCTCTTGGAATCTTGGCAGCAGCAGCAATTTCTGGAGCACATCGATCTGACTGGGTCACGGTGGACTATCGGGATCGGGGTCATCTTACTGCCCTTGCAAAGTAGGGCGAGTCTCTCGATGGACTAATTGAGAGAGTCATAGGCGTTCAGAAGATCATAGTAGACGCTCAGGCGAAGGACTGGATCGCTCGGCTCGTTCTGAATGAGCCAGACGAGGTTTCGACGTGCAAAGACGCTATGAACGGCAGCGAGCAGGACTTAGTCGGTGAAGCGTATTCAACGAACAAATCGCAACGACTCTCATGGCTCAGGATTGAAATTTACATACCGAGGATGAGTTTCAGGGTCGATTCAGGTGTGAGAGTTGCCACATTCCTCTGTTGTCACAACAATTCGGATCTCACCCGAACCACAACCTCGGCGCACAATTCCACCCGGTCTCAACAGCCTGGCTCACTTATTCATGCTGCCTTGATGGCTTCTCATAGCACGCTTCAACCTCTGCTCATGAATTACGCCCATACGTATCCTCTAGAGATGTCACCACCGTACCCAGGTTCTTTGTTCATTTTTAGACACGAAGTTGATACAAAGTCCGGAAACGGTCTTGACCAAATCTACTGTTTTCAGGGAGTCTGGCTCTCAGCTAGGAACTGCTTGCGTCGATACTAATATTCTTTGTCGACTCCTTCTCCACACATCTCTTCTCAAATTAAATCAGCTGCAGTCTCAATATCTCCAACTACTACAAGGTAATATCAAACACAGCACTCATCATGTCAAGTAGTACTCCCACTTCACCAATTCCCGCAAGTCGCACGCCACCGCTCCTGCAACTACCGACAGAGCTCTTTCAGCGCATCACACAGGCTTGTGATCCAGAAGATATCCTTCAAATCCGACAAGTCTGTAGAGATGTCGCTGACAAAAGTCACCGCGATTTTGTAAGTGTCTACGAACCGCAATAGACCCCCTCTCACGATGTACACGAGCTCACGATGCGGACTCAGGTGCGTCACTACTTTCGACACCGCAGAGTCCTCCTCAATAGCCCCTGGAGCCTAGCCCATGAACTAGACGTCGCTCGAGACCGTATTCTCGGGAAAGAAGTCCAGTTTCTTTCTCTCTTCACCACCTGGTCCACGACAGCAGGCGCCACAGCCACAAATTATCCCCGAAATGAGATTTTCGCCATCTTCAGCGAGTTCGCGAGACAAGGGAGAAATCTCGTAATAATCCTCTCAGACAATATGTCTTCATTTTTCTCCCTGAGACGTTCAGAGGACTCTAATAAGGAGTTGTATTGGGGCTACGACACGATTCCTGGAAGAGATCATACATTCAATCCTACTACACTTCGGAACGTGCCTCTCAATGTAATCCAGCGAGAGCTAGAAAGGAGCGGGATTCGTTTCACGGGGTTTGTTGAGCAGAGGGTCGAAACGGCGGGGAATCACTTCATGGAGATTCCTACGATTCCAAATGATGAGCATGTTGATTGGCAACGCTCTCTTGCAACGACGGAGTACTTCTCAGTCAGGATTCATGGTATGAATATGCAGCATCGAACACGACGTACCATGGGGTCCGATTCAAGGCCGCTTTTCAACATGCTGGGTCAATTACCAGTTCTGAAGACCTTGGTCGTTGCAGGTGCTTCTTTCAGAGATGGGTTTGAAGAAGACCGGACCGACACTCTCGGACCGCCAATTTTCCCGTTTGTGCAAACAATCAGGTTGGAAAATTGGTATATTGGCCTCGTAGAGCTGGTGGAACTTATCAGGAGTCAGCCTTCGCTGAAGAAGGTTATTTTATATAAGATTTTCTGGACACCTCATATCGGGAACCAGATCAATGAGATTGCGGAGCTGGAAGATGTTAGTCTTGATCGACTACTTTGGCGCTTGACTGGGGTTGAAGTCATTGTGGATGATGAGACAAGCGTGTGGATTGCTACGGTCATTCGAGCTCGTGCCCCTCCGGCTCGGCCCCAGCAGCGAATGGGGCGTACAATGTAGTGGTCATAACTCATGTGGAGTTAATATTCACAGCATCATCTGATGACATTTGGTATACTAAGATTCTTATTTTAGCATACAAAGCACGAGAGCGTCGTTACCGGGTGGAATATATTCAAGAGCCCTTCAACAACCCTCTGCCAATCCTGACTCTGCTCGATGGTCTCTAGATCCAAAGATTATTCTTATCCATAGTGGAACGGGCATTTCCATTTGCGTTCCTTCAGCTTCACACTGCAAGATTGACATGAATCGCCTTCGTCTGCGTATAAGCATCGAGTGCGTATGAACCAWGTTCACGTCCAATTCCAGATGACTTGTATCCACCAAACGGAATGCCATAGTGTGAATCTCCGCTGGAATTAATCCACACCATACCAGCCTTTAATTTCCGCGCGACTTTGTGCGCCCGAGAGATCTTCTCCGTGAAAAGGGCGGCCGCCAGGCCGTATGCAGTGTCATTGGCTTTCGCGATGGCTTCAGCATCGCTAGAAAACTTGCTGATGGTCAMTACGGGTCCAAAGATCTCGTCTCGGATGATCGTGGAGTCCTCATTTGCCTTGAAAGAGTGTGTTAGAAAGTCGGTTGATCAAGAGAAGCCGCCGTTGCTGTACTCACGTCAACGAAAACGGTTGGCTGAACGAAGTATCCGCTCCGGTCGACCTTGGCTCCGCCAGTTATCGCCTTGGCTCCTTCTGATCTACCCTTCTCCAGGTATTGAAGGACTTTATCGTACTGAGCTTTCGAAACTTGCGGTCCATGGTTGACACCGTCTTCAAATGGTGCTCCAACCTTTGAATTCTGTTCGGTGAAGGAGACAAACGCTTTGAGGAACTCATCATAAATCTTCTCATGCACATAGATTCTTGAGGTAGATGTGCATACCTGGCCCGAGTTATCCATGATTCCTCCATGGGCCCATTGAACGGCATTCTGAAGCTCGGCATCTTCGAATACAATCAGTGGAGATTTTCCACCACATTCGAGTGTTACATTCTTCAGATTGGCAGCGGCAGATCGCATGATTGACTTTCCAGTAGCCGTGGATCCCGTGAAAGCGATCTTATCGACGTCCATGTGCTCAGCGAGTGCTTTCCCAGTGACAGTTCCGAGGCCTGGAATGATATTCACGACACCTGGGGGAAACCCAGCTTCTTTAACAAGTTTGCAGAAGTAGAGGGCCGATAGAGGAGTCTGCTCGGCCGGTTTGAGAACAACAACATTGCCGCATGCGAGAGCGGGAGCTACTTTCCAAGCCAGCATCATGATTGGGAAATTCCAAGGTATGATCTGTGCACAAACGCCCAATGGCTCCTGCACGGTGTATGCTCTGGCGGCACATCATCAATTTACTGCAGATACGAAATAGAGATTGAAGACTCACAGCTTGTCAGGAGAAGTATCGATTGACTTGCCATCAATCTTGTCTGCCCAGCCGGCGTAGTATTCGAAAACATTCACAGTCTCATCCAAGTCGCCTGCGAGTGCGGCTTCATAAGGTTTCCCAAGGTCGTAAGCGTCAATCGCCGCCAACAGTTTTCTCTCGCGGTCCAGAATTCCCGCAAGCTTGAAGAGAATTGTCGAACGCTCTTTGGGAGTAAAGTTGGACCACGGACCAATCTCAAATGCTTCGCGAGCAGCTTCAACAGCCTTGTTGACATCCTCAAGAGATGCACCGGTGAGCGTTAAAATCGGCTTGTCCAGTGACGGGTCAAGAACTTCGAATTTATCTCCATTGCCCTCCACGAATTCACCATTGATGAAGAGGCCGAGCGGCTGCTCATATTGCTGTCCGTTCGGCAATGTGATGGATAGCGACGACATCTTGGCACGACCCAGACGAAGCAATGTCGATGGCTCAATTCTAGATGATCGTCTTTTGTAGGCAGCACGGACGTAGCAGCTGAAAGCTTTCACTTGGTAGGGGAATATGTGGCGTGAGACTTGAGCTACACCAAGTATGGTATGTGGCAAGACATTGCGAGCTGCAAAGTGCACAAGACGCATAGCTCTCTCTCACTGGATCCACAAGTCGTCGTTGGTCGTGAGGGGCACGTCTTGGGGACTCTGGGCAGAACCAGACATTTCGATTCAACGCTAGGCATGAAGCTAACCCCAATGAGGCAGATGTCTGGGCACGGCTATCGTTCCGAATGCTTACCGAACGCTTAACAGAACGCCTATCTCTCTCCTCCTCTTCCCCGGCCATCGCATGCATATCACATGCCACAACGCYGGATCGCAGTTCCTGTCCCAAACTACGGGACCTCGGCAATACCATGAGAACACTTTGAAGCCAAACACGGAGAGGGACTTGCCATGAGTGCTCCGAAAAGGAGGGTGCCAGAAGGCTCATGCTGGAGCTGCAAAAAGCGAAGACTGAAGTGCGATCTCCGTCAACCAACATGCTCAAAGTGCGAGGTCAGCTCTGTAACATGCGACTACTCCCAAAAGCCGATTCAATGGGTCGGAGGTGCTGCATTTCGCGGTCTTTTGAAGTCCATTGGTCCTCCTCCAGTGACTGAACACAACAGCACAACACATAATGATCCACATCGCCCTCGTTCCGCGTGCAGCTCGCCGCAGCAATCTTCAATCTATACAGCTATATCATCGCCAATGATGCCGGAATCCTTGGTTTCATACTTTACGCATGCAGTATGGCCGAGATTCCAACTATCTGGCCAGATCATCTCTCTTGACGAAGATATGCTCGTGCATGAGTCTGCTCTACGAGATGCAGTCCTTGCTGTGGCACAAGCTCATCATCATCTACTGTTGAAGAGCGAGGAAAGTGTCATGGCGAAACCCGGAGGTCAGACGCGGCGGCAAGCTCGTCAAGTAGCGCTGTCACGATTTCGCACTCGCATAGAACGCGGTGTCGAGAGTGAAGAAGAAGCTTCTCGTCTCTTTCAAATCGTCTGCATGTTCTGTATCTTGGATGGTATGATCTATCCCGACGACCAGGGCAATGCCTCCGAACAGCATCTGCGTGGCGGATTCTCGATGCTTTCCAGCTGGAGTTCGATCCCTTTGAAGATGCTCCTGGCTGGAGGTCTGCAAGCACATCTGTTTAGCATATTTGCGACCGTGGATCTGATGCATTCTTTGCTCGACGGTACCAAGCCATTCTTTGAGCCGACCATGTGGTTCATGTTCGCTGGCGTCCAAGCCTGGTGGGGACGGCTGCATCCTGGAGACCCCTTTCTAGCAGTCCTCAAACTTTACTCCGAGATGGCTTTCCTGGGTAGCATTGTCTATGTTCGTCTGCCTGGGTTAGACGGACTACGTCTCGCCGAAAGGTGTTTGGAGCCTATCTTGGGCTCTTTGAGAACAGGTCTCCCACGATCTACGACTCCAGATTTCACGACACCAGAAGATTGGAACACTTTTTGCAGTCTTTATGAAGCCAGCGCCGCTGTGTATGTCTACAGGGCCTTGCAGAACCGACGAGTTGACGACGAAACGGTGCAGCGTATTGTGCGCAACGCCGTGTCGTCGATAGTCGATCGCCCGCTGCCCGACATGATGGCCCATTGCCTTATCTTCCCGTTGTTGGTCATTGGCTCCCACTGCCTATATTCGCAGGATCAGCGAGCCATCCTAGACCTGATATCCTCATCCGCCTCATATCTTGCTTTCGGTAACCTCATTGTTATGATGAATTTGCTACGGGAGATCTGGTCGCAGAGCAATATGAACTCAAACTGGTGGGACATGTTTCGTCCCATCTCGAAGAACGTATTCCTGTTCTGACGACATGGTCCCCGGATCTGGCTAAACTTGCTACTCTGGTCAGGACGATCTATCACACAAGTACCCCGCAAAATCAGGCAATCTGCAACCTCAAACTGACTCCAGAACTAGCGCAGGCAAGCCATGCGCTAGCCGAAAGTAGTAGCTGTTCTGCCATGGTCGGTACGAAGATGATCAGCAACCACACTCACTTGATATACTTCCAGACCTCATCTCCGAGTGTGAAAGTCGACGGATATTGCAAGTCAACACCATGGCGACGTCTCGATTATCCTCCGACAGTACTGGTGGACACGCCAAAGAAGGTGCCTTTCAAATCGAACATGGGCAGGCCGGATCTGAAGCCGGCTATGTTGAGGGCACTGATAACGCCGGGCTCGTGTCCCTGGGATACACACCAACGTYGACTCGAAATCGAACGCTCGCAACTGTCCTCTTCCAAACCATCGCCATTATCGCGGTTCCATTCGGTGAAGGCACTGCCCTCAACAGCGCAATTATCGGAGGGGGTCAGCTTCCGTACTTTGTAGGATGGATCTTGGTTTCCTTCTTGGACATGACAGTAGCTATGAGTCTGGCAGAGGTATGTCAAAAACCATATCAGGACTATGAGAGTGACACTCATCCGACACTTCTGTTAGCTCGCCTCCAAATTTCCTACATCCGCCGGGCCGTATTACTGGGTATATCGACTGATGCCAGAAGGCCAAACACGGACGACATTGTCATTCATCACCGGCTGGATATGGCTAGTTGGGAACTGGACCATTGCACTCTCCGTCAACTTTGGTTTTGCATCTCTGATTGCCGGCACCGTCACCATGTATCATCCGGACTGGGCTGCGACACAATGGCAACTTCTCCTGATATTCTACGCAATTTGCATCGGAGTCTTCGCTGTCGTGGCTTTTGGGAATCGTATTCTGCCATACGTGGACACGGTCGCCGCAGGCTGGAACGTAATCTGCATTCTGGTTGTGTTCCTAGGATTATCGATCTCCGCAAAGCTGGGGCGACACAGTGCAGCTGATGCACTCGCGCATTATGATACTACGCTGAGTGGATGGGGCAACTGGAGCTTTGCCATCGGTCTACTTCCCGCGGCATATACCTACGCAGCACTAGGTTTGTCTTTACTTCGCAAAAATCTCGTGTGCCAATGCTGACATGCTAACTTCCCTAGGCATGATAACGAGTATGGCCGAAGAAGTCAGCGAGCCAGAACGTATGCTTCCAAAAGCACTGTGCTTCAGTATTCCATTATCCGCAGTCATGGGACTATTCTACATCCTACCAATATGCTTCACGCTTCCGCCGCTCGAAGATGTCCTCGGCGCACCGGCTGCTCAGGGACTTCCATACATTTTCAATCACGTAATGGGGAGCCCTGGAGGCGGTCTTGGACTGATGTTTACCGTCTTGGGAGTGGCTGCATTCTGTTCCATCAGCATCACGACTACCGCATCTCGATGCACGTGGGCCTTTGCGAGGTAAGTAAGCTGCAATTGTTTACTCCAAAATTTGCAAGCACACGATCTACATGCTAATATAGCGTAGAGATCGAGCAATCCCCTTCTCAGGCCTCTGGTCTAAACTGGCCTTTGGCGACACTCCTCTATTGGCACTCCTCCTCACCACAGTCGTGCAAATGCTTCTCGGTCTCATCAATCTAGGCTCCACCAGTGCTTTCACAGCATTCGCCTCCGTCGGTGTGATTGGCCTTGCGGCAGCATATGCCATACCAGTGGCAGTGRGCATGGTTGAAGGGCGCCGAGCCGTATCAACAGCATCCTTCCGCTTCCCATCCATTATCGGATGGAGTGTCAATGCACTCATGGTATTATGGATTGCCTTCCAAATGGTACTGTTCTCGATGCCAGGGACTTTACCTGTGACGGCCACGAGCATGAATTATGCGAGTGTTGTGTTTGTCGGGTTCTTTGTGCTTAGTACTGTTTATTATGTGGTTTGGGCCCGAAAAGGTACGTTCAAGCTGTGCGATTCTACTGATCAAGTACTGATTTATTGTAGTGTACGTGGGACCTGCGAAATCCGACTTGGCGTGATCATGCCTGCCTGCCGTATTTATCTATACGCTTCGCTTGCTTTGGGCATTGATGGTCGATACAGATCTTCATGGAGAAGCACTCGTCGGCATGGGATATTGAAATGTTTCGAGGCAGCGGAGATATTGTACGATACTCGCAACAAGAAACCAAAGCACCCATCTTAACGTGCATTCTGCTTGAACCTGCGCCTACTTCACAATCCTCGCTGCTTGACCAGCGTGAAGCAACAGGGCCTCATTCCAAAGATCTCATCAGTTCGATCGGCATGAGAAACCGCAACTCAACTGCAACGAACAATCAGTAGGCTTTCATCTTGCTTCGCATGCAAATCGACTGGTAGACTCTACCTGGTACGATAGCGTATCGAAACTCTAAACAAATCGGATGCCCAACTAATTGCCTATCACGGCCTAATCAAAAAAAAGACACACGGACTCCCTTGCAGATCAATGGAGATGGAGAAAGGATATGCTACTCCGCAATCACACACAGGATGATCATTGATTCCTTGGCAAGAGTGAGTATACATACATACACTCCGATCTAAACCAACCGTGGAGGTCTGTTCGCCTTACCAACATCAGATTTGTATCAGATCTCAACAACAAAAATGGGTCTCTCCACCACTCTATCCTCCATCCTCCTCGCCTCTTCCACAGCAGCATTAGCAGCAACAACATCACCAACAGCAACAGAACCCTGTCTTTCCCACCCCGAAGCCTCCAACATAGCTCTCCGCTGGTTTTCAATTTTCGAAACCGACTCCCTCGGAAATGGAACCGGAGCAGCCCTCGTCAACAGCACTCTCGCCTCGGAATTCCAATACATAGATTACGGAGCTACAATGGGTGATCAAATGCCCCTCTATACCGATCGATCTTCAGTCTACGAATCGGTTTCTGGAAGCGGGTATAGTGGGGCTTTGGTGACTGATGTTAAATATACCATTCCTTTTGTGTTTACCAGCTGTAATGTTATCGGTGCGAGATGGCAGACTAAGTCGATGAGTGCTATGGCTGAGAATGTGTAAGTTTTACGGAGGACCTATCGTGTGGAGAAGATTATGGCTGATGATTTATTGAATTTAGGACTGTTCCTGTGGGGACTCCGATTACATATTTTGGAACGGATTATCTGGAAGTTGATCTCGCGACAAGGTTGATCTATAGTGCTACATCTTCGTCGGATTTGTTGAATTACTACAAGCAGTTGGGCGACAATGTACTTGCTTGAGCTGGAGCTGTGCCCGATATGATGTTGGGAGGTATTGAAATTTGTGGGTGGTACTTTATTTAATGCACTGAAAGTAGCCTTGCTTCCCATGAGCATTTGGCGAGTGTCAGGTGCCCTTCATAACGCACCTGAGCAAATACATCCGGCCAGAAGCAAACCATATTTGACAAGAAGACTTTCCTTAGCTCTCGGATATCGTTGCTTCGCCGGAGCATTCTCTGATCTGGGAATGCAAAGTCTTTCTGCTCTGATCTCTCAATAGTCCAGCTTATTGAAAACAAGTGAGCTTCCGCGCGCAAGGAGGTTACTGCGATATCGTGCAGAGCTCAAGCTCACACCCTCACCATGTTCTTTTCCATCCTTCGCACATTCTCCGGGGGAATTTTCTTGAGGTTCAGCGTCATCTCCCCGACCTGAACTGACACACTCGTCCCCACTAACTAAGGGATGACCTTCGCTGAGGATTTTGTACCCATCGCCAGCGATATCTTCCTCGGCCGTGGTGGCTCCACCAAACTCATCGATATCCCCCTGTGGCTCGGGTTTGATGATCGGGCCAAACTTAGACTTGGTCCCGGTACATTTTCCGCCGTCGTTGTAAACCATGCCCTCGCTTGAGAGGTTAYGCATGGACGTATGAGCAGATTCAGGTTCTGGAGGCTGCTCTCTAGGGAACTTCTGGTAACGGTCACGATGTTCTGTCATCGGTAGCTGTTGTTGAACTTGCTCGTCCGCAGCCCTCGTAGCCACGGCCCCCGGAGGCAGCGACATCAAGTCTTCCGCGTCTGACATCTCGACAATCATCTGCCGGGCTTCCCCTTCGATGCTGATTAGACGCTGCTTGATTTCTTCATTGTTTGCCCGCACCTCATCGGGATCGCCTTTTTGTGCCTCAATATCAGCCTTGGATACCCGTGAGCGACCATCACCGGCATCTCGTTTAGCGATATCGCTGATGAACTTGTTGCGCACTGGTCTTAGCTTCCTCACCCACTCTTCCCAGATCACTGCATCATGAAGCATTTCCTGTTTCTTGATAGCGTCGTCCGTATATCGATCCGATGTATCATCGGCATACCGAGAAGGGCGCGAGGAGATGGTACCAGGCTGATGCAAGGCGTAGGGTGTAGGTTCGATGATCTCTTGTTTGATTGGGACAAACGTGAAGACTTGCTGTCTGGATCCCTGACCACGATGTTCCTGTTGAAAATGTCAGTCGAAGAAAATACAGATTCACAATAGTTGACTTACCTTGGTGCCGGTATTGGCGTGCTGCAGGTATTCTGAAGTTTTGCGCTTCTTTACCGGACCGCCATCTTCGTGAATGAAGTCAATATCATCCCCAGTAAGGTCGATGACATTGCTATGATGAGTGACATGTGAGAAGGAAGACTCGACCATCTCCAAGGGGTAGAGCTGAGGCAGGTGGGAGCCACCAGCCGGGGCAAAGAACCCAGCTGGCTGGCGATATTGAGCCTCAGTGGACGGACCGACTGGATCCTGGTTCGGTTGCTGCTGCCGTGGAGGACCAAGTCGAGCGACCTGAGCATCAGTTGGGAAGAATCCTTCCGGGAGGTCGTCCAAGACCATGATGGTCCTGTTTGGTCAAGGCTGCTGTTTCTTGATTATCGAGCGGGGATGAAGACTTGGGGAGATTTCGAAGATGATGTGAGTATTGGTGTTGATGGAAGAGAAAGCAGTGATGTTGGCAAGGGAATGGGATATGGTGGTGTCGGAGTAGAGTGATGCAGATGTTGATGTTGTGCTGGATGATCACAATGACCGAAGGGATATAGTCCGGCTTTGAACCTCGTATGACTCAGCGTAGTAATTGAGCACGTGAAGCCTGTTGAAGTGAGACGGCATGTAGAGAGGTGACCGAGGGAAAAAGTTTTTCCAAGGGATCAAAGTGATGACCTGACTTTCACGTGCCGATCTTGGCAAAATAATGCAATGTGAAGAAGTGTCACGAGCTCGGTATTTATGTCAAAAAGTCCTCTAGACCACAGCTTCCCACGATTAATCCGTCTTTTGTACGTTGGTGTACAGTCCCAATGAAGCCTCGAAGCACCCAAGACGCCGATCGATGATCGTTACCAAACATTATATCTCTTGGTCAATCCTCAAGCCTCTCTCTATGCCAGAGAGTGTTGATACTGTGAATTTTAAAATGCCTGTCATATTCGATGCGAAGAACGAAAGATACTCCAAAGCTGATAAGTCGGAAAGTAGATACAGCGTCTTTCTCTATGCACCATGCCGTCTCTTCTCACTAGCGTATGTTGGTAACCTTCGCCTCAAACTCCACGGTCTTCTGCCGTGTTGAGCACTTCGTTCTTGCAGAGAGAACCAACTTCAGATGTGATGATATGCAATGATACCTTCTCCACGTACTACCCATGGAGACGGGTGAGTCCAGGTTTAATGTTGAGCGGCATACCTGCCGTCTAGGCCACCACGGGTCTTCCACCCGGTGAAACTCACCCAATCTGCATAATGAGCTTCTGTCCCCTGCCTAGTTAGATAAATTCGCAATTACACGTATGTCCCTAGTTCCCACATGTCAAAATACCACGAACGCCTTTCCAAGCCTCAGACATGAGTGTTTAGAGAGTACTTCTGGTTTCGAAAAGACGCATTCCATCCATTCGACCTACTCCTTTTTCTCGTATCACTTCGTCCCTGGCAAGCTCACAACAGAGCCGACTCAATCTCCACCAAAATATTAACAAGTGGCAGCATGACGTATTTCTACTCCCATTCACATGATGCCAAGCACAAATGTAAATCGAGTCACAGATCAACAATAGAACATCTCCACCCAACAAAATCAGACTCCTAAAATGGCAAACCTCACCTGCACCAAAACCGACATGTTAGAGGGACTGCTCTTCACATGCATGGCGCACGATTCCCTCCAAAACCTCCTTCCTCGGCGATCTGCAAGCCAGTTTGATTAGAAGCAACAATCTCGCGTACCCAATTGAGATTGAAAATCAACTTGTCAAAGACAAAGCAAATATCACGAAATTCCAGACTGTGCTTGATGTTGAGAAGTGTGATGAGAAGATTACTCGACTGTTGAAGACCAAAATGTGTTTGTCTTTAGCTTTACAGGAAATTATCTGCTGAGCTTCGTTTGATGAATAGGAGATGTATGAGGCCAGACCAGGGAAGGGCTCTGTAGAGCATATTGCGGAGTGTGATTTGAAAATCAAGCATTTGAAGAAGGCCAAGGTTTGTTTCGCTGTAGTTTCGGTGTGCGGTTGTACTGATTGTAGATAGGAGGTCTATCTTTCTCTCCAAGCAGCCAAGAAGTCCAACGCGGCGAAAGCTAGAAGTCAAGATGTGAAAGCTGCGTGGGGTTGAGGACATTCAGGTATTTGAAGTGCGTTCAGCAATCGGTGTTGAAATGTCAATTTTGTTGATGCTCTGTCGACATTATGGAAGACGAAAGGGTCGACTACGCTAGAGCACTCTTGAAGATTAGAGCCCTTTTTTCGCTTTGGTCGGCAGCGTTTCCTTCTTTTCCAGCGGCGTCGAATTCCATGGTCGTGATGGACATTCTATGGGAAACAGCATCTCAGCTCAACATCAAGGACTCGTTGGAAGAGATGAAGTCAATCAGTGCATCCATCATCGACAGCTCAATCCAATCCTTCGAAGGCTGCCTCTTCCAATCAGTCCTTCTTCTGCTCGATAAGGGGCAGACAAGCCTTGTATATCTTCCCGAAGCCAGGAAACTCGATAGTCCCCCTCAAATACACCCTCATCATTCACTTTTGCGCACTGCAATGACCCCACAATGAAGAAGTCCGTATAGCTCGGTTTCTGGCCCAACAAGAATGGTCCTTTCGCTTCATTCGTGAGCAATTTTTCGCCAACACGGCGGATGTCAATCGAAGCAGCATTCCAGACTTCTTCCTCCTTATTCCCACTCACGAGTTCCTCGAGGGGATGTCCTAAAGATGCCTCTCGCGTGCGACGAAAGTACTGTTGTGTAGGCGGCGACAGAATGTGCAGCTCGCGCGGAGTTAGAGACGTCTTGTAGACTGTTCCGATTACTCTCCGCGCTTCAGACTCAACTTCTTGCCCCAGCTGAGAGCTGAGCAAGACTGAAGGGTCGGGGTAGACGGATTCCAGGAAGTTTGCAATAGCAGCGGAGTCCATAATGTGCTTGTCTGTTGGGATGTGATGAATTGCAGGTACTGTATATCTTGGCTGGCCTGGAGAAACACTCTCGTGCGGCTTCAGGTCACTGTTGGGATTAGACGGCGGGTAATCAGAGTGCTGCAGGGCACGCAGAATACTAACAGCGCTTTCAGCGTGGGCTCGATGTCTTGGAACTCGAGGAACACGGTCTTGTATGGGATGCGCTTGTAGTTCAGCATCAAGCGGATACGCCACACGACAGGCGAGAAGCAAACGTTCTTGATGCAGGCCAAGTCATAGAGGACAATCTCTGGCTGGCGCTTGTCTGTCATGTTTTTTGTTGGGTGTTTTGAACAGAAGATTATGAGGTTGAGGCCGAGTGATGCCACGATTTGGAAGATGTTTCTTGGGGTAAATGAAGGCTAGATAGTAGAAGGAATGCAAGATTCAAGCTGGCAAGTAATGCTGCTGCTGCTGGCTTACCGTACGCTGCGGCTTACGCATTGTGCGGCGACACTGACTGTGCATCTCGGCCTTCCAACAGCACGATTGGGGGAGCTCTATAATTGCGTTAAAAAGAAGCATCGTTGGAGTCAATCGTCGTAGAAGTGAACGAATGAATGATGTTGACCTGTCATGGAAGTTGACAACAGAGAAGTGAAAAGGAGATTGCTGTAACGAGCGTAGTTCGCATGAGGGCACGTGCCGCCGTACCTTTCACCGCCTTTCATTTCGATATAGTACACTCTTTCCATCTCCTGTCGTCTTCTCTTCTCACAACTTCTCCATGATACGTATGCAACTCGGAAGAAACAGTGCCAGGAATGGAAATCTCACTGCATGTCAGCTTGACCCTCCACCTCCAACGGCTGCGAAGACAACCCCACTTTGCTGGAAGAATCTGCTCAATTTTCCGGGATCATGACGTGCTGGCTCCTCATGCAGGCTGGACAATTGCGGCCTCAGTACAAGAATCACGATCCATTTCCAGTGACTATTTTGACTGGCACTAAAATGGCGCGTACAAGATCAATGGCAATTCGACTTGCCGGCAGCTGTCAAAGAAACCCAATGCCGCCTACCACCCCGAATTCACGCAGCATCGCGATTTTCAGTGTTTCCCGTAGGTAATGATGACGGCTAGCTCGATGCTTCCCGGAACTATAGCACAACGCCGTACGAGTGAGTACATGCCACACCCACAGCAGCTTCGCGTCATCATGCTGGGGCTTCCGATGTGGCATTATTGGCGTGGGCCCCTCAATAGCTTTGTCTAGARGCAGCCAATTGCAGTCCGCTTTGTCCTGTCCTATGGATGTCCTTCCGGCAACACATGGGCAGGAACAAAGCCTACAATGCCTGTTTTGGCAAGTCATGATTGGACCGGCTGGTCGCAGTTTCCCAGTCGTCCGGATGACCAACTTGCTTCAGCAGCTTTGCATTACCGAGTGTGGAGTACGTCTACAAGCTGCGTCTCTGACACWTCCCTGTAAGGGTCCCTACATATATTTCTCAATGCTGCAATTTTGTTGGTTCGGCACTCTTCAGACGTATCTGATCCCCTCCCGTCACTTTCTTCAACATGGGTTCCATATCGGAGTCCGTTCCGAATATCATTGACATCAGAAGCGACTCGGCTGGCTTTGAGTTGAAGAAACTCATCAAAGATGGACTGCATGGGAAGGAGAAGACATTGCCGACGTTGTTGTTGTACGACAACAAAGGCCTCAAGCTCTTCGAAGACATTACATATCTTGATGAGTACTACCTGACTGGGCAAGAAATTGCCGTGTTGGAGCAGCATGCCGAGAAGATGGCGGACAGGATTCCGCAGGATGCCATTCTGCTGGAACTCGGCTCAGGGTATGTGTTGAGTCTTGATGTGTCGCAGATCCCTCCCCTGACTTCTCATGATAGAAACTTGCGAAAGGTGAAGATTCTGCTCGATGCATTGGAGCGTGCTGAGAAGAGGGTTTCCTACTACGCGTTGGATTTGATGCACAGCGAGCTTGTACGCACTCTAGCTGCAGTTCCAGTCGGAACATTCAAACACGTACAATGCTTTGGACTGCACGGAACTTACGACGATGGCCTWGAATGGTTGAAGATGCCCGAAAATGCTGCCAGGCCCAAGACGATCCTTTCAATGGGCTCCAGCATCGGCAACTTCAACCGCGAGGACGCTGTGGGGTTTGTTGCTCAGTTCGGGAATATTATGGAACCAAACGACTCCTTCATCCTCGGTCTGGATGCTTGCCAGGACCCGGAGACAGGTATGAGTTTGTGGCCATCCGAGCACACGTTTCTGACATGCGCTCAGTGTACCACGCATACAATGATCGAGAGGGAGTCACGCATAATTTCATCATGAATGGATTGAAACATGCCAACGAATTGCTCGGTTATGAAGCTTTCAACTCCAATGATTGGAAAGCTCATGGCGAATACGATCAAGTTGGTGAACGCCACCGAGCGTTTGTCATCCCCCAAAAAGACCTCCAAGTCGAAGGCATCTCTCTCAAGCAAGGAGAAAGGGTGCGTATTGAGGAGAGTTACAAATACAACCACGAGCAAGCCATGAATTTGTTTACGGAAGCTGGCGTCATAGAAGGTGCCCGTTGGACGAATCATGTGCAGAGTTATGGTGAGTTCCCCACACCTCCTCACTCATATCCATTAGTAAACCCGACCCAACCCAAATACCACTTATCAGTGTACGCGAGATCTGGTATACTAACACGAAAGTTTCAGCATTACACATGCTTTCTCGCCCGATGAAAATGTATGCAAGCAGACCAGAGACGTATGCTGCTAATGCGGTGCCTACCCTGGAAGAATGGGCGGGTCTTTGGGAGCTGTGGGATAAGGTCACTCTCCAGATGATTCCCACGGAGGAACTGTATGAGAAACCGATCAAGCTTCGTAACGCTTGCATTTTCTATTTGGGACATATCCCGACCTTCTTCGACATGAAACTTGTGGAGGCTACAGGAATGGAACCAGCAGAGCCGAAGTATTTCCATCAAATCTTCGAACGCGGAATTGACCCGGATGTTGATAACCCGAAGCACTGTCACGCTCATAGTGAGGTGCCCGAAAGCTGGCCAGAATTGGATGTAATCCTAAAGTACCAGAGAACTATCCGCGATCGCATCTGTGAGCTGTACAACAACGGCAGTGCTACCAAGGATGCCTGGACTGGAAGGACTCTCTGGCTGGGCTTCGAACATGAAGTGCAGCACTTGGAAACCTTGCTTTATATGTTGATTCAAAGCGATAAGACGCAGCCTCCAGCCGGAGTCATCAAGCCGGATTTCGAACAAATGGCTGTGCAAGCCAAGCGGGAGGCTGTCCCAAACGAGTGGTTTGACGTTCCGGAGCAGACACTCAGTCTTGGATTGGAAGACCCAGATACTCCCGACGGACCTGTCAGGCACTTCGGATGGGATGTTGAGAAGCCAAAGTATACCGTAAAAGTCCCTGCTTTCAAAGCTCAAGCCCGTCCCATCACGAATGGGGAGTATGCACAGTATCTTGTTGCTACCAAGCAATCTTCGATCCCTGCCGCATGGAGCTTGCAGGAGAGACCTGCCGTAAGCGAAGCCAATGGGCTTGTCAATGGCGAGGCCGCTTTCGAGGAGTTCATCCAAGACAAGGCCGTTCGCACCGTCTATGGTGCTATCCCATTGAAGCTTGCTTTGGACTGGCCTTTGTCCGCTTCATACGATGAGCTGAAAGGATGTGCGGTCTATATGGGTGGCCGTATCCCAACTCTGGAAGAAGCTCGCAGCATCTACAGTTATGCCAGCGATCAGAAGAAGGACGCCTTCTCCAATGCTCTGGGCAAGACGATTCCAGCCGTCAATGGGTAAGTCATGTCATGCTCCTCAAATTCACACGCTCACCCATCACTTCCAGTCACCTCGTCAACGAAGGCGTGGAAGAAACACCACCATCCAACCCGTCAGTTAACGGGACCGGCATCACCGCCGGTCCCACCACAAAGGATCTCTTCGTCGATCTCTCCACCGCCAACGTGGGTTTCAAGCATTGGCACCCCATGCCCGTAACGCCCAATGGTCGCAAACTCGCCGGGCAAGGCGAAATGGGCGGTGTCTGGGAATGGACAAGCTCCGTGCTCGAGCAGCAGAAAGGTTTCGTTCCGATGAAACTGTATCCTGCCTACAGTGGTGAGTGATTTCAATATCAACCCCTGGAGGCACACGAGACTAACATGATCCAGCCGACTTTTACGATGGAAAGCACAATATCGTGCTGGGTGGATCTTGGGCCACGCATCCCAGATTCGCCGGTCGAAAGACTGTGTAAGTTGTATCATGATTCTTCGCAGATGATAGCACTGCAAGAAACAAAAAACTGACCGCTTCTGCGCTAGCATCAATTGGTACCAGCGGAACTACCTCTACGCCTGGGCAGGAGCACGCATCATCAAAGACATCTGAGCCGCAGAAGTGAACCACAATACGTGCCTTCTTCTCTCACGTGTCCTTTTGGAAGAGGCCAGGTGGTCGAAATTGGATGTAGCCAAGGTTTTCTTTTCATTGAGTATAAAAGGCGCACCCCCATGTTTCCCCGCAACCCCTTAGTTGCAGCACATGTCGCATCAACGCCAGTAAGTGAATGAATGAATTTCACAGCTCCACTCAACTAGCCCCATCCAGCACGCACGTAAACACAGCCGCTACCCGTCCACGCGTCTATCTCGTGCAACGCGAACTAGAATTCCGCGGTCAAACAGAAATCTCTCGTGGTACCTATTCACTGGAAACGAAATAAATAAATAAAGCCCTCCTGGCAACCAAACCAACCGGCAAAACATCACGTCCTCGTGACTTCCTCGTGCGGCCCGACGATAAGGATAAATACCCACCCACAGTCTTCAAATCCGCCCAAAGATTTATATCCATCGCAAACAACACGCGTATGACACCACTACAAAACATCCACAGACACGACGCCGCCAACCGCTCGACGCGCGCAACATTCGGAAAATACCACGCGGACCTTGAATTCGACACGTCTCAAACGACTGCAGCTCGAGCTCAATCAGCACCCCTATCCTGCAAACACGCCTGACAATCAGACAGGTGTCTTCTTCAGTCTTTCAATTGAAGAGATTTCATCGATTCATCTCCTCTGCCAGCATTCGGAGTCGGAAGTGAGGCTTGCAAGCATCACTGCAGCTCGCGCTTTCGGCAGAGTGGAAATGAAAGGCTCGCTTACATTCACGCGCATCCTCTGTTCGCAGCCCCACGGAAGAACAGCTGCTGTCGCCGCCGCCGCCGCCGCCACCGCCGCGAATTTACGAAGGAGAGTCAGAAACCTCGACATTCTCAGAGACAAGAGAAACTGTCCACGCCCCGACTGTACTCCAAGGCATCCAAGAAACACAATCAGGCACCTCTTGGCCAGCAAAGAGACTCTATGAGTGATCTCTTCAGATGGGAGGACGGCGGTGGTCTGAGTATGCTTCTTCCTTTTCCTTCTCTTTCCCTGCTTCGAACTAACCACCCGTGCAGAGCATCATTGTGAGTACCGACAAGAACTGACTAAAGTCGAGGAAGATCACTACTGACTGCAACATAGGTCCGATCTGCCAAACACCGCTGTCGCATGAGAAGTGCCGGACTCAATGCCTGGGCGTGCATGTCGAGTGGTGCAGACGCTACCACACCCTCTTCCGCAAGAACTGGAGCTCTCGATGCAGCGCTTGCAAGACGACGGACGAGCAGCACGAGAAGCGGCACCGGGAGATCGCCGAGTTGATTGCCAAGATTAACAAGCTGAAGGCAGAGGAGGATGAGGCCGGCGCTGAGTCTTCGAGATCCCGCACACTTCTTACTGCCAGTGCGCTGAATAGTGTCGACGGGATTTCGAATGAAACAACACCAAGGACGACCAAGAAGGARAGGAAGAAGTTGAAGAAGGCGGCCAAGGCAATGGGGAGGGACAAAGTTGTGACCTCGGCCGACATCCTTTTCGTGGCCAATACTCTCCATCCCGAAGGCGAACAGAAGGACGAGGACAAGGACCTTGAGTTCGCAGAGCTAACGGAAGATGAGGACATCAAGATGAACCTGAAGTTCAACAACAGTACTTGCAATACCAAGACTGCACGATATGACTTCATCAAGAAGGATCGCGGCCTGGACCTCGAGGGAAGCAAGATTCATGTCGGGACTATGTTGGCTACCTTCGAGGTGAACACCAAAGCCAATGGACAGGAGGGAAAGCTGGTCGCCGAACTTACTGCCGCCATCCGGAACGACTTGGTCCACTATCACGATGAGCTCCGGACGACCGCGAAGCTCCGCAGTGCATTCTGGAGGTGGGCCAACGCCAGGGCGTACCGAGAACTGGTGGGAAATGGCAAGGATTGGGACGATCACGCTCCCAGCAGCCAGGAGCGTACCGACTCGGTTGCAGACCAGCCCGCTCTCGATAATGCGGCCGCCATAGAGTCGGACGAAGAAGCCAAGACGAATCGCAACTATAGCGTCGACTCCGGTATGGATGCTGCATCGGCCAGCACATCTCTCACCGTCCCGTCGGTTGTGGCATCCCCGGTCGGAAAACCAAAAGTGAAGACTCTATCTATCGTCACGCCCAAAGCGGAAGATACCGTTGACGATGGAGGTTGGAAACAGGTTGGCAGCAAGGTACTGAAGGCTCCAGCGGTCGGCAAGCTCAAGATGATCAGGAATGGTGGACTGCACCACTTTGCTCGAACTCCCAAGGGCACTTTTGGTGCGTTAGCGGACGGGTGGGGTGGGGCATTTGACGAAGATAGGAAGCCTCTCTAATAAACTCCGCCGGTCGTGGGAGAAGGGAAGTTGCTGCTGCGATTTTTCGGGAATATCTTGGATGGTATACTGTAAGATGGTCGAAAAGGGGATTACAACGCTTTAGCAATGGCTACCGTACCTTGAGGTGCACAGAAAGCACGAGGTGCGATGCAGTTAGCAGCAGAATCCAGGGCAAGTGAAAACCACTACCTTTTGCTTTGAGCGGAATGGATGTCTTTGATTGTCATGTGTGCTTTCCATTCCCTCTGATCCAGGGTTTCTGCTGATGTCGTCCACCCGTTCGAGCCTTTCCATACCTACAGTCGTGCCCGTATTATGACTTGGCTTTTGGCTTTGCTCAGTCTCGAGCTCGTAAAGCAGGACCAGAACTCATTTCAACACCATTCCGGGGAAGGACGATTGCTGAACCTGCGGCGAGCAGTGGAGATCAAGGTAAGTAGAGGGAGGGGCCAATTTTGTCACACTAGCAACCTGGCCTACCGTATGATAAGATACCGTGATTCTCCGCCACCATCTTTGAGGGTCGAAAAAAAGCTACCGCTGTGACTGAGAAGCTAGGTAATCATTCCAAACCCACMGCACAACTTCATGATTTTCTGGCTCTGACCACGATACAACGACCTGAATACTCTCGACCGCTACCTCACTTCATAACCAGCCCATCACCACCCATACTCTTCGGCCATGGCGGCCATGGACATTGACATGTCCTCGGTGCCACTGCCGGCCGCACGCGAGACGACGGCAGCGACAGTCCTCTGTTACAACTGTGGCGCGGCGATTGATGGCACACAAGCAGCGGGAGCAATCTGTACCGACTGTCTCAAGCTCACCTCCGACGTGACCCAAGGCATCGAGCGTGAGGGAATCCTCCTCATGTGTCGCGACTGCGACCGATGGTTATCCCCACCCAACTCATGGGTCGTTGCGGCGCCCGAGTCTCGCGAGCTCCTTGCCCTCTGCCTGCGAAAACTACGTGGACTACACAAGACCCGCATCATCGACGCCTCCTTCATCTGGACCGAGCCGCATTCGAGACGAATCAAGTGCAAAATCACAGTCCAGCACGAATCCACACAAGGCGCCATCCTCCAACAAACATTCGATGTCGAGTTCAAGCAGCAGTACAAGCAGTGTCCCGATTGTCAGAAGAGTTTCACACACAACACCTGGTCTTCGGTGGTTCAGGTCCGACAGAAAGTACCACACAAGAGGACGTTCCTCTACCTCGAGCAGCTCATTCTCAAGCAAGGCGCGCACAAGGATACCATCAACATCAAGGAAGTGCACAGTGGGATTGATTTCTATTTTGCTGCGAAGAACCAGGCAGAGAAGTTTTGTGATTTCCTCAACTCGACCACGCCTGTCAAGATTAAGAAGGCTCAGGAGCTCATTTCCATGGACACACACACGAGCGTGCGCAGCTACAAGTTCACATTTTCCGCCGAGCTTGTTCCCATATGTAAGGATGATTTGGTCGCCCTGCCACCAAAGCTCGCCAAGCAGATTGGAAACATCTCCCCACTGGTGCTCTGCTATCGCATAGGAACAGCAGTCAACATCCTCGACCCGAACACTCTTCAATTCGCCGATCTCAGCACGCCAATCTACTGGCGAACACCCTTTGCACCTCTCGCCGATTCCACACAGCTGATTGAGTTTGTGATTATGGATATCGAGCCCATTGGACCCGCAAGGGGACGCTTCCTTCTCGCCGAAGCCACCGTCTGCCGCGCATCAGATCTCGGCGTCAACGACACAACCTACCTCATCCGCACACATCTCGGCGGAGTCCTTCACGCAGGTGACTCGGCCATGGGCTACCTCCTTTCCGGAACACAGTTCAACAACCCCAACTTCGAAGCTTTGGAAGAGAGCAAGCAATACAGCGGCACCATTCCCGACGTAATATTAGTCAAGAAGCACTACGAGCGCCGCAAGAAGAAGAGCGCCAACACCCGCAACTGGAAGTTGAAGCGCATGGCTCGTGAGGAGAGCGACATGAAGCCCAGGAAGCAAGATGCGGATCGTGATGAGATTGATTACGAGCAATTCTTGCAGGATTTGGAGCAGGATCCTGAATTACGGGCGGGCATGCATCTGTACAAGCAGCAGAAGGAATTGGATGCTATTAGTGAGATGGAGACGGATGATGGAGAGGATGATGGGTTGGAGATTCCAATGGACCAGTTGATTGATGAGATGCAGGACGCTACGCTGGAGGATATGGATAGCGATAGTGATTGAAAAGGCAGCAATGGGTGGCGATGCTCATGATGTGATGATGGGCATGCAGATGATGGGATGCTCTTAGAAGAGCTACGACAGCCATGATCAAAAGCTGCAATGCCATGCCAACTCGCCATGGCTCTTGTCGTGACGAGTACATCTTCTCACATGTTCCCTTCTCCCAAGCCCCTGCCTCAAGATTCCTATGCCCTCTTCCTTCTCGGCCTGGGCGTTCCGAGCTGCATGGATGCATCCTTGTTGATGTCTTGGTACCTATTCTTGGCTTTGCCAGACTTACGTAGGATGTACCTTCTTGACGCGCTGCTCCAACCAGGAAGTACCTGGTATATCAACAAATGTCCTTATTTCATACAACACTCACCACAACAACACACTGTACAAAAACGTGTTGACATCAATCGAGAAAGTTGAGACGGCCTTTCCACACTTCTTATCGCCGAAACCCCCAACCCCACAAATTTTGGCTTTTTGGGAACCGCTCGGACTCGACTCGCCTGCGCGACTTGCTCCACACGATCATCCATCGAGCTATCATCAGCTTCGGAGGCGGAGAAGTGTGGGTGATTCATCTTGAACAACGACACATGCTACAAGACGGATTGCAGGTCATCGAACAGGAAGAACAGAACAGAACAGAAGAGAGAGGTTTCCCAAGTCCGTCGTTATCACAGGGCATCATCCATCCGCGGAACACGGCGCACGAAACGCTCTTCCCTGGCGCAACCACCGGGAGCACGCGGTAGAAGTTTGCTTCGACAAGTCGACCCAAGCAAAGCAAAGGGACCTTGGTGAAGTTGCTTTGAGATAGACTTTTCAAGGAATCCTAGCCTCGGGAAGGAAAAGAAGCAGTAGTAGACAAGACGAAGAAGAAAGATGGCAGACACAGATACCGTCGCCGGCGCTCCAAGCGCTTCCAACACCAACGCCCTCCCACTCCCAAACCCAGACTCCCTCGACCTCTCCCCAGAAAGAGAAACCACAATGCCCTCCGCCTCGAACCCTACAGCGTCAGCACCTCTGACGCGCACGGAAACAACTCCAGCCCTAGGTCCTGCCGTCGACGCTCCAATCGCCCATCCTCCTCCTCCATCTTCCTCCTCCGGCGGCGGTCTCACCCTCAACATCTCCCTGATGCTCACGACCGGTGCCCGCCATCCTTATAAGATCGACTCCAAATACCTCTCTTCACGGAAAGTTTCCGCGGTCAATAGTGAGGGAGTCTTTGACCCGCGAGTGTTGAGTGGATACCAATTAAAAGAATTGATCTGGACGGATTGGAGGAGTGAGGATTGGGAGGCTAGACCTGTGAGTCCGAGTAGTATACGCCTCATTTTGATGGKGAGGATGATTGAGGACAAGGGAGTTTTACGTGGTAAGAAGAAGGAGATGAAGTCACCCAATCTATGGAGAAGGAAGACTTGCTAATGCGAGAACAATAGACTTCCCATTCAACATGGATCAGACGAATGTCGTGCATATGACTGTCAAACCCGCGGATCTTATCGAGGATGAAGCGGAGGTTGGGACGGCGAAAGGGAAGAGTGGGGTGCTGAGGCAAAGGGACTCCGGTGGGGAGGAGAGGGGAAGTGGGTGTCGCTGTGTGATTCAATGAATGAGTGAATGAATGAATGAATGGAAGGAGGGGAGATGGAGAGTGATGTACTTGAGCGTCAACAGAAGCGTGCGCGCGTGTGTTTTGCTGGCGTTGGGATCTGGTGTTTGAGCGGAAAAATGTTCTTTCATTGCGAGGCGCAGGGTGGGATGGGATGGGATGGGATGGGCGGGCATTTGGGAGGCGTTAATTTCTATCATTTTGGGACGAGTTACGCTCCGTTTGTATAGCGATACGATAGATGTGACGGGAATGAAATGATTTACTGGGTGAAACGCCTTGATGACATGCTTTGATGAAAGAATCTATACGACTAATGCACAGTGCAAATCCATCCAGCTTCAGAGGTTCTGGTCTGTCTGCTATCAAGAGCAACATCCATATCTGGGAGCCGTGATGAGTAGTATACAGCGAAGCATATCTTTCCGCCTCGACGTAGCTTCACWTTCATACATCTCCTCTAATACCGCTTCTCCATCGTACATGCACCCATCGTCTCCAACTCAATATGCCATCACCATCTACCAACCCATCCCGAATCTCATCTCCATCTCCGTGTGAAAATCCGGAACCTCACCCATCTCCTCCCCGGAAAAGACATCCTCCCATCCAATCTCCATATCTCTCCCGCTCAGGATATCCGCGTGCAGACCCGCCGTACCACCACCCATCAACATCATCGGCCGCCACTCTCCGTTGCGCACAATGTTCAATTCCATCTGTCTCTTGACTGGCTCCGCGATTCCGAATTGACGGCGCAGGAGGGACATCTTGAGAGTCTCTTGTTGGGAACGCCAGTTTGCTAGTCGGGATTCCAAGGGGTGGGTGGAAGCTATGGAGACTGCTGAGGCGGCGCTGTGGGTTTTTGGGGCGGGGGTGCTGAGGGAGAGGTTCGATCGGAGTGTGTCGTGGACTCCGGGGGSGGAGGGGGCGCCGTAGGAGGGGTTTGTCGTGGAGGTGTGTGCTGTGGAGGGGATGATGCGGAGAGACTTGAGTGTATGTTAGTGATGGGTTGGAATGGGAATATGGTGGGTGATGGCTTACCATGATGGCGTTTGTGATTTGGAGGTTTCTGTGTTTGTGGTTGTATGCGCGGTGATGCAGCAAGGGTGGTCTTCGCTGTGTTGATGAAGTGAGTGTGATGATGTTCGCAGCGCGTGAGTGAGAGAGAGCTCCAGGCACGGATGATGATGCGCGGCCGAGCTAAGCGCGGGAGCGGCCGTGCTGCAGCCGCCGTTGCCTTGAGTTTCGGCAGGCAGCTTTCGCGTCGCGGGATCCTTTCTACGCGTCGACTGAAATCGATCTGGTATTCGCTTTCGACACAACATCAGTAATGGCGCAAGATTACAGCGAGTACTTGGCGGTCCATGTGCTGAATGAGCAGCAATATGTCAATTACCGCAATCTGAGCAGAGCAATGAAGGTGCACAGTAATTTGGCCAAACAGTATGCTGTTCGATGTCCTACCTAACAGATGATCTGGCTGACTCTTTTGTAGAATGCTGTACGACTTCCACCACAAACAAAATAGCAAGAAACCCGGCAGTGTTCATGCCACATATTTTGTCTCCGGCTCCAGAAGACCCCCTTCTACCACATCATCCCAAAGCCAAGACAATGACGGCGAGGACAGCACCATGCGAAGCAGTCCACCACTTCCGAGTAGTTCATTTCAACGACCAGAAGAGCAGGAGCAGTCCAAGTCCATCCATGCCATCATGTTGGTGCGTGAGGAGCATCTGGAAGAAGCAAAGGCACAATTTGAAAGTATCTCGGGCATGCACATCTACAGTTTGCAAGTCAATGGCGTGAGCGATGTGCAGGCCCTGACGGATTGCAATCGTCGAGTGGCGGCAGAGTACGTCAAAGAGGATCCTCTCAAAGAGTGGAAGCAGTATGGTATTGTGCAGAATTCGGATGTGAGGAGGAGGATCACAAAGGGACAACCACCGCCTCCACCACCTMCTGCTGCAAAAAAGCCTGCTGTTGCTGCTGCTGCTCCGGGTGCGAAACCTACAGCTGTTGATAAGACGGGAGAAGCCAAGCCTGCGGCGAAGAGTGCACCAGCGCAGAAGAGTACTGCGAGCGCTCCGAGCAAGACAGCTGCGAGCAAGAACCAGAACTCTAGCTTGTTCAAGTCTTTTGCAAAGGGGTCCGCAAACGCAAAGAAAAAGGCAGATTCGCAAGCCAGCTCGGCCGCTGCATCTCCTGCCGCCGAGCCAGAGGATGTACCCATGACCGGCTTCTCTGACGATGATGAAGATGATGCTGACGTTGGGCTGCCTGCCGAGTTGGAGGAGGTCAAGGCTCCTGCTGGCGAGTCGAAGCATGAGCGAAAGTCAAGGCTGGAAGCTATGATGGACGAAGAGGATGAAGAGATGGAAGATACCGCTACTCCCGTCTCGGTGGAGAGCGCTCATGATGAAGGCGCGATCGATGCTGTGGAGCAGAAAGAAGAGCCCAAGGAATCCGTTGTGGTAGAGAACGGTAGGAGACGCGGTCGAAGACGAGTCATGAAGAAGAAGACTGTCAAGGACGAAGATGGTTATCTCGGTGAGAATTTCACACCCACATTCCCCATCACTTCAGGACTAACAGCATCATCACAGTAACCCGCGAAGAAGCCGCCTGGGAGTCCTTCTCAGAAGAAGAACCAGCTCCGAAGAAAACCAAAATGTCTTCCACTGCTAACAGTAAACCCGCCGCGAAGAAGGGAGGGAGTGGAAAACCAGGCCAAGGCAATATCATGTCTTTCTTCTCGAAGAAGTAGTCAAAATAGTCTCACGACATACGTTCAAACAGCGCCACTGTTCCCTCCAACCCCTTTAACCCTCTCACCCAAAGGTATTATGCGTAAGTTCGCTTCCTCATTCGCCTCTTTGGCTTCCCATTCATTGAACTGCACACCACAAATCTCTTTCCTCCGTGTCCGGAAGTCGGTGTACAGCCACTGCCAAACCTCCCGAGCTTCGCATGTCGTTTGTTCCGGGGGACAGAATGGAGTGAGGGTTCGGCGTGCTTCGGTGTACATGGGTTTCCAGGGTGGTGCATCGCTGAAATGGACTATATTTGCTGATGTAAGGGCTGATTTCGCGGGGTTGGAGTCGCTAGAAGGAGATTGCTGGCGTAGAGAGGCGGTGTGCAGGATACGTGGGAGCGGAATGGTGTATTTCGCAAGTGCATTCTGCACGTTCTCTGTGTTGTGAAGATAGTTGGAGAGAGGGATTGAGGGAGAGAGAATCATTGCTGAAGATTCTCCCGTTGCTTCTCCTCCCTCCCCTTGTCTCTGCAGTTCCGAGAAGAGTTCCTCTCCCTCTAAACTTCGCAGAATTGTAGAATCCAGATCTAATACTATGATGAGTTTGTAGTTTGTGAGATTCGACCCTGGGATCGCGGGATGGACATTCCGACTCGTGACATTGACGGTTTTCAAGAGCGCTCCATATCTCTCGGTAGCTTTCTGTAAAAGTTGTGCTTCGATGCTGTTGGTGGAAATGTTCCAGCTCTCTGGGTATAGCAGTATGCGATCCGCTGTAACATTCAAACGATGCAAAGACTCGAGTTGCATAATTGCAGAACAGAGATTCGCGGTATGGGATGCATAAACCACATATGCCATTTCATCGACCTCGGGCGGCAAGATTGGCCATGTAGGGATTTCAGGCGGAGATAAGGTTGATGAGGACCATGATGGAATATGTAGAGATGGTCGTGGGAGGAAATGGGCGCTGTTGCAGGTACACCACCATATTCCGAGGATTAAGACGAGGAAGAGAAGGGCTAGGCGTTCGTGGATTTTGCTCCAGCGTCTGGTGGTTTCGGTGCTTAGCCAGCGGAGTTTGGGAGGATCTTGGGGCCAGCTTCCATAGCGGGAGCGTTGACTACGGACTGGGGAGGGAAGCCAGGTGCGGCCTAGAGATTTGGTGGCGTAGAGGGAGGACATTTGTTGGTGGTTGAAGTGGTTCTCTCTTTGAGGAAGAAGGAAATAAAAATGGGTGAAGGTGAGTTTTGAGAGAGCTGATCAACGCGTTGTCGCCGTGCAAGGAACGTGCTTGGGAACGTGGTGTGGAATGTAATGGTTCTTGCACAAAATGAAAAGCCTCCAGTCACCAAACTTGTCGACCAGCTCTACTGATATGTCATGGTAATTCCCATTTCACTTTATCGAGTCTGTAGAAGGATGCTGTCGATTGTGATCACATTTGTCGTGATGGTATCGTACTTTCAACTGAGCTTCTGTAATGTACCCAGGGACCATAGACCCACGGCGCCGACATTGACCATGTTGAACGACTTGCATCAAGCCTTTCGGATAAGGCGCGAAGGATTTTCTGCAGGCTTGTCATCTGTGAGAACAAGGTCATGTAAGTGAAAAGGAGAGAAGAGGAAGAAGGGCGGAAGAGAAGCGCACTCACCAAGGGTCAACCTAATTGACGAGGGCGGCGCACGGCGGAAAAGTGGAGACTCGCCCTCCACCCACCCCATCAACACCACCATCAGATCGCAAACGCCATCATCGCCCTCTATTCCCCAATGGAAGCTCAGGAAGACGACGATGATCTCAAGCTCGCCAAGGCGTCTGCTGGGCTGCTTTCCGACCTCGAAAGAGACCTGCCAAAGATCCTGTGGAAAGCGACGTCTCAGAATGGTCGCAAACGAGCTCACACGCAAGTGAAGAGTCGCGATCTCGACCGTATAATCAGCTATGTATGATGTATTCACGACAGTGTTCACGACAGTATCTGCAGAATTATCGCTGACTGTCGTGATAGATTGAGCCATTCCAAGGCGAACCGCAATTGCTCGACGCAAAACTAAAATCTGTCCTCCCGCCGATTGTAGATGCATACTTGGACTATCTCCAGCAAAGCAAGTCGAAAGGAGACCTCAAGCATATCGATTTTCAGACGGCAATATGCACTCTGCTGTATACTCTCTGCAAAGTGCGAGGCTACAAGATTGTTGTGGGCTTTCTCACCAATGAGCCGCGATATCTTGAACCTATCCTTGAGGCGGTCGAGCGGACGGTCTTCACATCCGACGCACCAGAAGTGCAATGGCAAGTACCATATGTTCTTCTGTTGTGGCTCTCCCATCTTTTGCTTACGCCATTCGACCTTGACTCAATCTCCRCAATACCCGGTCCGGTATATGATGATGAACAAGACGTCTCGTTCACCCAGCAGCTTCCTCCATTGATTCTGCGGATCTTGCGGATCGGATTACAATACCTGCATACTCCGACAAAAGCACAAGATGCAGCTGCGGCAATGCTAGTAAGGCTATCAACGAGACCTGACGTGCAGAAGTTCCGGCTGGCCGACTCACTCGTCAAKGATCGCTTGCCAAAGTTAGAGAGCGCTGCCGCTGAGATGCCGAACATGTATGAGATGCTAGGTAGTCTTCGATATGTCGCTGGGTTGGCATCTTCCGCGGAGCTCAGCCATCTCATACCCAGCATCTACCGAACTTGCGAGAAGACGTTTGACGAGAACGACACTTCGACGTTGTCATCCAATGCTGTGGCCAAGAAACTGATCGTCAAGATCTTTCGCAATATTGCCATTCTCTCCCTCCGTTCTGCCAACGCGGATGGGCCGCTGGCGAGCTTTTTGCAAACGACTGGTGTGCTGGAGAATGTCATTGACTACCTGCTGCGGTCGCTGGGAGACAAAGACACTCCAGTTCGTTATGCCGCAGCCAAAGCTATCAGCTTGATCGTACTTGAGCTGGAGCCAGAAATGGCGCATGAAGTAATCCAGGCTCTGCTGGACTCCTTTAAAGAAGACATGCCAAGATCTGCGCATGCTGCAGACTTCACCACCGCGAATCCGCTGAAGTGGCATGGACTTACCCTTGCACTCTCGCACACACTCTTCAAGCGTTCAGCTTCTCCAGCACAATTACCTGATATCCTCAACGCTCTGATCTCCGCCCTCCAATTTCAACAGCGCACGGCCACAGGAAGCACCCTCGGCACAAACGTTCGCGATGCTGCAAACTTCGGCATCTGGTCTCTTGCAAGACGGTATACCACCGCTGAACTCCTTCCAGTAAAGGCAAATATCTTGCAAAACAGCCGTCTGAATGGACCCGACGTGTCTGTAGTTCAGCTTTTGGCAACGCAGCTCATTCTGTCGGCCTGTTTGGACCCAGCCGGCAACATTCGTCGAGGTTCTTCGGCAGCATTTCAAGAACTGGTGGGTCGACATCCGGATCAGGTGTATGAGGGTATTGCTCTTGTTCAGATTGTGGACTACCAAGCAGTGAGCCTGCGTAATCGCGCGATGATAGGTGTTGCCAATAGTGCCGCAGCATTTCACACGATGTACTGGCAAAATCTGCTAGAGGGTCTATTCGGCTGGAGAGGACTTGGTTCATCGGACGTACTCTCTCGAGAAAGTGCTGCGGCTTCTATCGCGAATCTGTCGGCAAGTCTTACTTCCAACAAAAGTGGAGACGTCCTGCGAAGAGTCAGAAACGACCTCGTGGAATGTCCATTGCAGGAGGTAGAGAGCCTACATGGTTTGACCTCTGTGGCAGCGAGCATTCTAAGGCACAAAGTCGACCTTGGAGCAGCCCATCAGCAGTCCACAGATACCGTTCTGGCGGAGTTGCTCCCATTACTCGGCCGCCTGGAGGCTGCGCTCAAGGATTTCCACCCAAGGTTGCTCAAATCTGAGCTCCCGGCTTCTCTCGCCCAACTCACTACCGCGGTGTGTGATTTGGCGTTGCAGTCAAGGAATGATGGCGTCTCCATGATCAAAAGCATACCTTTTGATGCAGTCGACACAATTGTTGACCGATTACTCTACCGACGGGAAGACTCAATCTTGGAAGCTGTCCCACAGCTTGTGACATCGATCATGGGACTCGAACGGGCTTACGACGTACCTCTCGGCTGCATCGAAGCTCAGACACTTGCAAATAGAGTCGCTGTGGATGGCTCAAAGGCCACGCTTCACAKTGTTGGGAGAGCTCTTGCGCTTGGCGCTCTTGCTTCCAGCTATGAATCTTTGGGGTTGACAGGCCCCAAGGCGATGGCAGCAATATCACCGCTGATTAATCTCATGGGTGCTGTGAATGTAGACTGGCGCATCGTCGGTGCAAGAGCGTTGCAGCTTGTCGCGAGTAGCGTCYCAAGCGGGGGAAGTGTCAACGCAGAAGTGGTCCAATTGATCATTACCGCCATCCACCGTGGACTCAACGACTACACAATCGATGAGCGTGGCGACATCGGATCTCTTGTCAGGTTGCAGTCCCTCACCTGTGCTTCTACAATACTGGCTAGTCCTACTTTCCGATCGCACGGCGAACTTGTCCAGACTTTGGAGGGCGATGTTTATCGCTTGTCGCTTGAGAAGTTGGACCGAGTCCGTTTGCAAGCCGCGCAATGTCGCGCAAACCATCTTGATCTAGCACACGTCGCCATGACGGACGTCGCCAGCGTTTCTTCAAGGGACTACTTTCAGGTCGCTTTGCTTCCCCTATCGACAACGTCCTCGAGCTGGATTCAACAGTCGCTCCTTGAAGGATGCATCTCTTGCATAGGTGGCGGCGCCGAATCACTACTGCAGAACTCAAGGGAAGTGCTCGTCGTTTACATGGGCAGACTAACCGATCACGATCTTGAGCAACTTATATCAGTCTACGCCACAATAATGAAAGCGCTGCTCGTAGAAGCGACGCATCTACACTCCGCTCTTGAGCTCCTCGCCTTCCTCCTCGACATGCAAATTGTACAACGTCTCGCCGGCTCCGCGACGTTCAAATGGCGCAACCTCCTATCCACGATACAAAAGTCCCACCACAAATCAAACGACATTCCCAAGATCCTCGCTGCCGTCCACGTCTATCACGGTATGGCTGATATCCCGATGATTCGCGGGGAAGTTTTGAAGAAGCTCATCAGCATGCTCAAAACGAATCCATACCCGCGAGTGCGTATGACGGTGGCGGAGGTGCTGTATATGATTACAAGAGCGGAGATGTTAAGAGACCATGACTGGGCCAAGCCTTCGTCGCAATACGCGAGTGTAATTGCGGAGTTGCAGAAAGAGAAAGAGCTTGGTTGAAATGGTCAAGCGCACGTCGACGCAGCGTTCAGCGCAAGACGTACTGGYACTCGCCATCGAGGATGATCCCCTTTCTCATTCTACCAGAGCGCAGAAGAGGAGGCATATCGAGGTTGCGCTTCCCTAGTCAACATGATAACGCTCCAAGATAGCTTCTTTCTCATGAACCGCCGAACGATGCTGCTCCCTCGATCTCATCTCCTGCGCTAGACCTGCTCGAATGCCGCTTTCAAGATACCTTGCCCATCGAGCTTCGGAAAGACTCGGTAAGGCTACGAAGCCGGCAGTCTCCTATAGAATCAAAGTGCAGTACACGTCAACCTCGCTGTGGGTGTCGCTTCGCACTTCGGGGCCGTCGCATTCCACTACGAGTCCTTTGGAACTCGTCTCTCGAGACTACAATCGTTTGCGACCGTTCGGGCGTACTGCGCGGCGATGGGCTAGCTTGTTGGGTGTCAAAGAAGCCGCGAACGCACTGATGAGACATTACACCTCAGACTTAAATTGATCGGTTGGGACCTGTGGTGATCTCAAGATGAATTCAAATTAAGATGTATGTTATATAGCTAACAAAGAGAGTGTGTCCTATTCCCGTTCTGATCCCGTTCCCTTTTCCATTCCCACTCTCATTCCCATTTCGATCGGTTATTCCAAATTTTTTTCTTTTATTTTTTGGTTTTGTTTTGTTTTGTTTTGTTTTCTTTTTGTTTTTTTTTGTTCTGTTTTATTTTTCTCATTCCCCATTCCCATTCCCATGAAGGTGTATCTAGCCGAAACAAAAAAGAACTTCAATTTAGATTGTGCCATCCCCATTCCTATGCCGGTCCGTGTCCCATTTCCATTCTAATCACCCTCGACAGCAKCCAACAAAGCATCCCTCATATCCATTTCCTCCCTCATGTTACTCACATCTTCCATGGTAGTGTCCGCAGCGTACTGCTTGAAGATTTCTTCGAGTGGTCTTTTTCTGAACTCCACCGCACTGATGTGCGAAAGGCTGATGATCTGCCTTTCTTCATCAGCCATCTCATGATCAGGGTCGCCCATCGTAGCCGGCGCAATATGCGTCTTAGATGTGGCCGGAAGGCGATCCAGGGAAGTTTCCTGAGAGGGGCCTAGATGATACTCCGGAGTTGGCGAGCTTGAGGAGGAGGCGGTGGGGCGTCTATGTGTGAGGGAACCCCATGAGCCACCGGAGATTGGAGATGATGTGATGGTGAGAGTTGGTGATGTGTGTGCAGCGGCGGAAGATGCAGGCAGTGTAGTGGCAGCCGGTGCAGATGGTGTAGTGTTCGCGGCCGCTGGTGCGGCGTTGATGGCCGTCCAACCCGAAACAGGGTTAACGCGAGGATAACCAGCGCCTGAGAAAGTTGCAGGTAGCGCAACATTAGCCAATGCTGGGAAACCAGAGTTGGGACCTGCTGGAAGGAATGCAGTGGCAGCCGGCGCATATGGTGTAGTGTTCACGGCCGGTGGTGCGGCGTTGATGGCCGTCCAACCCGAAACAGGGTTAACGCGAGGATAAGCACCGCCTGGGAAAGTTGCAGGTAGCGCAACATTAGCCAATGCTGGAAGGAATGTTGTGGTAGCCGGTGCAGATGGTGCGGTGTTCACGGCCGGTGGGGTTGTATTGGAACCCGCTAGTCGGGCATAGTTGGCTAATAAAGCCTGCAAAGCATCAAAATTCGATGTACTGGCGCCGACGGTCGTTGTAGGTGGTGCGATGGTGGGCCCCGCGAGTGTTGCTTGGGCCGTAGTCGGGGCCAATGGTGCCGAAGTGACCACCGGAGGACCCGGAGGAGGGTTGACAGCCGGCAGAGTTGGTGAGCCCGTAGCAGAACGCGCAGGCTTGGTGAAATCCCAAGCAGGATCTTGAGGAGGAACTCCTTGCGCGGAGAGAAGTGTACGTCTATTGCGGAGTTTGTTGATGATGATACGGACAGCCATGTGCGATCTACCCACACATGCAGCCAAGACGGCTTGCTTGCACACGTTGTGTACCTCGCAGTAGAACCAGATGAATCGCTCCTCTTCTGGATTACCGTGTGCGAAATTCTCGCGAGACTCCGGCACAATTTGCCCCAGAGAGAAGATGTTTCGTCCCAGAAACAACGGCTCTTCGTTCGCTGCCCACACTGGGTTGACAGGGGGGCCGGTGCAGTGCGAACGCCCGCAGGTCTTGTTGATGTTCATGTTGATAGCAGCCATGCTGTCTTGTTTRGTCTGTGGAGAGATTGGCGTGTACCTTGGGAAAATGTTTGTATGAACCGTGATTTCAACCGTGGACTGAGCGTCAGGTTTGGATCGCAGAGGTGGAGGTTGTTAAGAAGTGTGATGTTAACGACGTTGTTAAGAAGTGTGAAGTTGACGCGTCAGTTTTGGATCGAAGAGGTGCAGGTTATGGAGATGGAGATGGAGATGGAAGTTTTTAAAGGTGTGTGAGTGTCTGGCCAGGGAGTAGAAACTTGGTACAGATCGCATGCTTCTCTCGATTCTCTGGTAAGATCTGCTTGAGTTTATTCACCCACCAATGGACATTAGTGCAAACCAGACCTAGCGTAAGCGAGGCTCGCCCATCGGCCGAGCTTTAGGACACAGCATGGCAAGACGGGGTAATGTTGTCTCTTCCTGGCGAAGGGCCACGACCCGACGGTTCCTCGCGCCGACGAGTTCTATTGAGGCCTTGATGAGCTGTGTGTGCTTGTGATTCAGAAACACATAACAATCGTCACCCAGCAAGAGTGGTTTTTATGGCCACTGCATATTTCCAATCTTTTAAATTGCCGCTTGCGAGCGGGTTTGCCATGCTTGTGGGCGGACACAGGCGGACACAGGCGGCTGCTCTAGCTTTCAGGTCGCTGCCCGTGGTTCTGTCAGGTTTTACTCGGGTCAGCGGCTTAACAACAACAAAAGTGGTTTGCGTGGCCACTGCCTTTTTCCAATCGTTTCGAAACGGCGCTTGCGAGCGGACTTACCATGCCTGTGAGCGGCCACAGGTCCTCTGCACTGGTTTTAGGTCGCTCGCTGTGGTTTTGTCAGGTTCTGTTCGGGTTAGACGCGTAACAATATTTCGCCCCTTCTCGAGCATCATAGGAAAACTCTCTGGTCACCTCTCTTCAACGCTCCATCAACCGCAGTATGGGGACCCATCGTAGAGCCGCAATTTCCCCTACACAATCCAAATGCGGAAAACAAGAATTGAGAGTCTAGCATCATGATAGCGTTAGTAAAAGGGCGATTTGACTCGAATGTGAGGGTTCCAAAGTCAAACCGAAAGACGTGAAGTTGAGGACAAGCGGGGATTTGACGGACGACCACTGTGCTGGGTTGGATTTTGCTGCAAGAGGATTAGTCATGCTTTATTGAAGCTGAGCCTGAAAAAGCCAATACGGTAGCCACCACGCGGCGATATCCTCTCATCCGATCCGCAACCAATGGATGTCCATRTCGGCACCAGTAGGCAGACAGCAAACACATGTACTGTATTGGCTTTGATAAAGTCAATACCGCCAGCCCCCAGTTATTTACGTCACTTACCACCCTAAGGACCAACGTTCGGTCCACACCGGCAAGACTTGCCCGGCCCAGCCCAGGGTCTCGGCTCGTCGTGTCGTCGCGTAAGGTAGGTAGGTGCCCAGGTGGCATGTGATGAGTGAAGTGAAGTGGAACACACACTACCTAGGTACACCATCCACCGCCGTGGCAAAGGGCGATGCAAGAACATTTTGATTGCGACTGCCATCTCACATTGTCACCGCCGTCGCGACTTCCGCTTGGAATAGCAATGGAACAAACGAACACCCTGCTATCTACCCGGAGATTGGATTGAATCGAGAATGGAGGTTCCGACCGCCAACTCATCGCTCATTCCCAGTGCAATGGACCTGCTCCTGGTGGTCCCGCGGCTGGCGCAGCGAGCCGGATCATTCGCGCTCTACCACATGCCGGAAGCGGTCGACAACATCGCCGGCAAGATCTGGAGCGGTGGCAGCATGATTGCCGATGCCACGACACAGCAGACTGTCCACAACATGACCATCACCAACACGAGCAACTCGTTCGCTCAGAACACCGGCGCGTCGATGCTGGAGACGAGCATTCGTGAAGCATGGAACAAGGCTGGGGATGAGTCGTCTACATCGTTGATGATGAGTGTCGGACAAGGGCTGGCGAAGCTGAAGAATGTTGGAGGCATCTTTTCGTACTTGACATCTCGCTGGGCTATCACTACATTCGCTGTGGTAAGTGATGCGAGAGGGTCGGATCAAAACATACATCTTGGAGTGGCAGCTTCGGCGAGAAGGCCACGGTGCGTGAATGACGGGCAAACACGGCCGAGAGCAGRGATGGCGGCGGAGGGATGGATTGGAGACCACGCTGACAATCCCTCCAGGCCATTGTGCTCAATCGAACCCAATTCTATGCATCGTCACGCGAACATCTACGACTGAGGTGGCATGTCCGGGCTGCGCTTTACATGCTCCCAATATCCGCCTTTCTCTATCAACTGCTTCTAGTTCTACAAGCAATGAAGTGTCAGACATCTCCTCACTATCCAGAACTCCGATACGGCGACCCTGCGAAGCACCTGGCCATCGACTTTGCTGCCGAGGGTGGCTTCCTTCACCAACTAAGCTCCACCCTCCTCTTCTGGCTGGATGACGCGAGTTGCTGCCAGGCGCGGAAAGTTTCCCTGATTGGACTGGGAGACGCAAAGAGCGAATTCCGTGGCTCCATGTCATTGTTGTATTGGTTCTTCCTCACTCTCTGCACCAGTCAACTTTTCGAGACCCTCGCTTGTGCGCTACAAGGGAAATTGCCCATGCCTGAGACTGGTATGACCATCTTTGAGCACTCTCTTGCTTTCGCCGAGTGCGAAGCCATGATATCAAGCGCTTTGGGCTTTGGATTCTTCGGCACCACCAGATCGGACGGCAGCTCCCAAGGCACTGGCACTATTATCACACGATCAGAAATGCTTGAACGGCTTAATGTGCCACCAGAAGTGTTGCTTGTCTGTTTGATTTCCTGCTTTAGCCATATCAGCAGCGCCGCTCTTGCCATTACAGGTATACGACATCGAGTTCGCCTGGTCAACACGGGGCTCTGGGCTTGCTGTTACATGTCGGCATTCTTTTGGAGCTTCTCGAGGATCGTAATGGCTCCAACCGATCATGTTGTGGACCATTTGGGAATACTCCGCTTCCCCACGGTTTGTGTCGTGGGGTTTATTCCGCATATGCTGATCACGATCGGTATCGCCGTGTGTGGCAGCATTTATACATTAGCTCTTCTTGCGACCGCCATGTCTGTACCACCCGACATAGCGGAAGGACTGTCCCTGCGAGGACGTTTTGCCTGGGCCTACAGCAACCTCCAAGCCAATGTGCAGTTCAGCCAGAATTCGGCAATTCGCATCAAGATGTCCGAGGACTTCTACACAACTTTGTTGAAGATTGGCTTCCATGTTCTCACCGCCGCAAGCGAAGCCGTTTACCTCAATGAAGGCAGCCGGATACACGTAGCGCAAATGACATGGCTTGAGCGGAAGCGGATCAACGATCTTGGCGATGGCATTGACAAGCGCAGACGCCCAACTGTCCCACCTGAGCTGCTTGGAGCAGGTATCGCCCGGGGCGTCAGCTTTGTTGATCACCAGCATGGAGCCATCGGCCAGTCGCCCTACGCAAGGGAGAGGAGGTCGAAACCTACGGGTCAAAGTCAAAAAGCCAATGGCAGCGAGCTTGATACAGGACTTGGCATGACCCAGAGAAGAACTCGTATGCAACTTACGATGGACTTCATCCTCGGTATCAGGAGATTGATTGTGGACTTTAACTCCAGGTTCTTTTGGCTCCTACTCAGTCCAACCGCTCGTGGTCTCCTGAATCTGCTACGAGTGGTGGGCATCGCTCGCAGACCTGGGTGGCTACTCAAAGCTGCCGGTCTTGACGAAAGTCAGAGACAATCATCTGTTCACATACAGCCATCTGAGACAGAGCTGCTGGGCTTCTACATGGTGGATCCCGATGGACGACTTTCGCTTCCAAAAGATGACAACGTCGATGTGGAAGTGGAGTCACGACTCAGATTGCAGCGCGCAGGTATTTATCAAGATGAAGAGCAACTCGACAGCGAAATGTGGAAATGGTTCCACAAAGGTGGCTGGTTCGGAGAGCTAGACTCCAGCGGCAACTATGAAAGACAAATGAGTGATGATGATGACAACACCAGTATGATTTCCATGTCGACAAATGCCAGCACTGCAGATGAGCAGGGACAAGATGAGGAAGAGGAGAGTGGGAGAAGGAMACCAACCCAGCGAAACCCATCTGGCCGGGAATCATCTCCAGCGGACGTTGATGTCGATCTGAGCTCACTATCTCGACTACTCAACCCACGAACCTCAGCTGACAGAGAAGAAGCCCGCCTTCTCTCTTACCGGTTACAATCCAACCGTCCAATGACCCGCAGCCAATACCAGCGCACAGCACAGCAAGACCGTGCTCACCTCCTCGATGGACTGCGCAGTAGTGGTGCCGGCCGAGCTCAAATCTCTGAAGAAGAAGAAGAACTTGATCTCGAGCAGTTCATCCTAGAAACACGCCAAAAAGCTCCGGCGAAGTCCACAAAGTCAGCAACCTGGGAGACGGGTGCGGAGGGTATGGGGGAGGGTGGGCCGCAATGTGTGGTGTGTCAATCGACTCCACGAGCGGTGCTGGTCTGGCCTTGCGGGTGCTTGAGCATGTGTGATGATTGTCGGGTTGGGCTGGCGGCGAGAAACTATACCAAATGCATTTGTTGTCGGACGGATATTGTGGCTTATTCTCGGCTCTATGTGCCTTGATTCTGGGGGTTTTGAAGTTGGTGGGTGGACAGAGGGAGTTGCATTGAGGTGTTGTTGAGCATTCCGATCGCATAAACGAGGTTGCATTGGCGGTGATACTAGATCGCGTGTTCAACAGTAGTAGGTAGGGGCACCAGTGCGACAACGGACTACGTAATATACATGTTCCATCAGACAAGATGTGATGAACGAAATTAGCCAGAAAACCAAGTGCTATATGGCTTCGAAATGATCTTGAGAGAGTATCGTCATCAGAGAAAGACCCCATCCCATCCCATGCCGTTAAGTTGGCGCTAAAATCACGCCCTCGCGTCCCATCACGCGTCTCTCCATCTGCCCACCACCCTTCCAATCCTCCAAACTCACCACCTCAAAAACAAACTCAAGAAACAAACATGCTCGCCATAACTCCCTCCAAGCAACTATCGAAACAAATAACACCCAACATACTACCCTGTAAAATCACCCATTCAGGGCCCATACCCGCATCATCCCGACATTGGAATCCTCAATCCTCCACGACCACCACCTCTTCCACATCCTCCCCCAACAATAGCGCAACGCAAACAGCTTATTTCCGCGGTCGAAAACTTCAAGGTCGCAAAATCCCTCTCCCGGAAGGATATGAAGGAAAAGTCCTTTTCAAAACCGACATTCTCCTTCCTCGGGCACCTCAAGAAAGAGAGAACGGGGAGGATGAGGAGGATGAAGAGGTACCAGTAGAGGTCAAGCAAGCGGAACAAATGGCGAGGTTTGAGGAAATTGTGGTTTGGGGACATGAGGCTCTGCCTGGGGACGAGGATGTTTATGTGCAGGGTTTGGAAGAGTGGGTTGGTTTTGCGGAGAGGGTGAGTTATTTCCTTATTCCTCCTGGAAATTGAAGAGCGGGATTGATTGTGGCTGACGTGCTTGTGTAGATTCATGCCTACGATACACCGACGGAGACGACTGCATGAGCGACGAGACCACATGAGATATATGAACAGAGAAGATGATCGAGAAACGCTTCGAAGCATATCTATCACGACTCATACGCGCCATCGCTGGAATACGGCACATGAAAGAGACGCAGTATCCTGGATATATTCTGTATTGGAATACAGAAGAAACTCCCTATGCCATGAATCTGTCTTGCTCTCTCATGTAGTAGTCGTCTTTCCACGCTCTCGCTTCCGTCTCCATTTGCGGAAGCTGCTGGCAATGCGACGCTCATTATAAAGCGGTGTTTGCAGAGACTCACACCTTCGCCAGAAACCACCTTTTGATGCCCTCTTCTCCTCAATCCTTTTGGCGGATCACAAGAAGTAGTCTGGTGTGCGACGAGATACCATGGGTTCACCGGCGCGAGGGCAAGGGTCAAATTGCAGGCTGGAAAGTCGGGAGTTAGTGGGAATGGCGTAAGTTTGTGCTTGGCTGGTACATACAAGGTGTACTTGAGATGCTCGTCGATCTCCATGATGGCGGCCTGATTTCCACACCGGTAGCAGTAGTTGGGCGCTGTAACACGAAAATGTCAGCTCTGCTAATAACAAAGCTCGAGGTCTGCGGTCGTTGATGAACTCACCTGAGAAAATAGTCACCACATTCCTATCTTGACTCCAGTTATACCCCTCCATGACCAGCTGATGTGCACGCGCAACCAAAGTGAGACCGTTGTTGTGGTTGAACGCCTCACTGATATCCTGACCAAAGGTGTATCCCGCACCTCTCGGGCTGATTCCCCATCCACACCTATCATCCGGGTCAGACCAGAGCAAATCACACATGGGTCCTTCATGCGGCACTTCTTGGATGCGATCCAACGCCCGGATGTTGTCAAGCGTGTCGATACTAGGCGACAGGCCACCGTGCAGGCAGAAGATCTGGTTGTCAATGAGTGCAGTAAGTGGAAGGTAGTCGAACAGATCCGTGAAGAATTTCCAGACGTTCGCATTTCCGTACTTGCGCAGACATTCGTCGTAGAAGCCGTAGACTTGGGTAATCTGTCTACTCTCGTGATTGCCACGCAGGATGGTGATGCGCTGGGGATAGCGGATCTTGAGCGCGACGAGCAGCGTGACGGTTTCGACGGAAAAGTAGCCACGGTCAACATAGTCGCCCATGAAGAGGTAGTTGGTGTCCGGATTGGGCCCACCGATCTTGAACAGCTCCATGAGGTCGTGGAACTGGCCGTGGATGTCGCCGCAGACGGTGACGGGACACTTGACCGGTTGCACGTTGGACTCGTCCTGAAGCACCTCGCGCGCCTTTTCACACAACCTTCGTACATCCTCCTCGGCAAGCTGCTTGCAGGTCATGAGCGACTCGATCCAACCGTCGAGACAGCCTATTGTCGGCGGGTCGATGCTGGCCCCCAGGCTGTGCTCCACCTTGTTCCCGCCCACATCTTCCATCGTCGCGTCCGCGGGCTGCGCTTTGAGCGCCGCAGCCTCCATGTTGGAGGAGGAAGGGGGAGTGCGCGGGGTGGTGTGGTATGGTGTCGTTATCAGGACTGCAAGTGCGGAGACTAGGTCCGGTGGGAGGGAGAGGGAGGGGAGGGGAGGGGAGACGTTGCGGTGTTACTCGAAGCCGGCAGGTATGGGTATCGAATGGCGGAGCGGGAGTCACGTGGCGCGTAGCTGAGGTGGTTCGGATGATGTAGTCGAGGATCTGTGAGTCGTGGCAGTTAGAGCATGCATTGAGCAATGCCAGCGAGATTGAGACGAGCTTGTTGTGAGTTAGGTTGCTCCTGTAGCGGGACCGTCCGCCAGAGCTTGGCGATGATGAAACGGAGGGCTTGACATACGACCACCAACATACCTCACGTGCCATGACATGGGTAACAATCTTTACGACAAATGTACGTTTCTGCTCATACATTTGGGGAGCAAAAGAAAGAATTACAGATCAACCTTCAAGCTGTACCTACATATGTACCAGGGTTGCTGCTGAGGCTCTGGTTTTTACCAAAAGTACATGCTGCCCTTAATCTGACCTCTGGCCTTTGCCGATGAACGCGAAGAGCCCAAAACACTCCATCTCATACCCAACAGATCCCTTTCTTCCAAGTTCATCTCTCACACAAGCCACTGAAGATGCATCCCCTCATACCACCCACAACAGATCTTCAAACAGCCTCATCCTTCGTCCGCACGATACATCTCAACACATGTTCCAAAAACGGCTTCCCACACTCCTCAGGAACAGGGCGAGGCTTGTCATGACACTCCATAGGAACACAATCCCAGAACTCCTGCTCGCCAATTTGCTTGTAGATCTTCTTCAAAACAACACGCCTGTCCTTGACAGTCCTGCTCTCGTCGACGCACTTCTGGAAAGAGCTGCTCTTGAAGGTCTTCGTCTGCTTGTTCGATTCCTGTATTTCTGCCGTCCAAATAGTGGGGTCGATCTTGAAGTTGACTGAACGAGCCTTGACTTTGACGTTCTTCTTGGAGATGATTGCTACAGGCTCGTCTTCAATAACGATTGGGTTAGTTTGATGGCCACATGTAGGCTCAGAGTAAGACGGGATAGCTGGAGTGATTTTCTCATCGGCTAGTGGACGTGAAGGAGCTGCTGGAGTGGTGGTCTTCAGATTGATGGATGTGGTGGTAGAGGCCGAAGATACATGCTGCCGGGCTGAGGTAGCGGTGCCCGTGCAAGTGCGGTGGTCCCAATCTGAGAGTGGAGAGCGGAGGTCGTAGGCAGGGCGCTTATGGGTGGGGGTGACAGTAGTAGGAGTAGCCAGGCCGGCCAACACGGTAAGCGGGGTGTGRARGATTGGAGTCGTAGGCTTCTGAACTGGAGTAGAGGTGCCCCGGGTGCCACCGCTGGTAACAGTAGCACGTATCCGAATCATCTCAGGGATCTCGTCGTCTGCGGCACTCAGTACCTGATTGGTTGAGCTCGCGCTGGTGAAGGGAAGGTAAATCTCTTCGCCCTTGTACGTGAACGAGATGGCGCTAAGATCGAGGTCGTTGGCTGAGAAGACGATGGTAACTTTATTGGCCATCTTGCGTTGTTTTGGTGGGATGGGATTGAGAGGATTGGGACTTTGGATTGTAGCAAATTGCGATGGAAGTAGTTGAAGAACAGAAAGAGAAGAGGAAAAACTTCCACAGTAAGGGAAGCCATCGAAAGCCATCGACGCATGTTCGAGAGCGCAGACGACGTGTAAGACAGGTACTCACTAATTTCGTCAAGCGAACAAGCCACGGCTGGCTGGTGACGGGATCTTTGACCTTTCGGTTCCATCGCCAGACAGCTTTTCGACTTTCGCCATTCGCTCAGATTCAGAGCTTTCTATGCTGCGACATGTGTGCAGAAAGTGGCAGATTGAAATTGGTTCTTCCCGTGTGGAAGAGGTTTCTGAAGTAAATCATGTCCGCTGCACCGATCCATTCGGCCAGGGTTCACATCAAAGTCACATATCCCTCACATCCCGAGATCTGGACAGCCACCAATATCATGTTTCTGGCCATAGGTTCGACAAGAGCTTCTGTCGAAGCCACAAGGCTCATACCATATGACAAACCCGTATGCAAAGTGCCGGAGCGGTAGAGGTGGTGTTTTGAGCTGCTTCAAGTCGTTGGTGCAAGAGGTGTTCTCAGCGTGCCGTTCTTCTAGATGGTGTCTTGGCTGGCCAGGGGGAGGATAGGGAGAGGTGAGGGCCAACAGTGTAGGTGAGTATGTGCACAGCGATAAGGATATGTGCTCCTTCGGACCGTGGACGACAAGATTTTGAAATGGTAGCCCTATCATGTTTCAGGTCGGTTGGAAGGCATGCAGCACAAGCAGTCGTTCTCAGATTATTATGTACCCATCGCCTGCAGACTCGATGTGGTAAAGAACAACTCTTCGTCGCATGCATGTCATCCCGATCGATGCAAGCATACTGCAGGAGGGGTAATCCACCCAGATTTTCACATCCTCCCCTTTCCCTTCCCCTCGAAGTCCTCCCCACCTTTCCCACCCACATCCCTGCGACTCTGCTCTTCGGCAAGACTCAACTGCAATGCAAACTCCATATCACTCTGCAGTTCGGCATCCTTGCTCGAGCCAGTCAAGAAGGGCGAGGTCATGGGTGAAGGCTTCGCAGATGAGAACTTTCTACCCTTCCCCTTCGCCTTCGCATGGCGAATGGGAATCTCGTACCCACCTCCAGGGGAAGTAGCAAGACTCAGCCGAATCGCCTCTTCAATTTCTGCGTCAAGCTCTTCGTCGGTCTTGCTATTGGCCTGGCGATCTGGAGGGGTTTCGGCAGGAGTAGGATCAGCAGTAGCCCACTGACTCTGGTCAGTGCTGCTGGCGACTGTACTAGTACCAGTACTCGTATCGGAGGCTCTGCGCTTGCTCTCCTGCTCCAGCGTCTCCTGGCTCAACATCGCCGCATAAGCAATCATCTCCTCTTCACTACCGTCCAGAAGTTGCGTTCCAAAGCGGCCCGCAAAGCGCTGCGCGTCTTTCTTCCGTTGTTGCTTTTCACGATCGAGTTCGAACTGTTCATTGGCGATGTAATCCTTCAAGTTGCTCCTAGTCGCACCCGAGAAACGTTCGCCGCCGTTGTTGCTGCCTCTTTCGGAGCGACGGAGGCGACGCTYGTGAGACTTGTACTGGTCTGCCGCAGATGAGCTGTACGACCAATAACGAAGCTGATTACCGAGTGAGACCATGCCTCGAAGCACAGTGGAGTCGGGATCGAGGCACAACGCGCCAGCGGCATACATGTTGATTCCAACACCTTGGGCTGACGCTTGAGCTTGCACCAGTCTGCGCCGCGCTCGAGAAGAGTACTTCGAGTTCAGGGTCCGGATAGGCTGTGTGTCGGAGGCCAGGGGATCCCACGCCTGCACAAGCCCGTCATTCCCGCCATGAACGATGTATAGGGAGGACAGCGCTAGACACGATATCTGAGGAGAGTCCGTGTAGATGATGCGCACCGGATCGAGAGAGTTAGTGTTCTCAATTGACCGCGAGACTGGCCCGCGCATGTTCCACAGCAGCACGACGCCTAGCTTGGTGCCCACTGCGAACAGACGGGCACGCTGGCCTGGCACATCGGCCGGATCGACACTAATTTCAGCCGCTGACATTGGCGTCAATGATGGCGACGAGGCATTGGACCGACCGGAGAAGCCGAGAAGCGGGTCCTCCGACAGCGTCTGGGTTGCGAATGTTGAGTTGTCGATGGCAGTTGCCATGATCTGCACATTCTTCAAGCCACCAAGCGAGAAACCTGTCGTCCGCCACTCTTCCCTCATGGGACGTGGAGTGATCGAACCGGTGAAGTCTTCTTGGGAAAGAGAGTCTTCCAGTCGGTCGAACGAAAAGGAGGGCGCAGGCGCAAGCACTGGGGACGATGAACCACCGAAGAGAGAGGGCGGGCTGGTGGATTCTGTGCTCGCTGTCGTTAGAGGTGGTGTGGAAGACGTCTCGGCTGAACTCCTGTCCTGGATACGGCAGCGACTGTAACGCTTGATGGCGGACAAGCTCTCTTCTTCCAGTCCACATTCCACGACAGTCACATTCTCACCAGCATTATTTCCATCGTCTCCGGCGAAGTCGACCTCTAGCCTTCTGCGCATGTCCCAACCCGCGCAGATCTTCTGGAAGTCTTTCGGCTTTCGAGTAGCAAAGGTTTCAATCTCGCGCGTTTCGGCTTGGACCTGACCCTTGCTCAGACACATTCCGTTCCAGGAGGATCGAGGAGAGTAGCTGCCATCCACGGAGGAGTCCGCATACGGGTCAATCTTCGCAACGCGTCTGCTCGATTCTACGGCGTTCCAGTATACAGACCTGCCCGTAAGCCAGGCGGTGCGCTCGAGAGACTCGTCATCCATTTGAGTGCCTCTCTCCATGTGAGGCCGCTTCGGAAATTTGGTTAGATAGAATACCTCCCCAAGTGCGTTGAGGACGACCGCCCAGATGCGATTTTGAGCATATCGCTTCAAGGAATAGTCATTGTCGATTGCGATGGCAATAATAGGCACACCTGGACTCAAGACCCAACGAGCCGTGACTTCTCCTCTACCAAATCGCTGGTCACGATTGTTATTGGTGCCGTTGGTCGATCCGAGACTGTATGCTGTAAGTACTCCCAAGGAGGAGCCGGACAAGATACCAATCAGACCTTCTGTGAGTGAAGGAATGGCGTTAGATTTGGCGATCCACACTGCAGTGACGGCTTCAGTAGTGGAGGTGATCTTAGGAATTCCAATCTCTGGGGCAGACATCGCAGAGGAGAATGATAAGAAGCGGCCACGCATCTCGTCAGTGGAGCGATGGTAAGTCATACCACCTGGTGATCCTTCTCCGACAACCATCCCATACGGCTGGCTGACATCCATCACATTCGGCACTCCAACAATCTCTCCCGGACCGAGCCCATACTGTGAATCTCCGGGAAAACGCTCGGCGAATTGCAAGAAGAATTGCGGATCAGATAGACCCCAACTGTCTACCTTGACAGTTGAAGGATCACTGCTGGTGGCGGTTCCTACATCGTCAGCGCCATGAATGAATCGTGGCAAGCGCTTGTTCAAGCCAGTTCCGAAGGCAGCATGGAGGTGGTTGATGGTCGTGAATAGTTGCGAGTTGTACATTACGATAGGCGCGGTAGACAATACGTGTCCTGATCGAGCAGTCGGCGGTGTGGACGGAGCCTGGACGGGTTTTCCTCGAGCGAGGGAACGCAATAGTCGCGTCCGCATGATGTACTCGCTTCTCCACGATGCCAGCGCTGTAAGACGCGTAAATGCGCGCTTCTCCGAGCGCACCACCGCTTGTGCATTGTCATCGTCGTTCAGCTCTGCGTTGATGGAGTCCGGTCCTGGAAAGTAATGCGCAAAGGCAGTCCGCCATGCGTGCGGTCCAGTGACGAGATCGTGAAAGCGCTTCGAGACGGAAGACACCGACGCCAAGTCCGTCGGCGTGAGATGTGCTAGAGCATGTGTCAAGATCTCTGCGGTGGAGTGTCAGCGGTGTGCCCTTGTGTGCCTCTCAATMATCCGACAACCCACCATTCGGCAATTCCTGGATAGGAGAGCGCTTGTCGCTTGGGTTTCGTGGCTTTTTGATGACCTCAAAAGCAGGTCCTTCTCTCTTTCGTACCGGAGGCGTCGCAGCCTGCTCATACTCGGTGATTCGATTGTACGCGGGCGGCGATGGCGTATCTCGTGCGCGGGACCTCAATCCCCGAGTCTCCTCGGGAACGTCGCGCAGGGATGCTGTAAGCGCGGCGTCGAGAGCGGACTGCTCGGCGGTGGTGGTGTCGTCGCCGTCCGCTGCGCGATGCAGGGAGGCTGCGGGGTCGCGGTCATGAATGCCATGTTKGGAGGTTGATTGCGAGTTCTGGGGCGAGTTGTGGGTGGCAGCAGTGGGAAGCGCCTGAGAGTCGGATTGCATAAAACGTCTGGGTGGTGAGTGAGGGTGAAGTGGTGAGACTGAGCCAGATGATTCCTGGGTCAGTCGAAAACGCGCAAATGGGCTTGCAGAGACGTGTGGTGGCGTGTGGTTGTTGAAGATCGGAGCCAAGTCACGTACGAAGGATTGACGGCTTGGTCGGCCTGTCGAGAATTCAGGCATCCAGGCAAACACCGGGCGCAAAGGTGAAGGCACGACGTCAGCCAAATCAAAGGCAGTTGTCAAGAACCATCACCATCAACACAACATCATCGATCAATTCGTTATAACTATCGTCCCGTCTTATCCGCCATCATGGCACCTCATAATGACAGCAAAGGTGGTGGAGGCGGCGCCGATGAGGTCAAAGCGGAAAAGGGTATGGCGACGCTGTCGACGCTGCGGTATGTAACCTATTTTCTAAAAGGGGAGAAACACTCAATTAATTGATCATTTACAGGATTGGCACAAAAGTCATGGTGCAAAAGGTGTGTTGCGCAGCCGCTTGGTCAAACCGAATTTATGTTGACCACACTTTCAGGGCGATGAGAAGCGCAAGGCCGAGATTTTGTCCATGCAAACGAGAAAAAGCTTGCCAACATYCTACGTGCATTACGAGGACTTCAACAAACGACTGGACGAGTGGGTCGCAGCAGATCGATTGGACCTCACGCAAGAAGTCGAGTGGCCAGTTCCCGAGAAGCCCGATACCAAAAGCAAACAGAAGACTGCTCCACAGTCCAAGTCTCAGCAACAATCCAAATCCGACTCGAAGAGAACTGGTGGCATCAAGCGATCTCGTAGCGGCACTGCCACCAGAGAAGCATCCGTCGTGCCAGCGGCGGGCGGGAAGGAGAACCGCGAACCTCCTATTCCCTCCATTGCGATTGAAGATGTTGAAGCAGACACCCCGATGGGTGACGATGAGTCCGAAGTGGATCTGCATGAAGCCGCTGCTGCAGCAAAAGCAGTCCCAGATAGCGTCCCAGTCACTCGCGAAGAAGAAGTTGAAAAGCTTCGCACGAGTGGGAGCATGACGCAGAATCAGACGGAAATCAGCCGTGTACGMAACCTCTCTCGCGTCCAAATGGGCGAGTACGAGATCGAGCCCTGGTACTTTTCTCCCTACCCGGCCGAGTTCACGGAGAGTGACATGGTCTACATCTGTGAGACCTGCCTCTCATACTTCGGAAGTCCACTACAATTCAAGCGCCATCGCTCGAAATGCACTCTCCTTCACCCGCCCGGCAACGAGATTTACCGTGACGACAGTGTATCGTTTTTCGAAATCGACGGCAGAAGACAGCGAACATGGTGCAGAAATCTGTGTCTTCTCTCCAAACTCTTCTTGGACCACAAGACACTATACTACGATGTCGATCCATTCCTCTTCTATTGCATGACAGCCAGAAGTGAGCGTGGCCATCAACTGATTGGCTACTTCAGCAAGGAGAAGGAAAGCATAGAAGGCTACAACGTCGCATGTATCCTCACTCTGCCACAACACCAACGGAAGGGGTACGGTGCGTTACTCATTCAATTCTCATACGAATTGAGCCGATTGGAGGGCAAGCAGGGTTCGCCCGAGAAACCTCTTTCCGATCTGGGACTGCTTGGTTACCGCGCATACTGGCAGGAAGTCATCGTGGAGAAACTCCTCGAGCATGAGTTGAAGGAAGGGCAGTCCGCAACGCGGGATCCACCTTCAAGGCACGAATCCGCCAGAAACGAGCTCTCGCGGCACGACGGAGGCCGACACGAGCCCGGTGTCATGAGTGTAGACAAGCTTGCTTATGATCTCGCAATGACCACAAACGACGTCTTACATACCTTGCAGAACCTAAACATGCTGAGGTATAGTAACAAGAATCACGTTATCGTGCTGACAGATGGTGTTCTGGCCGCGCGCGAGAGGCGGAAGGAAAAGGAGAAGGTCAAGGGGAAGAGACAGATCGACGCCGAGAGGTTGAGCGGGTGGAAAGCTCCTGTTTTCATGGCTAGTCAAAGAACCTGGAACTGGTAGTATTGGGTTTGTGGGCTCGGTGCTTATGCGCGGAGATCCCCGAGACTGGTCTTGAGAAGTATGGGGTTGTGCTGAAAAATGGGGCATCGATTTCCGGATATGAGTGAGGCGTTTGGTGAACTACGAAAGGAAGGAAGATACCCGCTGGCGGTTTTGGAGGTATGATCAATGACAGCTGCTCACTACATGGATACGAGGAAAGTTGCATTCAAATTGCGATCATAATGAAGGCCATGGAAGAGAAGCAGCCTGACCATTCTCCTCCTTGTATAGCAAGTGATTTACGCAACCCTCTTCTTAACATTCACATTCAAAGGAAGTTTCTCCCAGACAATGTATGTCTTCTGCTCCGACCAGTTGATCGACTCAGGACGCAGTTCAAAGTCAAAGTTGAGGAGAACACTGGCGAGGACCAGACGGATCTCGTGCCAAGCGAAGTTCTGTTTGCATCACATGTTAGAACATGATCGGTTCAAAGGATGACTGGTACGTACCTGAGCTGAGCATGCCCGTAGACCAACGCTGAAGGGCTCGTAGGCATCAAATCGATCGTTCTTGAACTTCTCATCTTCGCCCATCCAGCGTTCTGGATGATAAACATTGGGCTCCGTCCAGAGCTCTTCGCTTCGGTAGGTTGCGTGCTGGTAGATTGCCAGCCGTGTGCCTTTGGGAAAGTGGAATCCCTTGAAGTCAGCTCCCTCCGCCGGTACGGATCGAGGGAAGCCAACGGGGACGGGTGGGTACCTATAGAAGAGTCAGATACACTTTCCCTTCATCACTTCAGATTTACTTACATTCTGATCGACTCTTTGATGATCGCATTCAGGAGTTTATCGCCCTGGAGAGCGAACATGTTCAAGCTATCGATGTCGGCGTATTGGGAGCGAAGATGTTCGGACAGTGTTTTGAGCCACTTGGGGTTGAGGAGCAAGTAGTAAAGGATACCACCTTGATCGGATGATTAGCAATAGTTACGGACATTCCGATTCAAATCCTGCCCCTCCTGAGTCGACTTACTGAGAGCTGTGGCCGAAGTCTCGGTTCCTGCGATCATCAACTCGTTGGCAATTGAGTACCGTTCTTCAGTGCTGATAAGTGACGCTGTGGTGCTATCGGCAGTGACCAGAGACCAGATATCAGGTGCTTCTGGGTTCTTCGCCAGCCGTTCATCGACACGGTTTGTAACGAAATGGTGGTGACCTTTCGCAATCCGGTTGATGGTGGGAATGCGCATGATAAGACCACGGATCTTTGGTCCATAGGTTCTGCTGAAGTACCTGATGGGGTCGAAGAACGATTAGCAGTGCCGTGGGTTGAGTCTGGATTCGGAAGACATGTCCAGATGAATTCGTCTCGTCCACATGCAGCTGAAGGAGAAGACTTACCGAAGTGTCTTGAGCCGTGTGACGTATTTGAGAAGCCAAAAAATCAGACTGACGAGTGGAGCATACTCTCCCTTTTCCAACATATGCAGTGGCTCAGAGAGCAGCATATCACTCATGACGTCGAAAGTGGTGCCTAATCAGGTCTCGTMAGCATACTACATCTCTTCGAAAAGTGAAGAGTTACGACTTGCAGTTGAACATTTTGACCATGTCGGTTGGGATCCTGTCCTTTGCGTGCATCGAGAGTCGATCTGTCAGCGCCTGACACCAGCCTTTGAATCTTGACTCGTGCTGTCTCAAGCCCGAGTCACTGAATGCTGGTGCCATTGTCTTCCTCATGCGGCCGGCAGCCTCATCTTGGGCAGAGACTGGACCAGGAATGCCATTGACCCTGTGAAAAGAATCCTAGTTTTAGCATTCAGCGATTCTCGGGACGAATGAGAGCAACTCACGGGACGTCATAGAAAAGGATGTCTTTACTAAAAGTGCAGACACCTCTTGACTTTGAAGCGTAAATCTCCTTCCATAAGTCGCCTTCGCCGAGCATCGCGACAAGATCTGGTGCAAGTCTATCCAAACGTCAACTAAATAAATCCGCTTGTTTGGCTGAGAAGTCTTGATTACCTGACGATCTTGCCATACTTCCTGTGGAGTTCAAGAACATCCACTGTCTCTCGTCCTCTCCACATACTGTACAAGTGTGGGATGACCGTAAAGTGTCGCCACTTTGGCCCTGGGATTCCTGCAAGAGGTCCAAAGAAACTCCGGTGTATGTGTTGGGCGAAGGCAGTAAAAGCCCATAAAGCAAGAGAGATTAGAACAAGAGAGACTGCATATGCAGATACTGACAGTTGCTCCATCTTTCACAACTCTTTTTCGTGAAGGTAATATGCCAACGTCCCATGAGCGAGAATAAGTCAACTTTGTAGCACTAAACAGACTCCTTGCTGCTAGGAACTGAAGCTACCTGGTCCTTGAGGCGATGATAGTATTCCGGCGCTAAGAGCGAAGATCAAAGTACGTATTCATCGACTTGCCACTAGTGGAGGCCAGCGTCYACATCAACTTTGCGGTCTACGTGAGTGACCCTTACTTTGGCTTGGAAATGCCGTGGATCGCGAAGCAAAGTGCACATTAAATCACCGATCTCAACAAAGACATGCTCCACACGTACCATGTCACAGCTACATGGGGTAGGATTACTAGGTATGGCGCCACTAGCTTGTGGTGCCTCCGTGGGCGTKGCCGACGGCCATCAGTAGCACGCATTTGTTGAGCGAAGTGATTCCGTAGTGCAATGCAGCTACAGTGAAGAGACAAGGCTCGCAAACCAACCAGGTCATCCTAAGCTTGTTTCGCTGGTACACGATTGGGCTCTCCCGCACACTCTGCCGATGTAGGGATAGCCTTGGCAACTCTAAGGTTGTAGAAAGGAGATGATGTCAGCTGGTGATTGGGCGCAAAATCTTACGGAGGTCGGAATCAGAACTCCTTGCCGGTCAGGGATTTGAAGCTACTCGGCCGGAGTTCGGCCGTAGTTAAGTTCGCATTGCTAACACCCGCATATAGTTTCTTCTTCCTTATATTATTCCACAACTACAACATATATGTATACGAACATAAGAGTGGAATTATAGAGCTGAATGCGCTCTTTAATTTAAGCCTATATAGATGTTTCTTTACGCACCGTAGCTAAAACGCTAGCATATGTAGTAAAATTTACCTAGGCTTTATAATAACAGTTAAACAACGGCCTTAAAAGAGGTTGTTCTAACCTTACTTAATCTTATTTCTTCCTTACTATAATAACGTCCTCTTAGAGGGCAGTAACTACATTAAACGCTCTATAAACGTAACCGTCTTCTTCCTACTTAATCGTAATATACGCTAATTATCTTCCTTCTAAATAGCCTTAATCTAAGTAGGTAAGGCTACGCCGGTAGTAACCTAAGTACGAATAAGCTTTATCTTATTACGACACTTCTTAGCTAATTCGTTCGTACGTATATACCGTGCTTCCTTCGTAGCCTTATCCGCGGCCTTAATAGCATCTTTATTACCTATTCTAGCTTATAAAGCTACTATTCGAGCTAACCTAAGGGCTTTATAAGAAGGTGTAGGTGTAGTAGCAGTAATAACGGCCTTATCTTGCTAGCCTTATCGCTCGTTAAACGCTTAACGACGTCGCTTATTATATAACCTATCTTTAGATCCCTCTCGGTATTCGTTACTACCTTTAAGTCGGATTACTTCCTTAATATATCGCATTATCCTCCGGATCTAGCGCTAGATAGTAGACTACGGTAGCTCGGCCTACTTCTGCTTCTATATAGCAGGTAATTTAGGCCTAGATTCGAAGTCCGGATAGGTTTATAAAGCACGTTTTATCTAATACTACGTAGGCTTAATTATGTTAAGATCCGGCGAGTTACTAGGCTATACTAACCGCGTAACGTCGTAAATATTAAAGAGCTCGTTAAGCTAGTAAGCAATATAAGCCCTAGCGCTATCCTCTTAGATAGTAAGGCCGTGTTCCTTTATAAACGGAAGCAACTTTAGTACTAATACCTCCTTCTCGTAGCGATACTAATCTATACTACCTATAGTCGCCTTACGGACGAGTTTACTACGAGCTTCTATAAAGACGAACTTTAGCCTTATACGCTTACGTTGCTTCTACGGTTTACCTGCTCTTATTAGGCCTAGATTAATAGATATACTCGCTAATTTATGTCTTAGATCCTCCTTATTTTAATCCTTCTTAAACTACATACGAGCAGCAACCTCTAATACTCGATTACGCTCTATAATATCCTTCTTAGCTATAGCTACTTCCTATTTAATCTCTTTTACCTACACGTAGTAAGGTCCCTTATAATCGTACGAGAAACAACCCTAGAACATAAACTCTAAGAAGCCCTTAAAGCGATTACTATAACACGTACTAGAGTTATTTTTAAACGCTATTCGCTATACGCGGTTGCTACTACGCCGTAGACCGTAAATTACGGAGGTCTCGTCTATCTATACTACCTTCTTCTAATCGTTAAGCGTCTAGTACTAGTATTAAAGACACTATGCTAGTCGCTTCTTACGCATCTACGGTATAAGTCTAGGCTTCGTATTACGCTTAACTTTATAGTAACTAGCGCTATAAAGCAGTCTCTAAACGGATATTAGTAAGAGCTTACGATTACTCGTTATTCTAAGTTAACGACTAATTATAGTAGTAGTAAGCGACCTTATCCTTCTATTCTTACTTATTATAGCTATTACCTTACTTAGAGCGTCCTTAGTATATATAGCTAGCCTACCGGACCGTAGCTTATCTATAAAGTACTTATCTCGGAAGTTATTACTATCGAATCTACGCCTTCGAGCCTTATTATATATAGAGCGATAATATCGTTCTTTTAAGCTAGTTACGGCCTTAACTTAAGCGTAGGTCTTACTAACCTCTCGTAGAGCGTAAGTAGTAGCTCGAGCAGCTACCGAGTAGTAGTTAGTACGTAGATCCGACCTATTCTAAGAGTCTTTATTGTAACCTATTACCTAGTTAGTTCTACGACTATACTACTCGTTTTAACGCTAGACTACGCGATTAGTACGGTAATAAGCCGTTACGGATAGTATAAGGTTTAGATTTACTTACGAACAGTAGTAGCTATGCTATATTATTAACAACCGCTTAATTAGGCTATAAACATGCTATATTTATTTATCCGAGACCTCTAAAATAAGGTTAGACGGGTATAGCCGTACGCTAAGATTATACTACCTACCTAGTAAGGAGTTCTAATTCCGACCTCCGTATATATAGGATATACGGAGTAAGACTAGCATAGAGCATTAGGCTACTTAACAAGTACTAGTAAGATCGACTCTATAGGGACTCCAACTACCGGAGCTAGGATAAGGCCATAACTTCGACGATCAGTTTTTGCTGCCTAACGGAACTAGGGTCCTTCCCCATTAGGTAATTCTAGCAGGCCCTGCTAGCCTCTAGAGGTTCCACTCAGATTGTCCGCAGTAGTGAACACAAATTACGATCGACCCGACCTCACGTCTCCGCGCTGACTCCCGAGTATTTCCTGGCGATGGCTTAGGCAACTCGAACTGAGTCGAGAGACTGCAGTGTCTTGGAACTCTGAGCTCGTTGTTGTGACCATCACCCATGCAAATAGATCTTGCTGCACTGCCGACGATGTCTCCGAGGATGGCGCGGACGAAAGGCTAGTGAGTTTTTTGACCTTGCATCGGCCGTGATACCAATCACTTCTCCTCTCAAACAAAGGCTATCAGCAAGTTCGGCCAATTGATCTCGGGCCACAGATGCAAGGTTCTTGGAGAGGCTTCGAATCTTCCAGGATAGAGACTAGAACGTGGGTTGCGAGGTATCGTTCAAGTCGCCTGTGATGCGAGCTCGATTTGTCAAAGTGAGAACAGGCCAGGGGGTGGTACTCTCCCCTGATTCCAGGCACGAGGGATCCAGAGATACAGCGCCTGGACGCATCGGATGACCTTGTGCTGCCCAAGAGTCTCTGGAAGAGACATGTTGCAGCCAATCTCACTATAGGACACAGCAGCTCGGACGGAGAGGAAGGTTCTCCGCTACGTCAAGACGCTGTACGCTTTCGGTTTCGACTCGGTCCGGAATCTCTACCCATCGGTCTTGGATACATCATTGTCCATCCGAGCAGAACTACGGCACATTCTMCCTTGTACAAGGCATTCCACGGCGAGATACTGAATTAGACTGAAACGCCCGATACGTCATTCATCGTGGCCACGCTGGTGTCTCTAGACTCTAGGGTGCGGAGATCGAGACTCGATACGCGACCATTGGTTAAAGGGGAAGAAGGTCTAGATGTTTGATATAGCTCAGTCCAAGCCGCGAGTTGTATCAGTATCGGCAGTCGGCTCCTTCTCCTATAAGATCTTCCATCCCACTCTCCTGACACGGACCATTGCGAGAGTTTCTTACCTCAATCTACAACAATGCCTTCTTACAAGTGGTATTTCCCCGACGACATTGCAGATGACTTGCAAGGAATAGACCTGCCACCCGCAGTAAAGGCTGAGGTTTTTGCCTGTGCCTGGGAGTATGCACGAAGTGTAATCCCTCAGTACACCAATTGGAACAGATATGTGGCCTTCATGAGGTAGGACTGCAGTGATGAAGTAGACGAGATCAAGCTGACGCATCCATAACCATATAGAATTATCATCATCGGAACAGTCGCCGAGTTCCGTGGCGCTCTTTTCGATATGACCGCTGAGGGTCCTGTTCTGGGCTACGATCTGGATCAAGTCCTTGATGACCTCTTCAAGGGTACTCCTGGGGCGGCAGACATGTCTCGGGAGTACAAGACCTTTTTGACCGTTACCAGCGACAAGACTAGCGAACGCCGTCACGACGAGCTTTTCTGGAGATATCGACGGGCTGTGGCATCTAGTCCCCGAAACTGGTTCCGACTACGAGACTGTGATGCACTTTGCAGATTCACAATTGCTGCAGCATTGGCATGTAACGACATGGACGATGTGTGGTTCACCGACGAGGAATTCGATGTACTGGCCGAGATTGGGGATACCATGTACGATGCTATTGCATTCTACAAGCACCGAGCAGAAGGCGAGACCAACAACACATTCGCATATGTCCCGCCGGACTTGCGTGTTGATGCATATCGAACCGCTCGCGAGCTGCTATGGGCTTTTGACGTGGCTTATGCCCTCAAGCCAGGCATGCAAATCGTGACCAACTTTGTCCGCGCATTTGGTGGACCTATTCACATGATGATGCGTAGATACAGATTCTGCGAGGAAGGCTTGATGATCGGCAAGGCTGAAGACGAGAGTGTTATCCTAGCGGCGAAAAACAACCAGAAGCTGTGGCACCGACTGGATCGAGACGAGGTGAAATTTTATGAAGGACAGCAACGGTTTGAGCGCATCATGGAGATGGAAGACAAGCTACTATTTCGAGGTTTTGCGGACATACTGAGAGATGCTGCGCGGGTGGACAGTCCTGCAGAGCCGGCCAGCTCTCCTGCGGAGGAGAACGGGTTTGGAGGCTCCCTATCCAACGAAGCTGCCTCGCAGGAGTGGAGGACATGGGCTTTGGGATTGCAAGCGAGGGTTGCTCATGCTTTTCCCGAGGTGAAGCTCGATCCTGTGCTACCAGCTGCCTAGTGTGCGTTGGAATGGAACTATGATGCCGAGCAAATGTCTCTGCATCGGACTCAAGGTATCGCCATCGCAATAATCAATTTACGCAATCTAGATCTTCATGTGACAGCTTCTCTTGGCAGTGGGTGAGATGGATCGGCATTGGCATGTACTAAACTGTCAAGAAGGTTACGTACGAACTCAGTGAAACTTCCTTCGCAGGCAAAGACATGTAGGTTAGCATACATCGATGCCCAGTGTGAAGTTATCTTTTGGTTGACGATCTTCCATACGCGGCTAGACTAAAGACCCATACTACGCTAATATAGTGAAACTTGGTGCTAACAGCTCACCGACTTGCGAAAGATCCCTGCCGAGAATCTGAGACTAGTCTTGTAGCATCCATCCCTTTGTTGGTTTTACGGTGATCCGATGTTAATACGAGTGAGCGGACACTTGCGATCACAGCCAGTCATCTAACAGCTGTCCGACGAGCCCTACCTAGACAATCGATAGACCTCCCAACACGTATACCCCTGCCACCATGTCGGCATTAATCGAAGGTTCTCTCGGAAATCGACGATGAGCGATTCAGAGTTTGAGCAGCCACACAAAATAATGCATCTCTCTCCAAAATTCCAAGTGGTCTCTGCTCTGAACCACACTTCTCCATACGATGGCGTTCGCTTCATCGACTGTGGTGCTCGTGACGGTGCTGAGCATTGTCGTCGTTGTGCTTGGCCAGACTATGTATCGGATTATATTTCATCCGTTGAAATCATTCCCTGGACCTTGGCTGAATGCCATCACGGAGCTTCCAAGTTCTTTGAGGCTCGCAAAAGGGGAACAGCATCGATACTACTACCGTCTACATCGGAAATATGGTAATCGCAATCCTTTCGATAAGTCTGTACCTTCTAAATCTTTTGTGTTTCAGGACCTGTGGTGAGAGTTGCTCCGAATGAATTGATATTCACCACCGATCAAGCGTGGCAGGATATCTACGGCCTCCGAGTAAGAACAAGGATATCGACGAAACATGATGAAAACTGATGATGACTCCGTAGAATGGAAGTGTCATGGAGAAGAGTCCGATTTTCATCGGCATCGTGTCGCCCATGAACGGTTGTGTGGGAGTTGGACTTGCGAGAGGCAAAGAACACACTCGTCAACGTAGAGCCTTGGTAAGTGTGATCCTTCGTTCATCGAGTATGTGCTCTGAGTCGCGGTTCTCTAGGCTCCCGGACTGTCCAAGAATGCCCTGTACAAGCAGGAAGAGATCATCCAGCACCACATCAACGCCCTGCTCAAGTTGCTGAATCAAATCCATGAGAAGAACAATCTTGCGAACATGGCAGACTATTGTAAGGAACTTTCGAGGGATTTTGCTCCCAGGCTTATCGATCTGCAGTCTCCTTTACGACATTCGATGCCATTGGTGATCTCTCATTCAGTGAACCTTTTGGATGCCTTGAGCAGAATAAAACCACGGAGTGGGCCAGTGCAATGCGTCAAGTAGTGATCTTCGCGTCCTACGATCAAGCCATACGACGCGTGGCAGGAGTCGATTCCTGGCTCCGCAACGTGTTGCTGCGACTCTGCATGCCTGCTGAAGCTACGAAATGGAGGATGTTGCATGTCCAGAAGTCGATAGAGAAGACAACACAGCGTAAGTAGCACTCGTTCCAAGACCATCCGTTCAAAGCTGCCACTGATTTTTCTCTCGAATAGGCCTCGCGAAACCGGACTCCTCAAAGCAAGACATGATATATCATCTCCTTCGCGAAGAAGATCCCAAGAAGGCCCTCAATCAAGACGAGATCAAATTGAACATGATGCTCTACATCTCAGCAGGCTCCGAGACGACTTCTATAACACTTACAGCATGGGCATACCTGATCTGTACCCATCCAGAGGCCTACAAGATCCTGACCTCCGAGATCCGCTCGACCTTCTCTTCTGCACAGGACATCAAGGTCGACTCGGTCATGAGTCTCCCATATTTGGGAGCAACAATCAACGAAGCCTTACGTCTCTTTACGCCCGGCGCTGTTGCTATGCAGCGAATTGTTCCTGCCGGTGGTGCTGTGATCGATGGCCAATTCGTGCCAGCTGGAACTACTGTTAGTGTGGCTCCATGGGCTGCTTCTCGCTCTCCAGACAATTTTGCGGATCCGGACGCTTTCAGACCTGAACGCTGGCTTCAGGATCGGGAAGCCTACCGCAGTGATGAGTTCGCGGGCGACAGGTTAGGTGCTTCCAGACCTTTTGGCTATGGGCCTAAGAGATGTATCGGGGAGGACCTGTCATACTTGGAGGCAAGGTTGATCATTGCTCATGTTCTGTTCAAGTTTGATATGGAGCTTGATATGGATGGGAAGGCTGCGGAGTCGAATCGCCTGTGGAGTTTGCGGCCTGACAATGACGGGATCAAGCTGTATCAGGTTTTGATGAAGCCAGATCTATGGGTGCGACTTAGCGAGCGCGTCTGAGAGTGAGCCATTGTGAGGTTCTTCTAGCAGATGAGCAGTCGGGGAAGGGTTTGAGGATAGAGCGGCTCTTGATCAAAAGTTGAGGGAATGTTTTCCAACAGGTCTTTCTTTGCTCCGCGTCATGACAAATTCCCAGCGCCCATGGTTTTTGAGTTGCTCGTCTGTGTGTAGGTGGTAGTTTGGTCTGTCGGTAACACAGGTCTATCCCGGAATCGAAACAGATCATTGGAGACCGACGATCTTCATGCGACTGCGATGTATTGTCCGGACAGAAGAGCATGTACCAGGCATGCCTACATAAACACTAACCCTAACTCTAACCGGGCTACTAGCGTGCGGCCGCTCCCATGAAAAAGTTCCAGATCGCCGAGACCAACTCTATCGGACGTTCAAGTTCAACATGCACAACACGACATGGCCGGGCCGGATCTCCAGCATTTGTCGAGCAACTGGAAGATCTTGCAAGAGCGACTGAAGGCTGGAAAGAGGCAAGAGGTAGCCAAGAATGGACTGAAACGCAAGAGAGAGTTGGAGGAGAAGAAGAGCAAAGTCGCCAAAGACGACAAAGACGACAAACCAAAGAAGCGCAAGATGGGAGGTTACATATCGACACCCGCCAGCGCGGGCAGCAGCACAACACGGGAAAAAGAAGCCAAACTGATGCAGGTCCACGACATCCCCGCTGCCGACATCACAGCTGCCTATGGATCCTCCTCCATCTCCAATCGCTCCTACACAGATACGCCCAACAGCGGACTACATCCGACTCATAAGCTGGGCAAATACCTCGCACTTGATTGTGAAATGGTTGGTACAGGTCCTCCGCCTCATAGCGACAATCTTCTCGCCCGCGCATCGGTGGTCAACTTTCACGGCGAACAAGTGTACGACTCATACGTCCAGCCACCACCCAAAGCGCGAGTGGAAGACTACAGGACACACGTCTCTGGTATAAAACCACATCATATGCGTGCTCCATATGCGCGATCATTTGCAGAGGTACAGGCGGACGTTGCTAGATTGTTGCAGGGTAGGATTCTGGTCGGACACGCGTTGAGGAACGATTTGAATGCGCTGCTGCTCACTCACCCGAAGAGTGCGCAACGAGATACGAGCCGGTATGCGAAGTTCCGTGTTGAAAGTCGGGGAAAGCCGCCCGCGTTGAGGAAGTTGGCCAAGAGCGAACTGGGAATGGACATTCAGACGGGAGAGCACTCTAGTATTGAGGATGCGCGCGCTACCATGGCACTGTTTCGGAAGGAGAAGGTGGGATTTGAAGAGGATGCCAGGAAGCGCTTTGGACAGGAGAGAGCGCAGAAAGGGAGAGCGATGGCAGAGATGTCGCCTAGTGTGGAGGATAGCGAGGACGACGTGGTGGAGGAAGATGACGGCGACTTGGACTTGATTGAAGGTGAAGAGGATGATGAGTATGCCGATGAACTGCCTGTGTCGGAGAGGGTTGGAGCTGGTCAGGGCGGTGCAGGGAGCAAGAAAAAGAAGAAGAAGARGCGGACAAAGCGCAAGTGAGAAGACTACAAGATCGATTGTGTTCCGAAGGACATGTGTTGGAGCTTCACCATAGGACGTCGTGCTCGACGGTACATGTACTACTGCTCTACAGCATCGAGTCGCATCGATCTTCGTCCATGTCGGACCTTCCGTGGAGGTGGGATATCCGATCCGTTCTCTCGGTTCGGTACACGTTCGTTGTACTCCACACGATACCTTTCAGAGCATAGCCAAGATCATTACTTCTACAAGGCACAAGATACTTTGAAGATCGTTCTCCAAGGGTAGGTAACATAAGGTAGCATACAGCACCTTCACGTATCGGAACAAAACCCGACAAGCACTCTCTGCCGCTGGCGTCAGCAAAACAAGTCCTTCGGGTTATACTCCGATGCAGTTTCCAGGAACGCGCTGCTGTCCCTTTAATTCAGGTACATTTGATCTCAGGTGACGATCCAATCTTCCAGTCTGCTGGGATCCGGATCGGCATTATTCCAATGCCCCCACTAGGTACTAGTCTTATCGATCTCTCACCCAAGAAATCAATGCCGGTAAGCTGCAGCCCAAGCTCGACTTGGTGTCCACAAGTAATTTATCAGAGCGACCTCGTCTCCCATCGCCACAATGTAAAGTCCAGCTTCTGCGCCGATGAAATCCTTCTCCTCCATGCCAGGTGGTCTCCTCCACACGAACGGCGGCGACAAAAAGTCCGAAGCGCCGGCGGCCTGCCCATCCGAGGGGCTAAATTTCTCTAATCAAGGATCTCCGCACCCACCACGATACCCTTTGCAGCTCATCGATGACGCTATGGAGTCAACAATAATCATCCAAAGCGGGAAGTGGTGCCTTGAAGGCTGTGAGACCGCATTTCTAATTGTCCCGGTCCCGACGCAGCCGGAAAACGTTGACAGTGGGATGGCTGGTATGTAGGCCCTTTGTCTCTCATAAACTCCGCACCTCTGAATCCTCGCGCTTGCTCATTTCTCCCACTTTTCGTCGTCCTTTCCCCTTCCTTCTACCCCACCGCCTGTACATATCCCTCCCTTCATGAACATGATCGCGTAATCTCAAAGAAGCATTGTTTCTTGCGCCATTTCCCCTCCATCCTCCCAATCCCAATCTCAATCCCGATTGCCAAAAACAGTACAATGAACGTCGCCGAACGCGCCGCGGGCCTGGTGAGCTACGCCGGGTCGTTTGCATGGCCTTCGCTCCTATCGCTTTCACGTGGTGCATCCCTCGGCTTGCTTCGGAAAATCCAGGTGGGATCGCTGCAAGTGACAGACTCAGATGGAAGCATTACAATTTGTGGGAGTCCACGACGGGCTGGAGAAGTGCTCGACAGCGAAAAGACCGTCTATTCCACCCCTCATACTGAATTGCGCGTGCTGAACGATCTTTTCTGGGTCCGGCTGGTGCTGTTCGCGGACATGGGTTTCGCCGAATCGTACATGCTTGGAGAAGTTAGCTGTTCAGACCTGACAGCATTCTTCAAGCTGTTCATTGCGAACAAGAGCCATCTCTCCAATGGCACGACATTGTCGTCTACGGTGTTGGGAAAGCTTAGCGCATTGGTCAGGAAGACGAATACCCTCACGAATGCACGTCTCAACATTGCAGCACACTACGATATCAGCAATGACATGTTTGCTGCTTTCCTCAGCCCGGACATGACCTACAGTTGCCCAATCTGGCTACCGAAATACGATCCTTTCTCTTCCGAGGAGACCCTCGAGCAGGCCCAATACCGAAAGTTGAACCGCTTCATCGACAATGCCAGGATCAAGAGTACGGACCACGTTCTTGAAATTGGGACCGGCTGGGGCAGCTTCGCGATGCTGGCTGTGGAAAAGACGGGATGCAGAGTCACCAGCCTTACGCTCTCTTCCGAGCAGAAGAAGTTGGCAGAAGATCGCATCAAGGCAGCAGGCTTCGCAGACAAGATCAAAGTTCTACTTTGTGACTATCGCAGTCTCCCAATTCCCAAGGAAGAAAAGAACAAGTACGACAAGGTCGTCTCGATTGAGATGTTGGAAGCTGTAGGAAAGGAATTCCTTGCGACTTACTTCCGCTGTATCGATAACCTCCTCAAGTCGGATGGAGGCGTGGCCGTGTTTCAATGCATCACGATCCCAGAATCTCGATATGTCGGATATACCGCCTCGGACGATTTCATCCGGCGGTACATCTTCCCAGGCGGCCATCTTCCTACGATCACTCAGCTCCTTGACTCCATCCGCGAAGGATCGTCAAACTCGAAGAAAGGTGTGCAGCCGAGACTTATACCCGAGAGTATAGAGAACATTGGACCTCATTACGCAAAGACGCTGAGGCTGTGKAGACAAAGCTTTATGCAGACTTTCCAAGAAAAGATCCGGYCTGCGTTGTTGAACGAGCATTCGGGGAAGATGGGAGACGACGATATTGAGGTGTTCAAGAGGAAGTGGGAGTACTACTTTGCGTATTGTGAGGCTGGGTTTGCCACGAAGACGCTGGGAGATGTCATTCTGACTGTAGGACGGGAGGGTGCTGTTGAGATGATGGAGGAAGTGCCGTTGTGATGTTGACATGCGTGATGACGCTGGAGGAGTTATATGCTGCGCTTCAGCGTTGAGCAAGGCGTTTGTGGGATATTTTTTACCGATGAAGCATTATAGATCGTTCTGGGAGCATGGCAATCCTAATGTCACTCGATTACCGCACCACCTGCCATGTACATTTCATGAATCGTCCTCTTTCTTGATTTTGACCTGTTCTTCTGCTTTCACCTCTTGCTTGACCTTTGACTTGTCCTTCTTCTTAACCTTCTTCCCACTCTTCTCCCAGTCGGCCTTCTCCTTCTTCCACTCCTCCTTCAACGTCAAGTACGCCCGATCCTCAATGCAAGCCCTCCATACCACTTTGAACACCTCACTAGCAGCCGCTTTCTCCTCCATACCATCATGTCCTTCGCTCTTGGGGAGAATCGTCCTTTCCCCACCATCCCTCTCCAATTCCCGTTCACTCTTATTGTACTTCTTCCCACCTTTATGATTCGCATACCGCCTCGCTCGCGTCATTCCCATCTGTATGAACTTCCTGGCCATGTCCGCGCCAACGAAATCCTCAACATGAATGTAAAAGTCAAAAGCTTTTTTTAATGTTTGGGAGGATTCTTTCGCGATTGGGACGGTTCGGAAACGCCAATGAGGGAGGAGGATGGATTTGTAGGGTTCGAATGTTAAAACGCCTTGCTCGCCGCGGGCTATTGCGTAGGACATTCGGAGGRATTGGGAGGATACGGATGGAGTTGGGAAGGATGGTATTTCGGGAGAAGGCTTGTCGGACGACGAGGACAGAGGTGAGGAAAGCTCCTGCTTTGAGGAGGTCTTGGATGTGGACGAGTCGGTCTGGTGGCCATTCTTATTGACTGTAGTTTGCCGCGTAGTGCGAGGCATTGCCTCGACTTGATTGTTTCTCAACTCATCGAGTGGCTTTTAGTTTGTCAATGAGATGAGCTTTGACGGGAATGTTGAGGTTTGTCGATGACGGCGTAACGATGATGAGCTTCGCCCTGCCAAGACATGGCCATGCACGCGATGTACCACTCGTTCAAATGCAATCTCGCGAATTTCAAGGCAATGGAATGTATGCGGCTTGTCCGTGAAGTCACATGCCTGCATCGGGATGAGCCGTACCTGGCAGCAAGTTAGTCGCAAAGCCAGGTGAATGATTTTCGACCTGAGCTGGAATATCGACTTACGCATCACCTCAGCATCGTATGGGCTTTGTGGTATACCAAACTCACCGTCGAACTGTGCTCGTGATGACCGTGCACGGAGGTGCGTGTCAATTGATTATTAGACTCGATTGATGTTTCATTCCGTAGCAGCTGGGGCTAAGGAAAGGCCTCGCACGGGAACTGACCTCTGGGCATCGAGTTGGTCACTCAACGCCGGCTATTGTTCGGACTTTGGAAAAAGAATTATCAACAAGCACGGCCACCCGTGGCTCATCAAGTAATCGGTTGATTAGTGTAGCGGTCATCACATCGGATTCTGATCATCAGAACCTTCCGGGAACCCGTGAGTATACTTGAATGTCACCACAATCGAACCTTTCATGCTAACCCATGATAGCGGTTCGATTCCGGGATCGACCTCAGTGTCAAACTTCCCCCCAGTATCATACTGGGTCTTCCTTTTTSCTCTTTGGCAGATCATGCAGCGGCTTTCAGTTGGTCCTACGTAGCATGTACACGGCTGCCAACGCTGTGGTGCAAACCTTTTGCCTGCCTTAGACCGAGCCGACAACTATTACATACACTCCACTTGGGAGGTCAACGAATCGCCGGATGCACCGTCTAACTTCAATAATGTGTGGCAAACAATGGCTCAGATCGCTGTTAGGAGCTAGACGAATACATCACCATGGCAGCTGATGTCCGGAATAATGCTGTCGGCCAAGGGAAAATKTTTGACTTGGTGACATTCACTCACCTTGGTGCCAAGAGTCACAGTTGCCCTATTTGACAATTGTGGCCAACTTCCGGTCCAGCCCAACTTCTCCACCTTCCAGCTCCATTGCTCTTGAGTCTATCTTGTGCACATCATAGAAGCCATCACAAGCGCCCTCTTACATCAATATGTCCATTTTTTGCTTACGCGAGGATGCGCCTGATTGAGTCGTCGACGACTCTGGCTCAGGTGTCAAACACTATGTCCACCTTCTGCTCACGCGAAGATACGACGACATGTCCAGCCTCAGCTCACACAGACTGCGACCGCACTGGATGATGCTGCCCATCCGTCTTCGCCCACGCGAGTATGCGATGGCCTTTTTCCATCGATTGGTCTTCTACGTGCAGATCCTTGGAGAGGAAGATGCATGTCCCACAGCAAAGTCCCAGCTCTGCTTTCTCCGAGGCAACACCAGATGCCACCAGGAGTAAGGCAGAAGGCTTCAATTCCATGCTGCGAGAGCAATAGTCTTGCGGCGCCTGGTTCATGTKCATCTGTCGGTTCGTGATCTCATTGAAACCAGCTCACGCGTGGCCCAGGTACCATCCACTTGTAAGCTCGCAGTAACTTAGGCGACGAGAGCGAATCACTGTATGACCCAGCATCAAGCAGCAGTATGAACAGCTCAATCTAGATTGCTTAGGAGCTGGTGCACTGGGCACTCGACCATGGGAACCGGCTATTGAGAGGACCGCAGGAGGAGGAAAGCGGATTGACAACCCGAGATCGATTCCTGCATGAGAGTACATCTTCAGTCTTGCTCAGGTGGATATTGGTGTCTTCATGAGCGTCCATTCCTGAGCACCGATGTTGATCTTGCCGGTCCCAAAGTAAAGCCAGGATCCATGGCTCTTCCCCAAGCAAATTACCAGGTGGCTTTCATTTTCGTTTCATTGTTCTCGAGCAAGGTAGTTGTATTCTACGTCTTTGAACTTCTGCTGATGGGTATCACTCAATCCACGGCTGTTCTCTCCAAATGCCATACTATCGGCATAGGCATCTCACAGTGCAGAATCTGCATTTCTGAAGAGATGCGTAGCGACGCAGAGGCTGTTGGGGTCTTGAAAGCCCTGTACGGTGATCTGAGCAGCCATATCGATAGCGGGGAATGGATGAGGTAGCGGCAGGCACGCTCATTCATGCTATACAGAGTATTGTACAGGTGCGAGTCGACCCTTATATGAGATGCGATGTCAGCGCTAGCGATAACCATGCGTCGATCTTTCGATTGCCCAGCCTCGGCAACATACATCAGCAACGACATCACTCATCGACATCGACATTAATCAAAAATGGCAAAATCTGTTCTCATAACGGGCTGCTCGTCAGGCATTGGCCATGCCCTTGCACAAGAGTTCAAAAGCAAGGGTAAAATACTCAAGCGTGCAAACGGACCTCTCAACAAGACCTGACCTTTGATAGGACTACGAGTCTTCGCCACGGCACGTAAAACAGAGTCGATATCAGATCTTGCAGAGCAAGGAATCGAAACGCTTGCTCTCGAAGTGAATGATATTGAAAGCATCAATGCACTTTACGATGAAGTAGCCTCGAGAACAAATGGATCTCTTGACTACCTAGTCAACAACGCAGGTCRGAATTACACTGTACCGGCGTTAGATGTGGAGATTGATGAGGTTTGGTGATGATACCTACAGGAGAGAATCAGCTTCTAAGACTACTTCCAGATCCGCCTGACGTACGAGACGAACCTGTTCAGTATCATGCGTATGTGCCAGAAGTTCGCGCCGCTATTGATGAATGCCAAGGGAACGATTGTAAGCAGACCAAACCGTGGAAGACATACAGCTTGTCTCGAATCCTTGGCCCAATATCTTCAACACGCGCTGACCTTCGTGCTCCATATGTAGGTACAAATTGGCAGTCTTGCAGGCGTCATCCCCTACGTATTTGGCAGCGTCTACAACTCCTCCAAGGCGGCTCTGCACCACTACAGCAACACACTCCGAGTGGAATTGAAGCCCTTTGATGTACGCGTGGTGACTATCGTGACAGGCGGTGTCAAGTCCAGCATTGCTCGTACGCATCGGGAACTGCCAGATGATTCCGTGTACCTCCCAATCCRGAAAGAGTATGAGGAGCGGCTCGTTCACAGTCAGACCAGCTCCATCCCGAACGAGGAGTACGCGACTACGGTCGTCCGACACGTCTTGAACAGACCAAGCAACCACTTCTGGGCCGGTGGCAAGACTTGGCTTGTGTGGTTCGTTACGTAAGTCGTCTGGCATCAGCCTTCAGCACCTTTCTTGCTCGCCCCATGATGTTGCTAACGCTCTCTCAGCACATTCTTCCCTCGATGGGTGATGGATAGGACGATGTCGAACATGTTCAAGCTCTGGAAGCTGAACGGAACTCGCACCAAGAAGATTGCTTGAAAGATAATCCCCTAAACTTCCAAGTATTCTCGCCCTTCTGCTCCCAGCTTGTCGACGTGAGTGCGATGGTTTGAGCAGAACGAGCGTGATCGGGTTATTCGTGCTTGAGGCGAGATTTGGTACAGTTTCGGCAGCCAGTGCATGCTATGCTTCACAATATACAATAGAACTTCCATACGCTCACTTGGCTCATCTCCGCCCTTGCCAGAGCTCCTGTACGGCGGCCAAGATCTTGCCTTGTCTTCGGCTCTCACACTCCTCCAACACATTTCGTACCTCTCCAAAACCCCCCTTTGGCTGTCCAGCATCCTGTTTCTGCTGGTCCTCAAGTGCTCGCCTCTCCTCCTCGCTGTACTTCTGGGTCTCCGCCGTCTTGCCCTYGATCAATCGATTGCGCATCTGTCTAAGCTCCTGCTCTTCCTCGTCACGAATCTCCAGTTCCTTCAACCAAGCTCCGTGCTTCTCCTTGGTCTTCTTCTCTTCGACCAGCCCATCAAACTCCTTCCTCTTCACTCTGTCGCCCTCCCAGTATGCGGATCCGGCAATCATTGCGAGAATGGTGAAACCTTGAGCGTAGATACGGCGACGGAACATGCGGTTTGTTCGGTATTTGTCTCCTGAACGCATTGATCGAGTACTAGGAAACGCATCAATCGACATGTACTTCGTGGTGATCATTCCTCGCAACACTCACGCTTCATACAACGCCCAGCAAGTCAAGGCGCACCCCAGTGGGATCAGAGGCTCCTGGAGGACCTTCCTCTTGAACTTGCCCCATCTCGACTCTTCATAGAAATCCTCGTTGCCATCAAAAGACGACGGCGGCGGCGCCGTGTTGATGTTACCCGGAACCGACATTACGGTCGCGTGCTATACTTTGGGGGCAACCTCTTCGCTCGAATGGTGGTGGCGCTGCGGGATAGTAAGAGTCGTTCCAGAGACAATGGGCTGCGTATATACACACTACAGAGACAGCTTGTTGGCAGCGCACCGGTCGTCGAAGTGAAGAAGTGGAGGAGTACTCTACGAATACCGGAGCAATCATGCTCATCACTTCATCCGCGTCATTGAGCAGCGCATATAAAATTTAAGCTTCTTTATGCACAGACTGCACAACGCTCCAATGCTTGACCATGCAACATTCGACTCACCACCTCCTCTGAGTTCGAACAAATTACAACACACCGCCGAAACATCATTTCGGTCGTTCTGTCAAACGCATCGACATTGTCGATGCAAAATCGGTGACAATGGCGGCAAACGGAGTGTCAAATGGCACACACGCGTCCGAGCCGACCTCACCGCAAAGCAAGACACAACGCAACAGCCTCGCTCTGACGGAGTACTCTGCGGAGCCTTCAGGTCAGGACCCCTCACCCCTGGTCCAAGATGGCACTCACAAGTCTGTCGTGCCGGATCATCTCCTTCTTCCCAATGGCTTCCCGGATGTAAGTGAAGTAACTTCCCACAACACTCAACATCACTAAAATTCATTGCAGTACATTCGCTTGATCACAACAGCAAAAGTCTACGATGTGGTGGAGCAAACTCCCCTCACCCACGCCATCAATGTCAGCAATCGGCTCGAGACCCAAGTCTTCCTCAAGCGGGAAGATCTGCTTCCCGTATTCTCCTTCAAACTGAGAGGTGCCTACAACAAGATGGCCCATCTCAGCCAAGAAGAGAGATGGAAGGGTGTCATTGCTTGCTCGGCTGGTAACCATGCCCAAGGTGTTGCCTATTCCGCTCGAAAGCTCCGCATTCCTGCAACCATCACAATGCCCGTTGGAACTCCCGCCATCAAGCACCAGAATGTGTCTAGACTTGGCGGAAACGTCGTGCTACACGGACAGGATTTTGACGAAGCAAAAGCCGAGTGTAACCGGAGAGCAGAGGCGAATGGTTTGATCAACATCCCTCCATTCGATGACCCATATGTCATCGCCGGACAGGGAACGATTGGAGCCGAAATTCTACGACAAGCAGACCTTAGCAAGCTGGAAGCTATATTCTGCTGTGTTGGAGGCGGTGGACTCATTGCCGGCGTAGGCGTCTACATTAAGCGATTTGCACCTCACATCAAGATCATCGGAGTGGAGACCTATGATGCGAATGCATTGCTCCAGTCGTTGAAGCTGAAGAAGCGTGTGACGCTTTCTGAGGTGGGACTATTCGCAGATGGTGCCGCTGTGAAGACTGTCGGCGAAGAGACGTTCCGCATCTGCATGGAAGTCGTGGACGACATCATCCAAGTCGACACCGACGACATTTGTGCTGCTATCAAGGACGTCTTCGAAGACACGCGCTCCATCCTCGAGCCAGCGGGGGCTCTCTCGCTTGCTGGACTCAAAAAGTACGTCGCGTCCAACCCATCCGGGGACACGAGTCGCCAGTTGGTAGCACTTGCCAGTGGAGCGAACATGAACTTCGATCGACTCAGATTCGTCGCTGAACGTGCCGCCATCGGTGAGAAGAAAGAGGCACTTCTCGCGGTTACTATCCCCGAGACGCCTGGCTCATTTGCCAAGCTCGTAGCGACGGTCAACCCAATGGTCGTTACCGAGTTCTGCTACCGTTACCACGACGCCACAGCTGCGAGCGTATTGATGGGTATTCAGGTTTCGGCAGCAACTCGAACCCGCGATGTTCTGGACTTGTTACAGCGCCTGGAGAAGGAGGGCATGACGGCGCGCGATATCAGCGGCGACGAAATTGCCAAGAGCCACATCCGGTATCTGGTCGGTGGACGCAGCACTGCTGAGAATGAGAGGTTGTTTGCCTTTGAATTCCCGGAGCGCGGTGGCGCACTGTACAAGTTCCTTACGACTTTGCAGCCTGGGTTCAACATTAGTTTGTTTCATTACAGGAACTACGGCGGTGATATCGGCAAGGTTCTTGCTGGTATTCAATGCCCCGCTGGTGAGGAAGAGGGCCTCACGGCTTTCCTCAAGGAGCTGGGTTACGGCTACACCGAGGAGACTGACAACGAGACGTACAAGATGTTCATGAGAGGATGATATCTCAATAGCAGGAGATAGTCTGAAGCGGGAACTCATTGGGAATATGGCGTGGGTCATGCTTTACGGTGTTGTATAGAGATGGCATGGCGTTGGGAGGAGGGCCGTCTTCAATGATGAGCTTTGCTTTAACGTTAGTCTTGTTTTCTGCCAGCACGCATGCAACATTCAAACCGGTCTGGGAGCTTTTGATTTGCTCACTCATCTGATCCATTGTGCCCTTGAAGATCTGGGACTAAGCTCGCGTGCCCTTCGCGTTCTCGTGACGGTGGCCCATATTGACGGAAGCGGACATTCTGGAAATTTGATGATGACTTCATTCCAGGGAGCTTGAACATATACATCCAAACTTCCTCACTCTCCTCATCTCTGCTACACTTCCCCATTATTCACCACACCATGGGCTCATCAGGATCAAAAGCAGCCCGAGCAGCAGGCTCTACAGCTCGTCAATATCCCACAAGAGCTCCAACCACGTCCTCGACGTCAGCGCCAGCAGCCACGTCCAATGCGCCGCCACAAGCACCACCCGCAGCAACACGATCATCATCCGGTCCAACAGTTCGACCCACTCCCCATGCAAGCGGTTCCCGCGACGAAGCAATCAACTTAGATGCTTCAGACCCGGATTTCGCCCAGTCGCTACGTACTCTAGGACCTGTACAACCCAACCCAACAATGTCGCCCACATCCGCCTTCCAAAACGGTCAAGGCGTACAACGCAATACACCAGACCTTCGCAAAAACCCCGCGATCATGGTCCTCTCCGCACGTTCGCGCCTGCAAGACGAAGCAGACGCGGAGTTTGAAGAAGGTGGCAGGCGCGGACACGTCGGCAGGCAGTATTTGGATGTCTACACCATCAGACAGATTTTACAGATGCGTGATCAAAGAAAGCAGTCTGCCGCGGAGATTGAGAAGACTCTGGGATTGAAGGAAGGTGTGGTTGCGAGGCTTGGTGGGCCTGGTGTTGTGGCCATGGCTTATGACACGGGTCGAGCACAGCAGGAGATCAATATGGTTTGAGTTTACCTTACGCTGGAGTGATGATACTATCCGGAAATCCTCAAGACTGCCTTCACGCCTAAGTGGTCGGTTATCCAAGGCGCGTCAAATCCTAGCCTGACCAAGTGGTCCCGCTCTGCTGGATCTTCCACCAAAACATCCGCGCCGAACTYTTCAAAGGATAACAGCTCAACGTCGCCACAGAAGTACACCTTGTCCATTCTGCTGGTCCCGAATCGCTCCCGCTGCGATGTAGCTGCCTGATGGCCCCAGGTATGCCCTGCAGCATCATCCTCTTTGCCACCAAGTTCGAGATACGCGTCCTTGAGCTCATTGTCTAAGTGCAGATTTCTATCAAAAGGCTGAATGGCATTGAGATCTCCAGCCAACACAGCAGCTTGTATAGAAGGCTTGTGCATATACTCCGCGCAGATCTGCATCTGCGGTATTCGGTATGGCGGGTCCAATGCAAGACTCTCCAGATGTGTATTGCAAAGTCGAACGGTCTTGTTGTTGATGATAACATCTACGAACAAGCCGTCCCGCTCCATGCGAGATTTKGAGTAGTGTACTCGAAAGCAGGATGAGATTGGAAGGCGACGATCAATCAGGCTGATAGTCCCATAATGACCAGACGACCAATTCTCGACACCAATATCAGTCAAAGCGRATGTCTTCCGGATCCACTCGTCGGCCGCTATGGTTTCAAGGTCTCCCAATACGCATTCTTGAAGGTATATGACTGTCGTGGTATCTTCTTGGTCTAAAGCTGTAGTGACCAAGTGCTTGAGATGCGAGACGGCTGCTCGCATACGGCTCTTTGCAAATGGAAGCATGAAGTCTATGTTCCAAGAGTAGAGCGCTAGCTTTTGCGGGTCCAAATTTTTGGGGAGCGCCGGCATTGGCGAAGTGCTCTCTTGCGCTTTCCAGCCGTTGTCACCGAAGTAATAGTACGGCTGAGCGCTTGGGGTGTCGTTTTGCCATGGTGTGCTCGTCCTCTTCTTTTGTTCGATAAGCTGGACTGACTGGCGAACGACGTCGTCCATGATGCGATTTCTCGAATGGAACAAACGTCGCAACATTCAAGCATTCAAAGAATCCGTGTCTCAAGGCTCGGGGTCGCAGGAACATGAAGTCCTCATCATGGTCGTGGTGCTTGGTTGTCACCTGCAGCTCGCCATGAGCCCCGCAACGGAACCTCGCTGGCTTTTTGAAGATTAACTGCACAACTTACCTGCCGACATATCGTCAGAGCATTGCCCTATTGGACTCTGAACTCTCACACTGAATTCGCATGAAACAACCTTGCTGCTCGCGAACATTTGTCTAATAGGGACGAATCTCAAAGGATTTCTTGAGCTTCAGCAGACTGTCTCACGACATCCCAATACTCTCTACCATCCCGATCGCTTCCTGGCCACCTACCTAGTACAGCCGCTCGTATCTGGGCAAGCCCTGTACCATTACCTCTAGCAATTGCGTCTTATGGTAGTAGAGGCTGTTTGCACTGAGACTGGCATGGAGTTGGGCAGACACCATGGAACCACAGATCCAATTATTGGCGGGATCAAAGGGATGAAATCATTGAATGAGATGAATCAAACGGCTGGTGAAGACGCGCTTTTGCCATTAACTATCTCGTCGTATGCCCTGGTCTATCGGATCACTGACAGTCCGCTCCGGACTGAGAGGCGCCTTCAAGTGGCTACGATCGGCCGGCATGATGAAGTTCAGCAAAACCGCCACAAGCATCGTCAGAATGAAAGGTGTTTCCACCAGAAGATTCACCCCCTCCAGGAAACCCGCGAGCTGTACGTTTGGACCAGTGTAGTTCAGGACATCCGAAAACCATGTTGGTGTAACGATATTCAGTAGCCCCATACCGAGAGATGCCGAGAGGATGAACCGGTCGCGGCGAGTCCACGGAATAGTGGCGAGAATCCTGAGACCGGAGACTGCGATTGTGGCGTAGAGGAAGACTTGCATACCACCGAGAATGACCTGAATTGGCTTGTTAGCAGACATACAAATTTTGGGCCAAAGCAAGCTTCTTACCGATGGCATGGCAGCGAACACAGCTCCAAACTTCCCGAAGATGCCCATGATTATGAGGATGATGCAGGCACAATAGCCTGCGCGACGACTCTAGAGTGATCCGTTAGCATCACTTCTACATCATTGCCCGATCTGCCCTCACCGCGTTGCTGGTCACAATAATCACTCCATTATTGCCCGCATGGGACACCATTGGTAGGGACATTGCTAGGCCCGAGATCAGGGTTCCAGTAGCATCACACAGGATTCCACCCTGAATTCTTGTATTTGCTTTGATGCCTTCAACATCGATGCCTGAGATCTCGGACGTCGAAATTATGGAAGGCATGCACACAAGAGCTTCGCAGACGAATAGGATCATGAGCGGGAGGATCAACGTTCCGTCTACCCTCAACTTGAATGTCTCCGCCCATAGGAAGGTCGCCTTTGGAGCCTGGTGTATTTGCGTTGCTGACCAGTATCCAAGCGCCCCAGAAATCGTGCTACCGACTGCGAGACCGATGATAATGCCCGCGCTTTTCATCAGAGGGCTCCCTATCATTTCGACGATGAGGATCGTTACAAACACGCTGAAGCCCATCCCAATCTGTTCTAGAAGTTAGTCGCACCATCAGCGAAGCACGGTAGATTCACTCACGAATCGAGCATCTCCCCAGGGCAACGGCATCGGAGCTCTGATATTTGGACACAGTCTGTAGAGTCCAGTCGTCACATCTYTGCAACTGGCTCCCCCACCCCAAGATTCCGCGGCAGTGCTGACAAGGTATAAGCCGAGCACTAAGAGCAAGTTCCCTGTCACGACGGAGGGAAAGACTCGCTTCAAAGTCTTTGCTGGAACGAATGAGACTAGGAATTGTGCCCAGACGCAGACCAGGATACTGCCTWTTAGTCTACCATAGGCATCTGGACATGGCAATTTGGTACCGTCTTCGCTGCTTGGGCAGAAGCCACTGGCGTAGAGCGGTGCTGCGTACTTGATGGCTGTGAGAGAAAGATGTTAGCGAAGCTGTGTCGACATTGTATGGTTGATCGTTCATAAGTCTCGACGATAAGAACATTTACACAGATTGAGAGAATCATGCCGAGCGTTCTCTCAAAGCATCAAACATCCTGGAGATGGAGAGCACCTTTGGCCCAGTTTCCCCGGAACTAGACAGAGGGACGATGAGAAGCTCTAGCTCTTTGACACACACACACACACACACACACACACACACATGACTTGCCAATCGGGATGATTTCGAACGTCGGACCAACGACAGAAAGCACACCAGTTCCAAAGTAGTACGGAGTACCTCGAATCCTCGATCTCGTGATTTGCAGAAAGCTCGCAATACCAGTTGTGATGAAACCAGCAGAGACCAAATACGCACTCGTCTGCGCATCCAGATAGAATGCTCCTCTCGAGATTGCCAGAACCGGAGTGATGATTCCAGAAACCTTGGTCAGCGCATGCTGGAGACCGAGGATGAGGATCAGAAGCAACGGGATGCGGTCGTTGGGGAAGAAGAATGGTGGAACGTGATCCTTGTACTTTTTGTTGAAGGGCCATATGTTTGGAGTGAAGAGATATCTGTGTTGCGCGGTAAGTCGAGTACACGCGCGCGGGAGAGGAGGAATGATTTGAGCTTACTTGTAATCGTAGTCGCCAATAAGGCCTTCTCGAGTCGTGAAGAGGAACCTGATCTCTTCCCACATTGCATTCCATCCCGCCGGTGGCTGAACTCGATCAGCTGGCACATATTCTCCTGAGCTTGGCGGAGATTGCGCCTCGACATACTCATTGCCCATCTCAGCTAGCAATCAGTGTTGGAATGTGGGAAGATGGAAGATTGAAGATTGAAGCGGGCTTCAGCGAAAGTGTGATGCATGATTACGGCTATCAGATATCCCGGGGATCAAGCGAGCAGTGAATGAATAATCGTCCAAGACATCTGCATGGCGCCAAAGCACGAACGGAAGCTATTTTACTAGCTAGTCCAATGCGCCAGTGAAGCTCAAATCCCTTCTGCATTGCATGTCTAGTTGCAGACTTGATTGCTCCAACCCGCACGTCCCCTGTCTCGTGAAGTGGAACTCGAGCCATTGGCGTTATAACGTGTAACGACGTTTTTCACAAGCTATGAGCGGCATACATGACACTAAGATTGATCTTGCAGAAATAGAAGAATGGGCATCGCGAACTCGTTTGAGAGGTCTTTGTCGCCGTTCCTCTCGCCTCTCCTAAAAGAGACCGAGAGGTCTACCCTAAATAGTGCATCATGCTGTTCCGCAAGTGTGGAGAAGGCCTCCAAAGAGTACTGCCAATATATCAATCGACACTAGAGGTGTATGCTGGCGGCCGGACGCAGCACTCCTTTGCCGACGCATAAAACAAGCCAATGAGAATCAAAGACACTGTATCCCAACGACCCACGGTGAAAACTGCAAGGAGGCATTCTAGTTCAAAGCATTGGATTCTACGTCGTTCTTATGACTTTTTCCAGTTACACAAACTAGTTCACGCCCAGATACACAATCCCAGCAATTGCGTATCAATCAAACAATCAAAAGTGACCGATCTCCACAAAAACGACCGGTCCATACATTTCACCGTCAAAGTCCTCCAATACCTGTCGAGGCATGTTGCAAGAGACATACAGCGTCTGACATCTGCCAAACCCACAGATCTTTGTCCAAAACAGGCAAGTCCAGAGCATGGTAGCATGTCGTTGGTAAATGCTCTGTACGGGACGTACCATCCCTGCGATAGGGATACTGCGTGGTATGATGGGCTCTCAGCTTCCAACAACTTCGCACAGAGCTCGCCACTTGTCTTCGTCCTCGACCAGCCAAGAGCGTGCTCTCATAACGCCATCAATGACTTCCAGCACTCTCCGGAAACCGCTCGCAGCGCCCTTCACCTGAATGAAGCGAGCAATCGACAAGTCGACCTTACGGCCGTGCTCAAGCACGACAAACAGCTCGATTCGGAAAGTCACAGGCTTGATCTCCAACGAGTTGACCTTGTCCACCCGTGCAGTGATCGTATTGTTCTCGCGCGAATATTCCAGATCCCGGATACCGTGGCGCTTCCATTCCTTCAAGAGGACTACCAACTCTTGTCGAGCTCGGCCTCTTGAAATGCTGAAGCAGAGGATCTGCACGGCGGGTTTCAGGTGGAAGAAGCGCGCGAACCAAGACCGCTCAGGACCTGAAGATGTAGGAGGACAATCGTTGCTGGATGGTGTTGGAGATGCTGACGAGAAGCCAGAATTCCTTGACGGAATCGTGGTGGCGGTCACTTCTCCTGAGTTGGAGAAGTTAGCTAACACTTCATTTGTAACCGACTCGATAAACTCACCTTCAGTCATCGTAGTGTCAGTTCCCTTATCTCGACCAATCTTCCCGATCCACTTGGATAATCCATTCTTGCCAGCACCAAAGCGAGGCTTTCGGATTGGGAACTCGCTCGAGATCGCTGAACCGGCTGGTGGGGATGCTCCAGTGGTAATATCAGTACTTGTGAGAGTCTGCGTGTGACGGTCACCTGCTTTGCCTCCCAGACCCATCGAAGCAGAAGATGCCAAAGTAGTCTCTGCGTCTGTTTCTCCCTGCCGCTTGTTGCGGCCAAACCATCCGGATCGCTTCTTGCGAATGATCGTCGGTGTTGTCAGTAAGGTGCTGTCTTCATCGATCGCCATAAGCTGAGTTGGCTCATTCGCACGCTTCGTGCTGGATGCCGTGCTGGATGCCATGCTGGACATCTGTGTGTCAATCCGCCTCTGACTTGGGCTTGYCTCGCTAGCTGGACTTCCAGAACTTCTCTTGTGGACATTGAGCGGCGCAATAGCAGGGGAAGATTGCGGCACAACCCGGATGGTTCGATCAGCAGGCTTCCGCTCCTTGGTAACAGGAGCTGTCACACTACGATGCCAGTTACCACCATCCTTGCTGTTTCGCTGATCACCACCCTCTTCGGATATTATTGGGAGGAAGCCAAACTGCTCGGCGATCTTGTTGGCTTCGGGAGCAGACATTATCCGCCTCTCCATCGATGGGCTGGTTCCGGGCATTATATTGTCTAACATCTTCATGACTTCATCAAACTTGGTGGCATTCTCGTCGTCGCTTCCCTTGTATGCCGCCAGCTTGTTGCGCGTTTCCTCCAAAGTTCTGGTCAGGTATGTGTTAGGTGTATCCTTTGGCAGCTCTGGCAAAGGTCGAATGGCGGTCTTCGACGACACCTCCGGCGTCACGGCAGCGATAGAAGAGGGCGGGGTATCGTACGGTGCATGCCTGTCTGACGCAGAGCCCTGGGTTCGGGCGGTGACAGTCGAACCAAAGGATTCGCGGATTTGAAAAGCTTCCTCGCACGCCTTCTCAAGCTCGGCGCTGTGCATGCGAATGTCATTGCGCATGTGGTGTCCTGGGGTTTGTGACTTGCGAGCTTTGATGCGGTGATGTTCGCTGGCAGGATACTTGCTTCTCTCTTTACGAGACTTGAGCGGTTGCTCTGCATGCACTGTTGGACTGGACCCAGCAGCCTCATTCATCTTGGCATAGGCCCTGAGACGATGTTCACGAGGGTGTCCGGGCATGCATGGGGTCTCTGGCGCCGATGCTCGGGTAGAGGCCTGGGAAGTCAAGGCACTCGCAGTCGACACTCGTCTTATGTGTCCGAAGTTGACTGCACGCTTGTGAGCATCAGATGGCAGCCTCGCCAAAACGACGGGAGGGCTGCTGGGCATATTACAGCTGCCCATCGAATGTCTCGACATGGAAGACCGCAGCAGTGATTGTTTACTGCGGCCTGAGCGCTGCAGGCTCGACGACGATTGTATCGATGCCCGGCGGCTGACCTGCTTAAGAGTCTCAATCCGAGCCGAATTTGGATGCCGAAGATTTCGGCCGCCTTTGCTCGCTCTTCCAGTACYGGTGGTTCCGTTGCGATGAACGGTGACGCTCAGATACTCACCAGGGGAACTGACGAGCGGGTCTTTTGAAGCACGATAAGGGTCATAACTGCTCATCGACGGTGGCGGCCCCACGAAACTCTGGCTTGGCCGGAGGTGCTCATCGTTCATGATGGAGTATTGGGATTGAGAACGCTGTGCCCCTTCCATCGGTAGAGGTGGCGCTCCCTGGGGCGGAGGAGGTCGGCTGTGGTGATAATCGCTGGCTGAATAGTTGATGTCGTCCATGTCGCCACAATAATTCTCAAGATGCTCTTCCCGATGCTTTACGAGCGCTGCATAGAAGAGCTTTTCCTGATTGTGCTCGTCGTTCAAAAGCTTTTCGATCAAGCTCTGCTCTGCTTCACTGTGCCACAATGTTCGCATATTGCGCAGGATCTCACGGTCAATGTCCTGGATGCGCTTGATCTTCCATTGGTCGATCTGTGGTGCCACCCCTACTGCCCATTCCTTGGTCGCCTTTGTGCCTACGTACCCATACTTGGTACTGTACTTGTGAAGGAAAGGGTGGTCCCAGACTTCATCCATCGTGATCCTTCTTCTAGGGTTGGGCACAAATATCCGTCGAATCATATCTTGAGCTTCCCGGCTGAGACTGGGCGGCATGAAGTAGTGAGCGCGAGCAATGTCGCGGAAAAGCTCACGCATATCGTTGTTGTTCGAGTAGTTGTATGGCGTTGTGCCGGTCAGCATGACATAGAGAATCACACCGCAGCTCCAAACATCGGCCTGCGTTCCGTCGTAGGGCTGATTGCTGACAACCTCTGGAGCTGCATAGTGTGGGCTACCGCAGGGTGTGCTGAGTAGTCTGCCTTCAGGCTGCAGAGCAGCCATGCCAAAATCAATGAGCTTGACCGTCAGAGTGCTTCGGTCCAGCAAGATGTTTTCGGGTTTGAGATCCCGGTGACAGATGAGCATACGGTGGCAATAGAGAAGCGCGGACACTATCTGTCGGAGAATATGAGAAGTCTCATCCTCGGTGAGGCCTTTGCGGTCGTCGACGTAGTTGAAAAGCTCGCCGCCTTCGACATACTCCATGATGAGATATCTATGATCACGGTCAGCGTGAATGATGAAACAACATCCGAATCTACTCACAGCTCATTGCGGTTCTCCCAAACATCGTACAGACGGACAATGTTTCGATGCTCCAGCAGCTTCATCACCGCAATCTCGCGCTCCAAGCCGAAAGGAATAGGCTTATGTCCAGGCGCGTGATTCAAGCTCCCCTTTGTGCTCTCGATGAGGTTTGCCAGACTCTGCGCTCGGGTGGTTTSGGCATTGGACCGGGTGATGATTTTTACAGCACCGAGCTGGTGGGTGTGTCTGTGGCGGACGATCCGTACCCGAGAGCAACCACCTGTGCCGATTGTCATACCCAATTGCCAGTGACCGATGAATTGCTTGCGCTTCCTGCCAGAAGCATTGGTGGATGTGGTCGAGATGGCAGAATTCCGCTTCGAGTCGCGCTCATACTCGTTGGCGATCTGCGAGACGCGCTTGCGTCCAGAGGAAGATGGAGGGTCGCTATTGCGGACGGTCAGAGTCCCATTGGGTTCCAGCGACTCATTGTGGGGCAGGTATGTGGCGGGGGAAGAAGAACCATCCGTCTTTGTTGTGTGTCGGGACTGGCGTTGGGACACGGGAGTATTTGCTGAATTGCGAAGCTCTCTCAGAGGTTGACGCTGCCGCTTGCTCGTTGAGCRGCCGACGCTATTGCGGTATCGATCGGCCATGAGGCGGGTGGAATCGCGGCTGGAGATGCTGATGCAGATATGTTTTGTTTGGCGTGATTCTGAATGCTATGTCGTGTTTCAACGCCGTATTCAAGACGTGCCGGACGACGTGTGTGCCCGCGAGCCGCCAACTGCGAACGGTGCAGTCGCTGTTGGGTCAATGAATATGAATGTTCTCAAGCAAGWCGGATGTTGGCAGCAACACGGAAACGACAGGACGGCATGCGGCGCGACAGACCCGGTCCTCCAGATCTCGTTGTGATGGGTGATGGAGTTGGTTGACTTGGGCGCCCGACAGGAGCGAAGATGATGCAGAAAACCAATGCAATAATTCGATGCAACAGTAACGACAGTGCTTACCCAGGTGCTCCTCCTCTGAGTGGTGATGTGAGGTCTGAAGGAAGCTGTGAATCGGCGAGAATTGCAGGAGCACGATCGCAGTGCGGCTGGATGCCGGCCCGTCTGGAATGGATGGGAAAATGGTAGAATGGAGATTCGAGATGTTGGCTGGGGATGTTTGTTGTTGTGATGCCGTGTTTGCTCCCAAAAGACGCGTTGGAATGTGGGCGGGAAATCTTCAATTTTCAAAATCACATCTCGACAATATGGAAAAACAAGACGACTTAGAATGGAATGGGCACTTATCGTGTGAAGAAGCGGACTGTCGTCGCCGTCCTGCTCAATCTGCATCCCGACTGCTGGAGGTCGCATACCAGACGCTCTCCAGCAGCGCGAGTCGCTCCTAAACGATGGGAACAGCTCGCAGCACCTCAGTACCTCCTGGCTGGAGCGGAGAGTTCAATTTCCCGCTCAAGAACACGATGCAACATCTTGTTCTTCCTCTTCTTCTTCTTCTTCGCATACGTAGTGTATGAAGACGTCGCACTCGCACCACCGCACACTTCTGCAGTCCAATGCAGCCCGTCCCGATGGCCCCGGCACGCTGCTGCTGCTGCTCGGGCCCGCCAACCCGGGAGCACTGCACGTCTAAAAAAGACATCGGCAGGCCTTATTTGCACCGCATGCGCGACAGGACATGCGCCAGAAACGACTGACGGTAAAAGCCCAAGGGCAGTGAAGATGAGGGCCGACGAAGCAGGAAGTTGCAGAATGATGAGATCCTTGTCGATCCCTCCAAAAGTCGGCCGTCTCGCATTAGCACCGATGCGCGCAAACCTTCCCAAGTCATGAATCGCCGCTCGGTTTTGCTCGGACCAAGTTTTACTGGGTCGCTAACTTAGTTACCCTTGCCGCACGGCACCAACTACTCTCACAGGGGCACGTTGAGCAACCGCAGGCCCACGGACCGAAAGACTTGCGGCAGGAAAGACAGCGATCCAAAGCTCGCTTGAGCGGTGATTATGATTGTGATCGCTCAGGTCTCGTGTCGAGAACGAAGAGTCAATGAATTGATGCTCGCTATGCCCCTTGCCAATCATGATGTGCCAACCTCGCTCTTCCCGCTGTCTGCTGCTCGCAGCACGAAAGGTGTCTGTCGCTTTCTGAAGCCATCATATAGACCGTCATCAAACTCTCCCCATTGATCCTTTTGGAGACAGCTCCAATGACCATTCCCATCCCGTAAAACCAAACGCCACGGACGCACAATGCTCTGTCGTCGGCCAAACCTCCCAAGTCCCGCTGCGCTCATCAAGACAAGCCATTCCGTCGTGATTGAAAAAAATCGCACTAAAGTATACAATGCTGAAGAAGGGTATCGTGATTGAAACAAAGTACAAGTCGTGAATGCTCTGCCGCTATGCCGACGTTGTAAGTACGGGACTGGTTCCCATGCCTTCACTCTTCGAATCGGGAGACATAGAGCCATCTAGCTCCTTGACATCCATGTTCGCATGTGCTTTGCCGCAGCCTTTGACCAAAACATGTCGCTATTAGAGTTGTTAGTGGATCGTCTGCGGCGTTTCGAGCGAAGGAAACTCACCTTGAGTGCATCTTTACGAGAGAAGCTCTTGTCGCAATGCCCGCAGGGAAACGGCTTTACAGCCAAGTGAATTCGCTTGTGTCGCTTCAAGTCATGATTCCTGTTGAAACTCTGGGGACATTGATCGCAACGAAAGGGTCTGTCGTTTGGTGGGTTGGCTTGTTGGGGATGGTGGGTGTACATTTGCGAGTATTGTGCTGCATGTCCGCCGTTGTAATTGGGCATCATACCATGCGGCATCCCGCCTCCGACCAGAGAGACCTGTCCGCCAGGGTTGTTGACGTTCGTGAGGACAGGCATCTGATAGCTGTACGGCCTGTGTTGCGCATACTGTTGTTGGTGTGACTGTGGTTGCAGCGAGGGTATCTGTCCCTGCTGATTGACTGGAGACATCTTCGACAAAGGCCCACTAGCGCTGCTCGGGCTCTGCTGGATCGGCGATGGTCCACTCGAGTACGGGAAGTTGGTTTGCTGAGGTGTCGATGACTGYTGTGAGTTGTAGTAGGTCGGGGTTGGAGGCGGCCGCGCAAAGGAATCCTGCGGATGGACGGGAGATGGCTGCGTCCCAGGAGCAGAGACAGGGGCATGGCCGCCCATCATCCCGTTGTTCATCATTTGTTGATGGCTCGGCATGGCTGGAAGACTCGGTGCCGACATGGACATTGTCGAATTGGAGTAGTGTGACATTTCGTAGGGTGGCGGCGGCAGACCTTCACTGGCAGTGGGGGAGTTGCTGCCTCRGATGATCGAGTTTAAGGAAGGAGAGTACAGTCCACGGCCTTGATTGTAAGGTTGGTGTGTGTTGCCGGGCTGGAATGCGTATGGGGTTGAGTTAGAGTTCGACGGTGGTGGCCACATGCCACTGCCGTTGGGAGTAAACGACTGCACAGCGCCGTGGCTGTGAGTGGTTTGCTGATTGTGATTGTGGTTACTGTGGCCAGGGCTTAAGCCGTCCGCGCTGCCGTTGCTGGGTGGTGTCAACAGATTTCCAACGCTGGTCAGTGTTGTTGCGGGTGCTTGTGATGAGTTGATGTGAGAGTAGCTTGGTTGATAGTGCTTGTGATGGAGCCCAGCAAGTGGAGGCGGWGGTAGCTCAAAGGACGGCAAGTGGGAAGCATTTGGTCGTCGAGCAGAAAAGCTAGTCGGGGCGCCCATTGGATCAGAACCAGGCACCATTGAGGGGGGGTACGCTACTGCTGCAGCCACGTTTGCGGTCGGAAGATCGGAAGAGCCAAATGGCTGGGAGTATTCGGCTGGTGGAGTGGGCAGTGGATGAATAAACGAAGCAGGATTTGCAGCCGCAAAGACTTTGTCGTTCGGCCAGGAAGCGCCTGGTGGGGAATAAGAAGAAGCCACGGAGGGCGGTCGAAGCGATGGCCCTTGGGTAAAGAGTCGGGGAGATGTGAGCGATGGACCTGGTTGCAGTGTCGATTGATGCGATGTTGCAGAATCCGATCGAATGGATACGAGCAGGCTTTGTACTCAAGCCAGACACCGAGGAGTTGGGCTGGAAAGCCTGCGGGCGGCGCAAAGGGCTGCGCAAGATGGTATTGCACGCGTGCGAACTCGGTCAGTGGGGACACACAGCCTGCAGGAGAATCCCAAAAGTGCCTAGATGGCGTAAGTGGATCGTTCGTGTCACGGTCGGCGTTACCAAGCCCAGGATGCGGGAAATTGGGCTTACAGCGGTATTTGGAGCAATTGTAGACTCTAGATCAGGATGGCGATATACCGCAAGTGCGGGCGTGCAGATGCTGCGTTGCACCAAAGTTGCACAAGGTGCGTTTGCGAGTGGTCGTATTCTGATCCTTTGTGAGGGAGGAAATGTCCGAGGAATTCCAGGCGCGCGATCCTGGACGGACAGCTGGAGCTGTAACAGAGATAGACAGACGKCGAAGAAGACTTGCGACTGGGTTGTCTGGTGTGGTAGCACAACGGACGACCGACGGTGAGGTCCGATTCGATGACACGGTCAGGCTGGTATGGAGAAGAGGAGTACCACGAGGTGAGGTCGCGTCCCTTTGATGTGGGAGTGGCGATCCTTTGTTAAGCTTAGGTGCCTGGCGTGCGGATGGCGGTCGAGGGCTGGACACGGTCCATGCGAAAGGCCTGCGGGCGTTCACGTATATGTACAGGCGATGCTAGTAGGGAACAGAGCGTCTAGCGTGGCTGACGGGGCCACTAGGGAGCGTGAGCGGCCGCGTTGGAGAATCTGGATCTGCCCTACGCTGCCGGGGTCTATGCTCGGGGCAGCGACCAGACTTTGGTCCCAAGGACGCACCCGCTGAAGACAACGGGCCAGGCGAGGCGAGGCACAGGCGTGCATGCGAACGTGCGTGCATGATAAGGCCCAGCGGGCAAAGACACGGGCGGCACAGGAGGGGGAGAGTGGCCCGCCAACGGCCAACACACACACACAATTTCTGTTGGTGATGGTTTCTCGCAATCCGCCCGAGCGGCAATGGAGACCTACCGTCTCCAACTGATTGACTGTGCAGCCGCGGTATTTGGAAAACCCTGCTTTTCGCTGCACAATTTGGGAGATGGGCCCTCCGACAACAAAGCGACCCGTCCCAAGCGAGGTGTCGTCTTTATTCGCTTCCCACCCTGGTCGTGCCGCGTAGAGAAACAGACCAGCGCGCGGACCTTGCAAAGCAAAACCAGAGTCAGAAACAGGAGCCCCTGTCATCTGGCCGCTGGCTATTGGGCACGCACCTTAGCGCCCTTTCGTTTCAGGAAGGTCCCTTGTCAGTGCGTCTCCGATGCTCGCAGCCCTCCGAAGCCAAGTCACGATGTAGCTCCATCTCACAGACCTGTCTCGAGTCGACAGGCAAGAGATGCCGCTCAGCACAGCGAGAGTTTCGCAGCGTGCGCCGCATTGGCAAGCCCTCCAAGATGGTGGAAGCCAGTCCACCAAGGGTTCTCGGCTCTCTTTGCGTGCATGGCGCGATCGAGGCGTCGGTTGTGCGCGTGCGTGAGACACGATCGCCCGAACGAGACGCTGGGCGTGCATTCTCATCCACATGGCACGGATAGACACATATGCGGCCAAGAAGTTGTAGAACGACTGCGCCCATCTTTACCCCAGCCTGGGAAGAGCACATCATCATGGATTTCGTCTCTGTCACTGTTCATCACGCGCGCGGCTGGCCTCCTCTACTCTCCTGCCTCGAGCAATTCGCACGCGTGAGCCATCGCAATCACACCAAAATGCACGAATCAAGGCCCGCATACCACAGGTGAGAGGAACTTGGGGCAAAACTGGCGACAGGCCATCCCTGCGCGGAAACAAAGATAGCTCAAGCGATGTTCTGGACGGATCTCCTCCCGGATCGGCTAGCTCCATCGATCCAGAGTCTTGCTCGGGGGGGCTGCCACGTGCGGAAACACGCATGCATCTTCCAAAAGCGAACCCATCCAGCATCCTAAAGCGACGGTACTGTACCTCTGCCATATCAATCGACACGAGTCTTTCCGGGGAGGCCTGCGTGCAACCCTTGCTCGACGACGAGCCACTCGTCATGAGATGTTCAATGAGGATATTGCTGTGCTCAGCCGCAGAAAAGGTCGAGATGTGTGCGCCGTTGCTCAAAGCGTCCGTCCGGAGATCGTGAAGCGGGTATCCGCGCGAACCCACCCTCGCTCACCAACCGGCGGCTGTGGCTTTCGCGTCCTTGATGTCGGGTTCGCAAAATCGCTGTGGCTTGCCAGTGCGATGGACTCCGTTTCACAGACGACTGTCAATTCTGCAGCACCGCATCTTTGCTGCTGCTGCTGCTGCCGCTGGTAATCGGTATCCCGTCACTGCGTCAGCCGTGCTGGCAGACGACTCAGACGAGGTGACAGGTCTCAATTTCGACCCACTCTGGAATATTTGAAGGATCGCTAGCCCAGACTCTGTCCGCCAAATCGAGAAAGACTGTTTCCCATCGAGCCAATCAGCGTACTGCACAAGCGAGTCCGAGGAGGCTCGACTCAACTCACCCACGGCGGTCCGGACAGCTCCTTTCACGCCATTCCCGCTCTGCGTCCAGAGAGTCCCATTATCCACATCCAAGATAATTCCATCATCCCTGGGAAGCTCTCGCATGGTGCAGTTTCGTCAACGGCCCATCAACGGGCCATCACGCCGGCACCCATGCCGAGCTGCGAAAGAACGTCTTCGGAGACGCCGAGCGCCACATCAGTGTGGCATACTTGATGTAGCGGAGGCTAGAAATATTTGATGCCTTCTTTCATCTCATCACTAATTCTGTAGTGACATCCCCGCAGCCTTGGCCTCACGCGACAAACAGGGATGATGATTGTCGGTCCCGATACGCTTTGGTACCAAGCTTGGAGTGCCAGACTGCCTTTGCGGTTACCGCGGAGTCGCGGACTCCTGCCCAACTGCCAAAAGCTCGTCCTTTTCGCAGTCTTGCACTAACACAAACTTTGCGTCACGCTCCAATAGTGTTTGACAGACTTGTCTTTGCATCAAATGTCATTTCACCAGGATCCAGGATCCACCATCATCGTGGCTTCGGGTCCGATGCATAACAAGCGCCGTAATGCCTGCACGCTCACGGCGTACCAGCGGGGCGGGCTGGGCTGGCTGTAGGGCTCGCATCAAGTGATGGGTGCAGGCTGTCGTCGTGATATGAGAGGTCTTACACACATCCGAGTGCCGGGAATTTGGTCGTCCATCCCTCTGACGTCTCGTGCGAGAAGGAGCCGCTCCTCCAGGCATTCTTCCTGTGGGTTGTCTCAAAAGACTAAAGGCTGATCACTTCCCAGCAGAGTTCAGATTGAAAAGTTAAGATCTCGCGTGGCCGCCCTCGGCCCCGGGGATGCTTCCTAAAATGAAGCTTGCAAGTTTGCGTTATACTCCTCGTGCCTTGGCTCCATTCAACGCTTGCGTGTCATAACTTCCAAGCAGAGTTCGGACACAAATCGCTAGCCCGCTTCTTTCAATCATCGAATGCAGCATGTGTGGTCTATGCAGTAGCCTCTCTTTGCGCATCATCAGCCGCATCCGCGATGGCTTTTCGCTTGCAACATCGGAAAATTCCAGAGATCCGTCGATGAGCGTGATGGCCCAGTCCAGCCCTCCACAGGCACCCGTCTTCCACGTGGTACATGCGTAGATCATTGCCAACCATCAAACAAGCTATACGTACTTGTTATCGAAACTAGTAGACTCTTGAGTCTTGCCCGGTGCCGAACACTCAAATCTACACGAAWGTGTCCGTKTTCATCGAAGATTCCGAATGCGCGTCATAGCAAGGTCGAGCGTCTTGACTGTAGAATCTCCTTCATACGAATGCGCGCTGACGAACGAAGAATGCAATCTCCTACTGGGGCAGATTACAGGATGTCTTTGTACAGTGGTAATATGTTTCGAACGTACAACACATTCTGCCGTGGTTGCTATCGGCAGTCGTCAGCGCCACACTCTCTTGCAGTTTCCTGTCCAAGACGCCATCGAACCAACCAATGTGACGCACGTTCACAGGTCCCCATGGGAGTCAGAAGTCCCCTTGGTGGCGTGTCCCGATCTACATCTTATTATCATCTTTTGAAGGTTGTTGCTTGGCCTGTGGCTGTCCCACCGCCCACGCCAAGGCGGTGCGAGGAACCGCATGGATAGACATGCACATGATGCAACCTTTTGGCCAGCGCTCATGCACCTTGTCACCCACGTAAAAGCTCTGACTAAACGAGGATTGTCGTGAAAGCGTGCCCGACCTCACCAGACACGGTATGCCCTGCGTGTTCCAGTTGAAGAGTCCATGGCCATGGCCACTGCTGCCCACGAGCTTCATTCCTTGCTTGCCAAAACAAGTTAACAGCATGACAATACTTCCCGACATGCAGCAGGAGGCCTACCCCACTCTGTAACAAGTCGGGGAAATGGTGTGTCTATTCCGCAGATTGCTCAACCTTGGTCGCTGATCGTTCCAGCCGCTTCGAGCGCATTTCAGTTGCAGTGATTCAAAAGCAATGGGCGAAAAATCTCAATGTTGCATACAGGCTACGGGTGGTAACTCACCAGCCGTCGGCCGCAGATGTGTTTAAACGTTGAGACCTAGATTCCGTACGACGGTCCGGGTACCCATTTGGCAGTCTTTGGATCTTGCTTTCGAACAATCTGCAGGCTATTTCCGCATACACATTCGGTTTGGGGCCTGTCCAATACAATGGCACTGTGCTCGGAAGCCGGCCGAATGTGCGTGCAAACTGACCGTAAAGAAGAGCAGCGCGTCAAAGAGAGACATCACCTACCGTTGATGGGTGGCCTCGAGATCATGCCCCGAGCCATGCACAATAATGATGTAGGACGTATCGAAGCAAGGATAGTGGCGACATCATAGTGTGGCAATGGGCGGGACGTCTCACTGCGTTACATCCTTTCAAGCCAGATGGTATCTTCTTGCTTGGGCTGTGGGTCGGGTCGTAGATGAAACGCCGGGGAGTATAGTGGGTCGTAGATCCGACGTGATGAGGCGTTGTACTCCAGAGGTCCTCTGCGTGCTGCGAACGCTCCGTTCATCGCGTCTCCAGCATGCAATGGCTGACATTTTTCCATTCAGAGCGCTGCCTCATGCTCTAGAGACATCAGACTTTTGGTGTGTGAGTACGGTATGCACCATCTCAATGCACAGGTAAGTCAGTGAGTCGCATACCGTTGACTCTCAGGATGAAAGCAACCCTGGAGGCGTGATGATGAGGTGGTGTGGTGAATCGGAGGCACAAGATGTGAGATGTGTTGATGCTGATCATGCCCTTGGCGCCGACCCGTTGGTCAATGCACATAGCTGGCAGCTACGTTGCAGTCAATTCAAGGAGCTTCACATGAGAACATAAGCAACATCATCCAACATTAACAGCATCCGGACAGCGTCATGCTCGTCTCACTCACTGTCGGTAAGGTCGATGCCGGTGTCGCGGTCCTTCTGACCGAGGACAAACGCTTGGTAAAGATGCCGTACCTCTCCAATGCCTGCTGAGAGCGCAAAGCCAACACATCACGCGTAGATCGAGTTCCCGTCTATCCTGCTCCCATCCGACATTCACTCTGGCAGCATCGTCGACATCAATGTAGTGCGTAACCAGCACGCGGAGCTAGTCGCCGACCAGAAGTTCGCTGCGCTACAGAGCGAGATCTTTGAGACGTTTGGATCGCGCTCCCCTTCAGCGCCCGTCCTGCGTTGCCGCAACACCACGCAAACGAGCATCGTGCTCGAATGGGACCCAATCGAGCTGGCCACGGCTGATTTGCGTAGCCTGAGTCTGTATCGGAATGGCACCAAAGCAGGTGTCATACCACGCGACAAATTGAGCACCAAGATCAGTGGTCTCGCGCTCGACACTGAGTATAGCTTCCATCTCGTACTGCGCACCAGCGCCGGCCAGTACTCCTCCGAGAAGATTACAGTGCGGACCCACAAGATGACGGACCTGAACGGCATCACAATTACACCAGGCGTCATGCCAGGACAGCTGCGGGACAGCCTAGCGGAGACTGTGCAACGCATGGGTGCGAAAATGCTGGACACGGTCAGGATCGATACCACACATTTCGTGTGCACAGAGCCTCGTGGGCAGGCGTGGGAGAAGGCAGTAGAGATGAACGTGCCGGTTGTGGTGCCGGATTGGGTCAAGGGATGCGAAAGGGAGGGCAAGATCGTGGGAGTGCGAGGATACTACTTGGACGCCGATCCCAAGACGCGACAGATGGGACCCAGCACTCAGCAGCAGCGCGGGAGCATATCCAGCAATGCGCCAATGCGTGACAGTCCGAGGATTGAGCACACGCCGCCAACTCCTGAAAGACCTACGCATAACCGTGAGAATGGCGGTAGCGGTTTTAGTGAGCMACCCACACCACCTCCAAAGCCCGTTCACGAAAGGATCGACGAGGCAGGAGAAGGATCAGCTGCAGAAACCTCTACAAGCGAGAAAGCTACGGTGGAGTCTGACGAAGAGGACTCTGACGACACAACACGAGTCTCGCGGGATATTGAGAAGGCGAGTATGTCACCAGTGGATGGGACTCGTTCTCCTGTGAGTCCGGTTGCAACACCAACAGATGAGGACGGCAAATTCGACGAAGTCTCTTTGTGAGATCACTTGAACGACCAGCAAAGTCGTCTGACATAGCACTTTCCAACCATTTCCGATACAACCCTCTTCTTTCGTCTTCTATTTGGTTCACACCGTCAATCTTCAGGATGATAGCCCGTCCAGGAAGAAGTCGACGGTTCTATGACGGGTTCCCCCACGCAAGATACAGGGCAATCCTCGATCATTGTGACACCTGAGYAATCCGAATCCCACATCTCATACTCGCCAAGAAGAGGCTCCCACGGAGAAAATGTCTCAATGCAGCAACCGGGGATTGTTCCGGCAGGTGACGAGAGCTTGACTTTAACCTTTTGTGGTAGTATTATCCGTTCCATGTCTACATGGATACAGGAAGCACGAGTTTTAAGTACTTGCGCGTTGTACAGTTACATTTAATCTCTTCCCAAAAAGTATGGATTCAAAAAGCGAGTGAAAGACATGAAAGACATGCAGCATCCTTCTCTTGCCCTCCCTTTATTGCCCCGCCCATACCGACGCCCAACTCGCTGAATCGCTAAAAATCAAACTGGCATGCGAAAAGCCGCAAATACTTCTCTCTCTCTCTCTCTGCATGATGTATGCTCTCTCCTCGGAACGTTCGTAATCATCAAATCGTGGAAACGCTGGACCCTACTATGTGTTGAAGAGAATTGCTGAAAGAGACCGTAAGGAACCTCTCCCGAGGCCGGGTGGAAGTCGGTATCAACCGAGTAAAACTGCAAATCAATGTCAGTMGGCATAACAATCGCATGCTTGAACACGACTTACCCTCCCATCCCCATTCCCACATCACACCGACCCAATGCAAATGGCCACGAACGGTGTATGCCACAATATCGGGGTCATACATACTACCCAGCTTCGAGGGCCTGGAAGAAGAAGAAGAACTCTGTCGACGGTGATCCGGCTTGCCGTTGATAGACGCATCGTTGTCGTTGTCCACGTAGCTAAACACCATGCCGGTGCGGCCAGGGCTGGCATTGTGTGGAGGAGGTCTGCGGGTGAGTGGTGCTCCTCTGCGCCTAGCTGAACGCAGGTCTGCAGTAGCACACAATCGCCGCTGAGTGCGCGGTACACTTTCGTACAGATCCTTGCGTCGCCATACCTCCTCKGTGACGGCGAGGCACYTGTCAATGACGCCGATGCGGAGACGATCAGACATGACAGCCCATCGCCCACGGACCCACTCCCGATCTTCAACGTCAGTCGCCTCGCATCCAGCGACCATCATTGGATAGACGTGCACATTAATGGTTCTGCTGGTCAAGGGAACCGTTGCCAAGTATTGCAATGCACGCTGGGCGAACTCAGCCGATGTCATTGAGGGTAGCTCGCGCACTGCTTGATGCAAATGCAGCAACGTTGCCCAACGATAGGCCTCCGCGGTTTGCAGAGCATGTTGCACGTCGGTGGTAGGGTCTTCGGGTCGCTCGATGTACTCTGGCGGACTCCAATTCTCCAACGAGTCCACCAAATCTCTCGCCTGGCTAATGATTCCAGGGGAATTGATCTGGGACCTGCACACCTTGCGCACCAGGTTCGCAACTCGGCCGATCAAGGGAAATAGAGTGCCCGCGCAGCCCATCAATGGGTCCAGCCTTGCATCGACTGGCATTCCGAAGTCGATGCCGAATCCAGGCTGCTCGTTGCCCATTACCAGAGGAGGTGGATCGGCTGCAAAGATAAAAGTATTATCAAAGTCGTTGGATTCATCGCTGTCCACGGATGTCAGACGAGCCATGACATCCATGTATACCCAAGCATTGCAGAGGAACTTTAGACGAGCAAGCTCCGTGCCCGACAATGGATCACGAGCATGCTCCTTCATGGCTTTTTTCACTAGCACTTGTGCGCCTTTGATATGGGTGTTGCCCGTCGCCGTGTGCTGGTCCCACGATTCCGAGAAGCCAAGTGCCAATGCTGTCGCGATCGCCGTATGATTTGACATGCTGTCATCTCTGATTCCCTCCTGGATGTTCTGGATGCTTCTGTGTTTATGCTCATGTCCGACCAAACGGAGTGCCGGGAATTCGGCGGAGGCGTGGAATGCTGTCATGGCTAGTAAGGCGTGCAGAAGAGCAGGTGAGTCGTGGGTGAGAGGCCATACCAGGCTTCGCCAAGGATTTTCGGTTGGGCCGTCGATGACGGACAGGATGCCGCATGTGACGGAGGCGAATCGTTCGCACAGAAATTCCTGACTATCAATAGGGAAACTTGGCTGCATGTAGGGATTGTTTATTGCTCCGCTCCACATATTGTTGCCATCTCCTGATGAGGCTGGCGATAGCGGCGAGTGGTAGCGAGAAGGCCACCAGAAAGAGTCCATGCTGGTGGGCTGTATAGGTCCAATGATATCGGAGCCATCATTGACCAAGCCACTATCGGTAAGAGGTTGATCCTGAGAGTCGACGGCCCACAACGGCAGGGACAAGTCATCGGGCATCGAAAAGGGAACAAAGTCAAGATTGGGCAAATCTTCGCCAGCATGACCAGACATCATAAACTCTGTCAAGGTCGGCGACGCACCACGATTCCCGCCTGGTGAGAGCGACCGAGAGCGGAAGGCGAACGTGGCCGAATTGAAGTCGACCGGCGCAGAAGTCCCTGTGAACTCATGCGGTCTTGATACTTGGTGGGGTGGGGGCGCCGGCTCTGGAGGATCGTCGGCTGGTGAGTTGCCTCGACTATCTTGCGCGTGATCGTTGTAGTCCAAAGGAGAGGACTCGTGAGGGGTCGACTGATACGAGCGGTTCTTCTCAGCATGGGAAAGTGACGACCCTTGGCTAATGCGCTTGGAGTCATTGATTGCCGGTGGCAACTGAGGTGGACGTTCAGTGGACGGCGATGGTCTCGCGGGTGACCGTGGCTTCGATGTTGCTGAGAGGGACGAGGTCAGCATGGCGCCTAGAAACCCGATGGAGATCTCCCGTCTCATTGTCCGTGGACCTTACCTTGCTTCGATCGCTCCACGTTGACCCTGACCTCTGTATTGCCATATTCGCGCCATTGAAACACCTTCTTGTATCCTCCACATGGGACGCCTCTCTTTGAACAATTCGAACATCCGGGCTTCTCTTCGCCACATTTCAGACGCTTCGCCTTGCAGGTTAGACATCCTATGCATGTCTTGAATCAGCGATGCCCTCGGGCGCTTACGTGGGAATGTGTATGTGTATGTGCATGTGCATGTCTTGAAGAGCGACAAGGAAAGAAAAATGAAAGCGGAAAGCGGAAAGCGGCGGGATGTGAGTGTGTAGGTGTGTGTAGGCGAGTGCATGCGTGTAGATATACCATTGCGGCTCTTGGTCTGCTTCGGCTTGACGGCGTTGGCATCTTTGGGCTCCTCCAACGTCGGAGCCTTGCGGGGAGGGAAAGGCGTCTTCTTGGTCTCTCTGCTCTGCTTGCGGACCTGCTTCTTCGGCGTGTTGGAGGCATCCGTGGGCTCACTCTGCCCGACGGAGGGCCCTAGGATGGAATCAAGCGAGGGAAATCGGAGGTCGTTGTCGGCCATACCTGCTGCTGCTTGCGTGCGTCTCCGCCAGCGGGCACCACCAGATCACCGACACGGGAGATCCCCGTCTCGCACCCAGCTGTGCCGTACGAGTGACTGGGAAGGTGTTACGGCTGGCGTCTGCGTCTGCGTGTCTGCGTGTCTGCGAGCAGGCTTGCGATTATTGCGGTGGGGCGGACGTCGAAACCATTTCTGCGACTAGGAAATGGGGATGCAACAGGCGAATATCGGTCGCACACCACCGTAAGATGGATGGTCGGTCGGTCGTACCCCTCCAAAGATCCAGCGTGAGTGTGCACGTTGCACCGCAGATTTTCCAGGCCCGTGGCGCTATTCGCTTGCGCCTGCAAAAGCCGATGCCGCCCCGCCTGATTCGCAGACCACGGATTCGCTCCATCATCGTTCGCTCACGGTGACACGCACCGCGTACAGCATGCAAGGGATCACGCTCCACTCTTTCAGCTATAACAACGCGCAAGCACACATCTGTGCCACCCGCGGATCGACGCGGCGCACTGCGGCTTCCACGCCACCGTGTCGACCCTCTCACACTCGGAATTTGATTCAATCGTTCATCCTGACCACGTTTTCAACCCAGCCGCGCCCGCCTGTGAAGACCACGGGACCCGCCTGGCACCCGCGAACTTTCACCAACGAAACCTTCGGCCGCCGGCCAAGCACAACGATCGGAGTAGGTAGATTGCCTTAGCTTGCGGTGAGGGGTCCGTTCTAGCAGGCACAATTAATATGTGGATACTATGTACTCCAGGATGCCCTATCGCCGGTGCCATCACCACTCACAACACCTCTGAGAGAAGTTGACTTGGCCAGGGACGGTGGGTGGGTGAGGGATTGAGTGGGCCAATGCTCTTTCGTACTGTCATCGATTGGATCGCCTGACAACCTTGCTAAGCTGTGGTCATCTAGACCTTGCACTCGCATTATTCCAATCCCAAGCGATCCTTCAACGGCAAATTTCGACTACACTGCTTGCGGCGCTTGCTGCGCTAATGTCAGATTTGCCAGCGCTCACACTGCTGTAGGCTATGTTCTAACCAATTAGAGACGACCGAAGCATTTTGCAGCATCCTCACCGCTCTGTTCGCTTCAAACCAAGATGGACCTTGATAAGACCACGGTCGAGCCACTGGACGAGAAGACGACTTTGGTCTAGGGTTAGTTACAGGCTGACCACTTCCGATCACACGACAGCCGCCAGGCCTCGCGGCAGCATATCCCGGCCGCAACTTCTTGTGAAATCTCAATAGATTGTCCTCAACAATACTGCCTGGTGCCGATTGACAGGTCGTCCGATCAGGCTCCCTATCAGAAGAGAGATAAGGCGATGCCTATCGATGATTTGGCCACTGTCGACTCAATCAGGGGACTCCCGATCTGGAACCACGGACAAGATGTACTCGAGATGWACACCGATTAGCGTTAAGATATATGTTGGCTGCCGCGTTGTAGCGGCGTCGCCAAGTCACATCAAACTCGGCATGAGTAGAAAGCCGATGCGATGAAACCAAGCCTTTGTGCCCGGGCCACAGCATATGACCTGCTAGCATCGATATCAAACCGGGCTCTTGCTGCACACCACTCACGGCCTTTGCTGGCTCTCAAGATTCACCGTCTGCTGTCTACTACTCCGACGACAGCACGACTACCAGGTTCACGAATGTTCGGCCCGTACCCGCCCTGACAACCGATCACGCGGCGAGCGAGTGACATCCCCAGGGCTCGCGTCTAGACTCTTGACCCCCTTGCATCTTCTATAAACAAGGACTGGCAACCTAATCGTTACCGGAAATCGGCTGAGTTGCCCTACGAAAGGGCGGCAACGACTTTTTGTTGTTCAACCACCCTTGAAGGCAGGTAAGTGGACGAAATCAGCATCTGAAGCGCGTACAATGCAGACGATCAGCTCACGCTCTATCCGGCAGCTAAGTTCTACGTGCGAATCTTCATTCTTTGCTCAGTTCCTCTTGATCGAAGCTCGAAGTTCGCATGTAGGGTATGCCTGCTCGCAGCATGGTTGTGTCACATGCAAGTGCCTACAGTACAACTCTCCGTTTCTCTTCCTGCAAGCTGCCATACATCCATCACACATGTCGATCGAGATGTTCGTCCACTTAAGAATCCTCGTCTCCTGTCTAGAGTTCGTACTACTGCATGCCCAAACATCTTCAGTGCTGCCCACCGGATTAAGATATATCCGCGAACGCGAGTCCGAGTCGGCCTGAACCTGGTCTGAATGCCAGCGGTGCAGAATTGGCATTCGTCTGTCGCACAAGCCTGAATGGCTTGGCTTATTATACGGTTCTTCATGTTGGGATGAATAGCGCGGCACCCCTTGTCCAATCCCGGTCGCTGAAGCAAATTCCCATGAAATGGAAGTTGTCATCAATTCAAAGTCACATTGGCGTCCAGGGTGCTGCTAAGCGCTTTTCATCTCAACATGAAGGAACGTAGCTCTCTTCAGATTCAATATTTTGCGTCGCTTCCCTGATGTTATGATCGTGCTCGGCAATCACAACAATCCCTTGTCGGCCATGCCAGCTTCTGGAGAGGTGTGAAACATCCTTAACCGCACATGTAACTTTCAGCATCTTTGACACTCGAAGATCCCCCACTTACTGTAGTGAGAACGTTGCACATAAGCGAAGAATGCGTCTTCGGCCAAGGCGTGGTAGCGGGTCATTCCTATGAAGATGCCCAATGCTGATGACATGAAGCCTTTCCGTTTCTCCACTAACCGACTTGCTGCCATGGCTATGAGCAGAGAGCGGGAGCCTCTGAAACCAGTCACAGCTCCGAGAGCATGATCCAGAGACCGTTTATAGAGTGCGTGCCTGAGGCTCACAATTCCTTGAGAGCAGGTTGACAGTCTCGCATGTGAATACCATCAGATCGGATGCCTCAAGTTCAGTTCAAAGTTGCTTTTTCCTAAATGGCATTTCGAAAAGCGAAGTAAAGTATACATCTCTCCACATGATGCCCAGATTCGGAAGTGACCGGAGTGGTGGGGAAGCGCAAACTACGCAAGGAGATGCGTGCGCTCCGTGCAACGTGGGGATGGGGAACTGGCGGGCGCAGTCGTCCTTACGTAGCCGGCAAAAGCGAGTACAGAGCTCGGCAAACAAAAGTACGGTAGGTAGGAAACGCCTTCCCAAGTTTCCAGAGGTTACTCGCTTTTGCTTCCTGTCATCTCACTCCATTCCTGCTTATTGTCGCACGCGTTACGATTACGCACGCCTTTTGTTCTACAAACGATCCATCGACTTGCCAAAACTTTGAGAGAGAAAGGGCTCGCCTCACACAATGTCTGGAGATAGTTTAGCCATCTTTCGCAAAGGCTTGGGTCCGGAGCTGGGAGCTCTGGCGGAACAACACATGCAACACGAGTAAGTCGAGCACAAGCTGTTGGAACAAAAAATCACAAGTCAGCTAGGCCTGACAATACTGTATAGTCTGCGACAATCCGACCGAGATGCACTGCAAAACGCAGCCAGTACTGTGTCGATGCACACTGGCATAGGTTCGATCGTCGGTGTTGGATTGGGGGTCCTCCTTGCCTTCCGTCTTCGAAGAGGCCGCCGACAAATGTTCCAAGCCTTCCGAACTGTGGAGAAGCCTCAAGCCGTACGATTCGCAGATGGGCGTGAGGAAGCTCTGCCTGACTTGAGCGGACTACTTCGACCTTCAAAATTGGGCGACTTCGCGACCTATACGTTGTTGGGACTGGGTGGAGTATTTCTTGGAGGTGAGACGGGGCTCTTGACTGGAAGCTTTAGAGCAAGGCAGCAGATTGCTGTGGATCGGGAAAGCAGAGAACGGATTCAGCATGCATTTCAGAGGTTTCAGGCCGATGCATTGAGGAAGCAGGCTGATGCGCTGGATAAACAGGCCGGCAGTGCTTGGATATAAATGGAGACAGTACCGGATGCATCACACCAGAAACTATCCCTAGATATTGATTGGCTTTGGGATGTGAATTAGAACAGCAGAGTTGTGTGGACGGTAACGCTAACTCTCAAGACCTAGAGATCACAAGGAATCGTTTCAGTGTAACAGTTCCCCAGACGGTGAGCAGTCAAAACGTGAGATGGTTGTATGTTGTGGGGGTGTATGGCATGAAGACTCTTTCCATTCCCTGTCAATACTGGTTGAGGCACTTCATTTGTTACAGCATCGTTACTATATCATCCCAACAAACTCCTTCGCGAAAGTACGAACAACAGATTCGATAATATTTCAAACTACAACTTGGCTGCTGGAGTCTTGTCACCTGCAGCGGTGATCTCGTTATACAAGAGTCTGTGGAACATTGTTAGTAAGGGTTCATCAAGCACTGCGGAATTTCACTTACGTTGTCAGAAATTCGGCGTAGTCCTCGCCGGTCACCTGCGTAGCAAAGTACTTGGCCGCAAGCTGGTACTTGTTCCCCTTGCCAGCGCCCTTCTCAAGCTCAGCTGCCTGCTCGTACAGAAGCTTGAGCGAGTATTGCTTGTCAATCTTCTTGCCCTCGCTGGTCGAAACGCCGTGCTTGACCCATTGCCAGAGCTGCGATCGAGAGACTTCGGCGGTAGCGGCATCTTCCATCAAGAAGTTGATTGGCACGCAACCGACTCCACGGAGCCAGCCCTCCATGTATCCGAGACCAATGTTCAAGTTCTTGCGGATTCCATCCTCGGTGATGCTGCCGGGAACGTTCATGTTCAGCAAGTCGTTGGCGTTGACCTGCACATCCTCTCTTCGGACGTGAAGCTGGTTTGGCGTGGGCATGTGCTCGTTGAAAACCTCGCCGGCGATCTGAGCAAGCGCAGGGTGTGCCACCCAGGTTCCGTCGTGTCCTGCACGAACCTCACGAAGCTTGTCAGCGCGGACACCGTCCATGGCTTTTTTGTTGGCAGCTTCGTCGTTCTTGATTGGAATCTGAGCAGCCATACCACCCATGGCGTGAACGCCACGACGATGGCATGTCTTGATGAGCAGGCGAACGTATGCATCCATGAAAGGTGCAGTCATGGTGACAGCGGATCGGTCTGGCAGCACAAATTGGCTGTTGTTGCGGTGGCGCTTGATGACCGAGAAGATGTAATCCCATCGACCACAGTTGAGGCCAGAGGAGTGGTCACGGAGCTCGTAGATGATCTACAGTGGATACGTTAGTGCCTTGTTTCCTGTTTGCTCACGTGTTGGTTCAAAGTTACCTCGTCCATCTCGAATGCAGCAGGAATAGTCTCGATCAAGACGGTTCCACGGATGGTACCTCGAGGCATGCCAATGTAGTCCTGTGCGAGGTTGAATACATCGTTCCACAGTCTCGCTTCCAGGTGACTCTCCATCTTTGGCAGGTAAAAGTATGGACCAGCTCCACGCTTCACCAGCTCTTTCGCGTTGTTGAAGAAGTACAAGCCAAAGTCGAAGAGACCACCGGAAATTGGCTCGCCGTCAACGGTGAAGTGCTTCTCCTCCAAATGCCAGCCGCGGGCACGAGCGATGAGTGTGGGGAGAGGACGGTCTGTACGAAGCTTGTATGCCTTGTCGCCAATCTTGAAGTCGACCTGCTTTCGAATGGCATCGTAGAGGTTCAGCTGGCCGTTGATCATGTTGTCCCATGTTGGAGCATTGGAGTCTAGAGAACTGTCAGATGTTGCAAATGTCAACACTTGTGCTGATGCGTCTACCTTCGAAGTCGGCCATGTACGTCCAGACGTCGGCGTTCAATGCGTTGACAACCATCTTCCTGTCGGTAGGGCCAGTAATCTCAAGTCTTCGGTCCACCAGGCCAGGTGCTGGTGGAGCTGCTCGCCATGCATCATTCTGGCGAATGTGTGCGGTCTCGGGGAGGAAGTCAAGCTGTGTGCCCTTGTCGAGCTCCTGCTGGCGGATCTGACGACGCTCAAGAAGTGCCTTGCGGCGTGCGTTGAATGTGCGGTGGAGGACAGCAAGGAAGATGGTAGCTTCCTTGGAGAAGACCTGGCGAGTCTTGTCGTTGAGCTTCCCAAGAAGGTTGACGTCCTTCAGGATCTGCTCGGCATTGACTGGGGTAGGCATGGTTGTGTTTATCTCTTTGGTAGGTGGGTAGTTGATGGAGGAATGTGTGACGGGAGGGAAACACAAAATGATATTGTTAGCAGAAACACTCACCCTTTCGATATATACGTCACAGGAAAGATGAGGCTTAAGCTGGTAGAGGGCCTATTGTGCCGAGGGTGCGAGGAAGGTTGTTCATGTCGCAAAGATCATCCATCCCGCATCCGATCGTACACATCGGCTCAGAGGAGCTGGATTGTGGGGTACTTCATTGCCAAGAGCCAATGACTTCACTCGTCCAGGAGCTTGCAATGCCATGTGAAGGGGATTACTTCGCAGGTTTGCTGCTTTCTCACCTCTTCTTACGGACGTTGGAGGCGCGATTGGCTTGGATTGCCATCAAAGTGTCCTGCCACGCCGAACATGAATGGGCGAGGCCGGTCGAGGCCGGGATATGTCGCCGCAATACCCATCCTAGCCGAGCGAGCGAATCACAACCGCCGAGGCCTGCTACTTGTGCATCTTTCATGTGTCTTTGATGACGGACTTTGCGCCTTAGGCTTGTAGAATGTTGTATGAACCATTCGGTATGAGAGAAATCGCGATTTGAGGATCCGTCGACGGGATTCGTGAAGTTCTCGAGCATTCCCTACGGAACAGCAAATCTGCTCTTGGTCAGATCCCATCCCTTTTTCCTTTCCAAGGCAACCGTTGCAACAAAGAGGTACTGGATTTGGAGTCCACTCAGTAAAGAAGAACGGCGGGAACACGAAGACACATAACATGCGTGGACCGCTGCATGCTGCCTTTGCGAAACCTCACACATTATTTGCTTTGTACGCAAGGCAACCACACGGCTAATCATTCTTTCATGGATTTCACATATCGACGACAGCTTCATGATCACACTACCCCAACCCTAACCCTCAAATTCTCAGATGAGGTGGTCAATGCGGCATAGGCACATCCTCCTCGCTCCAGATCAGCTCCACATTGACACCTTCCTAGATATGCTCCTTACACAATGCAATCATGCCAACGCGTACTTGGGGAACCTTCTGGTAGTGGAAAAACCGCAAAAGACTCTTTCTCTGCGGATATCGGCAGGATGCTGGATTCCTCTGGCTTTGACGGTATGGTCTTTGCCGAGCTGGTCTCAGCAAGATCAGTCGGCAGGCGTATCTGAAGTACAGACTTCACACCGGCTTAGTACGATTAGTCTCACGCGAGAGTCCTTCGCATCGCCGAGGAATGGGTGACATCGGCGACTGCCCGGCGAGACGGACAATTTTGACCAGTTGTGGCACCCGCTGCCTCACCCAAATTACATGACGGAGCTGCTGCTGTTATTCTGAAAGATGCCCCGGATGACGCACCGAGCGTATGCTGCGAGATCCGTAGGCCATCAGTCTCGCCTGTCTTGGTTGTTCAGGCGACAAGACGATTCCGGGCCGACATCACGCGCATTCTACTCATCTTGGTCGACATAAAGACGTCAGACAATACTGTCCCCGCGCACAACAAAATACACCAGCCACGACAAGGGCACAAGTTCACGACCATAACGAACGAAGTCAATCACCCAATCTTTGCAACTTTGAGCAATAAATGTATCTAGGTACAGATCGAGAGTTGGCGAGATCCTCCTGCAGATGTTCCTCCATCGCGACCATTTTGATGCCTCAAATCCGATCATGAGGCGTTGCCAATTGTCACCACCACTCGTGATGCGCGTCACTCATCAGCCAGTGGGGGCTGGGTACTTGGAGCTTGCGGCGGTCATTGTACCTGGCGGACAAGCCTCACCCCCGCTCTTGTCACTGTAGACAACGACCTGGAAAGAGCCGAGGCCGTCCTTGCTGCTGGGGACGCACTGGTTTTCTGGAACAGGAGATCCGTAGGATTGACCGATGGCAGAGTATGGGTCTTGCAAAGGTCAGTGATGATTACGAAGGGGACGCGGTTCAGAGAGAAGAGATGCTTACCTCCACTGCAATCAGCGCTCTTGTAAAGAAGGACTTGAGTGTTTGGCTCCAAGACAAGGCCTTCGACGGAGTGGACATTGTTGGTAGGTTCCCCCTTGAAGTCGGTGAATGCAGTGCAGCCAAGGCCGCAGTTGAAAGTCGATCCGCTCAGATAATCATTTCCGCATCCATTGTCGCCATACCAGTTCAGGTCTGCGATGGCTGTGGCAGAAAGCGCCGCAAGGGTGAGGAGTTGGATGTTCAACATGGTGAGATCTTTTGCTGGGAGAATGCGAGACTGATCGTGTGTATGGGTCGATTGTAACGAGCAGTGGAAGTTGGGCTAAAGTGGACCTTTATGTGTCTTCACAGCCACACTCATGGACTCAAACAAGGCATAATCGATCGCACCGAGTGCTCTCTCAGAGCATGTTGCATCTGCGCAGCCTAATTCCGCCGCTGGGTTCAGAAGGACATCGAGCGGTGCTAAGCACGGATCAAGAGCATAGTCTTCGCTGCGAAAAGCATCGAGTGGAGGTGATGCGAAAGAGAGTTTGGAATTCCTTCAGGCAACGCGGCTATACACGGAGCGCATGTCATATCCTATTCTGCGAGCTTCTCACTGGAATTAGCGTGCCTAATTCATTTGAGTAAATTCTTCTACTAATCCTTCCACCAACCCAGTGATCATCGGTATATATCTAGCGGCGGAATTAGCACGAATTGTTAATATGTGTCTAGTGGCGGACTTAGCACCGACCCATACCAGACATTGCGATCGTGACGAGGTCCTGGCTCACTACAACGCTCCATGGCATTGCTACTTCGATCGTTCATGACAAACGTTGCGACGGACATGGAATCCTTCTCTGCTGGAGCGGCTCGGAGATGACATGAGGAGTGGATTCTTGATGTCCTTCTCTTCGGGATCCACCAACCATTACGTACAGTCCTTCATCGCGCTGTCCTTCGGACCTGAGTAGCGACCACTTTGAGAACGAGCAGCAGATCCAGTTCGGCGCAGAGCGCTCAGGGGGCGAGCTGGATGCCGGCAAGACATATAAAGATCCAACCCTGGACATGGATCTGGTAAATCCACTCACATCTTCAAGTCATTAATCACCATCGAACTCCAAGCAAGAACTCCTCGGGAAATCTTCAATCACGATGGCATCCATAACCACCACCACCTTCTTGCTCGTGAGCGCGGCCATCGCGAGGCTCGCATTTGCTGAGACGACTTCTGCCACACTTCTCGCCTTTCCAAACGGAGATTGCAACAAGTTGGGCTACTATCAAACGATCCAGGCTACCAACGATGCGTGCCCCAAGACGTATCTGGGAGGTGAGATTGCGATCCCTCAAAGCAATCATGGCGGACAGGACAAAGCTAAGCCGAATGAACAGACGACAATTACGCCACCGAGCCCACAGACAAGAGTCTTTACAAAACCTATCTTCAACTCCAAACCCACCAAGATGAGGGCTGTGAGATGGTCATTGGGAGGGATAGCGCTCTCGCAAAAGCTCCGCCATGTGGTGAATGTATCATCACCATCCGCACTCAGAACAAATGCGCTCAGGTTGACCTCCCCACTCCATTCTACGCATGGTAAGTACAGTGAAGGGTAGAAAGCAGCCCACGCAGATATCGAAAGACAATGCCGACGAGGAGATCTCTACGCATCTGTGAACTGCTGGGAGATCAGAGTTCATTTTTTGCCCGCCCCGAATGTTAGAGACACCGCTAACCCTTTTTGCCATTTGCTTTTAGGCAGTGCTGTGTAAGCCGTCCACAATCACATTGGTCTGATGACTCCACACTGACAAATTTTTAGGGAGACGAATGTGACAACCAGTGCGGACAGGTTCCAGGCAAGCGTAGACGCACCATTGAAGAGGCTGCTGAGATCATCCGAGCCCTCGACGAGGAAGACCAAGCCAAGAAGAATGGAACCTCTCCCGACATTGCCAATCTGAAGAATCGCTCACCAGCGTCTCTCAAGCCTCGCAAGGGTAACTGCAAGTTCAACAAGACGGGTGTAAGTATGATCTCAAGCTACAAGATGAGCGGCGTTGTGTTGACACACAGCTTAGGGAAAAYTCACGCAAGCTGGTACTCCTGTCAAGGTTTCCCGGTCCTACGGATCTTGCCAAGAGGGTTGTCAGCAAGGCTACTCGGGCACGGTCGAGTCCAGCTTCTCAAACACCTTTGGTGTCAGTGAATCGAGCGAAGCCGGATTCTTCGAAATTGTGTAAGTGATTCTACCGAAAATTGCGCGAAAAAGATGGGTGACGCGGCTGACGATAAGAGCAGGTCCGAGACCGTCTCCTTTGACTACAGCCACACCTGGGAAAAATCAAAGTCTTCCACTGTGTCCGGCATGGCCACCTTCCAACCCGGTCAATCCGGCTACATCACCTTCGCTCCTTATTCCCAATGTATTGCTGGTACCTTCACGGGCTCGGACTGCGCAGGCATGGGTATTCCCGAAGGTGGCGAGGCAAAGGACGCTTGTGTCCCAGAGTACCTGGATAGTGGGATTCCAGATGGTGACGTTGGCATTGTCTCCTCCATTTAGTAGAACCCGAGAGACTGCTTGGAACCAGTCCATGCTTCGGATGGAAAGATATCGGCGATCACGAGAGATACATACACCTATGCGCWTGAATTGATATTGTGGCAGACGGATTGGTCAGTCATTACCAGTTAGTACTTGATATTACTTGATTTCCGCACAACTTCTCAACACCATTCCGAACAACCGAGCCGGGCTCGAGCGCGTGTGATATCCGCGTGAATGCCTGTTTCGGTATCTGAGCATTGTTAAGACGTGCAATGGAGAAAGCTATGCGAAGGTATGAATAGGCGAAGAAAAAGCCGGAACATTCAACCCCTTTCCATCGTAGCCGGCACGAAGGAGCCGGAAAGCCACCACGACAGAAATTGGGTCTTTCCAAAGTAGAGATGAGTGTGCGCCTGGATCGAAGGTTCCATACGCAGGTTTGAGTCCAAGGAATAGTGAAGTAAGAAAATCAACCACATGGCCTGTCGCGCGACTCGTGAAGGGCAAGAGTCCAAGGTAATACTTAYTTCACGCCCAAGTCCGGATCGAACCTCACCAATTTACTTTGAGAGCCATACTCAAAGCTGCCACAGTGAACGGTGACCGGCCGCCTTCTCTTTCGCACCAAACAGCGAAGGCACATAATCGAGCAAGGAAGACATTCATGCCGAAGTGCATTTCGTATACGCTATGTCGTAAAGCAAAACTGTATGGGTATCTTGCTGCCGTAGTAAAGCAATCCGCACTAAAGCAAACTGGTCGCCTTGAACGCCATATCCATTTGCCTCGCTCGCAGTAGAAGCAGTAATAACTCCGCCGCGCCGTTGCCACATCTTTCACCCAAAAAGGCACGAGCCTCCATGTTCGAAATGACACATGGGTATGAGACCATATCAACCCAGTCATAGTGTTGCTTGAGAAAACTGCTAGTGTGAAATGATGCTGTCGTATAACAGCAATCACTCATCACCCTCGCCAATAACCGGCATGCCAGCAGTAGTACCATCAACATCCGCAGAGTCGGCCACACTAACACTACCGGCGCGGACCTTGGGAGTGCGACTGCGGCCACGACCGTTGGTTGTCGGTGGGGCGAGGCTGCCCGCAGCTACACTACTCGCTCGCGAGCCCTGACGAGAAGTGGTAGCACTGGGTTTGACTGATGGAGTGCGCGAGCTCTGTCGAGAAGCGGCAGCCTTGGACTTGACCGGTGGAGCGTGCGAGCCACCACGAGACGTGGGGTGAGAAGTTTGCGACGTCTCTGCGGGGAAAATGGTGTCGGTTGATGGGATCTCACTCTCGGTAGTAGCAAGGAGAAGTCCAGCTTGGACAGTTCCTGTCGGGAGATCTTGTTCGGGCTGGGTGCTCTCATTGATAATCACCTCGTCGTCAACCTGCTCAGCGGTGAGCAAAGTACTCTCCTCCTCGGGGTTGGACGCGGCGATGGTCGTGTCGTTAGAATGACCGCTTTCAACTCCTGGCATAGTATCCTCATCCTCGAATCCCTCAATCAACTTCTTRGTAATGAAGGTCCACTCCTTCTCCGTCACACTCGTCACGCTCAGGCGCGACTGCTTAAGCACCTGCATGTTGCTGAGCACGCCGCCTTTCTCGGTGTACTTCTGCAGGGTTGACAGGTGGACTGGTTGGCTGAGCTTGTTGCGATACTCGACGTGCACCACACACCACTTGCCGCGAGCCTTTTCATCCTTGACGTATCCGTAAGCACCCTCGTCAGCAGTAGTCTTGTCAGGCTCGTGCTCCTTGACAATCTCCATGATGCCGGTGATACCAGGCTTCCGGCCACTCTTTCCACCACTAGCGTAAAAGAATGCCAAATCGCCTTTCTTCATCTCGCGCATGTTCTTGGCCGCGACTACGTTGCGCACCCCTACGTACAGTTAGAATCGCATCGCACCATTGAGAGACAGCTTGCACTTACCATCCCACGGCTCCGGACCATCCTTGGATTTCAGGTCGTCAATTGTGAATTTGGCGTTGAAGATTTCGCCATTTGCGAGTGTCTCTTCGCGGTCCTCCTGCTCTGCCTTCATCAGCCAGTAGCGTCTCTCTGCAGCTTGCTCAACGCGGTCTTCATATGCAGCCTCGTCCTCGTCCTCGTACACAGAGACCTCGCCTTTGAGAGATTTGCCTGTTGCTTTCCCCTTGCCCTTTCCAGTGGTAGCTGGCGGCTTGCGGACAGCCTCCTCAGCCGTGTCGATCAACTCACCCTCGAGCTGATCGGCAGCAGCATCGTCATCTCCATCCATCTTGGTAGTCTCTCCACCTCTCGGCGAGCTCTTGCGCTTCTTTGGCGGAGCTGTCTCTGTCTTGGGAACCGCATCTTTAACCTTCTTTGCAGGACGGCCGCGCTTCTTGGGAGGGGGTGCTTCTTCTTCATCGCTTTCGTCTGCACCTTCAGCGTTCTCTCCTTCAGTAGCAGCAGCGATAGCGGCTTTTGAGGGACGACCACGCTTCTTAGGAGGGGGTGCTTCTTCTTCATCGCTTTCGTCTGCACCTTCAGCATTCTCTCCTTCAGTAGCAGCAGCGATGGCGGCTTTTGAGGGACGGCCACGCTTCTTAGTTGCTGCGACTTTCGTAGGAGCCTTAGCAGCAGCTTTCTTAGGCGGGCGGCCACGCCGCTTTGGAACCGCAGCTGGCTCATCCACAACATCTTCCTCCCCACCATCTTCATCCTCCCCACCATCTTCATCCTCCTCATCGTCCACTTCCTCCACCTCAACTGCGACTTTTGTGGGAGCCTTAGCAGCAGCTTTCTTAGGTGGGCGGCCACGCCGCTTTGCAGCCGCAGCTGGCTCATCCGGTACATTTTCCTCCCCGCCATCTTCATCCTCCTCAGCGACATCATCATCCGATTCCTCCACCTCAACTGCGACTTTCTTGGCAGGACGACCTGGTTTGCGCTTCTTCGGCGGGTCGTCGACTTTCACCTTCTCCGCAACCTGCTTCGCGGGACGTCCACGCTTCTTCGGTGGTGGCTCATCTTCGTCCACCTCCTCTTCAGCTTTCTTAGCAGGAGCGCCGCGCTTCTTCGACGGGGTAGCAGCTGTGCAATGTCAATGGCTTATGCTTCGATTGAATGGAAATTGCCAAGTACTTACTTGCAGTCTTCTTAAGCTCAGTCGCCGATGTTAAGACCGCACTCTCTCTACGCGGTCGCGAGAGAGCGGCAGTGGTCTCGTACTCCTTTCCGCGACTGTTCGTAACGGTATCGGGAACAGAGGTGCGAGTTGCGCGGGGCGTGGTCGCGGGCGCTTTTGCCTTCGCAGGGGCGCCTTTCTTTTTGGGTGGCATGACTGCGATGCCGACGAAGGTATGTGGAATGCGATTGGTAGTGTGGAAAGAAAGTGTGCAAAAGTGCTGTTGTTGTTGTTGTGAAGAAACRAAACAGGATGCAGGATGTAAGATGTAAGTGTGGAGCTTTGGRGCTTCGAGATATATGGAAGTTGGAGATACGCGACTCGCGTTCGACGACGGCGACGACGTCAGGCACCACCACTCATAGCTTCACCTCACTTACACATTCGTGCATTGGAATAACTAATCGAGGGTACATGTAGAGGACATGTGCTTTTGTAAGCAAAGCAACATGTGAGCTGCAATTTTGTGCCATTTCAAGCCACATCTTATGCCATTACCTGTCAGATTGCTCGTCTTCTACTCACCTGTGTAAGACCCGTGCTATTCAACTTCTCAGTGTCCTCTTGACCACACGACGAGAACAACACAACATGACGAGTACATGTATTGACAATGTAAAGCATGGACGTAATTTATCGTGATAGAATCATTCGATTCCGCTATTCGTATCGCGTCTCAATTATTTACTTTTTGCCTGGCATTGCAAACCCAAGTAAGGTAGCAATTAGTACCCACCTGGGCTGCCCGACATCTCAAGGGTGGCCTTGAGAGGGAGATTGCGGCTACTGTTACCAACATACACAGTCTTCGGGTAAGACGTGATCTCCCAGTTTTGAGTCATGACATTCCAGTTGGAAAGATCACGACGAGTGAGGTCGGCGCTGAAAATGGTGCTCTCGCCCGGCTGGATCGACAGACGATCGAAGTTCCTCAGCACGATCTTTGCATCGTTGGGTCCACCGAGGCTGACATAGACCTGTGGGACTTCCTCGCCGACAACCTTGCCAGTGTTGGTGATGTTGGCGTGAACTGTGAAGAGCACGTCGTAGAGAGCCTGGTTACCTCCTGGGGCAACATTGCTGCCCGCGGGGTTGTATGGCTGTGGARAGCTGTCACTGGAGCCCTCAGGCGCAGTGTATTCCAATCCATATCTTGGCTCGCCGCTCGATGCCTTCAAGTCGGTGCTGTTGAGGTATGGGTAGATGTAAGAGTAGACACGGGAAAAGTTTGCCGGGACCACATATTCGGAGGTGTTGTTGCTGATGGTGCCGTAGGTAGGGGCCGCGGGTGTGTTGCCGGTAGTTGGAGTGTACTCCGCAACAGAGTGAGACTCCACCTCGAGGTTGGAGAACTCGAACGTGGTGTAACTCAGGCCGAAACCGAACTCATACACAGGTGTAATGTTCTTCTTGTCAAAAGCACGGTAGTCGATGAAGATGCCCTCACTGAAGTCTTCCTGAGGCGCCTCCGCGCCGTTGTTAGGCTCGTAGACGATGTCAACACCCCACTCGGTGCGGTTGCTGCCCCAAGTGAAAGGTGTCTTGCCTCCTGGGTTGGCCTTTCCGTAGAGAATGTCGGTAATGGCGTTTCCGGACTCTTGACCCGGGATGCCTAAGCAGAAGTAATGTAAGCATGTGTCTCAAACATCCGGGATATTGGAAAGTAAGACGAAGGCTTCGAGACATGCTCTTTGCCTTCCTTACTTCAGTTTGACATACCTGCCCAGATGATGGCGGTCACGTTGGGATTCTTGTACCACTCGTTGACGAGAATAGGACCAATAGAGTGAATGACCACGACAGTGTTGTTGCACTGGCTGGTGACATTCTGGATCAAGCGGTCACCGTTGTTCCACAGAGTGAGGTTGTTGCGGTCACCCTCGTTGCCGTCCACGGTGATGTAGCCCTCACCACCATCAGCGTTGACAAATACGACGGAAACGCCGTTGACGTCTGGGACGCGGCGAGCCAGAGCAGCAATCTGACTGTATGCATAGTCATCGGTGACAGACTCGATGAATTTGCCGTTGCTTCGGACCTCAGCCTTGATTGCCTCAAGCGGAGTGACCAGGTATGGGAATTGGGCGGTTCCAGAACCCCAGCCCATTGCGAGAGTGCCGTTGTTGCACCCACGGTCAGCGCAGCCATTGGGTCCATATGAGTTCTCCGCAGCATCTGAGCCGAACACAGCAGTGAGCTTCTCCTGACCAGTCAGCGGCAGAGCACCAGTGTTCTTGAGGAGAACAGTGCCCTTGACGGCAGTCTCTCGGATGTGCTCTGCGTGTCCAGTTTGGACATCGACGTGCTCGTTGACCAGAGTGTAGTCCTTGCGGGCGAAGTAGTTCTTGAATCCAAAGCTGCAGCATTGTTAGCAATCTTTCCAAAGACACAGATCGGTACCCAACAGCGAGTAAAGCGTAGAAGATAACATCACGCCAAGCTAGAGGGCTGCTTCGAATATTGCTTACGTGTCTTGAGTCCACGAAGAAAAGGTTGGTGCATTTTCGACCTGGTTGGAGTCGCGGCCGACGTAGTACCAGGCAGCAACGACACGTACAGCCATATCGTCGAGACGCCATTGTGGTACGGTTCCGTTGAGGACGGCGATGGTCAGGTTTGCTCCCCAGTAGCTGTATCGGCTGTTGAAGGTCGTGTCACCGGGCATGGTCATGTCTGTTACCCGTCAGTCGTGCATCTCGACCAGAATTATGCTTCACTCACCAAGTCCTGCCAATGCCGAGCTGACTCCAGAGTGCTGTGCCTGCCAATCGCTGAGTACGAATCCCTGGAATCCGAGTTCAGATTTCAGGAGACCGTTCAGAGCAGCGCTGTTCTGGCAACCGTAGCTGTTGTTGATTTGCTGGTATGAGCACATGATCGATCCAGTGCCGGCACGAACAGCATCGGCAAAAGGCCAAAGGTACAGCTCGTGCATAGTCACATCGTCGAGATTGGAGGATAGAGCAGGCAGTACATCGCCCTCCTCCGTGACGGATGGTTGGCGGAAATGTTCCTGCTCCTTAAGGGGTGTTAGTCTCTTGGAAGAGATATGTACGTAGTGGTGATCAGACATACGTTCAAGATGTAGTGCTTAGTGCAAGCAATGACACCGGCACTCTGAATTCCCTTGACGGTCTCGTAAACAGCAACGCCGGACAATGCTGGGTCTAAGCAATATTAGTCTTCCGTATCAATAATGTAATATCGTTCTCTTTTACCTGGAGAGTAACCCTGGGAAATTGATCAGCACAACCACTCCGCGACGGAAACACCACCCTCATCACTCACCTCCCAGTTCCTTCCACCCTCGGGGTGTCTTCCAAGGGGTCCAACAACAGGTCCAAGCTGAACATCGATGCCCTTGAGCTTATGTTCCGTTCCCATGTCAATTCCCTGCTGCCTCATGATCTGACGATCCCATGTAGCAGCGACCGTCACACCGGCAGGAAAGGCGCTGGCGTAATCCGCGAACCGAATACCCAGAGGAGAATCCTGCAAGCAGAGTGCCTTGAAACCGAGTCTTGGGATGGAACCGACATTTCCAACACACTTCTCGCTCTGCCAGCCTACACCGGTGGTGACTGTTTACGTCGTTAGCGACGACTTTACATTTACACGTAGCTTCAAGGCTACGCCAGTTTGTCAAGGCATCAGCTTACGGTTGACCTTCTCGAGCAATGTCAATTGAGACACGAAGGTTCTGGCCTGCTCATWGGCGTCTGCCCAGTCACCGAGCCCTTCTCCCCATGGTGAAGGATAGACCGGTGGCGACGTTGCGGCCGTGGAAGAAGTCTGGTTCTGAACCTGCGCAAGAGCAAACGGCAGCGCCGCTGCAAGTGCCACGTGAAGATGAACCATACTGCTCTACCAGGACACCGTTCGAGTCCAGAGGTAGGTAGAAGTGATGGAGATGTGCAGAAGAGATGGTGTGCGAGGCTGACAGGGAAACCGCCGAAATGGCAATGCCTGTTGCTTGTACTTGTAATCTCGAGCTGGTACTCTGTCCACTTTAGCCAAACCTACATCGTCACTCGTGCCTGGATATATCTAACTCGATGAGGCATTGAGCGACGCGAAAACGTGTGTCACGCCCGCTAGCGCCATGCATCTGATCTAACAGTGCCCCACAATTGGATCAAGTGGAGTGAAATGGCGGGGCGACTCCCCCGAAATTCGACTCAATCGCCGACGAGTGTTCACCCGGCAGACGAACATGTCAAATGGTTCGGCCCAAGGTTGCGGCGAGTCGAACGATTTTCATTCTAAGACATGTGCACCAACGAGCTGTCATCGCTCCCACTCTTCTGCGCTGGGTGGCCTGAACGCAACACCGACCGTTGCACGTCCAAGCCCGTACCCGTCGTCGTGCACACGCAAGATCCAGGCCTGCAGCACTCTGCGTTCTCTCTCTCCACAACGCGGCAACCGGTCATACAACTCCACTTTCGAGCTCCTGCAGGCTGCAGCTTCGAAGCGGAGGTTGGCATTTCTTGGGGAATATTCCCTGCGCCCATGCAAGGCTATGTCAAATTTGCAGGCCGAATGCCTGCATTTCTGCCTTGGCTCAATCAATGCGCCGATGTTTGCCGGCCCGATCTTGCTAAAAGTCCTCTAGGTACAGCACTGTAAGCTGGGCTCTCGGCTCCGTAGTGGCATGGCTTGGTCTTTCGTGCCCAGAGACGGCCGCATCGCCCTCACTCTGTCATCTTTGTGCGAGTCTGATGTTGGGCATGGAACGGATGCAACAATTCCGCCTCCCGACCACCTCCCTACATTCTGCCGCCAAGTGAACATCGATCGCATCGGCTACTGTACTCCTACAAGCCCGCCACGCGAGCTTGCGAACTTCGAGCCAGGGGTTCTCGCATAGTAGACCGCATCGACGGCCCGACACTGCGGAGCCAAGCGTGCGTGACTTTTCTGCGGAGGCTCCACATTCGCTCGCGCGGGCCTTGTCACTTGTGGAGTACGAGCGGGGGTGACTGTTGACATTGGTTTATAATAATGATTGATCATTACGGTTGAATTGCCCCATCAGTCGCTAATCGGGGCCGTTCGTGGTGAACGTGGTGGCCATCGAGCATCAATTCGTCAGAGGCCCATCGACCTACACCGCCTCACAGAAGGATGACGGTTCCATTTCTCCGAGGTCATCCTCCGTACTGATGTTGTGCTACCTACCTTACGTAGGTAGCGAGCTCAATACCCTGCAAGGGAGGAGCGAACTCCGTCGACACTCCTATGAGGGTTTGCGCTACGTTAGTTTGCCTGTCAGGAACACTGTAATACAGCATTTGGACGCATCGGAGCAGAGTGCGACACCTGCAGTAGAGATCCACGTGTGTGCACGATTCCCAGCCAACGCAAACGAGACGGACATGGAAACAACATCGGTCTGTTCCCTGGTCATTCTCCTCCCGAAAGAGGCTGTGGTATTCGGCACGATCTAGATTTCAGACATTCACCTACTCTTTAGGCTTTCGAGCTAGTCTACGTACCTCGCGACGGGCATCTACTTCAAGAAGACCAGGAATACCCAATGCTTTCCAACGGACCTTCCCCTAGATGTGAATGACGCGGATGACTTTCAGCGTCTGCCAACAGCGTCAAACGCTGCTGGTTGTCCAACTTTCTCGTGGGTGTTCTGAAATTAGGTGACTGGCCGTAAGTGAACCAGCGTCTACGGCGTGGCTTCCCCAGTCCAACTGAAGCCGGGCTGAGCAGGAGAACGCATCAAGAAATCGCCACCAAGCTCTCGCGATCCAGTTGCTATCTCATGCCTCTTTTGCTCACTCCAATGGTCTCCCCTAGGCTGCCTTTCTGAAATATCCATACAGCCTCGAAAAGAAGCCCAGCGGTTGCGCATCTTCATCCATGCCATCCTCTCGTGCATATGTTCTGTCACCATTCACTCCACTCGTGTCGTCCAGTGCCTTCGTCGCAGGCGCTACACTCTCAGCCCCCCTCTTCCTAAACTTAGACTCGTCGCGCCAAGCCGCTAACTCGGCCATCAGACTCTGGACAGCAGCATTTCTCTCGTTCCGCGCAGCCTCCAAGTTCTTCTCCACAGGCGATCCCGTCGTCAGCTCTTTCCAGCGTGTCGCGAGTAGTATTAGAGCCATCATGCTGTAAACGGCGTCGTTGCTGGCATTGCTGTAAGGAAAGTCAATAATGTACAATGTCGTGGTGGCAGCTGGCTACTGACTGGCAACCTATGGYCGTGTTTTCGCGGAGGTATTTGGGATCCTGGTTGTTCATTCGTTAGCTCTAACGATTGAACCTTCGGACCCTTGAGACCCTCACGCACAGCACCAACGTCGGCCATCATGTTTCCCAACCTCAGACTACCAAACTCTGCTCCGTGAATGACTGCGTCTATTCCCAATTCGACGGTATCGAAGATTTTGTCCACATTGACAAGGCGACCGCCGATTGTACGAAGGTCGATCTGAAGAGCTGCGGGAGAACGTTAAAATCATCGTCGAAGATAACGTGTGTGTCTGTGGACCCATCATATTCTCACCTGGATCTTGCAGAATCGCGAACACATCGCTCATGACTGAATGTCCCACGATAGCTACGCGCCCTTCATGTTCCTGGTACAGCGACATCATGAAATTCTTCAACATCGCTCTGGTTGATGTGGTAGACAGTGTCTGTGTCTTTGCGAACATGGCAGCTTTGGGGGGTCGGCGGACACCTACGCGCTGTACATGTATGTGACCTTGGTTTGCCTTAGCTTACAAAACGCAGGAGATTTGAGGGAAGTTCCTCACAGTGTTCCATCTTCTGCTCCCAATTGCGGGCATATTGCCCAGGCTCGAGACCTACTACATCACCAACTCTAACAGGATGCGCATCAGTACAGATCACAACAGAGCAGACGAAAGCGCGTTGCGCGTACCGCAGAGTTGTGAGCCCAATTTCGCTGATGACTTTGCCCCAAGGGGTCATCCTAGATCTGGAAGGAGATGAGTGCTCGTAGACCGGGAGGAAGATGAAGATCGACCAACTCTGKGTCCACAGCTAGAAGGGTGTACAAAGGGAAAACATGCTGAGAGTCTCCCCCAAGACGCAGCATTGAATGCAAATCCTCCATGGTTCCATTGACGCCGGGAGGGTATCGGGCACGTTTTACACGTCTTACATAACCTTGCGACTAAATGGGAGAGGTGCAAGAGTCAGCGGCGATTCGGACATTGACACGAGATGCCCATTCTGAGACCTCAGCATTTCGCAGATGCGTAGAAGTCTCCTCGGTGGCTACTCCTTTCAGTCTATGAGTGAGAGGTTTTCTGCTCTTGACTGCACCTACTGATTGAGATCGTTTTCCTCTGTTCTTCCGCAATCTCACATCCCGTGGACTTCGCTTAGTCAGCGTAGGCCCTTGTGCGTATTGAAGCGAGCGCTGAGGATATCGTTGCTGTCCATGCCTCAAAGGTGTCTTGGTTTGAACACCTAACGAGCTTTCAGCGATGATGATGTGGTCATAAACATTTGACATCTCACCTGCGTTTACACTGTTCGTGTCGAGAGAGGAAGTCGGACCGGTAGGAGATCCGACCAAGGACGGGAACAGTGGCGCCTGCTGGAGATGGGAGGCATTTCTACGCTGTCTACGAGCTCYCCGTTCTCGGTTGGTTGCATATATCTGTTGATGAGCGAGAATTGGCTTGCTTGTAATCTCAGCTCCCAGAAATTTTGGGACGATGAGTGGCTTCGTCTTTGACCCACCAGCCTTCGACTTCGCCCTCAGCTTGAAGACGCGAGAAAATTTCATTACCCGATCGAATTGGTGGCCATTGTCAGATCTGGAAGAGTGGTGAAAACATGAAGTGCCTTGGAGAGACGATCGCGAAACGCGTGCAGTACGAGATATTCGTGGATTCCGAGATTTACGCACTGGAGTACCTAAGGTACCTTAGTAAGAACAAAGGGATGGGAGGGATGATGTCGTTGACGCGCTCTCCAATGCGAGTACATCATTCCGCCAACATGTCTCGTCCCACCTGCACTCTTCACATACAAGCCCACAATGCAACCGTGGGCTCTCGTGACTCCCGCCTCGCGAGGCATTGGCCTTGAGCTTGCTCGTCGATTGCTACAGACCACATCGGTGCCGATTGTAGCTACAGCGCGAAAAGACCTTGATCAGGCCAAAGAGAACATCCTCTCCGGACTCAAAGATGTCAGGGAGGAACGTCTGCATCTTATCAAGCTGGACTTTCTGGGTGAGCTATGTTGATGTTCTAATCAACTGTCTCGTGCAATGCTAACCTCAGCAGACGAACAGACAATAGCCGATGCTGCCCAGCAAGTGTCTAGCGTCCTTGAGAAAGATTCATATCTACACCTCTCCTTGAGCATCCCGGGCATTCTCTTCCCCGAGAAGTCACCCTCGCAAATCGAATATGACAACGCCCTCCTGACCTTTCGCACGAACACGCTGGGTCCGATGATGCTCCTCAAGCACTTCTCGGCTTTCCTGCCTCGCAAGGCTACAAAATTGGAAAAGTTGGATGGTCTCCCAGAGCATGCAGYATGGACAAACATGAGTGCTCGAGTGGGATCGATCACAGACAATGCTCTTGGCGGCTGGTATAGCTATAGATCGTCGAAAGCGGCGGTAAATCAGGTCACCAAAACTTTTGATAACTTCCTCAAGACGAACTCCGGGAACAATGCTATGAGCATCAGCATGCATCCTGGTACGGTCAAGACGGCCTTGAGCGAGGAGTTTTGGAATAGTGTGAAGAAAGATAAATTGTTCTCAACAGAGTACGCGGCCGAGAAGTTGCTCGAGGTTATCAACAGCCGGACATTGGACCATCGGGGCAAGTGTTGGGACTGGAAGGGTGATGAAGTGCCGCCTTGAGATTGCGTGTTGGTATGATGAGGCATGTTCGTGAGCGGCCACGTTAGCATTGTCCGTCGGAATGCGACGCTCCTAGTTTCGGAGCTTATACAATAGGACCATTGCATGGAGAGGATTGTCGCGAGTAATCGATAATCTCCTTGAACAATGTGCAAGGCGTTCTCTCGATGCAACGATCAACTGACAGGGCAGCGGAACTCTCCTCAGCAGCGGGATTGTTCAACAAGGAGTGGAAGGGTTGAAACCTCCATAAATCTTGGCTCTAGGAGTATATTTTTATTCTTCCTGGCTGCGGGGTGAATGATCGCCCGAGTACATCATGTCTCTAGATGACCATTCCTCCGACTACAAAACGCGAGTCTGACCGCCCTGCTCCTTCGAGTCAGTCGATGTCTGACTCGATGTTTCGGGGCTCGCATCTCTCGTCTTAGATCATACTTCGGTGGGCGTGATATGTGACTGAGCAGCTGCGGTTCTGTTGTCAATGCTGCTGTGCGGGTTCTGAGGCGTCTGGTGAAGAAAAAGAAGAGGAAGAAGATGATGATGAGATTGCAAGCACGGCGTGGAACTCGGCGAGATTATCATTGTTCAAAACCAACCAGCTTCTCCCAGATTTTAGCTCTTTGAATTACGTGCCCTGAGAAAGCACGTGCCGTGAACCTTGATCTTGGTCTAATCCCCCGGCGGGCTGCGGCGTTCGGATGTTTGACAGTTCGGGAGGAATCGACGTGGTGAGGTGAYGGGCTGAGATGAAGAGCAGAACCTAAGGCATTGCGACTGCAGAAGCCAGCAGAGCCAGCAGCGAAGTGGAAAACTGGGGGATACCAATCGATTCAGCACGCCGTGTCAATTGTTGGACGTTCTTGCGGCGCCAGCGGGGGTTTTTTGTTATCGAAAAGAAGATTATACTAGCGTCCGCCGTATCGTGCGTGTTCAACGCTTTCCCTTGAAACCCCCCACTTCGTCAGCTGGTGCTCAGCTCTACAAAAAAAGAAGCCGATCTCCACCGCCCTGCACCAAACAACAACATCACGGTCGACGCTCTTTTGGAAAGAACCACTCACTCACACCTCTCTCGCAGATTCTCTTCATCATGGGCGACTCTCTCGTACACCAGGAATATRGCCGCACGCGTATCCAATGGCTCGCGTCGCTCAACACAGAATACCACCCGCCGACTCAGTTCCGCCGCACGAGTATCATCTGCACTATCGGACCCAAGACCAACTCACCGGAGAAGATCAATATGCTGCGTCGCGCCGGTCTGAACGTCGTCCGCATGAACTTCAGCCACGGATCGTACGTAAACGCCCTGAAAGTGGAGAGTCTTGGGCTCGTCTACGACCCTCTCTACTGGAGATGRGAATTTCCGAAAACACGCTGACCTGTACGTTGCTTCTAGCTATGAGTACCACCAGTCTGTCATCGACAACGCACGCGAAGCCGAAAAGACACAGGAAGGTCGCCCCGTCGCCATTGCTCTTGACACCAAGGGCCCTGAGATTCGCACCGGAAACACTGTTGGCGATGAGGACATTCCAATTTCCGCAGGCACCGAGATCAACATCACAACCGACGACAAGTATGCCACCGCCAGCGACGCTCAAAACATGTATGTCGATTACAAGAACATCACCAAGGTGATTGAGAAGGGTCGCATCATCTACGTCGACGACGGTGTCCTCGCATTCGAGGTGCTCGACGTCGTCGACGACAAGACCATCCGCTGCAAGACCATCAACAACGGCAAGATCAGCAGCAAGAAGGGTGTCAACCTTCCCATGACCGATGTCGATCTTCCTGCTCTGTCCGAAAAGGACCAGGCTGATTTGCGATTCGGTGTGAAGAACGGCGTCGACATGGTCTTTGCTAGCTTCATCCGCCGCCGGGAGGACATTCTCGCCATCCGCAAGGTGTTGGGCGAGGACGGCAAGGACATTCAGATCATCGCCAAGATCGAGAATCAGCAGGGTGTCAACAACTTTGACGAGATCCTCAAGGAAACTGACGGTGTCATGGTTGCTCGTGGTGACTTGGGTATCGAAATCCCACCAGCTCAGGTCTTCATCGCCCAGAAGATGATGATCACCAAGTGCAACATTGCCGGGAAGCCCGTCATTTGCGCCACACAGATGTTGGAGAGCATGACCTACAACCCGCGCCCGACCCGCGCAGAGGTCAGCGATGTTGGCAACGCCGTTCTGGACGGTGCAGACTGTGTCATGCTTTCAGGCGAGACTGCCAAGGGCAACTACCCCAAGGAGTCTGTGAGCATGATGCACGAGACCTGCTTGCTGGCGGAGATAGCCATTCCGTACATCAACGCATTCGACGAGCTGAAGCAGCTTGCATCCCGACCAGTCGCAACCACCGAGAACTGCGCCATGGCCGCCGTCTCCGCTTCGCTCGAGCAGAACGCCGGCGCCATCCTTGTACTGACGACTTCGTAAGTTTGCACCGACAAACATGCCCACCTCATCGCTCACTGACATCAAAATTACAGGGGTAACACCGCACGTCTGATCTCCAAGTATCGCCCCGTCTGCCCCATTATCATGGTCACCCGCAACGCCAGCGCCTCGCGCTACTCCCACCTGTACCGCGGTGTCTACCCATTCCACTACGACCAGGAGAAGCCCGACTTCAAGACCACCCCATGGCAGGAGGATGTCGACAACCGCCTCAAGTGGGGTATCAACAACGCCATTCGCTTGGGAGTTCTCAAGCAGGGCGAGAGCGTCATATGTGTGCAGGGATGGCGTGGAGGTATGGGTCACACCAACACCATCCGTGTGGTACCCGCTCAAGACGATCTGGGTCTTGACCAGGACGCTTAAATGTGGTTTTCTGACCTGATGATGCGATTACGAATGGTCACATGCGTTTCATGTACAGCGTGGATGATGAGAGTATGTTGTACCGGCCTCGCCCTATGATCGGGCGATGACGGGCACGAAGCCTGCAAATTATGGGCTCAAAAACGTTGATAGATGGATGGTGTTTCTCGGGCGCGTTAGCGGGATGTGCATCAATGATACCAAGCGAAGTTTCTCTCTCCAATCGTTCAAATGTTTTCATCTCTTCCAAGCTAGTACATCCACAAGATGACTCCGTTGTAGTGGAGCAACGTCTGTGGTTGCAAAGGCACCCCCGGGTCTGATATTGATGAACGAGGACACAAATTCCCGCATCATTTCGTTCGCAAGTTCCAGTTCTCTTTGAGCTTTCAGCCTTTTAAAGTGATCCGTCAGTAAGCGAAAGGGGAGACTCGAGGTGAGGTGTTGTCACCTTTCTTCCTGCTTACGATAACCTTCCTGCCATGCTCTTTTTGATTGTCGACCGAATTCTCTAGGAGGCAAGGGGCCGCGAGGCGTGGTATGGGATGTGCGGGATGGATGTTCTCCTGGATGAGATGTGCCATTTGGTCTGGTGGAGCTTGGTTGTGAGGAGCGGGTTGGAGTCTCGTGGCGACCTACCACTGGTTGTTTCGAGAGATTCAGGCCAGGGAGTGTTGTGGAGAAGCTGGACCTGGCTGAAGCGGAAGTTTGTGCGTTGTTCCTGTGGGCCGACGAACTACTGCTAGCACGGGGTTCGCTTTGTTGCGCGCCAGGTGACATGGAATCGCGGTTAAAGGTGGATGATCCTGACCTCGCAGCGTCGTTCCTCCCGTCGGCCGGACTAGATACATCTGATGGTTCTCTTGAATATTGTTGCAGTCGGAGAGAGGGTTGTTCCTGAGGTTGCACACGCTGAAATGGTATCATGGATGGAGAATGATGCTGGCTTCGAACTGCATCACMATGTTCTGGTAGTGGTCCCGCGGGTCGATTGGGTAGCGGGTGACGCGGCGTTGCCTGCGGACGGGCCATCGCTCTTTGAGTAGGCTTGTGACGCTCCAAAGGTCTGGGCGGTTCGACGAACAAATCCCCATCGCCGAGGGAGCTGTCCGGAGGAAGATCTGGACGAGGTTGTGGAGGAGCTTGCGGCGAACTGGCGGGCCATTCCGATTCCGAGACCTCTTTATCGGCACCATCGCTGGACTCGGAGGATGATTCTGATGAGGATTCTTCCTGTTGGGGAACGCCGCCTTTGGTAGCACCTGACGAGCGCGACTCTCGGTTCGGGGTCGCTTGCTCACAGCCAGAAGCTGGAACTGAGTTTTGTGATGGAGATATGTCTTCATTCCACTTCGTGAGCAGCTCGATGGGAATATTTGGCTTTGGGAAGCGGCGACCTGGAAGAGAGGGGAGCCATGATGTCTCCTTGTCAAGTAGCGCTCGTTGGTTTGAGGGTATTTTGCGGCGTCCATATGGAACGCGGGATTTGGCCTGGGTGGAGCGCGTAACCTTGGGTTGGCTTGGTTTCTTGACAGCCACGGGACTGGGAGGCCGCGGGTAGCCATGTCGCTCAGGGCTGAGTCGCGAAATGCTTGGCCGCAGAGACCCGGTCTGCAAGACTTCGGAGCGCTGATTAGAGTGAGGAGCATCGGCTTGCGAGGCGCCAGATCGTGGAGCCTGAGACTGTCCACGGGTTTGATGCGAAGCTACTGGTCGCGGAGGACTGACATCGAGTTCCATTGATTCCGGCGAGCATGCCACTGATTGCGATTCATTGTCGGCCCTCTCGGCGAATACTCCCTTTCCACGAATGTCCCCATTCTGACCAGAAGGCTTGACTGGCGTCTCTGCCACTATTTCAGGCCGGGGTTGATCCTTACGCATCAGGCTAAGGAGGTCGACTTCCTTTCTCCGCTGAGCTTTGACAGGGCCTTCAAGATTCACACCAGTCTGGAATTCGAAACCATCCCCGTCGAGAGTGTGCTGAGGTTTTCGCCTCTTGCGAGCTGAATCCCCGTCTGCATTGTCTTGTGGCGGCTGAGACACTGGCAACTGTGGGGGCGAACTTTGAGGAATTGCGACCGACGCAGAGTCATCTTGCAACTCCTGTGACAACAAGTCTTCTTCAATCTCTTCGGCTTCGGCCTCTGCCCTGGACAAGAGTAATGAGGTTACGTTCTCCGTGATCAAGGGCCGGATGTTGCTGTCCTGTTCAACAGGCGTCGGTTGACCCAGGTTTCTACGCCTGTGGTAGAGATATTCGATATCTTCAATGGTCAATTGTATCCACTCGGTCTCGGATCCAACCGCAGTAAAGACAACCACAAATCGCTTGAGACGAAAGACATCATTCGTCGTATCCTTCCCAAGTTTCTCATCCAATTCAGCTTCCAATATGTCGACTGCACTGCCCAACAATCGGGCTTTCAATTGCGTGTGGCCATCAGAAACCACTACCTTGACCCCCGTAGCATCGGGTGAGCTGAGAACTTCGATCAGTTGCACTTCACTCTTGCCAGGGGCAGGTTGCGAAATGAAACTCCTGAAATTGCTGCCATCATGTTTGTATGGGAAGTTCTCTAGATGGTCATTTTCAACCTTTTGAATGTTGTCAGATGTGCGATCAGAGGCGAATAAGCTTGGCCCTCTTCAGTACATACCTTGATGCCGTTCTTCAAATTATCCTGCCACGCAAGAACTTGATTGATTTCTTCTTGAATAAAGTCTGCTAGCCACGGGCTAAGTGACTGCGCGGACATGACATTAGCCGGAATGTCGTGGATAGCAGCACATGCCCGTACATCAGGTGTGATATATGGATTGTTGTGGTTGTGAAAGACTGGGAGGAAGAAGTCGCTTCACACACGTCGTCGGCGAAGTGGTGGACGCGACTGCCGAGAAAGTGCCATCACAAGCTCACACCACTCAGCTACCTGTACCTACCTTACCTTAGTAGACAGCATCGCAGCAGAGATTTGATGAACAAAACATTAGTAGAGATGAATGAGTAGGTTGGACGAAAGAGTTGGAMCCCCACCGACATGCCATTCTCCTCTCTCCCACTGCATAGCCGTCCGATATGGCTCCCCACGAAAGCGGATCTCCGGCCTCGACCAACTTCCTGCCGTTCTTGAGCGGCAGATCTCGTAGAGGCTCGCTGGCTTCAATCTCCTCGCGCGCAGGAACAGTAGACAAGGATGTGCGATCACAGGCCTTGGATGATATACACACCTCCGCCTCCCGCTCCGAGACGCTGACCTCATTCCACGATTTCGATGGCGAGGGAGGGCGCAGCGGCGCAAAAGAGATTGTTAGCAATGGCGTCAGTGGCCTCTACAATCGCCTTCGACAGTCCGTGGGCGGCGCGACATCTATAAGAGAGATCAAGAGGCGTCCATTGAGCCAAGCCTCGAGGAACTCCATCGACATCGACTCGATCCAACCATCGTCGCCGGCAGCATCACGTTCCAGTGCAGGATTGGCTGTCAAACGTCCTGCTGGAGACTCTGCTTCGGCCCTTAGCGTACCAGTATCACCAGCCATACGCAGCATTGCAAGTGAATCGATTGAAAGCAGTAAAGGAACACCAAAGCTACATACCGCGGATGGAAGGCCAATACCTTCATTCGGAGCTGACGAATTGCATGAGCGACCAGTGGAGGTGCTGAAGCCGAAGCCAGCCGTACGAGCGCCGCAAGATGCGCCTTCGCGTGAAATGGTGGACAAGGCCCGGAGCGCTTTCAGGGACAATGATCGCAGTGAAAGTGCTACGGAAGCTCTGGCCCGGGTTCTGTCTCATCACGAAGCCTCAGGGAACGACCAGCAGAAACCTGTCCGAGTGGACCGTGTGCACGAGGACCTAGAGTCTGCCATCGACGACTCTGATTATGCGGACGAGCCCCACAACCTCATCCCCGGGCCGCCAGCACTGTCGAGTAATGAGGGTGGCCACGACCGCGTGCTGCCGCCCAAGAGCAAGAGATTGCCTCGTGAAGACTTGCAAAGGCCACCAATGGTCAAGATTGGTCCCTCACATCTCCCAAACTTCCAGCCTTCCAGATCTTCGTCTACCACAGATGGCGGAGATTTCGGATCTGCAACAAGCTCTCAGCGATTTGCTCTGAAAAGATCCGCGCTGGACCCGTCGCCGAACTTGAATTCTGGCCTTCAGCGAAGAAGGACCGCTCTCATGCCGCCTCCTAAGACACAGAACCTATCCTCGACACTTAGAAGACGAGTGCTCAGTAAAGAATTCTGGATGAAGGATGATAACGCGAAAGTATGCTTCGCTTGCGGTCAATCGTTTTCTGCCTTTCGGCGTAAGCATCACTGTAGAACTTGTGGACAGATCTTTGATTCCAAGTGCACAACACTGGTCGCAGGCAAGCCATTTGCTCAGCCTGGGACCGTCCGTCTGTGTAACCCATGCGAAGCGATCATATTTGGCAGCGACGATGACTCGAGTGTCTTCTCTGAAGACGGAGAAGAGTAYATTCGCAGCCCCATAACCCAAGCAATCTCCGAGGGAGACATTCCCAAGACACCCAATACTGACGGTGCTTCCTTCAGCAGAACAGATGCAGAAGTCACCACGCCCTATATAGGCATACCAGTTTCCAGGCGCAATCGCGAAGCGAAGCGTCGCTCTGCGGTCTTGGAATTCGACGGTCATCCTACACTGGCTAGGCCAAGTTCCTCCCACTCTCTGGTATCGTTGGCCCGTCGTCCGAGGTCATCTAGTCATCGACGCCGTCATTCTCGTCATCAGCTGGCTCGCGGATTGCGATCGAGCGTTGATGAGCGTGGACCATTTCATCAGGAATGGGTCGGCGATCCTGAGAAGAAGCAGATGCTACCTACCTTCCACAACRACAACATCATCGACCCAGATCTGGCTGCTTTTCTCTCGGACGACGGCTCCGATGAGGAGGAATACCCAAGTATCATGGGTGCAGTAAGCGATGGCCGTTCGGCCTCCCTGAATGAGCGTGAAAGGATTGGATTTGGAGGGATGCTGCCTACAAGAAAAAGCAGATCAAGAGCTGGCGACAGAGGCAACGCTCCGTCCACCGCGCGCGGTGTCAAGGACTTTGCTGCGCCTGTACATGGCTCCAAACCTATGCCGAAGCTGTCTCGAGCTCGTAATACTAGCAATGCCTCTGCACACGGCAACAAATCATCGCCGAGGCTTGGCTACAACAACGTTCTCATGACAACTGTTGAAGCAGATACTACGGAGTTAATATCCGGCGTACAGCCAATGGAACCCTCACGCGCAAGGGTGGTCTGCAGCACCGCGCTGCATGCGTTACATGATCGAGGTAGAGATGACACCGAGCTGTACCCTGCCAGTTATCAGCATGTCAAAAAGTTATTGGAGCAATTACTCCATGATGCGAACATTGCCACCCCTTCGATATGGCAACGGGCTCTTATGCCCGTGCTTCTTCAATGTACTGAGGACGTGGAACCGGATGTTCAGCGAGGCGACGACATGGACATCCGGCACTACATTAAGCTGAAGAAAGTGCCAGGTGGCAAGCCTGGCGACACCAGTTATGTCTCGGGCGTTGTATTCAGCAAAAACGTTGCGCTCAAGAGCATGCCTCGATCCATCAACCATCCTCGRATTGCCATTGTGACGTTTGCGATCGAATATGCCCGACACGAAGCTCATTTTATGAGCCTGGATCCTGTGATCGCCCAAGAACAAGAGTACCTTGAGAATCTTGTCAACCGGATTGCCGCCCTTCGGCCACACGTATTACTTGTGCAGAAACATGTTTCGGGTCTGGCTATTAAAATGCTCGAGAAAGCAGGTATAACAGTGGCCTACAATATCAAAGAGTCCGTCTTGGCTGCAGTGGCTCGCGTGACTCGAACTGTCATGATCAAGTCTGTCGACAAGCTTGGCATCGATCCGCTGCATCTCGGCCATTGCGAAAGTTTCGAGGTCAAGACATACGTCTCCGAAGGTCTGCGCAAGACGTACATTTACCTGTCGGGATGCGAGCCGGAGCTTGGATGCACAATTGTGCTGCGTGGATCTGATACGAAGACCTTGCGCTCCATCAAAAGAATCGCAGAATTCATGTGCTACGTTGCCTACAACCTCAAGCTAGAGAATTCACTCATGCGCGATGAATTTGTCTCTATGCCGCACAGGGCACCAAGTCAGATTGAATTGCTCGATGAAGATTCGCCCTCCGGCTTGCGTGGTGGAAAATTGCCTGCAATGTGTGGAGGCCGAAGCTCACGATATCCCTTCAAGTACGAGCAGCTAGAACGGGAGGCCCGCCAGCGAATCCTCTCTGCGTCTCCATTTGTCGTCTTCATGGTGCCGCATCTGTTGACCCAGCTTCGCGATCAGGAGCGCGATCTCGCCAAGTTGACCATGCTGAGKGACCAATACGCGGCTGCCGATGAGGACGGCGACGATGTCCACGATGACAACACCATCATGCAGCATTTCGAGCTCGTGAGACCGGAGATGGTCAACGTGCCTGCTTCGAAAGACCAACCCAAGGCGGTCCGTGAATATCTCCATGCCGTTCATGACGCTCAACTGGAGAAGGTCACCTTCACCTTCCAGAATCTCGAACGACAATGGGAGTCCTTTGTCTCGGGAGAGGCGAACCCGTTCGATCCCTTTTCGCATCAGCGAATAGTGGTGCTATGCTCCGTGGTATCAAGTATCAACTCCGCTCCTTGCACCGCTCCAGAGCTCCTTACTCTTGGCTTCTACGCTGGTTGGAATCGCGTTGAGACCGAGCACGATGAAGATATGACTTTAGGCCAGTACATCGAAGACCTCTGTTTCAGTGCAAATAATGTGTGCAAGGATTGCGATAACAAGATGTGCGATCACTTCCGCCAGTACGTACACGGCCACGGGCAACTCACCGCATCTATTCAGCGCCAACCCTCGAAGATGCGTGGATACGTTGACACAATTCTCATGTGGTCGACCTGTCGGGCTTGCAGGCAGGAAACAACGGTTACGGAAATGTCAGAGCATACATGGAAGTACTCCTTTGCCAAGTATTTGGAGCTCAGTTTCTGGAGTAGCCCATTACACCCGCGGGCAGGAATTTGCAAGCACGATATCCACAAGCAGTTCCTCAAGTGTTTTGGCTTCCAGGACATGGTAGTCCGATTTCAATATGATCCGATTGACATATACGACGTCGTGGTACCCCGGGGAAGGGTGACATGGAAGGTGGAGGCGGACCTCGTTGTCAAGAACGATCAGTACATACAGCTTGAGCAGCGCCTGAAAGCGTTCACAGATTCGATCAAGAAGCGATTGGACTCCATCAACATCGACACGTTGGACGAGAAGAAGAATGCCGCCGCTTTGGATGTCCTAGAGCACCTCAGAGAGCAAGCAAACGCTGATCACCATCAACTCTTGATGAAATTGCGGGCGAAATACGCCAAGTCTCGCTACTACGAGCTACTGCCTCTCAATCGCGCTCTCCGGTTCATGGACGAAAAAGCCCTGGAATGGGATGAAGCCTTCAACAATTTCGAGCAGAATTACTTTCCCTCAGAGACTGATATTCGCAAGCTTGCCAGCATCCAATTGAAAAACATGTTTGAGCAGTCACAGCCAGCTCCAAGTAGTGTTGCCAGCGGCGACAGTGACACCGAAGACGGTACCGAGATGACCGAAAAGAGGAAGCCGGGTCGGCCGCGGATGACACAGGACGAGGCTTTTATAGACAAGGCCGATGATGTCTTGCTCTCGGTCGTGGAAGAGCACAAAGCATCGACAGATGAGGGCGGCGCATTGAAAAACGTCACAAGCCACGATTCCGAAGCCACGACGACTAGTCCGCTTACAAGGACCCATACCCCTCGCAAAGATCTTGAGGACGCCGTCGAACGTGACGATGTTAAACATCTCGATCTCGCGGTGCCCTCTCGATCTCCAGATGTACTCATTGGCGAATCTGCAGGTTTTCACGACGGATCTCCTGTAGCGGGTCGCTTCCCGTCTAGCGAAGATCGGAACGAAGAGCCCTTTGCCATTCAGCCCAAGCCGTTGAGTTCAGGATTGTTAGAGCGGATTGAACAGATTCGAAACAACCGTGCTGCCGGGATCGAGCCTGAGCCGCCAGAGTCAAAGATCCCAAGGCTGGTAGACCGCAAAAAGGGGGAAGCAAACCCCGCAACTTTGCCAGCAATGCCAACACTTCCGCCTCCTCTTCTACGTGCGAAATCACAGCCAGGTCACATACCGCGTCTCGGAGACGTGGATCATAGCATAGATGCCGTGGCAAGCGCTCAGATCGAYGGTGATCCTACCGAAAGACGAATGACCGAACGGTTGGGCGTTGGCCGTCTTGCATCGAAAGTCGGCAAAGTTGCCCCGTCGCTAATTCCGAGATCTGTACCCGTCAAGCCAGAAGACAAGGTCAATAGCGTTTCTTCACTGGCTAATCACTTTGAGCAAATGTCTCGCGAGTTCGAGAAGGAGCGTATGAAAGAGCGCCGACAGCGAGCTTTGAGAAGTCGCCAGGCACGGGCGAACCCTCTCGCAAGCAGTAGACCTGTAGTGGAAGTCTATGAAAATGCTACAGATGCTGTTGGCGAGAAGTCATTGAAGCAGGCCGCCGGCGAAAGTGACAACCAAAAGGACAGAGCTGCTCGTCGTACAATGGACGATGAAGTTGCCAGATCACAGCCCGAGGATGTTCCACTGGCTGAAGGCGACATCCATCCGGTCGAGACTGCCAAGGAGGACAAGGGAGAAGATATTGTCGAGAATGACGCCGAAGGAGAGGTGGCTGATCTCGAGCCGAGCAGCTCCAGGCGCAGTACTAGAGCTGCTTCAGATCCAGCTTTGGACCTTGGCGGATCACTCACATCGTCGATACCGTCTAGCCATGACATCTCAGAATTAGGCCCTGATCTGGCTATTCCCGAGCATCGCAAGAACGTCTGGTTCAAGTATCTCGCCGAATTCTGGTCGAAACGATCCGCATCTGGTTGGGCCAATCTTGAGTATCCACTCCGCAATGACGAGCATGTATTCGCAGATTCCGATATCATTGTGCGAGAGGATGAGCCCTCGTCTGTCATTGCGCTGTCGCTGGCTTGCGCGGACTATCGTAAGAAAGCTGAGAAATTCCGAGACCATCCCAACAGAGCTCCTCTGGGCAAGCATGGACACTCACACACTACCTCGCAGGCCAGCTTCGGGAACGCTCCGTTGAAGACCGAGGAGCAGATGTGGGACATCGAAGCATCCCTGCTTAGTGATACGGGGACACACATGAAATACTCTTTCACTCACAACAGCGTCAGAGCTTCCTGCAAGATCTTCTACGCCGAGTCGTTTGACGCGCTGCGGCGGCGTTGCAATGTTTCCGACCGCTTCATTGAGTCCATGTCACGCTGTCTCAAMTTCGACTCGAAAGGTGGCAAGACCAAATCACTCTTCTTACGCACGCTCGACACGCGCTTCATCATCAAAAGTTTACAGGAGGTGGAACTCAAAGCTTTCAGCAAATTCGCACCGGACTACTTCAACTTCATGAGCCATACGCTTTTCCACGGCGTGCCCAGCGTCATCGCGAAGATGTTTGGCCTATTCCAGGTCAACATCCGCAATCCCAACACTGGCGTCGATTTCTCTTACTACCTGCTGGTAATGGAGAATCTCTTCTACGAACGCTCGCCCAACCGACGCTTCGATCTCAAAGGCAGTATGCGCAACCGCAAAATCGAAAGCACCGGCCAAGCAGACGAAGTGCTCCTCGACGAAAACCTCGTTGAAACAATCTTCGAATCGCCCCTCTTCGTTCGAGAAACTTCCAGAAAACTCCTCCAAGCTAGCATCTTCAACGACACTCTCTGGCTCTGCAAACAGAACGTCATGGACTATTCCCTCATGGCGGGTTTCGACGACGCTTCCAAAGAAATGGTCGTGGGGATTATTGATTGCATTCGAACGTATACTTGGGACAAGAAGTTGGAGAGCTGGATCAAAGATCGGGGCAAGAATAAACCCACGATTACGAGTCCGAAGGATTACAGAAATCGGTTTAGGGTTAGTATGATGAATTATGTGTTGCAGGCTCCGAATTGTTGGCATCAGTTCCAGGCGCAGATGCCCGGTCCTAGGACGTTGAAGGAGGGGAAGGATGAGACTACTAGGGGGGAAACGGAGGATACAGAGGCGGAGAATTGAGGGACGAGGCATAGGGTTGGATGATGAATGGATTGAATGATTGATGACTTTCGTTTTACTTGATGAAGTTTTGGGGTTGCATGAAAGGGCATAGCATAACAGCATTCTCGCGGTTCACGATTCAAGTTGATTCGAGATGGCGTATAAATGGTATATCTCATTGTACATTGTGTTTCTCTTACGAACATGTGCACATTATGCTAGTAGGTACTGGACTTCCACTCCATCCCTTGCTCATCGTCGCTTGAACGCTAACGGGTCTTCATCTTCGTCACTGTCATCGATTCTCACCACAGCCGCCCTCGACGCTGCGGGTTGTGCTGCAGTCTGCCTTGCCGGAGTCTGCCGGACCTTTTTGGTTGCCGGCTCTCCTGATGCCTGTGACGCAGCAGGTCGCTTCGCAGCAGCACTGGTGCCCAAAATTTTGCTCGGCTGCGTCCTCCCCAATGTTGACTGGCTGGTAGCCGCCTCCTCGAACAACTCGTCCGCGAGAGCCGCCTCAGCATCATCTTCGCGACTCTGCTGTAAACGCCGCCGGAAACTGACTTGGTCATCGTCACTATCCCCAGCTGCTGCTGCGCTGGTACGAGTACGCTGAGATTGCGACTGCGATTGAGTCTGGCTTTTCTTTTTCTTCTTGCTTCCGTCACGGACAGGCTCAAGCCAATACTCGTCCCCAAGACCATGTCCACGTGCAGGGATCTCCTCGAGAGGAATGATGACTCTCTGAGACTCCACTTCCGCGATCGCTCCTACGTTGCCCTCTCTACCTCTCTTTGGTCTGAACTTTTTGAAGTTGGGACGACCGTTCCATGCGGGGTTCCATCTATCACCACGGCCTTCGCCTGTTGCAGTCGTGGCTTCTCGCGGTGGTCTTACTGGTAAATCAAAGACCTCCACATTATGGTCGATCCTGATCGTGTCAACATCAACATCTCTCATCTCGCGCATCGATTCTTCATCCATGCGGCGCTCCTCGTCTTCCTTTTCGCGCTGAGCTCGCATCTGGGCCTGGAGATCTTTCTCCTGTTTCACGACCTGTTTTCCCTGGCCTTTGCGTTTGACACCCTCAGCTGCAGCATTCTCCGCCTCGGATGCCTTGACTTTGGGCTTTGTATCTGCGAGAGATACTTCGCCATCTTTCAGCGCCTGTGTCTTGCGTCGCTTGTAAGTGGCAGCGCCAGGCATCAGACGATCCATCATTTGCTCCCGGGTCTCCTCTGGCTCGTCAATCGCAGTAGCAGCGCGTTTTCTTGCGTTTTGCTGCGTATGGCTCCCCCGTTGCGACGTCTCCTCGTAATTCATTCGTGAAGACTCGTCAGGATCTCTGTTCTGGGTGCTGGGTGCCTCGCTGGGCGCGCGTATGGACGGCTCGGGAGAATTCGAGGCTGCTCGCACGACGAGACTTGAATCGAATTCTTCCTTCAATTGCTTCTCTCTGATGGCCTGGCGAGCTTTGAATCTTTGCATCGCCGTCATTCCACCAGTTGTCGGCGTTGAAGTTTCTCGTTGTGCTTGCTCTGCTGCGGCCCTGTGCTGCGTTTGAGCTGATGTGGTATCCTCTTGCGTCCRAGGAGCATCTCGCGCGGCGTTTGTCGTTCTTGTATCATCGTTGGATTCGCCTTCCGCTGCCGCGGTGCGGCTTTCGATCTGAGTCGGCGCAACTGTCTGGGTGCTGAGACGAAGCGGCCTGCACAAGACGCTGGCGTTGTTCTCAAGGATCACATCGAGCAATTCGTTCTGCTCGACAGAGCGCTGATTCAATGCAGTATCGATGGCCGCCATGAAATCGTTATCACGACTCGCATCTTTGGCTTCTGCGCGAACGACGACAATCCCGCCGGTGCCTTCGTGATGGCCAAGAGAGAAATTGGAGTTGTCCTTCTCGCCCGCGACATTCTGCACATATTCAACAACCTGGTCTTTTGTCGTCACTCCTTTCTCGAATGTGTAGGCAAGTGCCTTGCCACCTCCAGCCTGGATGACTGGCGACAGGCTATCACGCTGCTTCACAGAGAACAGTAGAAAGGTGAAGTGTTTGAAAACGTCGCATCGTGCCGGATCGGGCTTCAGCCACTCTGCAGGACGCTTGATGGGCTCACCGGCAGTCGGTATGAGGTAGTCTTCTTCCTTGGGCCAGTTGGCATCGAAGTCTTGCTCCAAAGGGCTTACGCGTTGCTCTCGGCCGCCATCCACACCGTCTGGCGTACACGCAGCAGCTAAAGCGTCGATGAATTCGGGGGCGACCAACCATCTCGCCTGCACCAATCCAAGTAGACCTGCTGCCGTATTGCGTACTTTGGCTACAACGTGAGTGGTGAGTGCAGCATACTCCGCAATCAGCTTGATGCCTGTAGATTGCAGCTTCTCGCGCTCGGCCATCATCGGTGTAGCTTTGCTACCTTTGAAGGAAAGTACTACCGAGTGCCACTCAAGCGTGAACGTCTTATCCCARGAGCCCAACTGGATGGTATGGCGATCGCCGTTCAAGATTTTGGATTCCCCTTTGAGCTTACTGCTGCCGTCAATCGAAGTTCCCGTCTTGGAAGCATCGGTCGCGGTGATAGCATGCCGGACAGATGCATCTCCGCAGTCATCGGACGATACATCGGCAACGACCAGGACGAGATGTTTGCGCGATACTGATTTATGGTCCACGAACTGGTACCGTTCGGGCCCTGCTGCCTTCGAGCTTGTACGGCCGAGGATATGCTGGCTTCCTGGTCGCATCCATAGTCGTTTCCCGCCGAGTGCCCCGCTGTCGCTGGAGAGCAACCACATGATGTGGTGTTGTCGATGGAGTGAAGTTCGGACAATTTGGAGATCGACATTCGATTAGGCAGACGCGGGGCTAACGCGAAGTCACGTGTGGAGGAAAGTGGTTGCTAGTAATGACAAGTACCTACTGTCACGAAACATTACTTTATTGAACATGGTGATCTGAGCAAATGATTGAATACAATTGAAGCGAGTCATGTTCCATTTCCTTTGACCAAGGACTCCACTCAGACTGCTTGAGAATACTACCTACGCCGACGCGAGCTGCGCGGACGAGTATGCATAACTACCTCATCATCGTCCTCGTCCTCATCATCACCATCAATCGAGCTGGTCTCGTCCAAAGCCCGATCGTCGCCGCTTCGCTCACTCCGTGGATCAAAGTCTTCGTCGTCATCGTCGTTGGGTAGAACGGGCGCTCGATCATCTTCATCGGCTACGTTATAGCTCGATAGACGTTGGCCAGCGTCGAGGTCCATGTCATCGAAAGGGTTCCTGGCCTGCTCATGGTCTGCAGATCTATCACTTCGTGACCTATTAGCTTGCACACCGCTGCGTTTAGGCGGCGGCTGGAGCGCAGTCGACTTCCGAGCGACGAGACTTCGTTCACGGCTACTGTGACCACCAGGGCCAGAACCAGAACTCTTGGACGCAAGTTTGCCACGCCTGTCACCAGCAGCAGTAGCAGTCTTTACAGCTCGCCTGTTGCCGAACTTATCGACGCTCTCACCGATCTCATCGAACTCCGCAATCAAGTTTTTGTTGCGGACATGAGGAGCTGCCTTCCTCTCCTTGTTGGCTTTGCTTTTTGGAAAGCCGAGCTGATCTTGTGGGAATTGCGGGCCATAATCAAAGAACAGTTCCTGACCGGCCTTGATGTCCCGTGCTCCGTACAGCGCGATGCGGAAAACGGTGTTGACCATGATGATTCGAGGGTAGATATTGGCTTGCTTTTCAGAGGCGTGGTTGATGAATCGCACCTTGTTGCCGAAGAGGGTGCTGTCCACCCCCTGTTTCCTGTTTAACGTGAACAGGTAGCTCAACTTCTGATGTTCGTAGACTGCGCCCCGGCGTTCAGCCTCCTCTTCGGTGATGATCTCGCCTTTGTACTCTCCCACAAAATCGTGGTGCTTGATGTCTTCGCAAGCGTAGAGACCCAGGCCATGTATTCCACTTTTGCCGAGTATGGTATGTCTGGGCACCCCACGCTGGATGCTCGCATTGTGGCACCGGCCTTTCAAGATTGTCTCGTCATGGCGATGGACTGGATCCAGGACATCTATCACGCCACAWTCCCCACAGAGATCAGCGTCGCACTCCCGGCCGTACTGAAAGCATGCGCATCTCTGATCCTCGAAGCAGATCATGGCGCCTTTCATTCTACAGTCACAGCCCTGCCACTTGTGTTTGCAACCTGGCTCACAAGAGCAGCTTTTCTCGCACGGAATGCGATTCTGGTAGCATGGGCATTGGGTCTTGTCGCAAGAGGTACCTGGATGGTAGCATGGGTAGAACGGCCCTGGACGCTCCTCCGGATAGTGATTCAAGTTAAGCTTGTTCCAGTACTCGACTCTCTTACGCTTAGGATCAATGACGGCGTCCGTCTCACGTGCTTCCACTGTTGGGGGGAATTCCATGCGGGATCGATAGTTGACTCGATGGGGATTTATAATGTCCGTCTCGACTACCTCCTCGGCGGCAAAAGTTTCTTGCTCGCTGTCACTTTCATCAGAAGGACCCTCGTGGATCTCGCCATGGAATGGGCAATTGAACCGCATGCAGACGCGGCAGGTGATCTCATCTGCATTGGGTATCGGATCGGTTTCCTCAAGCAATTTCGCGGTGTACGCACTCCTCCTGGCGACATGCCACAGCTGGAATTTTGCAATCTTCTTGAAATATTGGCAAAGGAGGGCAGCTCTTCCGATCCTGTCAGGATCGCTGCTTGCTGGGAGTTGAGAGAGCACGGTCGTCCATCGCTGTCCACCTCTCACGAAATCTTCGTCACAATACTTATCCCTCTTCTGAAGCGCAGCGAGAGCTTCCAGATTTGTGCCAACATCTGGTTTGGGATCTAGCAAGAATCGCAAGACGTCCGACCAGGTGCACTCAATGCCACTCAGCATATCTTCGACATACTCCGCATAGTTTTCGGCCTGGGCGAGACACTTGATCTTCCGTTCTCGGGCTTTGACATCCAGATAGTATTGTTCATCCAAGTCCACAGCGTTTTTGATCTCGAAGTCGTCGTGGAAGTATGGCCAATGCTGAAGAACAGTCACATTCTGCGCCAGAAAGCTGTGTTTCAGATTAACAAAGTGCGAGTAGTCGGGCACGTCTCCGTGAGTCGACGTTTTGTACATGGTGCATGGCACTAGATACGAAGTATGAGAGCCTTTGCCGCCGCCGCTGGTATTTTCTACGGCGAAGCGCACGGCAGTATCGCTCATGCTCTCATCCTCCGATACTTGGACGAATTCCAGTGGCTTCAAGTCTCGGAACGCAGAGGTTGGTGTATGGCTACTCTTCCTGGGTGTCTCGACTCTGCTACGAGCCCACCTCAGCAGCGTCCGCGTCCAGTAGACATTGTCGCTACGCAGCTCTTGGGCGTACTTGGTGATGACTCGCTCGACATGGTTGGCTGGGGTAACCCGGCCTGAAGAAGTGCTCGCTGAAACAGATGGTCTATCGTGAGCGCTACCAGTCGAAGATATTCTGCCGGGGCGATCCTGCGTTGTGGGCGAGGTCGTGTCTTTCGGAGCCGGAGCCAGATTCGATGGGACCGCACTGTGTGGTGTTATCTGTCTGTTCAAGGCGGGACTCGGCTTTTCTCGATCGTCGTGGGGCGTCTCCACTCGAGATGCAGTGACATCGGCGGTTGGRTCATCCGTTTGTGAAGCAAGTATGGCCTCTGCTTGCTGGGCGAAACTGGAAATCGTTTCAACATCGGGATTCAGGGGCTCGCTATCAGTGCTATCAGATGGTCGAACGAACAGCGGTAGCGATGGGCTTCGAGGACATGTGTCCGTTTTCGACGCGTTCTTCTCCAGCGGTGAACCTGGCGGGCTCTCGGGTATCGTGGGACTCCTTGCCCTGCTTGACCCATGGTTGGATCTGTGCTCAACAGCTTCACGTCGGTTGCTTCCAGGGCGGGCAAGATCGGCGGTCTGTAATTTTGGGGTAGAGCTTACTGAGGCTCTTCCAGCAGTTTTTGATGCCAATGTCTTCGGCTGCTTTGGCGTTTTTGGGCGTTCCGGCCGCGGACTAGCTTCACGTCTGATGGAACGTACCTCTGATGGTGGCGGTGAGTCCGGAATGACAATAGGTTTGCCATTGCTCCCCGCGCCTGAGGACTGATACGTTCCAGACAGCGTGGCGGAGCGCTTGCTGATTGACTGGCCCTGCCCTTGGCTAGGTTTTAGTTTTTTTGTGGCATGTGCCTCTCTAATCGCACCATCACGCTCATGACGGCGCTTCTTTGAGGAAACCTTGCCAGCTGGACCTGGGCTGGCATTTGATGAGCTCATTCCCGAGAGCATTGTACTGCTGGTTCCTCGACTGATCTGCACCTGAGATGCAGGTGGGCTTCGTGCTCTGTCATTCGAACTGGATGTTGTTTGTGAGACGCGGTGACTGCTTGGGGGGTCGTGGGCCTCGGAACCACGGCTTGCTGCTCTCTGAGCGAGAGTTGAATTGTTTGCTGGAAGAATGGATTTTCGTGGTTGCTGCTGCGCCTGTGAATTCTGAGAGCTCGAATGGATGCTAGTCGAGCCAGCTCGAGGAGTGGCATCAACTCGTTTTGACGCGGTTTGGTGTTTTCCCGTATGGCTAGGCACAGTCTTCGGCTTGAAGCCCGGTATGGTTCGTTTTTGCTTGTTGCTTGCCGCGTCATTGCGCACAGGCGTCCCAGACGATTTGCCGGCGCCATCGCTATCATCACAAAGATCAATAACCTCCGGTTTCTTCCCTGGCTTCCGGGGTGCTTCGGTCTTGTCCGCCATCGCGTGAGAAGAAGAGATTCTACTGGAACGKGGTGCTTGGTCGATCTTCTCGCGGGGTTCCGCTCCAATTAGTCCCGGTTCATTTAGTCCAGGCAAAAGTTTGCGTCAGAAAGGAAAACCAGCTCTGTATGCGACACAATGCATTGAAAGTCCAGGCGCGTAATGCCGATTAGGCTCGCTAGAAAGATTGAAGAAGGAGGTAGAGGCGTGAAGTGTCGGTCGCGTCCAAAAAAAATGGCGGATGCCTCATTTATTCTCTGCGTCGCGCCGGACGGTCACAAACAATCAAATGAACTTTTTATTGTGACATTGTTGTTGGTGATCATTTGTCGCTGCCCAATTGAGAAAGTTGGAGATGGAGACTGAATGATTTAAGTCGTGGCTCGTGACATATGTCCTGACTTGGCCCCGTTCATGTGAAAGGAAAAGTTTATGCTCGACCAGCTTCCGTTTGCGATTACAAAAACAATGCAATGATGTTGGGGACTGAAGACTTGCAACGTAGTGCATAAGGTAGCATCTCTTTGCGMCAAAGTGATTTTAGTAGCCAAAGGTCCCCTTACCCCATCGTTTTGCACGAAGTAGTTCGCTGCMAACGCACCAGCACCAGGATGTTCGATGAGACTATGTGGATCTAAGAAGCCTCCGATGCAAAAGGACGAGGTAAAAGGCGTGTCTAACGCTCAGCCCGTCTCTGTGTAGTCGTTGGGTTCACATGTGAAACCGCTGCGTTGACAGCTCCACGCATCATTCAACCTTAATCCATATCCTCTAATGAGCCGCCACCCGATCCATGATCCTCAGGGACCATAACTCCCACCAGACAAGAGCCGAGCATGTTCTCCCAATTGACCCACGGGTGTACATCCATGAAGAGTTTAGTGCCATCCCTACCAGCAGCCTTCATCAGCTCTGCTTCGCCACCAGGATGAAATGGCAAGTAAGGCGTGATGTTGTAGACTTTGCCTTGCCAGCTGCTCCAAGCTGGTTTCCCTTTCCTCCCGGTCATGGTCTTCAACTGACTAGGCGTGACACGTTGGAATGTGCCTACGCCCGCTAAATTGCCGCTTCGTGTCAATGCTGCCCAGTCCATGGGCGAATGTCCAGGCGATAACAGTACTTTTCCACGAGCATTCGGTGTGGATACCACGTTATTGGGGGAAAGACTTGAGCTGACGCGTTGCTGGCTGCCTACAGGTGGTCCACGATTTGGTAAGGGCCCGTTTGAGGGCAGACGGAGTGAGACTGCTGCGCTTTGCCTCGGCGTAGGGGCCGATGCGGGCTTCACTGGCGGTAACATCAAGCCAGGTGTGGTTTGTGCGGATCTTGAAGGTGGTGGCATTGCTGAAGCCCGCTGGGCGCTGTTTGCGGCCGGAAACATAGGAGCGGTGGGCTCCTCGGAAGAGTCTTTCCTCCGTTCTGCACCCTCATCGTCATTCAGTGTGAAGGTCGGCACATCGCTGGTCGGATGCTCTGCTTCAGCTTTTGGTGTGGAGTCCCCTTCCGATGTGTCGATGCTGCTTCGTGAATCTGAATGGCCATTCTTTCGTGTTTCCTTTTCTCCCGCTTCAGCCACACCGGCATGCTGCTCTCCACCGGTAATCCAGTCAGGCAGCAGACTTTTGAACATTTCCGGATATGTGTAGGCTAGAAATCCGATCGCTATCGCAAGGGCGATGATCGCCCAGACTCCCATATCTATCAGTCCTTTTGGTTATTCTCAACGAGAGTCCATCATCCTCAGCAAGCGCTGACAGATAAAACTTGTGTCGGAAGCTCTGATCTCGTGGACGGTCATTTTCTAGGCAGTCCAGACGTACATGTTTCCTTCGATGCCTTATGTTGTTGTAAGCTGGAGCCGTTGGAGGCGAAACGAAAGTCTGTTCCGTCTGATTAAAGTTCTCGGGTCTCTTCCGGACCGTCACCACTTTCGCCTTGACCTCGTCTTCAACAGAGAGGTCTTTGTCTGTCTGGGGATGCTCGATACCACCTCACGTTCCGTACACTCTCCAGAATGATTCCCAGGGCAATATTCGCGCGTGCTTTGCGCCAAAAGGCTGCTCCCAAACGCGCCATCCAAACCCTCACACGACCGACTCGCATCGTTCCATCATCGACACGATCCGCATCGCGCGTTCCTCATCAAACGGCAAGATGGCTCTCATCCAAGTCGCTCGCGGACGAAAAGATTGAGGAAATCACGGAGCTGTATGCCACTGCGCAAGATGAATTTGAGATTGCCATGTAAGCCATAAAGTAGTCCCAATGTCTCAACATGGCATTGACGAATGATTTGCAGGGAAGAGACGGAAAAAGTATCCGTGTACGCCGAAGAGGACCGCAAGGCGGCGAGGGAGGAGTTGACCCGAGTCCAAGAAGCATACAAGGCTGCTGTAGAGGGACCAGATCAGCAGCTGGCCGAAGAGGTCAAACGGCGGGTTGGACACCGAATCCGCGAACTCGAGAACGGCGTTTCCGCGATGGAGGAACTGGCACAAAATCAGGATTGATCTCGTGTAGGTGTAGGCGATATCGCCAACCCAGYGCTTTGAAGCTCCGCTCAGGCCCTCAAAGTCGTCAGACACGGCACATTGATGACCCGGCTGCGTCTGAGGATACGGCACAGTTGCTCAATCCCTTGATCTGCGAGGCGAAATCTTTTGGTTCCTCTACTTGACACTCAGGGACAAACTCCACGCAAGGCGCTTACYCGCCTAACCAGCAGAGTGTGCACTCGACTCCGTCAGTCATTCTCAACCTGCCGGGATCATCTCTAGTGGGATGATCAGTAGATACAGTCAACGGCATCGAGAAATTAGGAAGTAAACGCCCCAATTGTATAAAACATGATACATTGCTGGTTTTGGTTGTACTTGGAGCTTTAAAGATAGGGCCGTTATCTCGACTGGCAATATGGTGAGGCTTTCCATGTTTCCCAAATCACGTCTTGTCCCCCTTTCAAGCTTGTGCCATTGTCTCTAGCCACACATTGTGTCTCCGCTCACTAGATCATGGCTCATCCGCTTCCGTCAGAAATAGGCTGAGCTTCGTCATCCTCCGACTGGTTCAAAATCCCTTCGACTCCCTCCGTCACCTCCTTATCGGGCTCGGATGAGATGTGAGAACCTAGCAGGTCTATTCAATGTACCTATACGCCGTATACTATACGCCACATCTTCCTCACGCATTGTGATATTTTGACTAGAAGCGAGCTGACGCCCTCCCCATTTCACTCTCTCCGGGGGCTTAGCCGAGAACCGTGCTGAGTTATAGTCATCTAGGCTATACATGCCATCATGGCACGCCGAGGTACCTCTACTGGCCATGAGACGAATCTTCCGACGCAAGAGTCYCGATAGATAGGAGTAGACGCGGCCTATGTCATTCCTTCACGTGCTAGGGTGGACTCGATAAAAAGCGAAGTGGCGCCCATTAGAGATTGCTCTCGAGTGGATTTGTCGAGAGCCCGACTAAGTTGTGGTCCTCTCGGGCGCGCAATTCATTCAGAGAAGTTGAACAACCTCCACTAGTAACAGGGGCGTGGAGGGGGACAGGTTTCAATGCAAGGTTATCGGGGAACCTACGACCATCAAGGACCATTCCATATCCGGACGCTTCCTGGGAGGAACGTATGGGAACTACGGCGAACGTGGAAGAACGCAGACGAACGAGCGGCAAGGTTCCGGGCGGCTCGTGATTTCAAAAGAAAGGTTGTTCAGAAGACCTTGAGACGAGGGGACAAGTTAACTGCCTTCTTCGGTTGGAACCTCCCTACAACGAGAGACGAGCCAGTTCCCACCTCTAACATTCAAGATTCCAYCAGCGTACCGGTGAAACGCGGTTGATCACTTCGAACACTGGGATGGTAGTAGGAGAGTCCATGTTTGTTACCCCAACCCTAACCCTCGCAGCAACCAGCCCAGCCACCATCCACATCCCGCCAATCTAAAAGCTACCACTCCTCTTCTCCGTATGCTGTACGCCATTCTTCTCATCGACACGTCCAGGGAGCGGCTCGCCAGTAGCAGCCTTCTCCAAACCAATCTCTCGATTGATCTCACGCATACGCTCAGCGTCCGCCGCTGCGAATCCGTGGGACCCAAACACGACATCCATTTCCTCGAGACTCAATCCTTTGGTCTCTGGGAAGAACCACCATATAAAGCCGGCGCCCATGAAGGTGAGGATGCCGAAAAAGAGATCTGGAATGTTGAGTCAATTACATTCTCCTTGTCGATRAGATTCCACGCATCCTTACAAGTGCCATAGGTCAATTGGGTAAGCATCTGCGGAGTCACCTGCCCCACAATGAAGTTGTTCTGGGCGGATGTTAGTTTGACGGTCGATCATGAGATTGGGATCAGTGGGCTTACCATCCAGTTGCTAGATGCCCCCAAGGCGATTCCGTAGGGCCTCGTTGAGAGCGGCCATATCTCGGCAATCACGATCCATGCGCATGGTCCCCAGCTATAGCCTGAGAGAATGTGTTAACGACCTGATACTTTTGAGGAGCGCTCCATTCACTCACCAAAGAATACCACAAATAACCAAACCATAGATACAGCTGCCCATCCAGCCGCCGAATGGGAAGCCCATTGGTCTTGATTCTTTGCTGTGATGACTGCGATGATCATATGACAAGTCGCCATACCAATAGCGCCGCTGACTAGGATTGGCTTTCGCCCGAGCTGATCGACGTATATGACAGCCTAGTGAAGTGCTTGTGTCAGCTATTGTCTTTTGGTTCAATGTTGCGGAAACGGACCGGAATGGTAGCGAGCCACATAGCGATACCAACAACACCAGTCGCTAGGAGTGATGTGGTGGTTCCGGATAACCCGAGTCCTTGGAAAATTTGAGGCGCGTAATAGAGAACAGCGTTGATACCTAGATTCGATCAATGTTTGAAGCTGATATGCTGCAGAGACCATCACCGACCTGTCCATTGCTGGAAGAACATCGTAACTGTTGCAAGAACGACACGCCGGAACATAGGCATGGACTTGAACAGCGAGCCGATGGCGATGAATTGTAGTTTGACTACGCTCCTGTTTGTTTATCAGTACAAGTTTTGGGAACGCTGTCGTTTGGATATCACACACCAGGCTGAGCCATCCGCAAGGTCTGGGAACTTTTCGGCAGTCGAGCGTTTCTCGAACATGGATTGAGCCTTGATCTCGAGAAATTCCAACTCAATGAGCTCGTGGTCTTGAGGCAAATCTCGGAGACTAGCGAGCGTTCTCCTGGCATCAGCTTCTCGACCGTGGTGGACGAGCCACCTTGGGCTGAATGGCATGAATATCTGATGAAGTCAGTGAGGTCCATGTGGACGAGCTCATGATCGCATCTCACCATGCCAACACCCAAAAGTACAGCCGGTAMAAGTTGCAGGGCAAGGGGAACGAGCCAAGCAGCATCGTGCTGACCATCTCCAGTTCCTCCGATGTAGTTGGTGCCGTAGTCAATCTATGATGAATCAGCCCAATATCTTGTAGCCTCAATGGTGAACGGTACCCAGAAAGAGATCATGATGCCAGTTGTGATCGCCAACTGCTGCAGTCCCTGGGATATCGATTAGTCCAACGCAAGCATGCATGCTCCTCGAGAAGGTCTACTCACTACTAGAGCCCCTCGGACTTCAGGAGGAGCGACWTCTGCATTGTACATCGGCACAATCATAGACAAACTACCAACGCCCATACCTAAAATGATGTCAGTCGGCCCGTTGAGCAATATCGAATGAATACACTTGCCTGTGATGAACCGTCCACCCAGGATGAGTGATGGGCCAGCTCCAGTTACTGCAGTCACTTGCACAATGACTCCGAGGATGAATATCGCGGTATTGATTAAGATCGCGTACTTACGGCTGAGACTATAATGCAAAGAACAGATTAGCTTTCCATCGAGTACCCGCCGGAGTCGGGTGATATGCTTACATCTCAGCCAAGAATCCAGAGTAAAGACAGCCGACCCAAGCTCCCAATTCCAGGATGGCAGTTAGCCAACCCTTCTTGTTCTGGTCTTGAACCCAGATCCCCATATCTTCGCCGAGTCAGCTGGAACGAGCAGATCAAATATGCATTGCTTACGATCGTCGAAAGAATTCATGGTGAGCACTCCGGAAAAGACACCTAAAGTAGGTATTCTGGGTTAGTCGACTAGGCCCGATAGCAAGTTCATCACAGCATACCTTGATWGTATCCATAAAGAAGGCCTCCAAGGCATGCGAAGCATGCGATTCCAAAGACCTTTGCATTCTTCACCAGCGCTGCTGGCCCGGAAGCCCCTTGGAGTTCTTGTCGACGCTGCAAAGCGATTTGATCGAACTGAGATGAACCTCCGACGGGAGCCATGTTGTCAGCGAGGCGAATAGGTCAAAGACAAGGGTGGGCCACAAGAGAGAAAGGGAGGCGCAGGGAGTAAGCTTTATGGCCCCGTCTGTGATAGTTCTGGCAAAATGCCAGACTCGCGAACGTGACCAAAGCTCTTCGAGCATCTACTTACCACATGGATGGCGATGGTCTCTCGCGAAGACCATGCTCCCACGTGCAGTACGTACCGTGCGTTTGATGCCAGTCCGGCTAAATGCTAAAGGCAAGTCGCTGGCTCGCGAAGTCCAAAGGATTTCGGCTCCATCGAGCGATGTCGTATATGGTTCTTTCCACTCTTACTCTCCGTTATCTCCGCAAAACGAAGTTGTGCCCTGCTAGTGGAGGTGAATCGAGGACGACTCTCGTTGTCTCTCTGTGAGAGCTCTATCCGACGCCCGCAGACCCACAGCATTGTGAGCTATCATAGCATAGCAAGCCCAGATAGCTCCTTGGCGACGTCCATGTTTTGAAAACAATGCGAGTTTCACACCGATGAAGACGAAGACCATCACATCAAGCCATGCAACACRGACCCAAGGATCTCACATCCGTGCTCGTCCCACTGGCTTGTTCCCGTCTTCGTGCAAGTGAGGGAGCGGGGCTCGCCACGCTGTGGTCGTACAGGCATCGGGAGTTGTGCAAGACAGCGTACGAGGACACCAGGAGGCACGCATGCAGGTGACATGCCGCTCCATGGGGAACACACTGGGGGCATTTAGCCTAAAGTGCGTCGCGGTGGAGTGGCGATGTCACGCTGATCGAAGCGCGATCCATCATCGCTCATCTCACCCTTCCACAGCCTGAATCGGCATGCGGGCACACGTGCTGGCCTCGCGTGTGCACCTACGCGAGTTGTGTACCTGGGCGAAGGATGGGAGGAAAGAGCGAATGCCATCGAGGGATGGTTTAAGGTTGGCGAACAAGATTTAGCCGCCAGAGCCAAGACATTGTCGATCTTCTCCTGCTTCCACTTCTCCTCTCCTCCCGTCCCGTCTCCACTCCWCGACCCCAGATGAATGAACCTGGATGCCGAATGCATTCGACCCGCCATCGGGCATTATTGCTACTACCTTATACTTTCTCTGCGGAGAGGTCGCCACGTCATAAAATCATGTATAAGAAGACGGCAAGTTCTCCTTTCTTCGTTGTTCGCTGTTCATCAATTCTCCAACAATGCCTGGTCTGCTTGCAACATCTCTACTTGCTTTCGCGGTCCACGCCTCAGCACAGCTGGAAGGCCGTGGATTCCCCGACTGCGAGAATGGGCCGTTGAAGACCAATGCTGTTTGTGATACTTCTGCGGACCCTCTTACTCGGGCTACCGCATTGATTTCTGCGTTTACTGTGGAGGAAAAGGTGAATAACACGGGTAGCACAGCTCCGGGTGTTCCCCGCTTGGGTTTGCCTGCATATACATGGTGGCAAGAGGCATTGCACGGAGTGGCTCAAAGTCCAGGTACGCAGATCTTGATGGCATCTCCAGCTCAATTCCACATCGCTAACCATCGTATTCCGCTTCAGGTGTCAATTTCTCGGACTCTGGAGACTTTCGATATGCCACTTCCTTCCCGCAGCCGATCCTCATGGGAGCTGCATTCGACGATGATCTGATTCGAGACGTTGCTACCGTGATCAGTACAGAGGCGAGGGCCTTCAACAACGACGACAGAGTGAGTATGACAAACAGCCGAAAGTCTGCAGCGTAGCCAAAGAAGGCTCTCGACTTACGCTACCCAATGACCCCCCTTCGCCTTCATGCAATATGTTCCTAACCCAACTCCCCCTTACAGGCCGGACTCGACTTTTGGACCCCAAACATCAATCCATTCAAAGACTCAAGATGGGGACGAGGACAGGAAACCCCCGGCGAGGACCCATTCCACCTGTCAAGCTACGTCCACGCTCTCATCGATGGACTCCAAGGCCATGGGAAGTACAAGAGAGTTGTGGCCACCTGCAAGCATTTCGTTGCGTATGACATAGAGAGCTGGAACGGGAACCTCAGATATCAGTTCGATGCCCACGTCAACTCGCAGGAACTTGTGKAGTACTACATGCCACCGTTCAAGACCTGCGCTCGAGATGCCAACGTTGGCGCTTTCATGTGCTCGTACAACAGCCTTAATGGAGTGCCGACTTGTGCCGATCCATGGCTTCTCGACACTATCCTTCGAGAGCACTGGAACTGGACCTCCGAAGAACAATGGGTCACCAGCGACTGTGACGCGGTTCAGAACGTGTTCCTACCTCATGAGTATACTTCAAGCCGCGCAGAGGCTGCAGCGGTCTCGTTGAAAGCGGGGACAGATATCAATTGCGGAACTTATTATCAAGAGCACCTCCCCGCGGCCCTGTCTCAGGGGTTGATCAATGAGGCAGATCTTGACAAAGCTCTCATTCGTCAATACTCCTCGCTCGTCCGACTTGGATACTTTGATGGCCTTGCCGTGCCTTTCAGAAACCTCACATTTGAAGATGTTTCTACCCCGTATGCCAAGCAGCTTGCGTACAAAGCGGCCGTTGAGGGAATCACATTGCTCAAGAATGACGGCACTCTTCCACTTACCATCAAAGACGGAACCACAATCGCCATGATTGGAGATTGGGCCAACGCAACCGATCAGATGCTGGGCAACTATGATGGCATCCCTCCCTACCTTCACAGTCCTCTCTGGGCTGCACAGCAGATTCCAGGTGCCAAAGTCTCGTTTGCAGGATCCCCTGGAGGACAAGGCGACCCAACTACCAACGATTGGCTTCACATTTGGTCGGCAGCGAAAGAGGCCGATGTGATCATGTACGTTGGTGGTATTGATAATGGCGTAGAAGCCGAAGGTACGTATAAGCGCGAAAGTCTCTTGAAGATGAGTGACTTGTGCTGACACATCTCTAGGTCTCGATCGCAACACAATTGCGTGGACTGGCGCTCAGCTCGATGTGATTGGACAGCTTGCGACCTATGGCAAGCCTGTTGTAGTGCTCCAGATGGGCACCAATGGCGTTGACTCCGCTCCCTTGATCAACAACAAGAACATCAGTGCCCTCCTCTGGGGAGGGTATCCAGGTATGGACGGCGGCAAAGCTCTCCTCGATATTGTCCAGGGCATAGTAGCTCCCGCAGGACGCTTGCCCACAACCCGTAAGTCTTTCTCCACGAACACGGCATTTCAATCGCTGACAGAACCGTAGAATACCCAGCTTCGTACATCTCAAAGGTGCCAATGACAGAGATGGCTCTCCGTCCCAACGACACCATCGGCTTCCCAGGGCGCACATACATGTGGTACAACGAAGAGCCCGTCTTCGAATTCGGATACGGACTCCACTACACAAACTTCACCGCCAACATCCAGTCCAACATCAGCCCAACATATAGCATCTCCTCCCTAACCGACAACTGCAAAGAAAGCTACCTGGACCGCTGCACCTTCAACGCCTTCAACATCGAAGTAAARAACACAGGTACTGTCACCAGCGACTACGTAACTCTGGGTTTCCTAGCCGGAACCCACGGCCCAGCTCCCTACCCCCGAAAGCGGCTCGTAGCATACCAGAGACTCCACAACATCACTGCGGGAGCTTCCCAGATGGCTTCTCTGAACCTGACGCTCGGTAGCCTGGCACGAGTCGATAATCTTGGCAATACAGTGCTGTATCCAGGAGACTATGCTCTGCTGATTGATTTACAGCCCCTCTCGGTCGTGAACTTCACTTTGACAGGCGAAGCTGTGACGTTGGATCATTGGCCTCAGCCCCCGGAGGCGAGGTTTCAGACTTCTGATTATTATGTTGGGGGATATGGTAGTAGCTATCAGACTCCGGTTGATGGCTCTACTTGAGGAATTTGATTCACAGTAGATTTCAACTGGTTGTCTAGCTCAAATCTTTTTAGCCCTTCGACTCATTTGTACGTTGTAACAATCGCTACGTGGAAACACGATATATGGTGGAGTTCTGTCGGTATCTACATTCATCCACGTTCGCATTCATGATCGAAGTTTTTGACAGGAACAAGTCGGGCACTGGTCGTTGGAGGAAGGTCTCAGCTTTCATCAGTCAATCCCTTGCCTGCGATAGAGTGACTTCGTAATGCCGATTCGTTTTCGCCAAAGCAATAGTTATTATGCACAATATCACGTTGCTTTTTCATTCAATCATAATCCATAGATCGTATTCTACCTTATGCGCCTCTCGCCGGACTTTTGACACTGTGCTGTCTCCACAGCGCGGCCCCACCCCTAACAAGCACAATAGCGACGAGTAACAAGCCGTTGAAGCCTGCCATCATGAAGAATGGCGCGCCAGCAGATCGATCAAAAAGCTTGCCACCAACTTTAGTGAGCAGCAGGATCCCCACACCTCCCGCAAGACTATACATGCCCGCAATGCTGCCCTTCAGACGTGATCTGTCCACCTTTCCTGAGGAGGAGACCGGCTGGGTGCCCGGAAGCAGTGCAGCTGTCTCTTCGCCGGTTATCGGACCCACATCGTCTTGCCTCAGCGTCTCAGTTCTGTGTTCCTTCGCAGGCTGAGAAAGTTGAGGGTCTTGGTTCACAGCACGGCCAAGCAGACCGAGCGAGCAAACAATGCTGCCAATTTGACTGGWGCCAATGAAGATCACTGATATCAAAGCCCACTGGCCGCCGTCACCGTGGAAGGCGTCAGGGTTCTTGAGGAAGCCGAAGCTAGTGTACCCAACTATGCCGAAGACTGTCGCGACAAGCAAAGGCCACTCTGACTTTCCTTTGGCTGCACGTCCGCCTAGCCAGCCGAAGATTGGAGCACAAAGGAGCGCCGCCAGCTCACCGATTCCGGTAAGCGCAGCAGCAAGCTTGTATGCACGCTCGCAGTTGTCCTTGATGTCGGTGAGATTGTCCGGGTTTGAAGTGCACAACCCATTCCGGACAAAGTAGGCATTTACAAACAGAGGGATGAACAGGCTGATGCATACGCTTGATGCACGGGCAACGAATCCGCCGAGGTAGCCCAGCCCAATGGCCGGATCAGTGAAACCCAGCGTCAAGGCCTCCTTGGCCAAGATGATGTATGATRGCGCAGGGGTTAGGGTAGTATGCGGATGGCCATCTTGACCAAGTGTCGTTGTTTCATCGTAAGGAATCCGCAAGATGGCAGAAAGGCTCTTCCCCTGCTCCCCGGGAAGATTCCTCAGTCCGATGAAAACAAATATGGCGACGCAAGCAGCAGCAGCAGCGACTAGATAGAAGCTGACCTGAACGCTCTGCACCCGCCCTAGACCGTCATTCTGAAGCCAAGCGGGGAGTGGAAGAAACAGCGCAAGTGCCAGCAGAGCTCCAGAGCCAGTGAACAAGCCTACGAGGCCGGCCAGCTGCGAGGTGCCCACCGCAGAGTCTACTTCTTCCCGCTCGCCGTCCATTTCCTCAGACGTATTGCGACCTCGCTGCGAGTCCGACGCGTATCGGTTAGGAGTGATAGTCAGCTCGCTGTTTACACTTGGCGAAGGCGCATGACTGAGAGTGCCGTTCCTTTCGTCTCGAAGTCTGGCGACGTCTGCACTGGCAGGTCGATATTCCTCGTCCGCTTTCGACTTGGCACTTCTGTCTGCGAGCATTGAAGGCAGAACCGCAGTGACCATCGTGGTGCACGCCGCCGCGCCCACACTGAAGAGCATCCTTCCCAGCAACAGCTCGGGATAGACATTGGAGCTCTGCACCAGGCATACCAGACTCAATGCCACTATCAAATACCCCGCCACTGCGACCAATCTCACCCCGACACGATCACTCAGTAGGCCCCAGAGCGGACATGCCACCAATGCCACCAGCTCGTCAGCGAAGCCCAATGTCCCGACTGCATCTCCAACTCTTTCCTTGCGCCCAATCACCTCCGTCACCACGAATGAGATGCTGCTGTTGAGGAAGACCAAAAAGGAGATGCTGAATAGAGCAACACCTAGCAAGTACGTCGTGGCCTGCAGCGGGCTGGCGGTCAACCTTGGAAAGATGCGGGGAGCCATTATTTGTTGTCGTCGCCGTCAAGATTCCTTGGGATGTTTCACAGTTCACACGTCCGTTCGTCGCTCCCCATTTTTGGGTTGCAGGCATCCATTCGCAGTTTCGACAATGGAGGTGATGTGATGTTGGAACGAGGGCAGAGAAGTCGGTGTCGATTGCATGTCCATCGCGTTTGACTTTGTCATCATCACGTCAGGACACAGGGACCCTTTGCTCTCAAAAAGGTCAAGTAAGTATCTATAAGGTAAACTTGAATCATATGGACAWGCCGGCAGCAAAATGTGAATCTTCACGGGTCTGCATGGGATACAGATACCTCCCTTGTAGAACGGATTGAGCTAGATTGGCGATAACATGGTCATCGCATATGGAACGGCTTGACGACATCTATCGAACACCGCGAGCTCTGCAGGCAAGTACGTGGCATGGTGCCACTGTGTAATACTAGTTGGCATCGTAACTGTGGGACCAACAGCAACTCATGTATGCTTCATGGACAGCTGGTGGTCGTCCCATGGAGGCAAGTCTTTGGACAATCCGGCCATGCAGGTTACACATCGAGGCTTTTGCCCAGGCCTTCCGAGGTTACCACCACCTGTGCAGCATCCTTCCACGCCGGAAAGTTTATACCTCAATCTATCCCGTACATCCTCCCGCGGCTGTTTGCGTTGGCCATACTTCGAAGTGGTATGCCGATGTGATGGGATTTCGATGCTGTCTAGAGCGTCAACACGAGTCAAATCGACGAAGAGACTTTCCGGCGTGGGAGCACGCCTTGTGCTGTGGGGTGGCAGCCAAGAGATGCTGCATGAATATACAGCATGTTTCCGCGCCATGGCAACGCGTTCACTAATCAGACAAGATTCCTGAAGCAGTGGTACAGATGAAACCAGAGAGCTCAAGAGTGGTTGGACCGAAAAGGGGATAGGTCTGGGATTTGCCGATGGTCTAGACCTCCAGGGTAGCATGTGGCATCCTTACCTCTGTCTTCGAACCCGGTCAGGAGTCGCTCCTGGACTGGTCAATATCGAGAAAGCCACCGGAGAGTGCATCCGGTGGTTGTTTGGGGCTGTCTGGAGACCTCATGTGAGAGATCAGGAGGCAGCTTTGAATGCAACGCATATCAATGCCGATGCGACGCCCTCCGCATGATCCGTCTCGCCCGACAAGCCGACCCGACGACCTAAGGTAGTGAGCGATAAATGTTCGAACTTTGGAGCCGCCGGAAAGGGAACACCACCAAGAATTCTTCTCTTGGGCCCAGCATGTAACAAGTGAATGGACCGGTCCAGGCTTTCAAGGACTCTCAGGTTTTCGGCAATTTCAACTGGACCACAGCGACGGGTTTCGGTTTTTTCGTCCGACTTCTCGACACAGCTGATCTAACTGCGGTTCCCTCGTTCGCTCGCCTGAAGTCGCTGCTGAAGCTTCGAAATCCAGGTTTGGGGCAGTTGGCGGCGCTGACTCCTCGCGCTGTTGCATAATGTGCTGCAAGGATGAGCTGTCTCAAAGCTAGGCTATTAGTTCGGCCAACGTTGGGGCTGAACCGTGACTCCCTTCCTTTGGCGCTTACGGCTGGTTCCTCATACGAGGTATACTCTCACCTTTCACTTCTGCTCCCTATCACGCGCCGAGCGTTTAGGTGCGCTTGCATGCCATCGAGATGACTCCTCATGTGTGCGGCTGGCTTCGCATAAGCGACATAGCCGGAACGACTTCGACCAAGTGCACTACTGCCGTTGTGGAAAGCGGAAACAGGAGTGAGGTTTCGCCCCTCAGAAATACTCAGATCGCTGATGAATGGTGACAATTATGGGCTCGCGGCGTGCCACTCTTTGTATGAAAGCCACCTTCACAGATGTAGCTGACACAGCAGCGGACCAGTGCCCGATCGCGATCGATCTCTGCCCAATCAACGCAGAACAAGGCACTGAGCATCGACGAATGCGTGGCCGAGAAACTTCGTGGCCTGGTCAGGGCCTGTTCTAGCGGGCTCGGCTTCCAACCAGAACCAACATTAGAAACGGCTGCAGCGGACCTGTCACGCCGCCTCACGCGTCGATCCCAGGCGAGACCTTCGATCGCGGCCCGCCGGCCGTCTTGCAGCGCCTTGGTCGCGCTGGCGGAGCTGCGAGTTGACCCTTCAATCGGGCCCATCTCTCAGGAAATCTGCGATGCAAGCGTCCTGCTCGGTGATCAAAACCCCGTCACAATCCTTGCAGTGCTCATCAATCGAACGTCGGCGCATTCCTGTGTAGCGAAATATACATTACTACATGCCCCACCCGCGTGTGCTATGTCTACACACCACTCCCACGTTGTACGACAACCTGACTACTTCTCCGTCACACACATGAGCCACAGCGAGGAATACGAGCACTTCAGCACGGAATCGCCTTGCTCTTCACCTGCTTTCAGCCCAACGGAGGCCACATCTTTCTCACAACATCCACTMTTGGCTACGCGTCGAGAGTCCATCTGTTATACAATGCCGGCCGCGTCAAGCTTGCTACAAATCCAGACGAACGCATCCCACGGCAGGACACAGTCGCGTCCTCAACTACAAAACGTACTGCATGTCACATCAGACGAATCCACCGGGTCTTCCAGCTCCAAGTCATCCATGGACTCTTCTTTCTCTTCATCTTCAGACTTCGCACGCTGCTCCCGATGCCACCGGACTTCCAGCATTGACTACAAGACTGGTCAGAACAGCATGGTCCAATGGGGGATGAATAGTTATTACTGCTCGAGGTGTGCAGATGTCGTGGGCATGAAACGTTGAACCTTTCTGCTTCATTCCACACAAAAGCATATCATCAACACGCCAACATCTCACTGGACAACACGACTCCAACCATTCTACCGGATGAAAAGGACCTCGGTCATCCCATGAAAGTATCCGCACTAGAGATTAGTGCCCTTCGTGCAATACCCACCGGCGCGAAGGACCATGATTACGAACCCATTGCAGTGTCAGCCGGACAGATGGACATGCACGCGACAGTACGGCGTGAGATTACGAGGAGGAAGGGAAGGAAAGGATGGACAGCAAGGATGGAGTAGGAAGTTCATTGGGGCGACGATGAACGATTGAAATTACGGCCTCTCGAAGATACCCTCTGAAGCGAATTTTGTATAACATGCTTCAGCGTATCGATTTTCAAAAACTCAACGATCTATTCCAATTACATTGACTCTGCTCATCTCTGCCATTAACAAGTTGTGGTTGTTTCCGTTCCATTGAGCCTTTCGTCCCTGTGCCGAAGCCCGGCATCTCGATGACCGACGTGGAAATCGATGATTTGAGCCACGATCACTTTCAGATCTTTAAAGATTTCGCCGCCACATTTTYGATTCAGCCGCCACCATCGATTTCCCTGTCCTGAACGCATCCGTCCGGGGCGTTAACGCCGGCCTTGACTCCTCTCTCTTCGACCTTGTGTCACATGTCGAACGCGTGTTCTTGTCAGCGGAGAACGTGTCCGCGGATCGAAGATGCTTGGAGTATGATGTTCGATCAAGACGGATGACGTTCTCGCATTCGCGAAGTCGGCACACACCTGAGCGATGACCTTCTGCCTGCTTGAGCTGCTTCCTTATCGATCTGCGCTTGTGTGAGATACGACAGGAATTCGCCATGMGTGCTGACTGTGCGGCTTGATTGCGGCATCTCAGGCTCACCATGGTGCGTGCCTTTTAGACTTCATCTTTAACCAAGTCACCGGTTTTCAAGGGTGAAACACGGAATCGTGGCTGAAAGAAGCCGGAGAGAAGAAATTTTGGGGAGTTGAAATGTCTCACATACCAGCGTCGCGGCAGGTTCCGCTGTAGGGTCGGCGGAAAGGCATTGATCGTGTGTGACCAAAGCCTGCACCGGACCTCAGCATGCGGACCAGCGTGATGAGCTGCGGATGTCCGTGAATCGCGAAGGTTCCATGTATCGAGATCGAAGTTGCTTGTTGTTGTTATCGAGTCGTCCGGGTGTGAGGCCAAGGAAGGCAGGCGCGATTATTGCCCAAGCTCACGCATCATTTTTTTTCTGCGAAGCCCGCCAGGAGTCAGGACGCTCTAATGATACGATAGTGCCATTGGAGACGCTCGCTTGAGAAGTTCTTGCTTTTCTCTGTAATGTGGTTGTGGAGGATGCACCTGCACATCACGCATCCTTGGGTATCTCCAAGTCTAAAGTATGCGGTTGTAGGAAGCTGTTCTTGCTGGCAGTAAAGCGTATTTGGAGCGGCTCAACGCAGGCAGGTACTACGAGCCACCAGCTCAACTTGATTGTGTGCATTGTGATGCAAGAGAGCTGCTTGCAAGCGGTACCTGGGCCGGTTGGGTTGTCCCAAGTTGCAGTGTTTCTTCACTTGCTGACTAAATTCAAGCCTCCGATTTTGCAAAATTCTCATTTCAAAGTCGGACCAACTTCATCATTGCAGGCCAAAATGGACGAATATAAGCAATCTATCGAAAGTGTCGATAACGCACTTGCTCGTTTGAACCAGACACTGAAATCACTATTGTCGTCCAAAAATGCGGACCAACAGACAACGGTATCATCATCAACGGAGGAATCCACCACACCGGAGGAGGATGAATCGGAATCTACAGGCAAACACCTTGCTTGGGGGCCTCACATCATGGATATGAGTGGTATCGCTTCTACAGACAGGTCTCTGCAATGGTCTATCCGACAGCTCATTCGTACCCTGCGGGTCGAGAAATCGTACCCTGAGGTAAGTGAACAAAGCCATGCACATATTTGATGTGGTAGACTTTGCTAAGATCTGCATAGCCTATAGAGAAGAGCGTTCGGTTGGAAAGAATTGCCTGCGCTCAATACCACTTCTCCGTTGATCCTTACAACCTGCCATTGTACATCTTCGCTGCAGCCGAATATCTTGGCTTAGGATACCCCGACCTCGCCGCCGGTGCTGCATACAAGGCAATGCTATTGTCGGATGCTCTAGATGACGAAGCGGACGAGTATCATGAAGTGGCAGAGGAATCTCTCAAATTCTCCATCCAGCAAATCGTACTCGTGGACCGAATTAAGCTCATCAAGTCGGCAATGGAAATTGACGAAAACGGTCCTGTTGACGCTGCGAGGGATTCTACCCTCGACATTGAGCTAGACCTGTGGCTGGAGAGCCACTACAACATCATTCTCTACCGGCTGTTGACACGAAGTTTGCTACTTTGTGGCTGCCTTCATACAGCTTACAGATATTGCTCGAGAGGATTGCGGAGCTACAAAGACCCGGARCTGCAAAGCATCAGACAGGATATCATTGATGAGGCTGCCAAATGCAGCGATGGATCTCCGATATGGAATGATTCGCCTAGCATGTGGCCCGACGAGGGATATGTCCGCAGAGAGCACTACCCATGGAATACCCACGAGCCGGACCGCCTCAATGCCCTGGACGACTTGAACGATATGATGGCAGACGTGTCAGATAAGCTTGAAGTGCGGGCTGTTCAGCTGCCCGTACTCAATGGCGACCCCAGGGAGATGGTAACGCAACTTGGTGTGTTTGCCAAGGAGGACATCCAACCTGGTGATGTGATTCTCGAGGAAATTTCCCTTCTCACAGCAAACAACAAGCTCCAGGACGCCCTCTGTGATGCTTGCAGCGGCGACCTTCCGTCGCTGAATAGCCCCGAGTACAAGTCGGTGGTAGCCTGTCCCATGTGCGAGGTCGTTTTCTGCAGCGAATGGTGCTACGAAGCTGCATGCGATTCATACCACGCCTCCCTGTGCGAGAAGGATGTTGAGTCAATCGCAAAAGATGTCCCACCAGCAGAGGCCGCAGACTCGCTGTACTCTCTACTCCTTCTTCGAGCCCTAGCCATGGCAAACTATGCAGAGTGGCATCCGCTCGACTTGCCAGATGTAAAGTTCATATGGGGAGATCTGAGTCCTGAACACACTGTAGGAACACCATACACCGATTTTCACAGCCCGGACTCCTGCACAGTACCCAGAAGACTACCGTTCAGCTTTGAATATAACATCAGGCTCCCGTTCCACATGCTCGAGAAAATGGATATTGACATTTTTGTCAACCCGCAGTATGATGTCTGGGTGTTCAACACTCTCTACGCCAAGTTCCGCGGCACTGCTTCCGCTCGACTGTCTGGGCTAGGCGGCCGAGCAATTCGTGGTCCGGAAGTCTCCGCGGTACATCCAATGTGGTGTCTTGCGAACCACAGCTGCGATCCGAATGTACGATGGGAATGGGGCGGGAATGTCAAATTTTGGGCTAGAGAAGAGAGAGTTGCGTGGAATGGACGTGATGGCAAGGTCATCAAGTCCACTGTTAGAATCAAGAAAGATGAGGAGGTACTGAACCACTACTGTGATATTGATCTGCCAGTCAAAGAGAGGAGGGAGTGGGCACATGGTGCCCTGGGAGGAGACTGCATGTGTCCAAGATGCGTGTGGGAGAGCGCCGAGGGAGAGGCAGCAGGGCGCAAGAGCTGAATTTGGTCATCCTCCTTGAAACTTGGCCGAGTATGTGCAACAATTTAATGCTTTCAAGAAGGGTGGTCATATTGGGCGCGAGGTGGAAAGATGCAAATTGCCAAGTCTCCATGCAGCAGATACCTAGGTAGAGAGCCACGCTCGTAGCCAGCTACCTATAACCATGAAAGTGAGCCGTCCTGGCGAGAGCCGCGAAAAGTGTGTATCCGTCGTACGCAGGGCGGCAACCTCAGCTTCACTCTGCGTTGGTATTGAATAGTATACAAAGCAAGAAGCCAGTCGGGTGGGGATGTATGCTGGAAAAGAGCTGTGAGAAAGCGTGTATCGTTTCACGGTCTGCTCAACGATCCGCGAGATCAGCACTGAGTCCAGTGCCGAAGCATTTCTCTGGCTCCATGGCTAGTTACAGCAAGCATATAGGTCTGGTGCAAGATGCAAGTCTAAAGAATCGCATAAACAGGAAACACAAGATCACCTCAGGCTTTCACTGCCGCCTCATTCCGCGCTAGTCTCGGCAAGCTTCCGAATAGCAATGGTGGAACGCAGGTGAGATGGAGCACAGTATCGACAACTTAAACCTCACCAACTCGTGGGCCATCATGGATGAAGGCAGCTCGCCTTGGGACGGTATGTCGTGCTTTGCGTTCCCTGCGCGTGGTGCAGACTGACATTATTCGCACAGACGTCCCGTCGAGATCGCATTCGCATCACTCTCTAGTCAAGGCCGCGGAGGACGCAAAAACAGGTGGGTTACAAGAGCATTTTGGCAGAATGATGGGCATTATATCTGATAGGAAGATACAGCTGCTGCTGAAGAGTCCCCTGCGCCCGCCCTATCGCAATCTACACCCAACATCGCAACTGGAGTGAAGCCCGCGCCGTCCAAGTCACGCACACCCCGCCGTCATGGTCAGCTTGCTCAGTCCACCACATTGGAGAGCCTAGACGATTCGATGGGGCCACTGGGTCCGCTAGGTATGGAGCCTGTGGAAGAGGTGGCAGCGCCAGCCCCGCCTGTCAAAGAGCTTGCTTCTCGAACACGCCAACCAAACAACTCTCGACCATCGACTGCTGCGTCCGCGTCTCGCACTGCAGATTACGACGAAGATGCTGCGTTGAACGGTGGACCGCGTCAGCCACCTCCAGTCCAGCCAGCGCAGCTCGAAGGCCGGTCTAGGCAAGCACAACCCTCTGTTTCGGTAGAGCAGGCAGCCAAACCTACATTTTCGATCGTCGTTGGAGATCCACATACAGTCGGCAATGCGGCAACCAGTCACACTGTCTACAGTGTTATCACACGAACCACATCCAAGGCATATATGAACCCTACTTTTACTGTGACAAGACGATACCGAGACTTCCTATGGCTATACGAGAGACTGCATGACAACAACCCCGGAGTGGTGGTTCCACCACCGCCTGAGAAACAAGCCGTGGGCCGGTTTGATACAAACTTTGTGGAGTMGCGACGAATGGCATTGGAGCGTATGATTAACAAGACCGCGGCGCATCCAGTACTACAAATGGATGGAGACCTCAAGACCTTCCTTGAGAGCGAATCTTTCAATGTCGCCATCAAGCATTCTGGAAAAGATCCTCTACTGGGTGGAAACGAATCAAAAGGTATCATGTCGAGCATTGGTCTTGGGAGCGTAGGCTCCAGCAACAAATTTATCGAGCACGATGATTGGTTTCATGACCGCCGAATTTACCTGGACGCTCTCGAAAACCAGCTTAAAGCGCTGCAAAAGAGCACAGACACTGTCGTTGCGCAACGAAAAGGACTCTCGGATTCGTGCGGTGACTTTAGCGCTTCCCTTCATAATCTCGCAGCTGTTGAGCTCTCACCAAGTCTGTCGGGCCCATTGGATGCACTTGGCGATCTCCAACTTCGGATACAGGAGCTCTACCAGCGACAAGCAATGCAGGACATTCTCACCCTTGGAATCGTAATCGATGAGTACATTCGACTGATTGGGTCCGTCAAGAAGGCGTTTGAGCAACGACAGAAGGCTTATCACTTGTGGCACTCGAGCGAATCCAAACTTCAGGAGATTAAGAAGCAACAGGACAAGCTCCTTCGAGCTGGACGGTCGCAGCAGGACAGAATCGGACAAATGCAGGCAGATGTCGCGGATGCGGAGCGAAGAGTGCACGCTAGCCGTTTGCTCTTCGAAGACATGGGACGTCTCATGCGATCTGAGCTAGATCGATTTGAGAGGGAAAAGGTTGAGGATTTCAAGAGTGGCGTGGAAACGTTCCTGGAGAGCGCGATCGAGGCACAGAAAGAGGTACGAAAAGTGAAAACCATTACTCACTAGGCATTACTGACAGATGTACAGCTTATTGAGTTGTGGGAGACATATCTGCTCCAACTCGACAGTGATGAAGACGGTCCGCCGTTGATGCCAGCGGGCGTTGTGGCTGATCCTGATCCAAAATCTGACGCACAATTGCGACGTGAGGCCGCAGAAGCGCAGCTCCATGCTGAAAATGCCGAAGACGACGAGCCCTCGAGAGAGCCTCTGCAAGTGCCTGTGGGCATCGAGGAAAGTGGAGGCTTTGGCCACGACAGCGATGATGGGGGTATTCAGAGCGCCGAGATCGAGTCATAAACGCATACCATTCGTCGGAACTGCGATGTAGAACCAGTTATCACGAAGCAGATATGACATAGATTAAAGCGATCTCTCAAGTGACACATGGCACATCCTGTTTCAATGGCTGGTGAAATATTAAGAATAACGTACTTTCCACAAGCAAGACAAACACAATCAAGAAGATATTGTTCGGCCTGTTCGCGAGTGCGGTCATCAGTTCGCTTCAAGGAGAGGGAGAGGGAGAGGGAGAGGGAGAGGGCGACTTCCGAAAGTCCCGTCTTCGGATCGCCGGCTGGCGGCTAGTCCCGCTACTGTTGAACCTCTTCTCCCGAGCTCACTTCAAAGTCGCAAGCATTGGACGCCGCAGACCACCTTCAACACACTCACATACCGACCATGAACTCCCTACGTGTTGCCCGGAGCGCTCTCCGTGTCCGCCCATCCGCCCTCAAGGCTGCGCCGCTCATGAGGCGCTCGTACGCCGATGTTGCGTCGGACAAGATCCAGTTGACTCTGGCTCTGCCTCACCAGGTATGTCGCCCTGCCGGACTAGCAATGGAAGAGGCGCGAAGAAGAAAGCAGTGGATGGAAACATGTTGTGGGCAAATGCCGGGATGGAAAGACATATGCTGACCATTGTGCGCAGGCTATCTACAAGTCGCAGGATGTGTATGTGCTCGATCACGGAATACAGAGCAAAGAGCGAGATGGACTGACCCTTCTGGTAGTGTGCAAGTCAATATTCCCGCCGAGTCTGGAGAAATGGGTGTCCTCGCCAACCACGTGCCTTCTATTGAGCAGCTGAAGCCGGGTCTTGTTGAGGTTATTGAGGAGTCCGGTGGCAGCAAGCAGTTCTTCCGTAGGTYGACAACCGCCAAATTGGATATAGCAAGAGGAGAGCATGAGTCACTTAGCTCTTCTTGAGCTTGATTGGGGTGGCAACATGGACACAGCTGAGCATAGTGGCTAACATACGGGTAATGCAGTTTCCGGTGGCTTCGCTACCGTCCAGCCAAACTCTGTCCTGAGCATCAACGCCGTCGAGGGATACCCACTTGAGGACTTCAGCGCCGATGTGAGTTTGGACCCCGTAAGCGTGCATTGGCAGCAGGGCACTAAAACCTTCACAGGCCGTAAGGAACCAGATCGCCGAGGCACAGAAGATTGCCAGCGGCGGAGGCAGTGAGACGGACGTCGCTGAGGCAAAGATCGAGCTGGAGGTGAGTTAACGTATCGCACATCTTGCGATATATCGCTAATATATGGATAGGTTCTGGAGAGCCTTCAGGCAAGCCTCAAGTAGAGCGCGTGCATGTATATACTGTATACCATTTGAGACCTTGCGAGCTTTGACCAGCGGTGCGCATGGCATTGCAGACTGCTATTCAACCTCCCCGCCGAGTTCCCTCACCTCAAACACAGAATCRTCACTCCACTCACCGCGACATCCTAGCAATCTGTTTCGGTCAAACAGAGAAACGAGTGAGAGCAAGGTAGTCGATAGATGAAGCTACGGACAGTGCGAAAGATGAGTGAAAGCCAGCTGCTCTTGGCATGCAGCTAGGCCGCCCTATTAGCAGCGAGTCCCCTTCTCTATCCAACAGACTCCGCATGACTATAACTATGTCACATTCCGGGTCGGCAGACCAATTTTATGAAACACCTGAGCTTCCCCAATGCTGTCGATGCACTAAACGGTACTTCTAACTCACAAGTCAGAGTCCTCGACTAACAACTACATCTACATTCACATCTCGAGTCTACAAGTTAACACCACAGGCGACTCCGCAATGAGAACATTCTGTAAAAGATGGGTACGTTTCAAAATTCCACACTGGGAAAGTACAGCGTCTTACTTTGCCGGAGGATCTTTCCACATACCGATGTGGAAAACCGCGAGGAGGTGGCTACCGAGCACTCGCATCTACATCTTTGGTGCTATGCGCCGCGTCAACTTGGACCCACTTCATCGCTCATGTCTTTACACATGTTGCGTTTTCTTTCATCATTATTCTAAGACCTACTCAATGCCGTTTTGGCTTCATCCGTCTCCGTCGGCATTAATTGATGGCCGCGAAAGTTCGTTCATGAGCTAGGAATCAGTTGGACTATGATAGATTCTATGTACTGACTGAATTTGCAGCGGAGGCAAGTTCCATCTACGATATTCGACAAAGTGGAGTACAGAGCAGACCCCTCGACCGATGTGTATACCGCCGCAACATGCCCAGCAGGATGTCATCTTCCGCGTCGAAACAAGCAGGGGATGAGAGAAGGAGTGAGACTTTATCAGCAGCCGAGCGTACAGAGTTTCGACAGCGGAAGAACGGTTCTAACGACATACACGACAAGAGACTCGTATTTGGCTCCATCAGTCGCGACGAGGGATTCTATCTTCAGCCCTATAATGCGAATGCCCAGGCGAGACTCGGCGTGCACGACGGGCTACGGAGAGGCGGAGCGCGTATGGCCAGTTCAGAGCCAGTCTCAAAACAGACAATGCCCGGACAAGCGCCAGTCACACGAGAATCATCGCCAATGCAACCCGCATGCCGATGGATATCGCCTGGACTATGCGCCGTGGTGCAGCCTGAACGAGACTTTGGCCGCGGAAACGCGAGCTGGGACTTTACAGGGTAGAGTCTTGGTTCCCAGCTTGAAGCGAATGCCACCCTTGACGACTGCTCTCGTAGAGGAACCGCGTTCTCAAGAATTGCCATCTTTAGAACCACAATCCCTCGAACCGCCATCTCCACCAGACTCCCCCACACTAGTGGCGCGTCAGTTGAAATCTGTCACTCAGCCACCGAAACCAAGCGTCCCCAGGGAGTACTCGCCAGAATCATCGTCAGGGCCGCGGAAGGCATGGCCCGAACAGAAATCCGCTCAGGATCAATACAGGACTGTTCCAGAGGATCCCGTCGTAGGAAAGCGAGGAAAAGGTCGAGGGATATTCGGAGTAAGAGCTGGATTGCGGAATGTTACGACGGCGTGCTGGAAAAAAGTCGGCAGCAAGCTCCACTTACGAAAGTGAGCGTGGCGGATCGCGTGAAATCGATTGAGCAAAAGGCGCAGCAGTCTGGAACTGCATCAGCGTCTACTACACTGGGCAACAGACTTGGAAAGATTGGTCAAGCTATCCCTACAAAAGAGCTCGATGATTGAGCTGATACTTCTCATAGGAGACGGCAATGCTCCTTTGGTTTTTCCATTACATGTCAAACGCTTCAGGCGGCGAAACAGCAATGGCTCGCTCATGAGAATCGAGACACCAGTCCATCGATCAGCCTCAGACTCAATCTCTGTCGTCCATTCCCCAGTACCGCAGCGAGCCATTCCTTTCATTCAAAACTCTAGATCTCTGTCTCCACCGCAACTTCCCAAAGCAGACTCTCGAGAGCAGGCAGCAATCGACCAGTCTCGCGAAGGCCTGCATGGTGATAGCGTCCCTGACGTCAAAAATCTCAAGCCTCTGAAAGGCAAACTTCCGCAAATCGACGCCGAACCGGGTCTTCTAGCAATCAAACAATCCCGACACGGCTGGCATGACGACAGCATACTGGACGTTGCAACGATCAAAGATTCCATATCTAACTCTGCTTCTCCGAGCAAAAACGAGCCAGATCGTCTAGCTACTGAGTCATCCCTTCAAGGCTTGTTTAACAGACCCAGACTTCGTTCAAGTCCTTTCGCCCACCTTCACGGGACCAGAGGGAATTGCGTCCGACATGGCAGGAAGCCAGTTCTGCTGGAAGATCCGTCAACTAAAGATGAGGTTTGTCCGGATTGTATCGAGGAGCTGCGAATTCGAAATCGAGAACGCTCTGAGARGGCGCTGAGAAGGAGGCGGGGAGGATTGGTGGCGGGAAAGGAGATCTAGGTTTGGGAGGAGAGGATGTGCGATGTCGTTTTTCAACCACCTATGTATGTGGTCCTAGATTTGAAATGACTGAAACAATTTTGATTGTTCTCATCTCTCCACAAAACGTGGAAGTGTTCGATTTCGCTGCGTCTCTCGTATCTACATCAATTACAGCTGTCCGTCATTCGTCTCATTTGCATGCGAAAGAAAGAAGGCGGTCCTACAACAAAGACCAGAACCCTCGCTTGGAAGACATTATCCCTCAAGAGAACTCCACACCTTTCCCTCCTCTATTGGCGGCCTCCATCCTTCTCGCACGCTCAGCCCTCCTCCTCCTTCGATTATTATCGAAATTGCTCAGATCCGTTCCAGTGCCCATATCCGTCCCATCGTTGGCATTCCCTGGACTGCCCACCATCCCACTCCCCGCAGGCCCAGTCGCTTGCGATAAGACCTGTGAGGAATGTCCTGGAGGAACAGGAGGGAGGTTCAATTCCGAATCTCTCCTGGCTGCTCCCCCGGTATTGGACATTGCGGGTGGAGGAGGAATGTTCTTGATGGGTTGCTGGCTGGAATTTCGAATGTGATTCCCGTTTCGACGATATCTCCCCCCACCGTCGTCGTTGTCGACACCGGAGCTTAGACTCGAGTTCCGTCGGGTCTTCTTCTTGTCTCCTCCACGTTTTCGCGAGGCGCGTTCTGCGGCTGCTTCCTCATCATTGAGGCGACGAAGAGTGACGTGTCGGCCGTCGGGGTGCATGTTGACTTTGACGCTGACGGGAGGACTTGCTTGTGGGTTGATGCCGGAGCTGGTGTTGACTTGAGAGATGGAGGCGGAGGTTGCGCTCGCACGGCGGGTTTGGTTCGCGCCATACCGAGTTTGAGAATCAGGCCTTGCACTTCGTCGAGATGGAGATTCAGATTGAGTTCTTTGATGATGGCCTGCTGCAAGTCCCGCTGCTGCGCCGCCCGTATCTGCCAGACCAGCTGGGAAGTTGCTGACCGGCTGGCTTGGGTTCTGGTGATCTCCAACGAGTCTTGAAGGATCGGGGTTCATGACTCCTTGCGGCATCTGTAAAGATCCTGGCGGTGGCGGTAGGTAGTCTAGCGGTCTTGCTGCATTGGGTGGCGGACCCGGTGGAGGCGGAGGCAAGTCGAACACGACCTGCTGCTGCTGCTGCTGCTGCTGCTGTTGATGGTGCGACTGCTGGTATGGGTCGTGATAGGGCGGCTGTGGTGGCTGTGGATGTTGTTGCTGCCACGGCTGCTCGCTTTGATATTGACCTTGCGGCAACAAACTAGTTGCAGCCGGCAGTGGAGGATGGGAGGTATCAGGTCTGACGCTCGGGCTGCCCAAAGTATGGTCCTGTGCTGTTGGCCCGGTCATGATAGTATCTGACAGGCTATCCCGCCTGCCACTCGCATCCTGCGCTCGCGGATATCGATCTGAATTGCGGCGGTTGAAGCTCGCTTCGTGCTGCAATTCTTGCTTTCTGACCTTTTCGAGCCTGTCATCCTCTCTGCGATTCTTCCGCCTCTGATTCCAATCCCGAAGTCCGGCAATTGCACCCATAGTGGCAATGCTTTCTCTCAGATTTGGGCCTTCAGCCGCCATTTGCCTTCGTGGAGGCGCAAAGCTGGTGGCTTCAGAGTAGGAGAGTGAGTCGACACTATGGCGCGTTCTATTTGATGGCCGCGTCGGTGTCATGGGCTGCGTGTCTGCTATGTGAACTCGCCGGTTGCCCCTCTGATCCTCTGGCGAGAAAGGGGCTTGGCCTGCTTCAACGCGAGAAACGTCCGTTTGACTGACCATACTTTGATGACGTCCATGTTGCGGTGGCGGTCTATAGCTGACTTCAGAGTCGACGTACCCGTCCTTGCGCTTCTTTTTGCTCCCGAATAAGCTCTTGACGCCCTGGAAAGCCGCAATACCTGCAGCACCTCCCACTAGTCGATTACGCCAGGTGTTATCCTGCGGTCTGTCATCTTTGTCGTCCCAGCTCTCGGGAGACATCTCCGATTCGTTGTGTCTCGGTCGGTGTGGGGTTTGCTGGTCATTGTACTGCCCATGTGGAGGTGGTCCGCCCTGCGGTCTTCTACCTGGAGTGCCAGGTCGACCGTACTGCACGGGAGGCCCTATTGAGGTGGCCTCGGAATATGCTGAGGGACCAGGTGGTCCTCCGTGTCTCCGGTCGTCTCTTCGGTCGCTTCTATCGTCTCTACGCTCGTCTCTCCGGTCATAATCGCTTTCCTTCTCATCGATCTCCTTACGATCTTGTCGTCCTTTCCACCACTTGTAAGCTCCGGCAGCTCCTGCTCCGACTAACAGCTTCTTTCCCCAGCCGGAAGACTTGTCTTCGTCTCTCCGCCGATCACGCGTCATGTCAGTCCGGCTACCGGTGAGGTAGCTGCCGGTGTAGTCGGAGTAGTAATCGGAAGGGTAATCGGAATGTGGTCCAGGGAGGGGAACTCCTGCTCCAAAACGAGGCTTGTTTCGGTATTCGAGCGTGAGGTAAGCCAATATGACCAACGCTCCATACAGAGCGTACAAGATGAATAGTGCTTTGGGCGAGCCGTATAGCGTCAATCCCAGAGCGACCTGAACGAATGCCAAGATTGCAACAGAACGGCCAAAGATTCGATGAAGGTGCACCTTGAGCGGGATTGTAGGATGTGCAGTCTTCCTCTTGCGTTCTCGTTTCGACATCCACCAGCCGTAGAGGAACTGTACAAGAACAGCGACGTATATGGCGACTCCAATACCGTGGTGGGGATTTGACAAGCTCCTCTCCGGTCCAACTGCAAACCAGCCCAATACCAGGACGACTGTAGCCGCAAAGACGGTCAAGATTTGGAGGTATACATGCAGCTTGTATGCAGTGCGTCCGGATGCATGGTAGAAGCGCGCAATGAAGATTGCAGCAGGCACAATAACCAAGAAGGTGATTGCAGCCATGATACCATGACCCATGATCAGGTTATGGTATTGAGGCAGGTCTCGAAAGCGATTCCCCATGCCATTGTATTGCATCGTCGCGAAGTTGAGGCCTTGCAGATTTGGTAGCAGGAAGCTGTTGCGATCGCTATCCCACGTTCCATCGCCCACGGCCATGGTATTGCTGTCGTAGGAGCTGGTGCCCGGGCCGGACAGGCCATCCGTTGTCGCCATGGCCATGAAGTGCTCGATCGATCGGTGGTTGGTGTGCCCTTTAGGCCAATGTTGCGCGAACGGCGCTCTCAGTTGTCAGAGGCCGTGGCCACAGCATTGTGTGAGAATGCTCCCATGCACCCGTGTGCAGTTGATGGGGTTGGAAAGTGGGCAGCGGTGTGGGTTCCAGACGATGTGGCGGCGGGGTGGGGTATCTCGATGCGCTGTCGTTGCGACGGATGGCTTGCTGATATTGTCGTAACGATGGTCGGTTCTTTTGTGGGATGGGATGAAGACTGTCCCAGGAGATTGAGCGCGAGTGTGAGAAAGCGTCTTAGCGACGACTGCTCAACCAAGGATAACTAACGTTTAGAGCTGCAAATTGTGTGGTGCTCATCATAGCCAGCGCTGACGGAGTCTTGTTGATGGCCGATGCTTCGTCCCGGCTCCCACGGCAACGCCGCTTCGACCTTTCGATTCAACATCCCAGCCTCGCAGATCTGCACCTGTTCGATGAATTGGCACGACAGAGGCCATTTTGTGAACAATGGACGTGGTTGAAGATGGAGAGCAGGTAACGGCAGAAGACTCTACAATTATGTTGCATGTGCCCGCATTCCAACCTCCTGGTGACTGGAGCTCTGGAAATGCATTCCTCAGCCAATGCCACAGGGTCCAGCTTGTGAAGGCCACCTCATACTTCGTCGCATTCGTGTTGTTACTACGGTCGGTCAGAAGCACCTAGTAGTCGGTCGTACACGGTTGTGATTAGTTCGTCATGGCGAAATCACATTGTCAGCGGATAAAAAGACAGGATAGCCATGATGTTGAACTCTGTATAGGTTCTACAGCGAAGCGGGTGCATCAATTGCGCATTCTCCCTTCTTCTGTATCACAACAGGGCCTACCATATTGTACCACCAGACTGTTGATATGAAGACGATGTCTCACATCAAAGAAGTAACTGGAAGATTCATTCTGTTTCCCAGCCCGCACAATTGTTCGCGGGTCGCCTTGCACATGCGGCCTCAGCTCCACGATTTGCGACGTCCGTGCTCGGTACGTCTCGAAGCTTCCATCTGCTGCAGGTCTTTTTATTCCACCTTCCAGCTCCTACCAAACACTTCTCAGATCACTTCCACTTTCACATTCTCACAAACCTCTCAAGATACCCGACCACTCCACACCGGTCACTCCAACCGCAGCACTGATCTTGTACAGACAAGAATGTGAGTGTTCAGCAATCCTTCCCCAGTACAGCCAGCCCATCACATTACGAAACTTTGTTCAGCAAGCGCTGTTTGCCCGAGTTCCAATCTCTGCAACTCTTCCTCCTTCTCCCCACTCCATTCCATCTAACAATCAATCATCAATCATCAATCAACCATCGACAGCGTACTGACTACCCCGGCAGAACCTCATCACACCCCACATCACCGCACATCCACCGCAATCATGTCGGCCGAGACCTTTGAGTTCCAGGCCGAGATCTCGCAGCTGCTCTCCCTCATCATCAACACCGTCTACTCCAACAAGGAGATCTTCCTGCGAGAACTCATCTCCAACTCTTCCGATGCGCTAGACAAGATTCGCTACGAGGCGCTGTCCGACCCCAGCAAACTCGACTCTGGCAAGGATCTCCGCATCGACATCATTCCCGATGAGGCCAACAAGACCCTCACTCTCCGCGATACCGGTATTGGCATGACCAAGGCCGACCTCGTTAACAACCTCGGAACCATTGCCCGCTCTGGCACCAAGCAGTTCATGGAGGCACTCACTGCAGGCGCCGACATCAGCATGATTGGTCAGTTTGGTGTTGGTTTCTACTCCGCATACCTCGTCGCCGACCGCGTGACCGTCGTCTCAAAGCACAACGATGACGAGCAGTACATCTGGGAGTCATCCGCCGGTGGCACATTCACTCTCGCACAAGACACCGARGGTGAGCAGCTCGGTCGTGGTACCAAGATCATCCTCCACCTCAAGGAGGAGCAAACCGACTACCTCAAGGAGGCCAAGGTCAAGGAGGTTGTCAAGAAGCACTCCGAGTTCATCTCATACCCCATCTACCTCCACGTATTGAAGGAGACCGAGACTGAGGTTCCTGATGAGGACGCCGAGGAGTCAAAGGATGACGACGACAACAAGCCCAAGGTCGAGGAGGTCGACGATGACGAGGAGGAGAAGAAGCCTAAGACCAAGAAGGTCAAGGAGAGCAAAGTCGAGGAGGAGGAGCTCAACAAGACCAAGCCCATCTGGACCCGAAACCCTGCAGACATTTCGCAGGAGGAGTACGGCGCTTTTTACAAGTCGCTGTCCAACGACTGGGAAGATCACCTCGGTGTAAAGCACTTCTCCGTCGAGGGTCAGCTCGAGTTCCGGGCCATCCTCTTTGTGCCCAAGCGCGCACCATTCGACCTCTTCGAGACCAAGAAGACCAAGAACAACATCAAGTTGTACGTGCGTCGCGTTTTCATCACCGATGATGCCACCGACCTCATTCCAGAGTGGCTCTCCTTCGTCAAGGGTGTCGTCGACTCTGAGGATCTCCCACTTAACCTGTCTCGTGAGACCCTCCAGCAGAACAAGATCATGAAGGTGATCAAGAAGAACATTGTCAAGAAGACCCTCGAGCTCTTCCAGGAGATCGCCGAGGACAAGGAGCAGTTCGACAAGTTCTACACCGCTTTCGGCAAGAACATCAAGCTCGGAATTCACGAGGACGCACAGAACCGCAACGCGCTTGCCAAGCTCCTGCGGTTCAGCTCCACCAAGTCTGGTGACGAGGCCACCTCCCTCCAGGACTACATCACTCGCATGCCCGAGCACCAGAAGCAGATGTACTACATCACCGGCGAGTCCACCAAGGCCGTTGAGAAGTCGCCCTTCCTCGACGCCCTCAAGGCCAAGAACTTCGAGGTCTTGTTCCTCACCGACCCAATCGACGAGTACGCTTTCACCCAGCTCAAGGAGTTCGAAGGCAAGAAGCTTGTCGACATCACCAAGGACTTTGAGCTTGRGGAGACCGAGGATGAGAAGAAGCAGCGCGAGGAGGAGGAGAAGGAGTACGAGAGCCTCGCCAAGTCGCTCAAGAACGTGCTCGGTGACAAGGTCGAGAAGGTTGTTGTCAGCCACAAGCTCGCCGGCTCACCGTGCGCCATTCGTACCGGCCAGTTCGGTTGGTCCGCCAACATGGAGCGTATCATGAAGGCACAGGCTCTCCGTGACACCTCCATGTCTAGCTACATGAGCAGCAAGAAGACCTTTGAGATCTCGCCCAAGAGCCCGATCATCAAGGAGCTCAAGAAGAAGGTCGAGGCCGATGGCGAGAACGATCGTACCGTCAAGAGCATTACCACCCTCCTCTACGAGACCTCTCTCCTCGTCTCCGGATTCACCATTGAGGAGCCAGCCGACTACGCCGAGCGCATCCACAAGCTCGTGTCTCTTGGCCTCAACGTCGACGAGGATGTCGAGACCGAGGCGGAGGCTGCTGCACCAGATGCCGCGCCCGCTGCGGCCGCTGGCGAGAGCGCCATGGAGGAGGTTGACTAGATGTATGACGCATGACGGTCGATGTTTGTTACGTGCTCAATGAGTGAACCTTTACGCGGAACTTTGGCATACAGAGCAGGCGTTCTGTGTGGATGGAATAAAAAGGGAGTGAAGTGCATCTTCCTTCAGTCATGTACTCGTAGTAGCTTCTCTGACAATTCTGATGAATGAAAAGAACTTGTTAATACTGCAAACTTGTTTTGGTCTGGAGGTGAATTCATCCCATGTGTTGCCGACGATGTGAAAGTGGTGTTTTTGATCAGTCATCCAGACCTGCTTCACCTCATCTTCTGGCGGTGGATGTTGACCGCCCGCATAAGTTGCACCAACCTCGCGTGGCTGTCGATACATGAACCAGTCACTCTAGCCATTGGTGCACTGATCGCAGGTCCTGGTCTCTTCGCTTGTAAAACTTTGAGGCAAGCAGCAGTAAGTACTTGTCGACCGATTTCTTCCATGCATTCGGTAGCTGACCGAAACAAAGTGTCTCCCACGGCAAGGATGGGAATATGGCATTTGAGACACCCAGCGAGGAATTACGATCGCAGCTCATCTACCATCAACATCCGATCAAGATACTCACGAAAGATGCAGTAGCTATGGAGACTCAAGCTCGTTTGAAAAGAATCCTCACTACCCCAACCCTTACCCTAGGTCTCTTACTCCCTGGGCGATGGAGTTCGCAGGCACAAGACTACCGGCTAGTGAGGGAGCTGGGAGCATACTTCTCATGGTCTTTGACCTGATCCGAACCTCATTGGATAATGCCTAGGAAGGGACCGAGTCTACGGATTACAGCTGGAATATGAGCCGCGCGGCTGACTCCTTGCTTTGCTTTGCTCCCTGGTACAGACCAACAAGCCGTCGTCTCATCACTCTGGCATCATTTACATTCATGATCCCTGTGAGCATGGTAWACACGCCCAGACCCAGCATTTGCTACCCGCATTTTTCATATACCGAGATGGATTCACATTCCAGTGTACCTAATCACTCTTGCCGTCCGGTCAGGAATGAGTGGCGTTTAGTCAAATCGTGACGGTGTCTTCATGATACATCGAGTGAATCTGCTCTCAAGTCAATCTGAACCCGGATCACACCGGACCGACAGCGTGAACKAGGTGCCCAACCATGAGATGCTTCTTATCACGGGTTTTGCTGGTTGCGGCTTTCCTTGGTCTCTCTTCTGGACAAACAACGACATGTCCCGGCGCTGCCGATGGAACTATAATCAACAATAGCGCTGGAGTGCCATATCGTATCTACTGCGCTGGGGATTTCTCCCAAGATCTTACGGTTGTGAACGCCATTCGGTCGTTTGATGCGTGCCTTCTTGCGTAAGTCAACCTGAAAAACAGACGATGGTGGTAGACTGCTCGATACATTGAACGCCTTACGGGTAATATTGGTCCACACACTAATTCTCAATTCCAGATGTGACAGGACCGCCCGTTGTTTAGCTGCGGTATGGGATAAGAGCGAGACATGCTATCTGAAGCCTGCCAATGGAGTCCTTAGCAGCGGCAATGCATACGTTGGGGTAAGAGTCAATGGTGCGGTTGGGGCAACATTCTCTACGTGAGTTATCTACAAAGGAAGTGGTTTCTCCCAGCTAACATGGATTTCACAGCACTTTTACACCTACATTCACACGGACGTATGAACAATGAAGCTCTYTGCTGTAAGATCTTGTCGTTGACATTGTGTAGGGAGACGACGAGTAACATCGCTACAACTACTGCGGTGACGACGCGATTGGTAACGTTTACGACTACATCAGTGCAGACGTCGCTTGTGGTTTCTACAGCGCCTGGTAAGATCCCACTCTTGGAATACCTCGTAGCAGATGAGACCTAATTTTCGTAGGCACTACTGTGATTTCGACACAGACCAACACGGCTACTACCACTGTCCTATCGAGCTTTCCTGTCACCACGACCATAGTCTCAGTACAGACCACCACCTTGACCACGCGTACTGTGGAGACCTCTTTGATTGTTTCAATGGCCCCAGGTGAGTAGTGCCAGTCAAAAAGACAAATTGGAATCATTTTCCTGACGTCTCGCAGGAACCACTGTCACAAATACCCAGACAAATACCGCAACGAGCGTTATCGTGTCTAGCATCCCGGTCACGACAACGGCCATATCGTACCAGACAAGTACCTTCACGACGAGCGTTCTGCAAACTACTCAAGTGGTCTCGACTGCTCCGGCATCTACAGTCACTTCAACGGTTCTCRGTACAATAATCAGCACTAGCGTGAGCACAGTAGTGTCTACTGTTGTCTCCAGCTTTGTCGAGGTAAGCTGTAACTCATCGACGAGTCACCTGCATCAATCCTTGGATGGATATCTGCTTTATGTGGCAATTCGGAGAGTAGTAAAGTGTGAAGCTCAAATCCTCAACCATCGCATGACCATGTCGTGATCTATTCCCCTATCTTACAGTGATTAGCTAACATCCCGCTCACAGACTACCACTCGGCCATCGATTCTCGTATCAACAGCAACCGCGACGGCCATTCAGACGGTGCCAGGACCGCCAGGGCCAACTACGACCGCTATCCAGACCCAATCCACGGTGGTCGTCTCGACAGTGCCTGGTAGGAACCGTGTCCTATCCTGGAGACATTCRAWGCTGACTTTTCCCAGGAAATACGATTGTGTCCACTGCGTTCAGCACCATAGTCTCTACGGTAACCAGCACGATCACGACGACGGCTACCAATTCTGCGGTCTCGACATATGTTACCACTTTTGTCACGAGTTATGTAGAGGTGAGATCTCCTTCTCCGTTCCAAGTCAGGATGCCGTCATTTAATCGCTCATTGGCCCTCAACTCATTTCGGAGACGCTTTTTCGGCTCGTTGATGTAGCTGAAACTCCAATCACAGACTGTCACGCAACTGGTCGTGTCTACGGCGAGAGCAACCGAAACTACAACAGCGATAGTTACAGGACCCACACAAACGGTGTCGGGACCCACCATCATAAGAACCACAACTGCAATAGGCACAGAGACGGTCTCTGGTCCAGTCCAAAGTGCTCCTGCGGTGACGATAACAGTGTGAGTGAGTACATGCACCCGCTTCTGGGTATCTACATGCTGTTCCCAAGTCAATTTTGAGCTCACGATCTCCTAGGCGCAGGACCACGACGACCACAACCTCCTCCTTCTCCAGCAGCAGTATCACACCGCGATCCGTATCCAATACGCTCACATCAACGAGTCCACCGCCAACAAGAAGTTCGTCCTTGTTAGGATCCACAGCATTGCCCACAGACTTCTCGAACGCTGGAGCTTGGTGCTGCGTGGCTTGATGAGCGCCACTCCGCAGATCGAGACTTTAACCCAGGAGCCTTGACGAACATTGAGATGATCCGGAGGTCATGTATCATTCGCGATGACGCCTCACGGCGAGTCGCTACCCGTTTATAGCAAACGCCGGAGCTGCGTTCGAAAAGTATCCAGGCATGTTTTGCCGATGCAGCCTTTCAATCTAGGGACGTGATTGGAGAAGCATTCGTAAAAGCAATCCATGGAATTCGATAGCGAAATAATATCATATAGACAGTTTCGAGACAGCCACAACGCCCAAGATGTGGTTACACGAGACGAGTTGTAGTTAGTTTCCCCTTGCTCATTTGAGCTGCATGACTGATGATGCGGACCCGAATCTCAAGAGCAAAACACGAATGCAGAGTGAGCGATGTTGGCGACATGTCTTGCTGCGATTGCCTATTCGGAGCAGGTGACTCATTAACGAAAAGCAATTCATGGTACTCACCACTCGCCCTTATTAAGCAATGAAGCAGACCCAGCCTGTTGTTTGGTCCGGTACTATGGGGTTCCTGGCGGAGTCGCGTGAGAGCTAATGGTCCAGGATCTGCGGGTGATATTGATTGTTGAACAGGGATGTGCATGCAGGAGGCGCTGTTATGCATGGTGTGTGCCATGTGGTGTAGACACACCGAACTGTATCGCAATCTATCAATCTCCGAACGTGTGTGTTGTGGAAGTTGACTGTATAGCAGCTGGACCAATGGGAGGATGAATGTGAGGGCCAAGTGGGCGCGTCCAGTCGATCCTCCCGTCAGCTTGAAAGACATCAACAGATTGCTGTGCGATGCCTTGTGTTGTTTGCGTGCAAGATGGCTTTGGATGGTCGCACTCGCCCGCCGTCAATGGCAGCAGCATCAGGGCTTGTCATTTCTAGGAAGGTGCAATCTGCCGATGATGAGACTACCTTCTGGCTCAGCTCCGGATGGCGGGTCGAGTTTCCGGCTCGACTGGACCGCGTGTGTGCAGTGAGTAAAATGCCGTGTTCGAGCGCCACCCGCCGACGGGCCAAGCTAACTTGGTGGATATTCGATAGATTCCCCTGCCGCATTTGGGAAGCAGCAGTCACATGCGGGCAAGACTAGACGCATGCTTTTTGCTGGAGAGCGATCCGCCGCGAGAGGGTTTCGGGTCTTTTAATACCACGCGGCCGCCGCGCTGCCCATCTTCATTTCCAACGCTTCCGTCGTCCTTCGAAGCTCCAACGAGGAACAACGCTGCAGCTCATCTTGCCTGCTGTCGGAATCGCGTCCGTTTCGGGGCTCGAGCAAGGGTCTGTTCGCACTCTCCGAGTCGGGCTTGGTGCTGGTGGATCGTCGCACGAGGTGTCTGGGCTCTGCAGGTCGTTCTTCTTTGTTGTTGAGCGACATACTCGTCTGCCTCCGAGTTTCGACTGCGGTTTTGCCGGGCGTCTTTTCGCGTTGAGTATGCGACGGCGGTACAGTGTTGAGGTGCGATGATACAGCACTCTTGCCTTTGCTGTCGAGCTGGGAACCCTCGTCGATGCGCGAGCACGAGCGGGCCCGTACGACCGCCGAACGGACACAACGACCAGCACACTCCTCGACCGACATTCACTTACGCTTGGTCGCTCCTTCTTCTCTGCTGCCTACTGTTCCTTCCCAATGGTGTTACTGCAGGACGGATATATGGAGGTAGCGAGCTGCTACCGCGTGAGCTCATATTCGACCGAAGCGAACCGCCATCTCGAATGCCACTGCTAGCAAGGCAGGATCTCTCCGAACCCACGCCGTCGACGACCGCGAAACCGAAGGGAGCAAAGACATCTGCCACGGCAAGCAGTATACAGACCGCTATCCAGACCGGAGCAGCAGCACTTCCACGGCCATTTGACTCCAGCATTGGCACCAACTTTACATCTTCTTCATGTCCAGACTTCTTCAACGACTTTCTCAGCAACCAGACCTTCAACGACTGTCTGCCATTTTCGTTACTTCTTCAGGTGAGCACTACCAAGTAGATCAGAATGTTTGAACGGTTCTAACCACAATCACAGACATCCAACAGCTTCTTTACAGCTTCCCGTTCCCTCGTCCGACTCACTCAGACTCTAGACGCCACATGTAAAGTAAACCTGGACCAATGCACAGCCGCAATGGCCAGCTGGGCACAAGAAATCAAGCAAACAGATCGCTGCGGTCAAGACCTAGAAATGGAAAACCCAGTAGTGACACAAGCATACAACGGCTTCGTCTCATACAAGCCACTCTACCAAGCCGCCTGTCTCCTCGACGCAGGCGGCAACTACTGCTTTGCCAACGCAGCAACAAACGCCTCGGCTCCGACGAGCAGTTACATATACTACCTACCTCTCGGAGTAGAGCTTCCCGGAGGATCTCGACCGGCATGCACGACCTGTCTGCAAAATACCATGGCCGTCTTCGCAGAAGCCGCTGCCAATAAATCTCAGCCTCTTAGTGCGGACTATGTCGGCGCGGCTGAACAGGTCCAGATGACTTGTGGACCTTCTTTTGTGGGAGCTGCGGTACAGATTTCGGCGGCAACACCCACCACCTCCTCCATCATCACCTCTCGCAGTCTTGGAGGGCTTCTTATTCTTTCGGCCATTTTGATGACGAGCTTGTAGAAGAAGATCAAGTGCTGATCTAGTTTTTTGGAAATTTGAGGATTGATTTAGCGAAGGCGTCTCTGGGCATGTTGTTGACAGTCTCTTGGGGCACATTCAAACCGCAGTTCCATAGCCTGCGGAGTTTTTTTTTCTCTTTGAAAGCGCATTTTGCGACAGACGACATCTTATAGAGACGACATTCATAAGAGACATAAGAGACATTGATTGCTTTCATGGCATTTGGCAGTGAAATTGTACAAATTTTTGTTGGCTACATGGACTAAACATCGGACAGGGCATGAGGGGTATATTGCCGCTCAAGACAGATACAAAGGAGATGGTCATCATGTCATTCAGTCATATGTCGTCCCTTGCATGTCCCCGCCTAAAAACAATAGGCATTGGTGGGCAACTCTTGCGCAATTTCGCGCCTATCCTGGCCCTTGGCCTCTCCGTTCTCAGCACCGCCAGGAGTGCTGATTTGAGATGCTCTCTTGTCGGAATTCGACGTGACTTTGCTGAGCTGGAGGTTTCGTGGCCCGGATTCGACAGGTGTGATTTCGTCGTGCTGCTCATTGCTCATTGAAGAATGTGAGCGCTGCGGCGATGCTGTTCCTGTAGCGGAGCTCAGGGACTGTGTCCGAATGAGACTCCTGCTTTTCGGAAAGTCATGAGACCTGTAGGCTGGAGGGCGAAGCTCGAACTCTTCGAGTAATTCCATTCTCCAGTTGACCCTGACCCTTTTACCTCCGCAGATCRAGACGTCGCTGGCTCGAGGCGCGTCTACGAGTAGCAKTGGCAAACATCTGCGTAGGTAGCGCTGCATCTGAGCAGGTGATCGAATGTGTGGCGGCGCCCATTTGCCGTCCAGGTCGAAGTTCTCGGGCGAGGTTGCGTAGATCATATCGTTCGACATCACGGAATTCACGGTGGATGATGTCGTTTGCCGCACGACAGAGGGACGAGTTGGAGCTTCAACCGAAGGTGCAGTGTCTAACCTCGTCAGAGCAGCCACCTCCTCTCGGAAAAGCGTCATGTCAGCCTCATCTTCCTCGCGCGTGGGCGAATTCGTCTGATCATGGGTGGGTTCTGGAATAGAAGCCTGCCTTTCCGTCGCGAGATCTGGATACATTGTTTGGAAGATGCGCTCCTGCTCAGCTAAGAGGCTTGGAGCATTGAGATCGGCGGCCGTCGGTCTCGGTCTCCTTCGTCGCCTGGGAACAGTGCATTGCCTTGGTATGCTGCGGTCGTCGATGGGCTGCGCAATGTCTATCGCAGAGCCAATAGCGAACATGAATGCGTGGATGCCCTCCTCCTCGGGACCGGAGAGCAGGATTTGCTCCGTCTCGGCTCGTAATCTGAGGGTCGTGTGCTCCACTGGCTTGAACATCTCCGTGTCTTTCTGCCAGGCCCGTCGTCTCGCACTAGAGGGAATGAAATGAGCAAAACGAGTTTGCGGAACCAGCACCGTGTGCTCGACATCGGGAGCCAGTCCAACTTCAGCATGCTGTAGCGTATAAGAGTAAATCAACTTTCCAGGTGCTCCATCTTTGAGTCGGTATAGACTCAGCATTGTTCCGCGAACAGTTGCGTAGACTTCCTTCCAATCACTCGCGACAGCATCTGCCAGCGGGCTAAATGATTCAACACATAGATGGAGCTTGGCTTGTGCAAAAACGCTGCAGGAGTATTCTGGCAAGTCCTCGGCACCGTCAATTATAGATTCCTTTCTGCATCTCACGGCGCTCTGATAGTTGGGAGGTGCATCGTTGGATGGCGAGCACGAGGTCTGGAAAGCATTGTAGTAACTTGCCAGGCGGCGAGACTGTCTCGAGGACCGACTTGCAGTTTGAATGCTCGTTCTGGCCTCCCCGACGGGTGCATCGTCTACCATGGCAGTGCGAATAGCAGAGATGTCATACTGCCGTCGCTGTGAGTCTTCCGGAATCCTCCTAGGAAACTGTCTAGGTGGGTAGTCGTCCAATAAGATATCTCGCAGGGCGGCAGTGTCATATTGCCGTCTTTGATCAGTCTCGGCAATTCTGTGCGGAAAGACTCGAGGCGGGTAGTCTTCTTCCAACGAGGCGTCTCGAATGGAAACGGTATCATAATGCCGCCGCTGCTCGCTCTCAGCGGTCAGATAAATGGAGTCTCTCGGCGCGAGCACTGAAAGTGCATCGCGAAGCGCAGCAGTATCATACTGCCGCCGTTGCTCGGTTTCGGCGGTCAGCATTGCGAATGTCCTCGTAGATGGCTATTATCCAGCAATGGTCATCCAGGCGGGAAGTAGAAATGTACGTCGTATGTCCGGGCTTTCCGGTCACACGATATTTCGTGAGTGGTAGTGTGATCTCGGCCAGCTGTCCCGCACTCTACTTCGGCATTGTAGCACGCAGTGCAAGTGCAAGGTAGGCCTGGCGTGACAAGTGGTATGTATTCTCCCGCCAAACGCGAATCGAGTGAAGGAGAAAGATCAGAGGCAATGACCAACGATTGCGAGCCGTTTGGGCGCCGTTGCGTCCCTCGCTTGGCAATAGTCTTGTGATCGGGGTGCCTGGGGGTTCCCCGCAGATGATGAAGCTGTGGCGAGAATGCGGCAGGGATTGCTGATGTTGGATGAGTGAGCGAGTAGGTACACAGTGTCCGCGGGGCGTGGAGGGATTGTGCTATGTACATAGGTATTCCGCCTCTGCTACGTGCGCACGAGTCATCTTTAAAAGACGGTGGAACTGCCTAACCTCCTACTAGTCTGGATCTCCATGAGAGAGCGAGGCAAAACCCAGCACAAAGTCTAGAGCACCCATGCAACCCGATTATGGAGTGTCATCCGCCCGAGAGAAAGACGCCAGCGGCGGCCATGCTCGCTCGCGCACGGCCCAGATGGCACGTGGACCCGGCCTCCTCCACACCACCACGCGTCTCCATTCTCGGCTATCATTCACGCGATGACCAACTTGGACGCTGCTGTCTGCTGGGGTATGTCTAAGGTGGGCAATAACATATGACCTCTGTGTCTCAGTGATATCAGTTGWGCCCTCCACCAGCAGAAATTCGGATTCCACCGCACGTCTTCGGGATTTCCAAGGCTTGAGGATGAGGATCCGCGGCACCTCTTAGTGCCCACTGAATATCGGATTTCTTGCCCAAGCAGTCCTAACAATCTTCGCCTGGACGCTACTGACGTGTGTGCCAGGATGCAGGCTATGTTGCAAAGCACACTCGCAAATTGTCAATGTTATCGAAAGACCGTCGATTGTCGTAGTGCTGACAGAGCGCGTCAGGACTCGACCGGACAAGATTGAGCTTCTTGTTGTACACGGAATATTCCAGACTCGCGCCACCTGCAGGCTGATGAGATCGACGCGGTGCGGAATGCATTGGTCGAAAATTCAAAGCCAGAGCCACTTGGGTCGGATTTCTAGTTGCTTCGCGACTTCGGACGTCTCCGGGCACAACCTGCATCAACAGCGTCACGCCACCTTCCGTTCGGACATGAAGATTGTGAAATGAGTTGAGCAATGGATCGCAGCCTCACACAGGGCGACAATCATGTTCAAACTGATTGTGTTTCTGACAAGATCGTCGCTCCGAGGCCGATGACGAGGACGTGACGCCAAAGTCTAGTTGCCTCGACTTCTTGCCTCCCTGGTCCGCTCTCCAGGTCACAGCCAAACAAACAATTGGAATGCTGCGCCACATGCACCGTTTGCATGCTGTCTCGAATCCAAGGTTGATTTCCGCAACACATGTGATGATGAGCAGCACAAAACGCAAGGCATTGGCGGAGAAGCCAACGACTGGYGCGAAACGAGCCAAGTTGATCAAGGCTGAAGTGCCTGAGTACCACCTCACGCCATCCATCAAGAATGAAGACGGCACACTCCAGTGGCCTGCACCTCAGAAAGAGATTGATCGAGCAAGAGAGATCATCTTGGAATGGTGAGCAAGTCTGCTGACCCGAAGTGCTGCGTCAGTCCCGCAAAGAGAGGATGAGACAACATATCAGCGTCAACAACTGACTGGGGACGTGCTCATAGTGCCGAAGCCAAAAAGTCTGTTCTCATCGTACCTGACAAAGATGCTGACGGACTGAGTGCGGGTGCTATTCTGCGCCATACACTATTGCTGCTGGGTGTGCAGCCGGCTTTCATTACTGTCCATACATTGTCCAAGGGAAACACCATCCACAGTGAGGATGAACGGGCGAAAATGGCGGCCACGTCACCCGGTTACATATTTGTCATTGACCAGGGCAGCCGTCCTGGGMCTTCAATCATAGACGGACCACACACCGGACTCATCATAGATCACCACTATGCAACAGAAACCGACTTCCCGGATGGATCAGAGCATGTACGTACATCCCACGGGCTGTGGGCATAGCTGTCAGTGCGAGGGACATTGGTCGGAGGCGTTCTCACCTTTGAGCCTCTCTGTCACATCGCGAACGACTGTGCCACTGCGGAGTATCCTGGCGGCTCAGAAGGCCGAGACTCCATCGAGAGAGTAAAACCACTCTGCAAAGACCCTCGAGACGGTGGTGGGGATTGCGAGACCTTGCTTGACATTCAATTGTCCTCATATTGACCGCTCTGGGCGAGCATGGACAAGTTGCAGCTAATAACATTGCGCAGGTGACGGCATGCTTCTCACCGCCCGTGGCCACATCCGCCTTATTAACGTATACAATCTGTCGACCGTTGCATCCAGATGTCGAAGAACGCTGTGACTGGCTTTGCGTAGTACGTGCAGCAATGAGCGCACTCAGACGAGTCTGGACTTGTACTGAATTCCATTACAACAGATTGGGACCCACGGCGATCTCGGGAACACTATCAAGTGGAGCCCACCATTTCCTGATATGACCGGCACATTCAAAAAGTACACCAAGAAGCGTCTAAACGACGTCGTAAGCTTAGTTAACGCACCTCGTCGCACCGCAACTTTTGATTCTTCGTCGGCTTTCGAAGCATTATGCGACACCACCGACCCGGCCAGCGTACTGTTGAATCCTAGACTGCTAGCTGCCCGAGCTGAAGTCAACGCGGAAGTAGAGAGATGTACGCATACGCCGCCAAAGTTCTCTGCAGACGGGAAGGTCGCAGTCTTCAGGATCAACTCAGAGTGTCAAATCCATCCAGTAATAGCAACTCGTTGGGCTGGACATCTGAACAGCAAAGCTCTCGAGATCGTCTTAGTGGCCAATGAAGGCTACCTGCCAGATAAGGTAAACTTTAGCTGTCGCATCGCCAGATGTGCGCGAAGTCGAGATCCTCAAGTCAACATTATTGAGAGCCTCAAGTCATACGCAAGCCTTCCGGAAGACGAGGAAAACGAGCCTGAAGGTGGGAGACCAGGACTATTGGAGCGCATGGGAAACGACTTCGCACGAGGCCACGTGCAGGCAAGCGGTGGCATTGTCAAGAAGGGGGAATTTGAAGAACTCATGAAGAAGATGCGGATTGGAGTGAAGTCTGAAGCAAAAATGGAGAAATCTCCCAGTAAGAGCACCCAGAGTAATACCCTGTTGTCGTACTTCAAGAAAGGCTAGCTTTTGGGAATTCATGGATGAATGAAACCGTTCGACTCTCACCAGTCCTCCGCAGCAATGCAAATTGTACATTGCCTTTCGAGATTCTGCCTTGCCCCATGACAGTCTCAGCCATTGAGGAGTATCCAAATAGCCCCAAAGACCAAATTTCATCGAGAAAGCAGTTTATAAAAACGGCTTCCGGGGCTTCCGATCCGCTCACATCCTCTTGCTTGGAGGAGGAGGAGGAGGTATGTAAGTCGTATTTAGAGTTTCGACAACGTCGTCGATCAATCTTGGCCCTACCCTACGCAGCAACAACAAAGTCCCGCGATGCCTCGAAGTTGGATCGCGTCAGACATCGCAGCTRCGCAATTGACGCCTTCTCGTGGCAGTGGAACGGTCGGCTCAMGCTGACTCCAGCCCGGTCACCATGGACCACGCTAAGCAGGATCAAAATCCAGGTCAGCGAACGGAAAAGAGGAACCAATCCGACAATGCACCAGACATGGATAACTCGAAGAAGCCTTCTAAACTCAAGAAGCTGTGGGGAAAAGCAGGACTTGACAAGATCACGCTGATTCTCATGCTGAAGGGCTCTTTGCCGCCTATCATTGCCATTGCCATGTATCAGTCTGATGCTGTCGCGAAGGAGTACGCCAATTTGGGATACCTGGTTGCCATCCTCTCAGTCCTCGGAATGGCTATTCTCCCTCGAGGAATTTTCATWCAGACGATGCTAATGAATGTGTTGGCGGTTTGCATTGCTGCCGCGGTCAATTTGCTGGCCCTGTATTCTGCGATCCAGGCTCGAAAGCATACTACGCCGGCAGGAGCACCACCTACAGGGTACGTAGAAGCAGAGTTTGCACGTCAAGAATCAATGGTGTTGCATTCTTCCTGCAAAGTCTTGTTTTACGCTGACACTCTCCCCCTGTTCTCCAGATATAACTCCTCCGCGAGTGCTGTCCTGGCTGTGTGGCTTTGTTTCCAAACCTTTCTCGCCAATGCAGTACGAGCTTCGCTTCCACAGACACAGTTCGCAATGATCGTCTACTCGATCTTTGCTATCGTGAGTTCCACATATGGGACATTGTTCCCCACGATGTCTTACGCCATAACATTCGTGGAGTCGCTGTTGGAAGCCTTCCTCACGGGATTCGCAATTGCAACAGGCGTCAGCTTGTTCGTATTCCCAATCAGCACACGTCAAGTTGTATTCAAAGAACTGGCCGGGTATCTCGGATCCTTGAGTGGCTTACTCAAAGCCCAAGGATCCTACTTGCAAAGTTTGGAGACGTTTGATCCAGCTGGAAACGATGATAGTGACGAGAAATCTGCATCCTCCGATAAAGGACGCCACAATCTACTCATGACCGCAGAAGGCCATAAGTTGAAGGCTGAACTGGCGAAGCTCTATGCCCTTCATACCAAGCTACCCAACGACATCAACTTTGCCAAACGAGAGATTGCAATTGGAAAGCTGGGACCCAAGGACATCTCAGGGCTATGGAAGTTGATCCGGCCCATCATAACCCCCATATCTGGATTGAGTGCTGTTATAGATATACTGCAACGTCGAGCAGAGGCGGTGCGAAATGAAGTATCCTCCTCCGACGACATAATGAAACGTAAAAGAATCGATGATCTTCATCACCTCATGAAGTCTCTCCACGAGCCATGCGAGACTATGAGCACGAACATTGCATCTGCTTTCCAGCATGTACTCATCACATTCGAGCTCACCAATCCTCCAAAGCAACGGCAGGATGAAGAAAGCCAAGGCAGAGACGCAGTTCCAGGCACCGCAGGCTTCGCAGAGTCTTTCAAAAATCAGCTAGACTTGTTCGTTGATTCGAAAAAGAAGAGCCTGCGGGAGTGGTGCTCGTACCACGACATAGACTTACCACCGGACTTCTTTGATCCTGGCTATACGCGATTCGACACGGATATTCATCAAAAATATGCCAATGATGAGGATCTTCGCGAATACGATCGTAGGCATTTGTTCTTTGCCCTTTATGTGGAATATCTTCTTACTAGGATTGGGCTGGCCGCGCTAGACCTGGTACTCTATGCGGATGAGAGGAAACAAGCTGGGGCCCTGACCAAGACGAGATTGATCATCCCAGGTATCAAGACCTTGAAGAAATGGGTGCGATGTTCTCTTGGACGAGAAGAATTGCCCCATGAGCACACGGCTGATTACGACTCTACTGGTTCCCAGTCTCTGTACCTTGGCCAAGCGTATCAAAAGACCAAGGATCCGGAGCATATGCCACCGCGGAATGTTTGGGAGAAAATTGGCGAGACCATTCGGCTTATTCCCCGTGCATTTCGTAGTGATGCTTCGTCGTTTGGGTTCAGAGTCATGCTCGCGACGATGACGCTTGGGATCATATGTTTTCTGTAGGTGGACTTCCCTCTCATCCGGCTCCTTCCACCAGCCGAAGGTTGACGCGGACATTACTAACAACTCATTCCTCTAGACGTGATTCCCAGAGCTTCTTTCTACAGAATCGCTTGCTTTGGGCTATGATTATGATACCACTATCGATGACTCGAACGGCTGGCCAATCTACATGGAGCGTTAGTATACTCGAAGGACGTTGCGATTTAAGAGCTAATTTCATGCTAGTTCATTCTCAGGATTCTAGGAACTGCGATTGCCATGATAGCCAGCTATATCATCTGGTATATTGTGGATGGTAAGGTAGCTGGAGTCATTGTCTTCCTCTGGGTTTGGTTGTTCTGTGCTTTCTACGTTTTCATCAAGTTTCGCGAGCTGATCATCGTCGGGCTGATTTCTGCCATTACTGCTATCTTGATCATCGGCTATGAGTAAGTGAACCCCCGAGTCAGGGCGAAGAGCATGTCTCAAAGCTACGCCTTGATTAGAGCACCCCGAGAACACGCATACTAACCCTTAACCCACCCGCTTAGACTCCAAGTCCAGGTTGTGGGTGTTGCAGCCTCCGAAACCAATGGACAACCCGCCTACCCTACCTATCTCCTGGCACCTTATCGCCTGGCAACTGTATGCGGAGGTCTGGCCGTTGCCTACATCTGGACAATCTTTCCGTTCCCCGTTTCAGAATCGACAGAGCTGCGCAAAGATCTTGGCGGATCACTATATCTTCTGGCTAACTTGTACTCTGTCGTTCACGAGACTGTTTCGTCGCGCGTAAAGCGAGTGGATGGTGACGAGAAGACCAAAGGAACGAGAGCCTATCACTTGGAAAAGGCTCGAACGGCGGTCTTCCTCAAACTGTTGACGCTTATCACCAACCTGCAGCAAAACTCAGCATTCAGCAAGTTCCAGGTCCGAGTTGGTGGTAGATTCCCTCATGAACGATACCAGGATTTGATCGAGTGTGTACAGCGAGTGCTTCAATACGTTACGCTAATCAGTGAGCGACCTTGCCCCGATACAATCCACAGCAATGCTAACACGATTCTCAGGCTATGCATCAAAAACCTTCTCGGACTCAGCGGTCGACTCAGAGTGGTCCCTCGACTTCCGCAAGCTCCTTGGCTCAGTGGACGCTACAAGTCATAAGTTGACAAGTCTTCTCTCGCTGCTTTCCAATAGTTTGACACATGCCCGGCCGCTACCGCCTTATCTGGAGATTCCACAACATCGACGTTACGTCAAGGCGCTGGAGAAGATTGATCCCAAGATCTTGAGTGCTTCTCACATCGCAGAGCCCGAGTATGCGGCTTTTGCAACCATAACATTGTKTGCACAGTGTGTCAATGATGATATTGTGAAGATCACCCAGTAAGTTGACCCTAAGAGCATGATGGCAGAGTGTCTCTTAGCATACGCTTGATTCATTCAACTCTCCCCGTATTTGAGAATAGCAAGTCGTTTGTSCACATTGCTGACTCCGAGACTTTGCCTCTAGGCACGTAAAGTTCCTCTGTGGAGAGATGGATTTCAGTTTTCATGCTGTGAGCACCAACGACGACTCTTCAGAGGACTCGTTTGACGTGGACCAGAAGACGTTGCCGGCTTGATGGAGTGCGTGGTTAAAAGCTATCGTGGTTGTATATAGATGAAGAAGATAAAATAATAATGTGGGCGAGCACATACCCATTCACAACAGTATCATCTAAGATTTAAGGTTTGAGACCCTTGTCAGAAGCGGAAGTCACCCGTACACCATACCGTGCACATGCGAACTACTGGTTCCTGGCTCCACAAACATAAACACAACACCGCCATTTCAGAACCTCCATACGAACTCCAGCTTACCGTCGAAGCCGTTGAGTAGTTGCCTTCGATCCGTTCGCGCGAATCAATACATCCCAACGAAGTGCGCACCATARCTTGCTATCAACATGGTCGTGTGTCCCACCCATCCGAACCACAACAMCGTAGACTTCACAGCTAATAACACCCTCACCCCCCAGCTCGGACGTCTCACCCACTACGCCTTCGACGCAATCCTCGTATCCGCTTTCCTCGCCGGCGTCAAGCGCTCAACAGGCCTCACGTAAGCTCTTTCAAAACGCCCTCAAGGACCCACAGAGACGCAGAGAGCTCTTTGGGAAAGCTTGCGGGGATTAAAGATATATGATAGCAACCTGTGATCTGACCCTAACACCATAGTCCCAGTCTGAAACCAGATGCGTTCTCAGAGTCACCGGGTATCAAGAAGTGGGTGGAGAATTACTTGTGGGTGGGCGAGACGGTGATGGATCAGAGTGTGGCGTTGATGAGCGCGAGTGGGTACTTTGAACGGAAGAGATGATGGATGGAGGAAAGCTTGTACACAGGATATGGGAGACGATGGAGCGGAATACGGCTAGCAGATGGCCTCCATATTGAGATGATGCGACACGATTCGGAGCAGATGCCCCATGTGCGGGCAGAGGGGAGTACACGGCGTTTCTACTACAAACTCATGTTGAAGGGTATTAAAACACAATATACTGTACTCTCACACTCGGTGCGACGTAGGCGGGATTGATTTCGAATTTTGCTGGATTATGGCGAGCCATGTATGCATGAGAAACTGTTCGCATTTGACACTTGCTACGCCGAGCTAGTACGAGGAAGATCCYACAGAGCTTTCCTCTGAGACCGCACCCGCCCAAGGTCCTTTTGTTGTGACCCAACGCCGTTCAGGATGCAGTCGCTGCGAGAAGGCGCAATGTCCGCATGTCCATTCCCATTTCCAGCTCCCCCATCGCTCCCACAATACAGTCGTTTATCGCGTCGCTTAAAACTTGTTGAACTGCTTGACCTGCTTGCCAGTTCTTGGCAGCACGCGCAGAACGTTGAAGCGGACCTACAAGAGGTGTTAGTTGTCGGATTCGGAAGTTCGGAATGATCGCGTGAGCTGCTCACAGTCTTGCTCAAAGGCCGGCACTGGCCAACGGTGACCTGGTCGCCGTCCTCAACACGGAATGCTGGGGAGACGTGTGCGGAGAGGTTCTTGTGACGCTTCTCGTAACGGGAGTACTTGGGGATGAAGTGGAGGTACTCGCGGCGGATGACCAGGGTACGGTGCATCTTGGTGGACACAACGGTACCAGTGAGGATACGGCCACGGATGGAGACGAGTCCAGTGAAGGGGCACTTCTTGTCTGCGCAAAAAGGTGTAAGTCCAATGTTGTCCATGAAATCCCCAACTCCGATATTATCCTCATCATGTCCTCCAGCTTTCCCATACTGCGCCGCATGCGCACATCCAATTCTCGCGGGCTTTACATACCGATGTACGAGCCCTCAATGGCGGTCTTGGGCGTCCTGAAGCCCAGACCGACGTCCTTGTACCATCTCCGGCCGCCCTTGCCGACCTTGTTCTTTCCGGTGGTCTTCTTGTTGTTGGTGAAGATGTGCGGCTGCTTCTGGAAAGCGCGCTCGCTCTGGACAGCTAATTCGGTGGCCATCGTTGTGGTGTTGGGTGGTGGGAGAGGTTGTCGACGTCGAGTTAACTTCGCTTCGTGCCTTCCGTCGAAACCTCGAAGTGTGGAAAAGATTGCCAAGAGCGCTAGTCCCGATTCGAGCAGCAGCCAACTCAGGATGATCTGGAGAACACTCTATTCAATGAATACTTCAATGACCACCTCGATGTCTGTTAATAGTAGAAGTGCCATGGAGTATTGAAATCACACGTGTGAGTATGTAGGAGACTGCAATTGATGTGTAGTGCGACATGTCGACTTATTGCATGTTGTTGACCTTCCAAACTCAAGATGTTGCAAGACGAGGCGGTACGAGCTTCATCAGACATCACGTAGCTGCACAAGCCATACCGAACCTCTACACAATCCATTGCCAAACTCGCCATGTTGTCCCTACGCGCATCCCGACTCCTCTCTGGAAGACAGTTCACCACCCGCTCAAGATTTACCGCAACAAGATTCGCACCCACTGCTGCAGCATCGCAGTCAAGACGACAGATCAACACAACCTCCGCGTTCGGCAATGCGCTCCTCCGAGGACGACAAAGTGCTCTGACAGCTTCTCTTCAGTCACTACGGATCGGTGGCTCCGTGACAATAGCAAGAGATCAGGTGCGAGGCATGAAGGTGCGAAGCAGTGTCAAGAAGCTGTGCGACGGGTGCAAGAGTGTCAGGAGAAAGGGCGGCAAATACGTCTACATCATTTGCAGTAAGAACCCAAAACACAAGCAGAGGTATGTGAAAGCTCTCCATGGATTTTGGGAAAATATGTACTAATGTGATGCAGGCAAGGATGAGATGGATTAGTTTTGTACAACTATTACGACATACCACAACATAGCGAAAGGCGTTTTGGGCTTGTGCTGTACAGTATCAAGGAGGACATTGAAGTTGGAAGAAGGAAGGAACGGTTACGTCTCGGCGGGGCAGTCCATGACTGCATTATAGGATGCTATCGCTCCGCAGAACACCACAAGCGGACCGTGGCCCATCAATGCTGGCCTAAGGGGAGCCAATCACCCTCTCAGGTACTTACTACTCAACAAACACTCTCGGCTTACGCGCCATTCCCTTCAATCACTCTACGATCTTTGCCCGCCAGTATCCGCTGCCTTCAACCTCGTAGTGTCAATCGCCAACTCGTCATCGTCCTCGAAGCCGAAGATTGCTACTCTCCGAGCTCTCAACTCCCCTAAAGCATTTTCATTAATAATATTTCCATTGATTTCTCCTCCGCGTCCTTCTCCTGCACTGGATTTTCCTGCACCGGATGTGTCTCCAACTTCGACACGCGTAGCTCGGATTCCTCTCGTGCAAGTCGTCTCATTTATAGCCCAGGCATTCAAAGTGAGGGCCCTCCTCAAAGAGTGTCTTCCCGCTAGACTTGAAGCTACAAGCCGCGACTAGGCTGAGACCAGGGCCTTCGTACGCATCTGCAACAGCTCGATTTTGGGGATCCTTGCAAAGAGGGACAGTTTTAGGGGCGGCGTTTGGCGATGGAACTATCTGATGCATCATTTTCATAGATAGTGAGTAGCCTTACACTGCCACCAATTAATGCTACTGCTGCTGCTCTTCCCACTTCAACAGCTCTGTACCACTCACACACCTCATCTGCTAAGTGACTTTTCCCTGATGAACCATGCACTAATCGCCGCCCCAGCGACGAGAACAATCTGGAATGAAAACGCAGCTGTGGTACTCCGAGCGTAGCACGCTTCCACAACGACCCTCACATTCGGCTCCAGATTTCGTAAGTAAGCCAGGCTCTCGCGTACCTTGTCCGCAATTTCAAGTGCTTCTCCCTCTGGAAGACCTAGGTTCGGTAGTTCAGAAGCCAGACTATTGCGTAGTGCGTTGTTGGCCACCGTCGCCGAAAGCGAGACTCCAAGCACGCTTCCCAATGATCGGAAGAGGTAGGAACAAGCTGTTGCAATGGCTTGATCTTCATGTGAAGCGTTGGCGATGATTCCGATGAGCGTCGTTGTAATGCCGTTGCCGTTGCTGAACCCGTTGATACACATTCCCACAATCATACCCGCAGTGCTGCTAACGAGCACGCCGGAGCAAAGGAAGATCAAGACTGTACCGACAACCAGACCAGAGTAGCTCAAAATTGTAAGCCAGTAGAATCGGCCCGTCCACTTCATATAGAATCCAGCGAACAGTGATCCCGATACACCCATAAGAACGGCGGGAATCATGCGGACACCAGCACCAGTTGCTGTGATGTGTTTAGCAACCTGCCAGTATAGTGGGATATAAAACGATGTAGCCAACCAGCCAGCCATGGCAAACAGGTTGCAAAGGTAGCAGGCGATGATTGACCGATTGAAAACGATGTGCCCAGGCGCGAATGGCTCTGTTGCCACCTTCGTCTCCACAACGATGAAAGCAGCAAAGAGAGGTATGGAAAGGCCCAATGATATCAGCGTGATGGGAGCTTGCCAAGAAACATTGCTGCCGCGATCCAAGGCCAGCAGTAGCGTGAAAACTGCGGCGATCAAGAAGATGGCTCCGCCGAAATCGATTCTCTTGAGGTTCTTCTTCCATCCTCCAACATTCTCTCGCTCCGGGAGATTCAGTACGAGATATACCGCAACGAAGGCGACTAAGCACATGGGTGCTTGGATGAGGAAGCTCCATCGCCAGCCGATGTAGTCTGCGAAGATTCCACCAAGCGGAGCTCCAGCGCTGGCCCCCGCTGCATAGACGATGTTGATGTAGCCTTGCCAGGTTCCTCGCTCCCGCAGGGTGCAGACATCAGACAGGATGATTGAAAAGCAAGTCGTCATCGCACCGCTTCCGATGCCGGCAAAGGCCCGAGCAGCGATCAGATGCTCGATATTCGGACTGAGGCCGCACCACAGACAGCCAAGCTATGTCGTTAGTGATGTCCATTCGCGAGACAAGAGAGCAGAGTCTCGGGTTCCTACGACTTACCCCAAACACAGTGTAGCCAAACAGTAGGCAAACCTTACGGCCAAAGATATCCGAGAGCTTGCCATACCTGCCAAATAATCAGCAATGCCTTGGATGATGGCCAACGTCTTGACGTAACCCGAGAGACGTTCTCGAGCTAGCCCGGACGCCTTTCGTCCTCCATRATCTTACAATGGTTGGCATGATGTTAATGTGAGGAAGTATGCTGTGGCAATCCAACTTGTTTTGTTCAACGCATTGAGTTCGGTGCCTAGATGAACGGGCAGAAGGTGTCAGCAGGAGTGTCTCAGATGGCGAAGGGTCCAAAGGAGGTCATGGCTAGCAAGTCGCCAAGTTCCTCACACACAAGATGTGAGCTTCGATGCGAACTTTCAACGCCTTGCCTAGCAAGAGGGCTTTTTCAGTTTGGGAAACCTCCAACGCAAAGAGATGCTGTACTCGCTGTGGACTTATGGGGAAGCGAATTGTGTTACGACATACCTATTCGGCCATAGCTAAAAAGAATGTTAATTGGTACGCATGCCATTCAGTACATCTCAGACACATACCTGCTAACAATGATTGTTTGGTCTGCGGCGGAAAGAAAGACACCAATAGCCACGGCCGGGAAGATATATTTCATCCTCTTCTTGACTTCAGGCAAGCCTTGGTGCTTTACCTGATCGCCTGGGGCTCCTTGGCTCTCCGGATCATCATCAATTGGCGTTCCATTGGCATTGAATGTGCCATTTCCTGTGACCCCAGCACCGGTGTTGGCAGAATCTGGAGTAAGACCATTACCGGGCTCTATACTTCGGATCGCATTTGAAATAAGAGGTGATGTCTCGGTAGCGTGCTCCCCGTCGGACATGCTTGCCGTTTCGGCTGTTGAGATAGACGATGTGAGAATGCAGAGTTGAAGTCTTCCTACCGTGGCATTGTTGACTACAACAGTAATCACTCAACTCCGAGATATGCTGACGAGGTGGGTCAACAGGAWCAGGATCAGGCGAGCGGTGGTGACTTATCGCGCGGCGCTAGATGAGATAGGCAGGCGGCGAGTGGGGAGGGGAAGGATTGAGAAAGATGAGGATTCGGCGCGGTATCGGTGTGGTACTCGTAACACCACCCTTTGAGCGACGGAGCGTCAAAAGTATCGACGCGGAGCCAAAATGCTTGAGGCATCTCCACGTATTGAAGAGGGATGTGTGGTCTGGAGGACCGCAGCCTGGCAAGGTTGTGGGCCAATCTCGTTGAGGAAGAAATGGCAAGGGCGTCGGCCCGCTGTCTGACAGGCAAGTTCCCTGCGCGAAAAGGCTACACTCACGCATTTGCCTGCACACACGCACACACATACACAAGTGTAGACTGGACCGCCAAATGATGACAGACACTATCATTGTGCTGGATGGCGGCATGTCTCGTGAGCTTATTCGAATTGGCGCTCCATTCCAACAACCAGAATGGTCGGCCCTTGCCCTACTGGAAGCACCACATCTTGTAAAACAAGCTCACCAGGAATTTGCAGCTGCAGGCGCTGATGTACTTACGACGAACACGTATGCCTTGGTCCCATTCCACATCAACGAAGACCGTTTCTGGAGCCGCGGCGAGGAATTATCAGCCCTAGCAGGTCAATTGGCGAAAGAGGCTGCAGACGCTTTTGTGGGCAAAAGAGTTGCGGGATCCCTCCCTCCCATGTTTGGATCATATGAGCCCGCGCTGTTCGATCCCACGACAGTTCAAAGTCGCCTGGCCGTGTTGATACGAGGATTAAGCTCGCATGTTGACCTATGGCTTGGCGAGACGTTGAGTTTGATCGCAGAAGCAGAGGCTGTTAAATGGGCTGTCAAAGAATCTGGTAAGCCGTTGTGGATATCTTTCACGTTGGAAGATGATGGTCCGCAAGCCCCAGCACGACTAAGGTCAGGCGAGTCCGTTGAAGACGCGGCACGCTGGTCTCTGGATGCGGGCATTGAGGCATTGTTGTTCAACTGCTCCAGACCAGAATACATGAACGCAGCCGTTCTAGAGGCGCAACGAGTCTTCACGGGCATGACTATGCCAGAAGATAGCAAAGCTCCGCTCATCGGAGTGTACGGGAATGCCTTCGAGCTCAAGTCTACCGATGATGCTGCGAACGTAGGCATCAGTTCCACACGGAAGGATTTGAACGCTGTGAAGTATTCAGACTTCGCTCGGCAGTGGGTGAGTAGCGGTGCAAGTATCGTTGGAGGATGCTGCGGCATTGGCACCGAGCACATACAAGATCTGTCTTCAGCTTTGAAGAAGCGTGAAGCATAGAGGCTGTTGACTACGGAGACAATTGCATTTGCACAGCGCCTCAGCACTTCAAAGTATTGTAGTATGATTTCCAGAGCGCATCAACTGAGCGAGCGCTCTAGCTAGCACACTTCAGAAAACCACATATCCATTTTTATGCTAGTCCATTTTTCTTCGATCCGGGTGACTGGAATTGTCTTGAAGCTGTTCAAACTTTATCGGACTTTACGGAGCTCTCGGTTGTTCTTATCTTCACATGATGGTGATCATCAGCGATACATAGACATCCAACAATAATGGAGGATGTCGTCTCCCCATTCAGTAGGAGATCATAAGCACATATCCACGGAAACTCCTGAGGCAACCTCTGGAACACCCCGTGCAGACGACCACCAACGCAGCACTGTCACATCACCGACAGAGCCGCGTGATGGACCGGCCCCACCAGTTCCATCATCTCCTGCAAACTTCGCGTTCGACGAGACGGTTTTCGGTACAGCTCCTTTAACAGCAAGCCCAGGAATAGATGATGATGAACATGCTCCCGACGATGAGATACCCTATCCCGAAGCTGAAGAGGGCTCCATCCTTCCACCCCCAGACTTCAAGCCATTCTTCACCTTAATCGAGGACTCTACAACTGGCGAGCACCAACACCCAACTGTACACTACCTCTTCGCCGACGACGACCAAGAAATCCTCACAGCCGCTGCTTTGGAAACAGTCTCCCACGAACGGCAAGAACCCGATGATGAGCGATTCGTGATAGTAGACATGAACGCAGACGGTAGAGAGGTTGTGGGCATCTCATCGCTATCACCAGACTGGCAGACCTTGAAGACAAAGGTGACACAAGCTCCGAGCTGGGGAGACGCAAGCAAGTCTGCCGAGAAAGGGCTCATGCTGAGGATCTCAGGGAAAGAAGCTGAGGCCGGAGGTGACAAAGGGAGGAAAGGCGACGTGGACGGCTTGCTCAAGGCTTTCGATGAACTTGCGGGCACGCTCGATGAGGTTTTAGGCTCGAGCATAACGGAGCTGGACAACCAGATCGTGCAATAGTCAATGCATTCACGACACGACTGAAATGAGAAATGAGATGATATGGGACATGGGAAAATTGTTTTTGTGGCATTCGTGCATTCGTGAAGTGGGATATCTCGGTTTCTAGCCTTCACTAATTCTCACGCTTTTGCGGACAGCTCTCCTAGGTCGCTCAGATTCATTGGAGCCGGGCGTATCAGCTGCGCCGTCAGTGGCAGGATTTGGAGTACCTCCGCTCTGCTCCTTCAGCGGCGCAGGAGGCGCGACAGCATCGGCCTTTTCCTTCCCAGTAAGCTGCTCCTTGGCCGTCTCCGATTTCTTGGAAGAAGCAGCGACAGCTTTCGAGGTCGAAGGTCGCTTGACATATTTCACAGTAGATTTCGGTCTGGTGGGCTTCTCTTCGATGAGTGGCGTAGCCTCCTTTGATGCCTCTTCAATCTCTGGCACCGCGCCCTTGACCGGTAGACGCATCGCGAGGTACGTTTCTGGGGCCCGAGTGCATGTTTTCATCGTGTCCTCCATATGTTTCCGCACTTCCTCCAGTGGTTTGACCCATCGACGAATACAATTCAATATCTCCTCCCGAGTGTATGCGACCTCAACCATCATCGTCACGGGCTGCCAGTACTGTTTGTCTGGCTCGAGACCTGTTGGATCTGCAGCCTCCCTGCCGTATCGAGTGACGATAAAGCTAACCAAGAGGTGTTGCGGGGAAAGATTCTCCAATACACAGTGCTGTGGGAAAAGAAATCGGTCCTCTGTTCCTCCCGGTGTCTTCTTGCTGAAGTCGAGCATAACTGGAAAGCTTGTCTGCACTGGAGGTGGTGTTGCCCAGGTAGGCTGCTGATGGTATGCTGGAGGAGCTTGAGGCGTCGAGATGGCTGGCCGAGCTTGGGAAGGCTGCTGGGGTAGAGGAGCAGCATGTAACGGTGGCGGCGGTGGCTGTGGTTTCACGTCCGCTGGTCCGTCATACTGTATCGCATTTGAATGCTGTGTGCCATTCGATGGATGATCGTCATCGTCACCCTTCTTTTTCTGAAYGATGCCCGTGAGCTCATCGATATGGCGCTGGAAGATCTTGAGCTGGTCCTGAGTTGCATTTCCCGTAGCTACCTCCTTCATCAGCGCTTTCAGCTCGGCATCAGAAGATGCGCGGGAAGCAAGCATACTAATGACAGGATCGGCCTTCTTCTCTTGCTGGTTCCCTGTTGCACCCAAGGCTGACTGCGCACGTGGCTGCTGCGGCAGATTTGGCTGAAGTGGTGTACTCGATCGCTGTGCGGGTTGTAGTGGAGCCTGTCCGTTTGTGACAGGCGGTCTACCTTGCTGGACTGGCAGACTCTGCGCCGGTCGGGAAGGAACTCCATACGAGCTCTGCGTTGGCGCGGGTGTGTACTGCTTTGGGGGCATAGGATGCTTTGGTCGCTCTTCCACATAGACTTCCGCCTCAAATATGTGCGGCTCTATTCGTAACCGGCATTCGCCCTTGGCCTTCATGCACTTTGCATCCGGATTGCCTGGAGGAGGCGGCTTCGCGTTCTTGCCGGTCTCCGGCTTCGTCCAGTACTTCTTGAACACACCGTTACATGCCCAATTGAGACGGGAGCGCTCGACAGATGCCGCGAGCACCCCGCTCGCTGCAATTGTGTGGTATTCATCATCGGACAAGCCAGCAGGTTGCGGCGCAGGTAGGCTGGGCAGCGGCTTATTCTCTGCTAGTTTCACAGGCAATCGCGAGTTCCTCCGATCGGGAGCTGGAGATCCGATAGCTGGCGACCGTGTAGATGGACTCGCGAGTGCAGGTGTCGTTGGTGCACCAATCGAAGTTCGCTGTCTCTTAAGCGCGGGAGTTGCGCTCTTTGGCGGCCTTCCGGGGCCTCGTTTCTCCCCCGTACGAGCTTCAGAAGGTTGTACCATTGCCAGTGCACCTTTTCACCTCATGTTCTGCTGAGCGTGTGATTCCTCATGTCTTGCAAATCTCCCCTGCCGCCGATGTAGTTGCATGTGAACACGAACACAAATCTGGAAGTCGCGTGTCCGGAGATCGGCAAGGAGATCGGCAGCCGCAGACTAGCGCGAAATTGACATCACTTCTATTGCTTCCGCCTAGGTCGACTTTCACTCACGCTCACTGCTCGACAATATACGACGTCGCACAATGTCGTCTCCAAGTCTTGGTAGAGCAGCAATATGGATTGCCGCAGGGGTAGGATCATACGCTTTCCTGCTGGGCCTTCTGATCACGCCTCCGCTCCAGAGATTGTACTGATTCAATCATCATATTGCGGGAGACACATCGAGCTGACGCGATCTAGTGCACTATACGCGAATGCATTCAACACTTTGTTCTGGGACAATGTAAATGATGGTGAAGCTTTCGGCTTTGCGAAACACCAAGTAACACCATTCAATATTCGAACCCCTGATGGCGAGACGTTGTACGCTTGGCACATTTTACCGACGGATGTATATGCCCGCAATGAGAAAGCGATCCGGGAAGAAGGTCGACCTGATGATCGACCAGTTGAGGACTTTACGAAAACTGTGCCATTCAACTTGCTGACATCCAAGGACCCTTCGCCAGCCAGAGTTCTCATTAGCTGTATGTGCAATCTAATGCGATCTCGAGCATACGACTGACTCCATTGTGTCGAAGAAGTCCATGGAAATGCTGGGCATATTGCTCAAGGTTGGCGAAATGAAGCCAATCGATTCATGGCTGCTAAGCCAAACACTCACATTCTAACCATCGACTACCGCGGGTTTGGACACTCGACTGGAAGACCTACGGAGGCAGGTTTGATCTTGGACGGTGTGACCCTGGTTGAGTGGATTATGACAGTGGCCGGCATCCCACCGGAACGCATAGTCATAATGGGTATGTTGTGCAATCCAGAATATGCCCAGGCAGTAGTGTTGACGGGGATTTTCTCACCTTTCAGGTCAAAGTTTGGGGACGGCGGTGTCTAGTGCTGTTGCGTTGCAATTTGCAGACCCAAAGAACAATTTGCTTCCGGTTGGAGCCCCTGAACTTCAGCCGCTGCTGTCGGTTTCGCCGAGCAGATATCCAGTCACCTTTGCCGGCGTCATACTCGCAGCACCCTTCAACAGCATCCCGACGCTACTGTTGACCTATCGGATGGGAGGTCTTCTACCTCTTCTCCTCCCCCTTCGGCCCTTCCCTTACATATCAAATCTACTGCTGTCACAAATGGTCGACAAATGGGAAACAGCTGAGCGCCTGGCTGCTTACTATAAGGCTCTGAGAGATAGCTCTGTATTGTACAGCAAAGGTCGTACCATGGGCTCTTTGCAGATCGTCCACGCTGTAAACGACGCAGACATTCCCTATCACCAAACCGGGATGATTTGCCGTCGAATACTTGGCAAACGAGATTCTCAAAGCGGTCTGGAGACCGACGAAATTGATGGCAAATCTTGTTCCGGTGGTAGCAGCAAAGAGGCCAGTGTGCTAGACGTGGCCCGACCCGGGCTGCCACGGATCAGATTCGAGATTGTGAAGCATGGAGGTGAGTAATTCGGTGACAGCTCTGCTTACATTGACTGACACCCTATAGGGCATAATAGAATCATCACGTATAGTCCGGTAGCAGTGGCGGTCGATCGAGCATTTGACGACGTCTTCTTTCCAGCAGTCGTTGGTATTTGAAGTGCAAATGTGAGTAAATGAGAACCTCTCTTTTGTCGTGTATCAAATTGCCTGCGTCTATGGCTTCATGCTCTGAATCTGACCCTGTGTCTTAGTTTTGGCTCCTGGCCTCTGCGAAATAGAGTATTCACGCAGAGAGACAACCCTTTCTTACGCCCTGTTCTGCCGCCAGCTTTTTAAAACCATGCTGCGCAAATACTCGTGGACCGATGTATCTATAAAGCGACTTTCTTCTTGGAGACTCAGTACTTCTCCTTACTCACCACTCATACTTCACTAGATCAGCATCCAATCCTCACGGCGGCGCAACACCAAAACTTTGCGCGTCGCACGAAATTGTGCTGAATGTACGCAGAGATGCCAAGGGCGTCATGGTTGATCTGCTCGACCTGCGAGCGAAGAGGGTACGTTTGAATATCGTTGCGACAATTCGAGCCGCGTATCCACGCCTCGAGCATTTCCTGGCCATCGTTGGAGATGGTTCTTGGGGTCTGGCGCGGACAAGTACATCTACAAGAGATTTGAGCTGCAAAAGCCCGCCCGGTATCTGCAGTCGGTCTCCATGGAGCACGAGATACGAAACTCTTTTGTGACTGACATCAAGCGATACCTGGCCTCGAGAGGCACCAGAACCGCACGATTCCATGGCGCCGGGAGAGACTTTGACAAGTATGGCAATTGCTGGCTATTTTGGAGCTCTCAAGTGCATAATCAGCCTCTCAGACTCAGTCTCTGGCATGGTATTATACACATTTTCGGACAAATTGAGAAAATAGCGGCGGAGCACCTCGGTGACCTCACCCTCTTAGATGGAAGCAAGGCTTCACTTCACATCTTCTGCGAGGAAGGAGACAACTCGACGGAACAGGACTTGCATACACTGTCCGAAAGCTTTGCGTCCAACTTCCGGAGGTACGTCTAGCTGTGGAATCGTCTCCGCCGAAGTAAAAATATGCCGACCATCGTTGCCATCTGCCTAGCACGAACTATCGTCTCCAGAAATCCAAGGCCTTCTCATCCTAGACAGGGATAATCTTGGTGGAGCTGTTCAGCGTGCAAAGGCCTTTGCAAGCGAAGTCATTACCAACAGAGCGGAAGCCATTAATGTCGCCGTATTCGGCGGTCAAATCACCCATACCGCCGACACAGACCTGCAGCCGGTATGGGGAACTCGTCTGAGCTCTTCGAAAGGGCTGACCAAAGTGGCGTCAAAGCCAAGTTCCGAAGCCAGGAAGAGACATTCGTTGATTGTACCTCTTGWAGAAGAAGATCAGCTACCGCGATTATGTATTGGTGGCACGGATGAATATCGATGCGAGTATCACAGCATTCTCTGCTCAGTGGCTGGTGTTTCCAGACATCCAAAGACTGAGCTGATATGGTTCTGGTCTGCTACTTCGACCAACGCATGTGTAAGCATGTGTAGTAAGTGAAGTCGCTACAAGAGCCTGGCTTGCATTGTTGGCCCTTAGCTGATTTTCTCCTAGACACAACACAACTTACTTCATCCTCATCATTTCTATCATCCCTACGTGTTCGATCTTGTCACATGCAAATTCTCCGGAAAAGTTAATATTTTGCACAAGATGGCAACCTAATTCAACATCAGTGGCTGCTCTCTATAAAATGGCACAGACAAGACATCTTCTACAACAAACACCACACCTCTACACACATCTGTCCTTCTTCAACGCACACCTTCAACATGGCAGCTTCTACAGGCATGGCACATATGCCGCTTAAGGTAGCACGTCGTAGTCTTCTTAGCATAGCTACTGGTCTTTACAGTGGCGAACATTGCACAGTAGATGTTCTCGATGTCGCAGTTAAGAGGGTCTACCGCAACGCCATCCAAATAATCCGGACTGCTAGCCTAGTGATCGAACGCCTAATTACAACTATTAGACCTTTCGCCATTCTCCGATTCGGGGTCTATAGGTGGATCTCCTTAGGTTTAGAAACTAAAGAGTACCTCTATAAGAAGTTTATAGCGGATATTACCGTGCCTAGCGGCACTAGGCTAAACCTTTAGGTAGTCGACTATATAGCAACATATAGCGATAGTATAAGCACTCGGTTAATAACCGTAATAGAAACGGGTCTAAAAGTACCGATATCTTCGAAAAGTAGTCTAGGTCTAGCGCTATCGTATATTCCGCGGAGGGCTATAGACGGTTAGTTTCGTTTCGAAGGCCGCTAGCTTAAATTTGCTTAAATACTACCGGCGGTCGAACTAATCGATAGTAATTCGGATAGTTAAGGTTAAGGCTACCGTTATAGGTAACGATTAGACTAGAGCTTACCTACCGACGTTATTATTTCTACTTACTCCCCTACCGGTAGCGTAGAGGTTGTTTAACGCTTCCTTAAGCGCGTATACGATAGTAATAAGGTAGAATATATAAAGGCTAAAAAGATGTAGTAATATATAGAACTCCCTTAACCTCCGGTTAAGACTAAAACTAATTCTTATATATCGCTAAGTATACGTATCGTATACTATACGTATGCGTCTAGCCTACGCCTTAGCGCTCGGCCTTCGGCTATATATTATCGGCTAGGCCCCGAGCTATATAGCTCTAACCTTAGCTCTTATAATTACCTTCTCCTTCCTAGAGAGCTATCCTAGCTCGTAGAAGTTTCTCTTATAATCTATCTCTATATCGTACGCGTCGCTATCGCGTCGCCTATACCTCGTATATTTATCGTAATAGCGTTTACTACTTTAGTTACGCCTAGTAACCGTAGCTCGAGCGTATAGACTTCTTTTTACCTTTAGCTCGCCTTCGTTCCTCTTATTAACAATTACTAAAAATTTATTTAATTACTAATATAGCCGACCTAGCTACTCCTAGCTCCTCCCGTACGCGTAGTAAGCGTACCGCCGTCGCCTCGCCGCCGCGTAGTAATAGACGCGCTAAGAAGATGCGGCCCTATTATCGCTACGTCGATAAGCTTAGCTAGACTATACCCGACGACCTCGAAAATAAGGAGATCTACTCTTACGGCGCTAAGTAGGGCCCTACGCCTATAAAGTATAGTCGTTACTCGTACGTATCGCCGTCGAGTCGCTAGCGAGTCGGGGCTAACATTTTTCTAATAATACTAAGACGCCCTATATAGAGATAAACCCGGTCGCCTACCTATACTACGATAAGGCCTACGACGCCCTATACGCTTAGCGCTATCTCCCCGCTAGCGCCTCGTAGGAGGAATATACTTAGGCCGCTAAGGCTATCGTCCGTACCTATACTATCTTTATACGTAAGCTCCGCTCTACCTAGTATACCGTTAGAAAAGTTATTAGCGGTAAGACTACGCGCCGCGGTAGTACCTCCGCTAGTACGCTAGCGAGTAGTACGGCTACCGCTAGTTCTACCTTAGGCCTAGAAGCCGCCTAGGAGACCTCTAACTCTCTCCGCGCTATCGCCGAGATTAGCCGCTTCGTAAGTTATCCGCTACCCCGGCGCCTCGCCGTTAAGACGCCTACTAACCGCGAATATAGTAGCTTTAAAACTAGACTAGTAGTAAGGCCTTCTTACCTATAGTAGACGCTACCCTTACGGGTATACCTATAGAGTAGGAGTCTTCTAAAGACTCCGAGGAGAAGGAGGGCTAATAGCTCTACGCCTACGCCTCGCCTACGTACCGCCGTCGCCGCGGCTCCTAAGCATTTGTCCTAAGGGACACTAGCTAACTTAATCTAGAATTTATAGTAATACATACTATAAACTTTCGTTTCCCTCTTATCGTAACTTCGTCCCGCGGCCGCGTCGCCGTCGAGGCGTACCCGCCTTAAACTTATCTAGAGCTTTATACTCTTCGACATTTTTATACGGCTCCTATATCTAATACTCCTTAGGCTAGTCCTTCTACTTAACTAGGTATAGCTACTTACCCTTAACTTTCTTAGTCTCTAAGATTTGTTCTACTTCCTACTACCCTTCGTCGTTAGCGATAGGTATACGACTCTCCGTCGCTTCGCCTTCGCGCCCCGTCTATAGTTCTAATAAGCTTATATAGAAGACGCTATAGACTTTTATCGTATTTAGGAGTACTAGGCGGTACGCCTACGATCCGACTACGTTAATTACACGGAACGGGCCTAAGTACTTTAGGCCTATCTTCTTTTTAGGAACATCTATCTTAAGGTTCTTTATAGATAGCATTACTTAGTTACCTACGTTAAAACTTATTAGTTTGTAACGTGTATTATAATACTTTACCTACTACTCGGTAGCGTACTTCTAGCGTTCCGCTAGCTTAGCGTACGTATCTCGTAGTCGCTTCGCCGTATTAATAGCTGCTAGTACCCTTCCCTTAGTAGGCTCGTCTCGAGACTATAGCGGCCTTATCGCTAGCTCTAGATTAAATTTATATAGTATCTTAAAAAGGCTTATCTTTAGCCCTATATACAATCTATTATTATAAGCAAACTTAGTAGTAGGTAATATCGCCGCCTATCGGTGCTACTCCGATACGTAGTAGTACTATAGGTACTACTATAGCACCTAATTTGCCTTCTTAGTTTATCTATCCGTCTAAGGGTAGAATGCTATACTTAGCCGGCGCTTTATATACGCTTCGAAGTAGAAGTCCGACTAGTACGCACCCGTAAATACTAAGCCTCTATCGCTTATAATGCCCGTAGAGACTCCGTAGTATCGGACTACTTCTCGTATAAAGATATCTACTAACTTTACTATGTTATACTACTTTATAGTTAGTACGAAGATAACTATCTTCGAGTACCGGTCGACGATAACGAGTACCGCCGWATATACGTATCCGTCTCGCTCGCTCGGAGGTAGGTCTATAATAAAATCTATCGAGATCTCCTACTATAGCCTCTTAGGTATAGGTAGTAACTTTAGTACGCCGTAGGGCCGATAGTATCTCGTCTTCCCTACGAGGTATATACGGTATCCTTAGATGTATTCCGTAATATCCTTACTTATCCCTAGCTAGTAGTATTTCCTCTAGACTAGCTTAATCGTCTT